AGGTAGTATGATGCTGGGTGGAACAAAGGCAGTAAATGGCCAAGCCAGTGACAAATGCGACGCGAAGGTGGGTTGAATCAAAGCCCCGTAGCGTACCAGCTTATTGTGCTGACGAGAGACATCAATAGACAACCCAGCTTTTCTATGTTAGCCACCACGTCGCCCACGATCAAAGTATTATCCGACGACTTGGAAATGGAATCGCAAAAGGTCAGATCTATGTATGAGTCGGGCTCGGGGTTTGACTGGCGCGATGGGAAGGACGACGCAACTGATAATCGTTTAACTGTTGGAGGGGAATCCATACCCGAAAGGCCTGTTACGTGAGTGTGGAACTGCTTACTGATAATTCCGCTCTCCACTAATTAATCTAGGGCAAACAGTTACCTCACTCCAAATGGCATAGGAGTACCACCACGATCCGCGAGCGCATTGTCAAACAGAAGACCTGCCGAGTTAGCTGGGGGAATCGAAGATTGGGAAGATGTGAATGGGAACGATGTCGATAGATATGGCTTCATTAATCAGAGGACCACCTCCAGACCCGGCACACCAGAACCAAAGCCACCACAACGCGTTTCAACTGTACTTCACTTAGCCTCGCAGGCACCACGACGAAAACGAACCTTTGGTCGATCACCTTCTACTGCGAATTCCCAGAGAGGCCTCAAACGTACGCCTAGTCGAAAGGTTTCTGCGAGATCATCAAAAAGGTCACAGGGGGATAATGCATCAATACGCAGTTCGCGAAGCTCTCAACTAAGGCAGGCCGCCAACCGATTACCGGGGAATAAAGATAGAAGATGGATGGACGAGGCAGGTGATATGTTGACTTTACCTCCGGGACTGGCGGATATTGCTGAAGAAGTGGAAGGGGGTAAAGGTATGGAGTTGATGAAGAGGAAAGAATCGGAACGAACAGAGAAATGGAGGAGGATGGCGAAAATAATCAAGGGCAAGGATGGAGAGGGAATGGAATTCGAATTCGATACGAAAAGTTCCAAATTAATAGAAAGGACGTGGAAAGGGATTCCTGATCGTTGGCGGTCTGCGGCATGGTATTCATTTCTTGCTTCTTCAGCCAAGAAGAGAAAAGGTAGCCCACAAGAGGAAGATATAATTCAAGCTTTCCATAGGCTACAGGATCAAAGTTCAGCGGATGATGTTCAGATCGATCTGGATGTTCCTCGGACAATCAATAGTCACATCATGTTTAGAAGAAGATATAGAGGAGGTCAGCGATTACTCTTTAGAGTTCTTCACGCTTTATCACTATACTTTCCAGCTACTGGGTATGTTCAGGGTATGGCATCATTAGCAGCTACTCTTCTGTGTTACTATGATGAAGAAAAATGCTTCGTCATGCTAGTACGAATGTGGACTTTACGTGGTCTGGAGAAATTATACGAACCAGGGTTTCCAGGTTTGATGGCTGCTTTGGATGAATTTTCAACCAAATGGCTAGATAATGGTGAGGTATCGGCTAAGCTAGTAAGTGTTTTGATATTCCACTTATCTCACTCATACAAACACTGACTCTGATAGAATGAACTTGGCATAGAACCAACTGCATACGGTACTCGATGGTATCTCACTCTTTTCAACTATTCGATTCCTTTCCCAGCTCAACTTCGTGTTTGGGATGTATTCATGCTTCTAGGAGATGAAGACGAATCATTACCTTACTGTAAAGATCGACCATTCGCAGGTGGTTTGGATATTGTTCATGCTACTAGTGCGGCGTTAATCGATGGTACTAGAGATATATTACTTGACAGTGATTTCGAGAGCTCAATGAAAGTCCTTACCAGCTGGATCCCAGTCAAGGATGAGGAATTATTGATGAAAGTTGCGAAAGCGGAATGGAAGTTACATCGAGTGAAGAGGAGAAGTTGAGCTGAGTTATAAGGAAGGAGAAACAAGATACCCGACGATGTCACAAAATCGTCACCACGTTGGAGTACATATTACTGTACTGCTAACACAACGAATATTTCCTTTGTTTTGATGCCTTGATGTTGGGCTGTTAGCTCATTCATTCTTTTTCTTTCCAAAGTCATTTGCTGCTCGTTTTTACTGCACTATACCATACACGCATGGGGTGGGTTTTATATTATATCTTTTTAATCTATTGACTTTCCTTGAGAGAGAAAGGTGAAGTGGGGTTCTATTCTTCATTGTATATTTCATTTTCTTAGGAAGGTAAGGGTTAGCGGGTGGGATAATATATAGCAATAAAATGGCTATGGATGGCTATGGATATAGCCTTTAAATTTTTGCTTGAAGGAAGGTGGAAATTAGGTTTGGGATGGGAGTGAGAATTTGTTGGATTGGATGGCTTGAGGGGAAGAGGGTAATTGGAGGAGATAAGGAGAAGGGAATGGGAATATTGAGTGTTATATCAATGTTCCCCGTACTTCAAAGGGATATAATGTTTACTATAGAGTGATGTGGAGAGTGGGATTTATTAGAGTAGAGAAGCTGTCATGTAGATATGATGTGAGAGGAGGAAAAGAGGGAGAAGTGGTAGATAGATAGAGATGCAAGATAGAGATGCTAAATGGTGAATCCAAGGTCAGATGGTATGGATGGGTGGATGGATGGGTGAGTGAATGGATGGATGGAAAGTTATAAATAAATAAATAGATTATTTTATTATGTTGTATTGCTATATTGTTTGTGACAGTAAGAGTAAATGAAAGTGAGAATAAGTAAATGAAAATAAGAATAAGAATAAAAAATAAAATTAACAAAAGAGAGAGAAGTTATAGAATTTTTACAAATACATATCTCAGGCTAGACTAGAAAGAGATTTCTAAATCAAATAATTTTTTTTATAAATAAATTAATTAATTGATAAAAAGAAAGAAGAGGAATAGAAATGATATAATTGTCACGATTCACCATTAGGTTTGATGGTGTTACGATGGTAGCAAACTGATTAATTAGGAGAGCTTAGGCCTTGTGCAAACACGATCAGATTTCATCGAATTAGTATTTGATCTTGGTCACCTTAAGATCGCATGCGCACGCACCATCAGAAATCACGTGATAAGGAGCCCTGAGGAGCCAGAAAGCTCCTGGGGGCTCCCTTTATCGATCATTATATAGTCAGAGTAGTTTCATAGTTTAGAGGCTTCGTGCTCAACTTAGTTATCAATTAGTTTACCTACTTTCTACTTGATCTAGTAACGAATTCACTTTCAAGCGAATACCAATGATAAAGCCTTAACCCATAACTACCAACCGACGAACCTAAGGCAACCGCTGCCTTTAGTACAGTATCGTTACACTTTGAGCATCGTTACGGTTAAGCTATATCAGTTACGATGGATTCCAGTCAGCCACCCACCGAACCAGTTTCCTTCACTTCCATCGGGGCCCCAGAGCAGGCCGCCGCCACCATGGAGCCAAGACGAGCAATCCAGGTATCCACCCCTGACTTGTTCCACGGAGATCGTAGCAAGCATCGAGCTTTTGTCGCACAAGCTGATCTTTACTACGCCTTCAATGGACAACTCTTCTTGACACAAATGCAAAGGATCTTGTGGTTGATCTCGTTCTTCCGAGGAACTGCGTTCAATTGGATCGAACCTTTCTTCAATGACCTAATGACCAAGACAACCGACAGCCAACTCAATGAAAATATGAAACCTGAGACACGCCGCCTCTTCAATACTTACGAGTCATTCAGACAAGGATTCGATAGGGCTTTCGGGGAAGTTGACCCCGATCACATGGCTGAGAGAGCATTACGACAACTTAAGCAGACAGGGTCAGTTACAACCTACACTGCTAAATTCCAACAATACGCCGGGCGTATTATATGGGATGATGACTACCTTAGATCCCAGTTCTATAAGGGACTCAAGGATATCATCAAGGACAAGCTAGCTAGAGCTCCGAAACCGCCAAACCTTTCCGAGTTAATCGAGACCTCCATCCTAATTGATAATCGTTTTTATGAACAATGAATAGAGAAGAAGGGAATCACTCAAGAGAGTAGAAAGTTTCCAAAACATCAGTACCAGAACAGACACTATGATGCCGGCGATCCAATGGAGTTGGACGGAGCTGAACGCCGCCATAAACCAAACGGGACTTAGTGTTAAAAAGAAGAAGAAACGCAAGGAAAATAATCTATGCTTCACCTGTGGTAAAGGTGGACATATGTCTGGGGATTGTTCCCAGAAAAAGCCTTTCGCCGCGAAGGGCAAGAAACAAGTAAGATTTGGAACCAAGAAACAAGTAAGATTTGGAACCAAGAAACTGGGATCCCGAGAAGCGGGTGCCCTAGAAGGTAGCTTCAGAGAGATTGAACAATTAATCATAGAAGTCAACCTGGAGAACCAGGAAGTCAAGGCCCTGATCGATTCAGGAGCTATAGGAATATTTATGGATCCCGACTTTGCCAAAGAAAATGGGATCCCCACCGAGCCAAAAGAGCACCCCTACCAGCTAACGCTGTTGGGAGGCAAGAAGGCCTAAGCTCTCCTAATTAATCAGTTTGCTACCATCGTAACACCATCAAACCTAATGGTGAATCGTGACAATAATGTAATAAGAGTTATATAAGAGAGTTCTGTTGTATTATATGATTTTGATTTTGATTTTGATTTATTATTAAATGAGATTAGGGAGGTAAAATAAGGAGTATTAAGTAAATTTATATGAGTATATAAATATAAAAGTAAAATATATTTTGGAGTTTAGAGAGAAATGACGAATTGGTAGGTAGGTAGTTAGAGTAAATAAATACAATTTTAAAGTGGTGGATGTGATATGATGAAGTAGTAATTAAGTTTGAATTGATGAGGAGATTGAAGAGAGAGGAGGGGAGGGAGAAGAGGAGAGGAGGGAGATATTAGCTGGGGGGTATAGTGGTATAGTGAGTGGTATGTGAGGGTTTTGAAAACTGGAGTTGCTGGTGGGTACTGGATTGAATATTAGTAATAATAGTAAACTAACAATCGATTGGATCTAACTATAACTAGTACTATACTGATTGTACAATGAGCCCGTGTTACTGGGTCGAATATTATATTGCTGATTATATAATAGCATAGAATATATAAGAGAAACCTGCTATCTGATTAGGATCATCTTTGATTTATTCTTTTGTGTTTTTAATAATATATAAAAGAGTGTTCATTTTAAAAGTATAATAATATTCAGATATCAATAGAATAATAGAAATATTGTTAAAAGGAATAGAAGTTACCGGTACTAATCACGTGTCGTGATTAGTAATACGGTTACCTAAACAGGCTAGATTAGACGAACCATAAGCAGGCATATTGGTCCCCTCCGAGGATACCAAGAGGAGATCTTAATATGCCTACAGACGTAGTAATATAGTCAATATAGAGGCCTCTTCCACCCAATCTTTTAATAAATATTATATATAGGATTTCTTTCAAAGATACAGGGCATTTCTCATTTTGTAGTCTTCATTATAAAATCCCCTCTAATTATGATTCGAAACGAAATGTATGGAACTTTATATGTATACGATAGCACAGTTTATTTTACTATTGATATTGTAACATGTATGACTAGTTATCTGAGAAAATATTTTTGAAACTCGATGTATATTCTTTAGAGTTAGGTAGAATTATAACTAGAATTTTGAATTAGATATATGATGTTTAAGGTCATGTACATAATAAACTAGAGATATTAACGATTTCTAATAGAAATATAAGAATTGAATCTAAGTTAAAAGTAATAGGTAGGAAAAAAGGGAGCGGTAATTTGCGAAAAGATTTGAAACTGTTAAAAGGAATGACCTTACACAGGGAATAGTGGGAAGCTGATAGGGCAGAACTGAGGCTATATTGGTCTAGTATATTAATCACTCACTATCTAAGTTCTACGGAAGTGCGAAGCTCTCCTACAGAGAGCTTCTCAATCTAGTCCTAATAGGACTAGTGCCCTGTGCACGTGCTACGCAGGAACCATTCACTTTAACAGAAACCTTGATTTGAAAAAGAAGTCGATTAATTTAAAACGGTACTTTTGCAAGCTGAGTATGATATTAACTAGCTTGCCTTTCAATTTTAGTATATGAAGTTTTGTGGTCATGGGATTCCGTTCGAGGTGTGGTAAAGAAAAAGCGATTATGAGAATTTGCATACTTATATGGTGCACAAGTTTGCTGGTCCCTTTGAGGATGATTGAACTGGATGAGTATGGCACATTTTACGAACCTTGCTCATCAATCGTGAATTTATAACCTGTACTCGTTATCAGATGCTTCTAAGATATAAAAAGAGGATAGTAAGAGGTACTGTGCCAAATTGTTGACCTTTTAGCTAAACTATATCTTCAGGTTGGAAAAAATCTATCTTCTCGTGCCTCACGTAACGTAATGCTTGAAGCTTGCAATGTGGCATAAAATAACTATGGTCCAAAATTCGTATTCGATCGATCCTCTTTGACGAGAGGAAAAAATAGGTGCTTGATATGACATTGAAAGATGGATATCAATCATAGGATCAATATAAAGTCGGAGCGAATATGATACTGTTTGCATCGGGAGGGAGGATACGGCGGAGTGGAGATATGAAGATGAGTAGAGATCGATAATCAATAATTATCTATCCTCCTAACTTAAGCTTGAGCATAGAATGTTGAGAATCGGATAGATAACATATGGTAGAAAAAACCTCGTTCCAGAGATAATGGAACAGAATGCGAGAGATTAAATGTAGGGATTTTCAAACTCTGAAACAAGCAGCTGTAACTGGAACTGGAAACGCCTTGAATCTTCAGATATTCCCTCCACAGAAGTCCTCATTCAAGATAGTGCATCCCAAAATCACTGCAAGCTGATTGTTTTTGCCAATGGTACTTGTTCGTATACTGCCGATTGAAATATCCTCAGTAAGGTTCTTGTCTCGACTCAAATTGGAAAACTTTTCTTGAGTTCCCATTCCAAGTAAATGAGTGTAATTAGGTTTTGTGCAATTTTTCAAGATTTCTCGCGTGGTTGCAAACTTTTGCTACTTCCATCTATATAATTCCAAGCGTGCCAGAACCGAGGAAAAGTGTGTTGCGGGGGAAAGAACAGAGAGAAAGTGAGGGAGGAGTATTGAATCGGACTTTGATTCTAGGAGTTTAGTATATCTAGGCTTTAGCGTGATAGAGGTGTAACTCTTTTTAGGTTGCTCCAAGGAAAGAAAGAAAGAAAGCTGTCTGCTTTTGCAGATGGAGCTAAGGAACGACACAAAGCTGATGCTTCGCACTCAATGCACCAATGGGAAGGGCTTTTTGAGATACAAAATTGAATAGCTACTTGGCGGTACCAAAGGTTATAAATGAATATCTGTGTAGATCCCCAATCGATAAAGTTGGCTAAATACTAGTATCCAAGATTCTTCCCAGCACATGGTTTCCTCGTGGCGGCTTCGTGACAGCGTATGATGCCGGCCGGTTGAATTTTCCCCAATGTCGTTCCCCTCGTGGATAGATATTATCGCCTTGGCTGGTATCGAGTGGCACGTTAGCTTATATCTACGAAGTTTGTGGATGTATTCGCTTGTACAGCTCGCATTGTTGCTAGGATGTACAGCAGCATTAGACGACGATTTGGCTTGTTTGGGAAGTGGTGAAATGATCATCGTTGCTCAAGGCCGAATCTGTATTCTCGAATGGAAGAGTCTTGCCTGAAAATTTAGTTCATGTCGGCGCAAGCTTACGAGTGTCGTTACGTTAGTCTAACGGGTATTGAAATCCATTGTGGCTGGTACATTATTTTCGTATCTAGACAGACATTCGGTGTATTTGTCTTTCAATGTGCTAGATGTATTGATTCAAACGATCAATATTTGATATTCTTCCATGACCGGAGAATCTTTTTGGGCGGTTGGAGGGGCATGAATTTTTCCAGGTACCACATTTAATGTCACGAGAAGTGGGGTTTTCCGCAAGGTTAGATGGATCGAAGAAGGCAAGCTTCATACTCGAGTACTAAAAGTACATAATGGACGTATGGGATCAACGCGGAACTCTAATGATGGCGTGTTTGATTCGCCACATGTTGGGATCTTCAAATTCAAGTTCAAGCTCAAGCTCAAGCTCACACTCACAACGTTAAGGCAAGAGAATGATCGACATGTTGCTGTTGAGAACTCAAGATTCTTATCAGACGGGCTGTCAGATGGAGTCGGTTGTGCCAAAATCGGGCACGGGCATCCGTCTAGAGTTGTCGATCGTATTGAAGATTCGTGTACTCCACCAAACACTCTTGTTCCGAATATGTTTTTTGGGCAGTAATAATTAACAATGATTGGTAATCTTTCTCGTTGTGGATTCATGTCCCGCTTCTCAATATAAGAATCTAGGGAAATCGTATGATTCATTGAGATCTACATTGTCCGGAAATCGTATGATTGCAATGAGATCTACAGCATTACATTCAGAAGTAGGAATATACAGCTTCTCTACACGTGGTAGAGTAGATGAGCAGGTGTGCTATGGTTTCTGAAAAAGAGTTGTCAAAACACCCAACGGGCTATGTCTAACCCCGCTAGAAAAAGGTAACTGAACATCGGTGGAGGCAAAAGTTTGTACGCGTCAAGCTACCTGGCTGTCGAATAGGCATGTAGGATTCTCCAACTTGTGGCTCTCCTACTTAGCCCTTTCTGTACTCCAGTCCGAAAAGTACGTCAATCTCTTTCTGATCAAGGAAAAAAAAAGTAAATAACCAGGAATTTCAAAAAGAAAACATCTACCACCATCGTATAATTAATAAAGTTGATTAGACAAGTATATGGACGGAAGTTCTCAAAATTACTTAGACTGGCACTATGACCCCTTAGAGGCTCGAGTTCTATGCATAATCGTCCCTTCGTAGTAGCAAGTTACCAAAACGATCTCATACGCACAGAAGAAAGAAGGATGACAAGGACTTAGTGAGCGATGAAAGCATCAACCAGGTTCACGGGATACAAGGTTTTTGATTTATCCCGTGTTTGAGAACCCCTTAATGTTTGGACTCAAGATTTTTGCTAGAATCTAAAGTCGTTTGAATCTTGATAGACTTCAACACTTTAATGCGTCTTATCACACACCTTGGAAACTCATTAAAATCCCATCTGTATCCTTGGTTAGGAGGTGACTTCGGAGGTTCCGGCCATTCATCTTAGATGCATTTTGATAATGTCTTGGAGATTAGCCCAACAATGCGTCATGGAAGAATATTCTCGAACATTCAATATCGATAGAATGAAGTTGTTTTATTATGATGTGGTGGAAGCCAAGTACTCGTACCGTTGCTACATGTTCGAGAACGAATTGCTTTTTTTGCAACTACAGAGCACACACCGCTCCACCAACCCCTTTATCCATTCATGTCTCTCTTAAACCAACGGTGTAGGAATTGATTTTGATTGATTTAATATCAGCGTATGCACACAATCAGGTATCCTGAACGCAAAGATACAGACGGCATTACAACTTACAGCACCTACGTAGCAATTCGGGCATGTTGCATCAAGCTTCAACACCAAAATTATCCGACGCCCCTTCATCTCTCTCTCACGAAATTTGGCGAGCGCCAAGGCACGGTCACCCGTGATTCCTAAAACTTTTAATGATGCTATCCGCTCGGAGAAATTGATTGCATAGAGAACATTCGGGTTCATTACTGTATTTTGCAATTACCTATTTGTGCTACGAAAGAAGAATAAGCCAGCAACATGCAACAATCCCACGCGTTGGCGTTCCCCTGCCAATGGTGACTACATACCACTTGGACGAAAAGCAAACTCTAGAAGCCTAAAAAAAGTCTCCTTCATGTAACCAGCTGAATCTAACGCCGACCTCGGGAGCTTAACCGTTCCCATTCAGGAACATTAGACAGAGAACTTACCAGGTACCAGGTACCCAGGTATACTATAATAGAAAGCAATCTCGAAATCAAGTAACACGAGCATCAAGCCATGACACCTACCTTTGCCGTGTTGATGCGGTGCCCCCCTCCAATTGGCAAGCTTTGACCAATTTACTATGGGAGATTGCCAGTCAATGGAGACTCGAGAATTTACAATTCTGGCACACAGAAGAAACCAGTGCATTGTCGGAAAATAAGAATTCTCCATAATCTGGTAATTAGGCAGAAAAGTCTCTTCTCTGATGTTTGACAGCTAACCCATCGCCGGCCTACCTTATAAGCCTTCTAGCCCCTGACTCCTAACCTAAAACAGATAATACCGTTACCCAGGTCAGGTAGGCTCGAGACAAATTGGTACAACCGAGGTATAACGTTTTGCCAACTACAGTACTTATCTAGCAGTTACCTAGTAGTTAATCTCTTCACAAAACCTGAAATGAACACAAGTGACAAAATGATATTCCCTTTTCATCAACGCCATCATCATTGTCAGGTCAGATTTGATTAACTGGGAGATGAAGTGGTCCTTTCATAACGGAGCTTAGCGAAAATTCGATGCTTATACCTTATTTGGTTGGCCCAGACCCGTACCGGTTGGATTTGATGATCTGCCTTGTGTTTCAAAGAGACACAGGATTTAACGACGACCGATGAACCATCAATTCAGATCTCTCGAAACACCCAATTAACAGGCGCGAGTGAGGACCCTAAAAGTCTTAATCATACAGGGTGAGAAATTAATGTCGGTCTCGCAAATGTATCGAGTATGGGGCGACCTGACGTATGAGCACTAGAAGATTAGGGCCAACCAACTACGTTTTAAAATGCCAGTGTATTATGGAGAACCTGCATCCTGGATATGTTCACGAGCTCCAAGTGGATGAGAGGAGCGCCATGCACCTCCCACAAATCCTTCATCCCTGCAAACCTTGCGGTAGGTGGTCGCGCTTCGAGAAGAAACCAACGAACACACAGCCTAGCCAGCCATACGTATACCGTATTAGGTAGGTCTGTAGCTGGGGGAGAAAATCTCGTTTCTTACCAATCTCCAACTTACATACATACATCCGTAATGTTGTGACTACTCAATTCCCTCATCAGGCACCGATTTTCTCGAGCACCCGGAAGGGGCTCTGACCATTTAGCACCCTAGCCTTGGCACACATAAGCTTCCATTGATGCATTCGACTTCTTCTTCTGTGGCCCTATGGCCGACGTCTCCAGTCTTCTCCACCCCAATCTCAGCCCCAGGCGTCGGGATCCAAAACCTAGTTAGTTGATCATCAACCATTGGCACATTTTACACTTTTTTGTATTCCTAGGTGCCCTTGGTGAACCGGCAACCCAATCACTTTCCTACAGGCTACTACTATGTACATGCACATCTTCGTAGTCTGCCACTGCCATTTCGGATAAGGGCTTTGCTCACGAAAAGATCCCAAGCTTGTATCACTTAGTATATTGGGCAATGTTATTACCCTTTGCAGACCATCTAAAGTCAAAACAGTAAACTCGAAAAGCAAAATTCCCACTTGCCCCACCATCTTCGCTGTTTGTAATATCGGATACCCCTGCTTCATTTTTTATTTCGCACTTCACAAGCAATCTCGAGCTCAACGGCAATTTCAGTCTGCTTCTTTTCCAAGGTTGTTGTCACTATCTGTACCGAGCGTTTTAGTGGAAATCACTCTTCAACGCCTGCTCCCCCGTTCTTCAGGCTTACAACCAGTCGATCTTGTCCTTTTTCTTGATAAAGCACACGACTTTTATGTATAACACAACCTTTTTTACCCTGAGGATCGTCCCTGCAGTTGAGAGACCTTTTTCTGTCAACTTCTAGATCTTGAGTCAATACTCGTGGCCCTGTGATTTGCCGATTCAGATTAAGCTCCGCAGTCCCACACATCACTAGCATTTCAAATCCCGGATCTATCTGGAATATCTGATATACACGGCTGAACCCAGACATTCAATTACCACGTACGAGTTGGCAAATATGGGTGAGAAGTGTGGGGGTTTATTCTAGTTCTACATAAAAGGTCGACGGGTCCATTGGCTAGCATCTGCCTATTTGCACCTCGCCGTTATCACTTTAAAGGTGCTTTTTTTTTCACACACGTTCTTACTTTCCTTTTTTTGGCTTTAGTGAATGCCTCCATTCCGACATGTTACTCACAATTAAACAGCCTGTCCACCACGGCTACAAGTCTTTTCATGAATATTCTCCACCAACACCACCAGCTAGCTCTCGTTTCCCACAAGCAGTGACAACTACTAGCTCTTCTAGCTCTTCAAGCTCTTCTACGTCGGCATCACAATCTTTTACTTCTTTAGCACTCAGGAAATCGACGAACATGTCGACTCACCATCGTGGATTGCCCCCAATGACATTACCACAGCCACCACAACCACCACAACAAGTAGTTCCGGCATTGAACCAACCAACGGGCCCATTACAATTACCAGCTCCGCCTCAGCAATGGCAAGGTGCAGAGGAGTCAATGAGAAACTGGCTTCAAGCAAAGGCCGAAGAGGATAAAAGGAAGCAGGAGGAAGAGAAGACGAGGCAAGAATCACTTAGATTAGAGCAAAGAAAGATCGAGCAGGATATGCTACGAACCTCCCTGGCGGGAGGAATCCCTCCGTACATGATTCCAATGGTCTTCGCTGGAATGGGTGGTGGGAATCTACCAAGTGCTAGCATAGAATGGGCTCAACACTACATGGCCCAAGCACATCAACTGCAGCAGCATCAACTTCAACAGCGATTAGTGCCAGGGCAAAGTCAGCATACCTCACCGGAGCAATTGCAGCGTGGTGACTCCCGGCCTACATTTGGAGGTCAGCATCCAGCGCCCGCTACTGTACCATCAACGCCCGTAGGACCTACGGGGCCAGGGTTTCTCCCTAATTACCAAATGTCTCCAGCGTCAAGATCAAGGCACACCGAGGGCTCATTGGCTAGAGCAGCTGCAAATTCCCAGCTCCCAAGATTAAATACAGGAGAAATGCTTATTCAGCCGCCTCCAGCAGCTTCTAGCATGCAAATATTACCGGGGCAATCAGGTCATCCCTTAGCACAATTGCAAAACGCCCAGCAGCAACAGGAACCACAATCTTCGCCTTCGATATACTTTCATCACTGGCAACCGCCTACATCACAAGCAGGTACGAGCAGCGCCCATCAGCCTCCGACACCTTCAGGCAAGCGTTTATAATTCTTCCGATGAATCAACTGTGCTAACTGTTTAACCAGACCATGTCTCTTCACCAAAGAAACGAAAAGCGACAGGGCCTCAGCAACCAGCTCCACATCCAAGCTCACTGCCACAGTATACCTCCCCTTCATTCTCACAGACAGGATCATCGATATCAGGCACGCCATCGAGTAGACGCTACGGACATTCAAGAAATCAAAGTGATGTCTCAGCTCGAGGAGGTGATTCACACGGCCGACCATCAAGTCGCCATAGACATACTGAAAGTGGTTTCAGTACTCAAAGCCTCACTTCACCCACCCGGTCACAAAGCCAGGAGCAGGTATCAGCACCTTCAGAGCCACGTGGTTCGAATACTGTTTCATCCCTACTCGAACACAGCGATTCCCGACCACGGGCGCTTTCTCAACCCCAAAATCAGCAAAGCCAATCTCAGCGAGACCGAGAACGTCACTACTCTGCAGTATCGGAGATTAGACGTGAAGAAAAGGCCATGGATGGGGAAGAGGTACGACGTTCTGGAAAACGTAACGATGGAAGAAATTAGACACGTTTCAGAAACTTGCCGATCAATAACCGATACGGAAAAGCATTCGCCAGCGAATGGAGTTCGTTTTTATTTGACGCATAGTCGAGAAACCGGTACGAGTACCATCTTCTATATCTTGTAACGGTATGGTACGATCTGCGACGCGGAACACGAATTTCCTATCTTCATATGAGTTCCTCCCACTACTCAGTCTAGCTCTCATTGACCCCTCACGCGAGCTAAGTCCCGCAGAACCGAGTCGTCAGCGGCAATGACACCACTGATTCACCACTTTATTTATTCATTCATCACCAAAGATGTTTTCTTCGTATCAACAGATGTTGCCTTTTATTTGCCTTCTACCCGCTTCGATATTGATTATTCAGAAGATACCCATTTTTTGCGCACCTTTTAGCCTTTTCTTGTTTACCTTTTACATTCTGCGCATCGAACTCTTTGAGAGTATTTTTACATTCTGTACATCATTTTTGTTACCTGTTGACAGGCATTTTTAGTTCTTGTATCATTATCCTTTTGTGCCTTCTTTTTTAACTCTGAGCTTTTTTTTGGATGTGCCTGGGTAGCACAATTCTTTTCAAACCCGCATGTGAAGACGGCAGCGCTGGTTCAAATCTTACACTATGTACATACTTATTTCTATTCTTAATCTTGTGGTGGATGTATATCCCAGTGGGCATGTATATAACAGAGTCTAGATCTGAGCTGGAAGAGTTAGGTGAGGGGGAAGTAACCATAGGCAGCAAGGTACCAGAGGAAGACAAACGAGGTCAGGCTGCAGAAAATTTGGGGAAATTTTGTGTCAAGCAAATTTCTTGATACATAGCAAACTAACCTGGACAATGAATCATCATCAAATTAAACCAAGCAATTTCTCGAAAAGCCTTCTTTTCGTTTCAATCCAACCGAACATGCGTCAAAAATTATGCCAAAATGCGTCATGCAGCTAGAGTGCGGCAGGGAATTTCTTCTTCCTCAGTCAGCCACTTCAACCAAAAAAGCGTACCTTGATTTATCCTGGTATAGTGGATCGGATGAGGAATCTAGAACAGGAAAAAGTCATTGGCACCCTTGTTTATTAGAGCCGCAAGTATTGCTGGAGATGGACAAGTCGATGAAATAAGAAATGTGACTATGCATGTTTCAAGGCGCAGGAAAGCTAGATGTTGCTTCCCAATGGTTCTGATTAGCAGATTGGATATAAGCTTTCCGTGTTCGAAAAGCTTAACTATTTGAACAAATTCACTGTTTTGATGATTTGTTTTATTTAATAGAATTCAACATTTAGGGGTTATAAATATCTCAATATGAATTTTTCTTTCAAAAAAAGTATCTGAATGTCCCGATTAGTTTCAACAATCCGAGGCTTCTCAATGTTTGGATTGCAGTCCGGATTAATTGGTTACCCTACCCTGCTTGTTCATGTCATCACCGAACCGTGGTCAGCACGGAATGGTAATCAGGGATTCGACGGTTTGTATATTAAAAAGTTTGTTGAACTAAAATGTTTGTAATTACAATTTTTTGAGTAGAACATACATACTTGGAAAACAACATGGTTGGTAAATAAATAACCTTCAGGTACGGACGGAGTACCGCTTAAAAACGAATAGCGCGTACAGATATGCTTGACAGGGGATTTATGCGGATAGAAAGAAGGATAGTGGCAGGTCCGGTACATTACATTTACATATCCTAACGTCTTAGGCATACTAGCTTCAGATCTGAACTCGGTGAACTGGCACTTCATTCGACTGTTTACCACTATGGTTGATGATAGATTAGAAGAGGGGTAACAAGACGATAAGGACCGAAGCTGCCAAGCGCGTAATCTGCGAATCTTCGACCATGGTCTCGACCTCCCACCGTCCTTGATCTAATTGAAAGGGTTTCTGGCTTGTCCGCGAGCAAATCGAGTAATTTAGGCTTATTAACAGGGTTCCGCAATTTCGTGCATCGTGGAACGTTCACATTCGGGATGCTACCATGGGTGTATCATATCCGCATCAGGAATTCTGTTCTCAAACTTGGATCTGTCAACGTGTACTATTGAAGTATGGATACTCCCGTGGCGCGAAAGCATGGGTATCTCGTCTTTTTCTCATGGCTTCCCTATCATCCAGATTCTATCATTCGAGTTCATCGCGTGTTACTGCTGTCTGCAGAAATTATTTACATAATTTGGGAACGGTAAGCAAGCACCTTAACAAACAACCTTATTGGAATATATACAACCTAATTGGTACAAGGTCCTGTAAGAGATAGATTGAAATTTACATAAATTCAAGCCACAACCTACCAAATTCATTAGACATGACCAATTCAAGACGTTCCTGAAAATCAAAACAAGAACGCTTTTTTACCTTCTTAGGTATAGCTTACTTCGACGGAGATTGATCCGAGAGATTGGCATGTTCGGCAGGGCTGCAGACCCTTGTTTTGCGCGTACTAGGATTGTTTAGATTAGATTGTGAGAGTTTACTCGATGTGGGCGTGGGGTCTAGTGGAGATTGTGTTTCGAGTTGAGTGATGGTTCATCTGAATTGGGCATTGTTGCTTAATATGTTTTTTTAATTAGGTTTTGTGAATAACTGCAGCTGCGGTATGGAAAAGGAAATTTGTTGTGTATGCGAAAGCAATTTCACATGCAACACCATGGGTGGGACATTAGGGAATCCAACGAGGAATGAGATAATGAACTTTGATCCCACCACACATGTGAATTTGCCTATTCCGGGTCGCACTTCTGAGCGGGATAATACCAAGGTTTTTCAGCCCTTTCTTTCTTTATCACCTGAAAAGAAAAGTAGCTGCATAATTTCGGCGCGAAAGATACATTGGTAACCCAATTGTACCAGTCGCAAACACCTTGGACGGACACGTGAGGTACAGGATGGAAATTACAGGCATGTAACCTACAATTTGACCGGTATCTGCTCCGAAATTCTCGAGTATAGCCACGGATTAGATAGGCATGTTGCAATTACTACACTTCGATATTCTTGCAGTTATTGATGCGACAGGATATTCATGCTACCCGTCCACTACTCAGCTACTATGGTACTCACTGCAGGCAAGTTCGATATCCCGAATGGCGACGTGCCTTCTCTGGCGACAATCATTCCCCCGACGGCGTCGGAAAGATGGCATGGACTTTATAACTTCCGGTTTGCATGTACACAACACGAATTTCATGCGTAGTTGCTGTCACGAATCACACGTTTATCATGCTGCAGCATTAATATTCTCACAGAATGGCAGATCATGAGGAATCAAGGTTCGAACTCTTCCCAATTAAGCGAGCCCCCTTTCAATCTTATTTCCCTTCGCCCAGTTCACATCAGATAACTCTTCACCCTGTTGAAATAAACTTCGACTTCGGAAAGGTCTCAATGTTAATTCGAAGGAAATCAAATGACGAATATGTAAGGAATAGAACCCCTGTCTCGAATATTCTCCTCAGATTATCAGATCAAACCATTCCACACCACAAACCTTCCCTTCTAATCCTTCTAGAATTATCAATCCTTCTATCTCAAACCCTCCTCGCCACAGACGCGCGTTGTACCTCACACTTCCCAGATACCTTTAATTCAAATCCCCGCCAAATACAACACAAATAAAATAATGTCTCTCGATCTCACTCGTATCAATTTGATGCACGTAGATCGAAAGGAAGAAAAGTTTCAAAACCTCCGAAAGTCATAAAACAAGGCTGACTTGGCCTCTCCTTGTCTCAAACTCTCAATTCGAGCGCTTGTGGATCAGTGGATCTGCTTGGTTTGATGGAAAATTGGAGATGCTAACTACCGTGAGTACCAAGACCAAGTACTCCACAAATTGGTAAATCAGTGGGTCGTGAACACGAAGTCGTGAAGTCTCGTTTTAATCGTTTTGACTTGGATGTATATGATGCGATTGGATGGAGGGGATGGGAATACTTTATCGATAGAATGTTCTGTACTCTGTGGATAGAGAGGGATTATTGTTTGATAACTCTAGTTTCAATATCTTTCGATCTTGATAGGGGATCTGAGAATACAGCTCCAAACCTGTATTCTCTTAAAGCCGGCCGAAGAACCTAGTTATCTCGTCTTTGTTTGTGCTCGGTGGTGGTTCTGCAACTATGGTCTCAACTTGGACATCGTACGAGTGTATCACCCTTCTCTAGATGAGATGTGGATTGGAAGCCTAATCCATATTCTGGAACGGAAGTTGGTTTACGGCAAATCCTCGCATAGAAGAAGACAAGTGTACCATGCTGATTTGGTAACGAAGAAGAGTGAACAAGACAAGCCAGTGCTGTATCGAGTTTTTCAAACAATTACGCCGTCGAACCAGAGTACTAGCCTTTGGGAGTTGGAAGAAGTCTCTCCCATCTGTCTTAGCTATGAAGGGTGCAATTTCGGTACATACCATCCCATCTGCTCAATACCTTTGACATAGCAAACGCTTTACGGTGATACATATACAATTGGGAGTATCTACCGTTCCATAGTGATTTTTCAGGTGGCACTTTCTCCTAGTGGTGAACTGGAAAAAATTTCATTATTTTATCGTGCCAATTTAAGAATTACTTAGGGGTATAGACGGCGACTTTACATGTAGAAAGGAGACAACGATTCCTGATGGAAGTTCTAAATCAAGCCCAATAATACTACTAGTGTATCATTATTAGGAAGATTTTCGAAAGTTTATCTCTGTATGATATTAATGGCTGTACTTTGTGATTTGTAGCCACCACTATAGGAAGCTAGATGCTTTGCGAAAAGGTCAGAACGACTGAAACATAGGCATTTGAACTCTCATATGATTTAATCTGCCTAATCATTTCGAATGAATCGAGAGTGTCTCTAAGTTATCGGGTCGTTTCCAGAGTTGCCGAAGGATTTGAATCATTTGATAAACCAAAAGCGTATCTGCCCCAACGGTTTAGGATACTATACCCCGTTCCTAGCATATACTCTACCATCATATACTTCCCGTATAATGTCCTTCGTATCTTCGCGTCATCAATCGGAAGCCTACACATTTATCAGCCTCGAGATAGCTGCTCCCAATAATTTGAGAACCCCTGTGAGAGTATTCGGGGTCTGAATTTTATATGTAGAACGATGCTGTCAGGGCTATTAATAGTATATCTATCATCATCAACTTTAGCTATAGACCTTATCTCCTCCTTATCGATGAGCAAGTAAAAAAACGACGTTGTTCTAGCGAATATTGCCAGTCAAATCTAAAAGTTGAATGGACAAAGCTGCGAATTAGCTAAGCTCCCAGTCAATCGTCACACACTACTTTTGTATGAAGATACTTGGTATGCTATTTCCAACAACAGTTCCTACATAATGGCCTTGGGTTTCCTTCTTGACAAGTTACTGTGTCCTGTTATACAAAATGAATGAATAAATACATCTTTCGGCGTAGTAGATGACCAGATTCACAAATATTCGCTTCATTATCAATCCAAGGTATAAAGAACACGCCGATTTCCTCGCATCAATAATGTATTTTAGCACCTTCAATCCTAATTACAAATCTTACAGAATAATTTTATCGAAGCAAATGATGATGCTATCCTCTCCGATCCTCTAAATGCCAACTTCAATCCAAGTTTGAGTAATAAAAATCGAAGGACTGAGAGTATCTACTGATACTCAAGGCGCCATCACTGAAACTCCTCCTTCTTCTCAATCACACGCGCATAATTATATCCAGTACGTAATGTATCTGAATAGTTGTATACTGCTGGACATATACACATTATCTGGATAGTGCAGGTATGATACTGGAGTTTTATTCCTTGAACGTTGGTGCTTTACAACATATTCAACAATTTGGATCGTGGTCCAACGAAGAAAAGTCTTCGAACTATTCAGCTTAATCAATCATTCAGCTTCCTGATACATTGAATCGCTTTCAAGTAGATATAATTTCAACATACTTAATCAGTCTGAGTATTCAAACTATCTAGAGGTAGTGAATGTTTCTAAATATATAATCCCTTTTGAATACTAAAAGTTTGCTTTGGGGCTGCTGATCCGGATTGTTGAACATTCTGGGACGTCATCTTAACATAATTATCTCGGAGGAATAAAACAAACCAAGCTGCAGCAACCAAACCTCGTTCATGAATGTTTCTTTGGCATATCCGTGGTCTGGACTTGACAAAATGATAGTCGATTTTGTGATAAATAATGCAGCGTCCTTTTCTTCCAAGAAATATGACAGTCCCTTCATATGTTTAGGGGTCACATAGACTGCGAGCATTACGCTTAAGAAAGTGTGCCGGTAGAACAGTTGGATTGCCATTGCTTGGAAGCAGGTGCTAGAGCATACCGTCTTGGAGGTCAAGTGGTAGATGGACTTCTGTATTTCTGGAACGGGTACCTGCAGGGTGGATCGTTGTTCTGGTAGATAATCCATGGAAAATCTGTTTATAGGTTGGATAATTGAAAAATCTGAATAGATGGTTTGTGGAATGGGTTATTTGTAAATAACCTGCAGAGCAGACGGGAGCTTTAATAGATAATCTATAAGGCGGATCATCCATGGATATCTGCGGACTGCGGGTTATTTCTGTGCAGCGTATCTGTACCTGATGCATCTTCCTATCTCTGAATCTCCGATACCATTCCTCTTCTGAACCTGTTCCCTCCTCCGCCCAATTTAAGATTTACATGTTGATGAGTGTGAATCGTCGGGCATATATGCTTCGGAGACGGTGTTCTGTGATCGTGGATGTGGATATGTAAACAGGATCGTGCCCTGCCACCGACAGAAAACCCCGATGAACAAGGAAGTTATCTTGCTAGGAGAGAAGGTCGAGGAACTGCTTCCACATACACATCTGGAAATGTTGTAGGGTATGAAGTAGAAGGCGGCGGCACAGAAATATGCAAGAAGTTATCCGAATACAATCATGTGAAATGCATCAATCGATGCCAAATAGACGGAATTCCTTTCCTTGGATCGGAAAAATGAGCATTTTTATGGAATATGACACCAGAAAAATTCGAGTAACAGCAGACACCAACTTTTGGAGCTCCTATAATATCAAACATATCCTTATCCACCAGCTAGCCAGATTCATCAACCAGAGACATTACAGATTTCCTGACCTCCATAGAACTTAGCTCCTTAGTCACCACGATACTAATCGCCGAAACAGATATCTAAGCAATCCATCCTGTGTAGTTCCATATCTCAACTCACTGCATGAGGTAAAAAGCTATTCCCCGAGAAGATGAAAATCCAAGACTCCGGATTGGACCCTCAGAAGTCATAGTTTTTAAGATTGTCCGACTTTCCAACTCCGAGGAATATTCCGCTCGCTCCTATTTCGTACAGCGGGTCCCGCTCTGCTAGGAATCAGTCCGAATATTGGGTTGGCTTACAAACTCATCAACACGACGCCGAAACACGCTAAACCTATTTCAATCTTTAACTTTTTTCGGGCCCGATGCAAATGTGGATTCCGAACCGTCCATTTCAATTGATTCTTTCAATCAGATAATCTCAAGTCCATCGGGAATAGGAAATTAGAAATAAGCTTATTTGTAATGGATATATGTGTTCTGGAAAAGAATGGATTATTCAGCGGAATATGGTGACCGAAAGAGTACTTCCTAAATCTATGGGGGTTAATTCGTCTAGACCCCTTTCTACCACGATGGAAATACTCTCTACCAAGCTAACTCGTAGTCTACGGAATTCAACTTGTGAAGATCAGTGCTTCAAGGACTGAATGAAGGTACCCACTCCACCTTCTGGGGTAGATGATGTGGAGAATAATATGAGTATTATAGTAGAACCCCGTTACATCGTATATAGAAAATCAAGCTACTCCTACTCAATCCGACATATCAAGTTTCAAGTTCTGAAATATTGATAAATTTGTATTCTTATGATCAATTTCACTCTCTAGTTTCAAAATTTCAACTTCATTTCTCAGAATTTTGTAAATTAATGTTATTATCAAAAATGTTAAAACACTTGTGACGGAAACCCCTGCTTTCCTCCCACCCTTATTATATAAGAAACCTCAGGTACATTAACCATGTCCACACATGATACGATTACTCGGGATTAGTATACGATTTAGGTGACCTGAGGATCAGATCCGGACAAGTACTAGGTATCAATGGTTATCGGTAAAGTAAGATCATTGGAGGGATAAATATGACTTCTTTTTGCCTAGCCATTGCGGCTAGGCCATTCATTTGTGTATATATAGAGTAGCTATCCCCATCTACAGGTGCTCTTCACCTGTAGATTCTAAGTTAAATACAATTGCTGGTCTATAAACACCCTTTTGGTCACAACACTCTTCAAGTTGATACTTTAATATCAAAATTATACAATTTTTTTTTGATATAGACAAAATACCAAATATTCCGATATCCACATATAAGAAATAGGATTTTATGAAAAATGTCCGGTATAAAAATGTCCGGTACAAAAATACCCAGTTTAATGTCCAGTGTAAAAATTACCGGCATCAAAATGACCGGCATAACAGGGTTCTGTTGTACTGTGGGGATGTTGGTTGAGCCAGCATCATCACATCAATATACATGATAGTATTTAAAGATATTTCAAGTCCTCGATGAATTCCACAATATCACTTTGAACATTACTCTTTTCTGCTCTTCATTTCTCACTCAGTTCATATCTCGCCAGCAATATTACATCACGCACTATCAACATCATCATCAACATCAACATCATGCAATCTTTCAAGACTAAAGTTGAATCCGCGCTAGACGCTCGCAGTCTTCCCGGTGTCGTCACCGTCGCTAGCAACGCATCAGGTACAGTATTCTACGCCGCCATACCAAATGGCCATATTTGTATAAGTAAGTAAGCTTACTCACAATCGCAATAGGTTCATTTTCCTACACGGAAGCCCATGGTCTCCATTCATTCAAGGATGGAGCATCTGCGCCCTTAAAAACGGATGCTATTTTCTGGATCGCTTCTTGCACTAAATTGTTGACTGCAATCTCTGCCTTGCAATGTGTTTCGCGCGGTCAATTGTCACTCGATGAAGATGTCTCTGGAATTTTACCCGAGCTGAAAGACTTGGAGATTCTTGAGGGTTTTGATGAGCCTGGTGCTCCAAAATTAGTAAAGGCGACGAAGTATATCACGCTTCGGTAGGTCATCTTATACATGTCTTCCTTTCTAAAGCTTCATATTTGTATTGAATGAATTGTACCGAATCTAACATTCATTTCTAGACATCTTCTCACTCATACTTCGGGCCTCGCATACGATGCCTTCACACCCGAACTCATGCGCTGGAGAGCATCACGTGGAGAAACACCCAGTCTATCCGCTGGTAGCATAGCATCACGCTACAGAACCCCTCTGATGTTCGAACCCGGCTCCGGGTGGGCGTATTCTAGTTCGTAAAGCCCTTCACTCATCACCGAAGATTACTAACAAAATCTAGCCGGACTCGATTGGGCAGGCCAAATGATCGAACGAGTTAGTAAGATGTCGCTTGAAGAATACATGCAAAAACACATCATGGAACCCCTGGGTATCAGCGATTTCACTTTCCACATTGAAAATCATCCTTCGCTGCTCGCACGCTTGGTTGACATGACTATTCGCGACGGAATAGCAACATCTATCAATCCCGGCGGAGCAATAATAAACTCCGAGGATAAAATATGGACACAGGATCAAGTGGATGATTGTGGTGGAGTGGGTGGATACATAAGCATGCCATCCTACCAGAAAATTCTACACAGCATCACAGTTTCGGATGGAAAACTTCTAGATGCAGATATGAATGATGCGTTATTTCGCGGACAATTGACAGATGCGCAGTTGCAAATTGTACATGGAGCTTTGCAAATTGATCAGCTCAAGAGAATTATGGCGCCGGGACTGCCAAAGACAACAAAGGTTGATTATGCGTTGGGGGGTATGATCATGAGGGAGGATATGGAGGGACGAAGGAGAAAGGGGACGATGCATTGGGGCGGGCTTCCGCATTTGGTGTGGTGGATGGATCGGGAAGCGGGGATTTCTGGGGTTTATGGAAGCCAGTTGTTTCCCCCTGGAGATGGACCGCTTGGAGATATGTTTGAGGCTTTTGAGAGGGCTGTTTATGAGGAGGTTGCGGGCTTGTAGTTTTTGAATTTTGCTTGGTTAAGTGTATTGTAGATTTCCTATGTTCGTAAATATAGAAGTTACTCTTTTAAATTTGAGAATTTAATCTGCCTTCGTTTCTTCTACTCCTGGACCCGTAGTCAATAGTAGTGACGGATGGAGTTTGGATTGATGAATCGTTCTTCGCCTCGTTCATATATACCTTTATTAGATGTTTGTTTAAAGAGGACTTATCTTATGATGTTCAATTGCTATCGGTGTTTGTATGAGTGGATATGCAGAAGCAACGAGTATGGATAAATGGGATTTATATTCGAGAGTCTTGAGATAATGTGACTTCGATAGCTACTTATTTATATGAATGCTGTATAGACATAATATATAGAATTGATAGGTATAATTTAATATCAGATAGGTAGATGACTTAAATCAAGAAGCGTGATTGAACCCGTGCCTAAGGCAACACTAGCATAAGGTTATCCACGGTTTTAAATAATAGAATGGAACATCTGATTCCACGAACATGTGTTTTGGGGATGATAGGATTATGTTATATCCCTCACCACTAAGTCGTCTTCAGAAAACCAATAAAATATAAGGCAGAAAAAGGATAACACTACTTTAGGGTATTTGTGGGATTGTGAGACCCAATTAAAGAAAAATCTGTACTCCGTGCTGCTGAATTGTTTATGTCGGTGGGCCTGCTTGAGTGTCGATCAGTGCCAGTGTGTACAGCCGGAAGCTATTCTCCGGGAATTATGAGAAAGCTGAAGGCTTGTGAGTATAGTCAGTATTGAGTTGGATCTTGAATTTGATATGCTCTGAATAAAGGATGGATGGATGACTTCAAATAAATAGTTGGCCGTATTGATGAGATTTTAAGTATGAACTAGATACATTGTGAAAGAACTTAAAACGGTTTTTGTAAGACTACAATATAATAAATAAGTTCTATTAATGAGGGGTTGATTCACACACCAAACAACACCCTTGTTCCTCTATATAGTTGATTTTCTCGAATAAAAAATGATCCCTTGGTTATCATATCCCTGTTTTTATTATCCACCTGCAGTGATTATTAGTGATTCTGCCCTCCTGCTTTTCTGCACATTCCGCTCATTCTGCCCTTTCTGTACTCCCTTGGGCAACTACCTAACATCGTAGCATGACGTAGGTTGAAGCCGATTTAAGCACTAAACCACTTCCAAACAGGCGCATCAACAACCATCCCCCCCATGTTCCATCTCTAACAAGCCAGAAACTCCGTCCCAAATAATATCGATCTCCTCCGATATTGAAGATTTCAGCCCTATACTCTCCCCCAGAGATCGATATCCCATACCCCCTCCCCCCGGTGAAACATATGCGAAAAGTCATCTTATCAATCTAATCGGAATTTCAAACCCTGATATTTATAAACTGGGCGATGACAAAAAGTGGATGAGCCTTCTCGTTCTAGGCCACTGAAAAGAAATATGGAGGGAAATGTTTCCGTGGGGGATGAATTCAAATTTGATGGTGTTTTGGATCCGCCCCCGAGAATTTTCGAGAGGCTCTCCCAAATTGCTGGTTACACTTGGGATGAATCAAAAGAACCTTTTCACTCTAGCTATGATAACTGGTAAGTTTCTGCATCTTGCTACATTTCGCGGGTGAGGGCAGAGGCAGACACAGTTCGAGGCACATGGGCACATGAACATATGTGCAGATGCAAATAGCTGGTTATGTTTGCGGTAGAGAAACTAATAAGGAATCTATAAATAGGCAGGTCAATGGAACTAAACATACATCTACCCAAAGTCGACATATTAACACAACGTCGCGCTCCGATCAAAACCCCTCCCGACCGGGAACCAGAGGTACAAGTAAGACCAGAAACGCGGACAGTGAACATGGAGGAAGCGATTCCGGTACCCTTCACGATGACGACTCCGACCAAGGCAGCATTAAGAGCGCACACACTAGTTCCAGTGGCATGCCAGTCATCGCGCGCATATCATCCCACGCTCTCAGAGAAGAGAGGGCCTTCCATATATGCCAAAATGTAATAAGGTCAGTGGATCCGGACGGCAATCACATTATAAAGCCGGTAGATCTGGTGAGGTTACCGACGCAACAAGGTGATAAAGGTTTTAATGTGGTTTGCATTTTCGAGCATCCGGGTAACAACTACTTGCAAAAAATGGTGGATTACGGGCCGGCTTGGTACAAGGGAAGGAAGGTTGGGAATAGGCATGAGGCATTTCGGAATGATTCATTCTCGCCGGGTGATGTGGTACCGTTGCAAACGTTTTTGGACTTTGCCGTGGGAGCCACGGAGTGCTTGGAAATTCTTCACCATGGTCAGAGGCCTCTTGTACATGGAGAAATAAGGGGAGATGCTTTTCATATGAATGTGGAAACAGGTCGGGTCAAGTTAATCAACTTTGGTTCAGGATTGCGAACTTTCGAACATGGCCTCACAAGTACGGGATGGTCGACATTGTCGAAAGAGTTAGGCGCGAAGAACAAACTTACATTCATGTCACCAGAACAGACGGGCCGCATGCCTGCTGAACCTGATAGTCGCACGGATATTTACTCCCTTGGAATATTGTTTTGGACTATGCTCACCCAACAGGCTGCTTTCGAAGGGGAAACTCCAATGGATATTATACAAGGTGTTCTAGGGCGACGTCTTCCGTTGGTCTCTAGTGTCAGACTAGATATTCCCGACGTCATTAGCAAAATCATCCAGAAGATGACAGCCAAAAACATCAGTGAAAGATATCACAGTGTCAGTGGCTTGCGATACGACCTTGTAGAAGTACGGAGGCTCTTGGGAGCAGGAGACTCTGTTGCCTTGAAAAATTGGCGTATTGCCACGAAAGACGTTTCTTCATTTTTCATACTCCCCTCTATTATGATAGGAAGGTCGAGCGAGCATGATGAAGTAGTTAAAATTATCGACAAGGTTTCTAGACGTCATATCACGTCGCAGCGACAGGATCAAAGCAGCTTATCTTCTAGCTCCAGCTTATCTGATGGACGCCTTGATTCCTTCGACGCGGCTATGGGCGGGGGAGACTTCTCCAGTGAAGAGAATACAAGTTCTGCCGAGGGAAGGTCAAATTCGTTTAGTACTAACAATATGTTATTCCCATCGGAATACAGAAGTCATAGGAGTAACTCGAGTCAATTCCGATCTCCGGGAAATTCCCAAGAGAATTTTTTGGACGAATCTAATCGTTCAAATGTGAGTTTCAAACCTTGGGAGAAGAACAGCTCATTATTGTCTTTGGATCCAAAAAGTCCTACAGACAGTATCAATGGCGAAAGCCAAGCTAAATCGATGTCCGATGGAGTTGGAAGCCTGACCAGTACCCGAAACGCCACCAAATTCCGGCGAAAAGGTAGATGTGAGGTTATAAGCATAGCAGGAGCAGCTGGGCTGGGGAAGAGCTGCCTTGTGCAATCAGTTCATATCGAGGCAAGGCGACGGGGATATTTCGCGAGCTCAAAATTCGATTCGGCTAAACGAACACCCTTCGGACCGGTGCTTAAACTATTATCAAGTCTCTTTAAGCAAGTCTTCTCTGAGAGTAATACCGATACACCGTTTCATTCAATTCTGAAGCAGTACGTTAGGCCTGCGTGGCCACTGCTCCACAAAGTGTTAGGACTACCTGAATTTTTGATCGGTCCCATGTCGACCGCCAATTCGTCTTCTGGGCAATTATCTCAAGGGTACAATAAAAGCCTCAGGGCAGAATTCAAACGCCGTGACTCTTCACCCTCGAGCCAAGGTAGTCTTTACAATCTCACGCTTGGCTCCCAAAGTTCCCAGGATTTTCTTCGAGCAGGCTCCTCAACGAAATCCGTACGGCTGATGAACACATTCTTGGATGTCCTTCGAGTTTTCGCCCAACACAAATTCATCTGCTTTTGCCTAGATGATCTACAGTTTGCAGACGACGAATCCTTAGACCTGATATCCCAAATCATATCGGCACGAATGAAAATGGTTATTATTGTAACTCATCGTCCCGAAGAAACTCTACCTGAAAGAATCAAGGGGATATTAGACCCCCCGGGCGATGAGGGTATCAGTTTGCATGCCCGCACTTTTGGAAAACGGAACTCGCTAACCTCATCTAGGACATGTTAAGCACAATGGCGTTGGAATCACTCGAATTGTGCTCAAGCCGTTGAATGAAGACGACATTTTAGAGTATATTTCGGCCACTCTTTGCCGGCCCAAGAATGAGATAATTCCCTTGTGCGCAGTGATACAATCGAAGACGGCTGGCAATCCCTTCTACATTCGCGAGATGTTAGATAGTTGTCACAGGAAACAATGTATATGGTATGACTACAAGGATAATCTTTGGAAGTACGATCTCGATAGGATTTTCAAGTACTTCGAAACCAAGAATTACAATGAGGTACTAAACACCGAGTTTGTCACAAGCCGTTTGAATGAATTACCTCCAGCTTCGAGGTCCATTCTTGCCTGGGCCTCCCTCGTGGGAACGACGTTTTCATTTGAACTCATTCAAAGACTTATGAGTGGCGAGTTTGATTCCGAGGATAACATGATTGGATGTGTACCAGATGGGCACTATTGTTTGTCACATACTCAACAAGACGCCATTGGTGGGCTTCAAGCTGCTATTCAGGCTTATATAATTGTCGCAACACAGGACGACGATCGATTCCGTTTTGCACACGATCGCTACATCCAAGCTGCGTCGTCATTAAGGGAGTGCAATGGCCCCACGATGCACTTCATCATTGCACAGACGCTTATGAAATACTACAGTGCTGATGAGCGATCTCGAGATGTGACGGCATCACACATCTGTGAATGTGTGGATGTTATTGTTGAAAAAGTACTACACAGACATTCTTTCAGGAAATTACTCTTCGAGTGCGCCACGATTGCTGCTGAGAGTGGAGCTAGACCGACTGCAGCTAGATTTTACGCTGTATGCTTTCGCTTGTTGCAAAAAGATCCATGGAATGACAACAAACCAGACTGCTACTATGACGAGACACTTCAACTCTATACTCGAGCTGCGGAATGCTATCTATATATGGGACACTATCAGGAAACGAAACGAGTATTGGCAATCATCTTCGAAAATGCACAAACTCCGGTGGATAAATCTCCGGCTTGGGTGCTTCAAAGTCGTACCTTTTCACAAGAAGGTGATTCATTCAGTGCGTTTGAGGCACTGAAACAATGTTTGGCAGCTTTAAATATTGAGGTGGACGAAAAACCCAGTTTCGAGAAGTGTGACCTCGAATTTGAACGTCTCTCTTCGCAAATTCGGTCGATTGACCAGAAACTGGTTATTGATAAGCCAATGATGAAAGATTCTAATCTTGCCGCTGTTGGCGCGGTATTGGTGGAAACTATTAGTGCTGCTTTTTGGTCTGATACTTTGACATTCTACCAAATGACAATTGTCATGATTCAAACCCACCTAAAGCGGGGCAGTTTTCCTCAAGCCGGAATTGCATTTCTTCACCTGGCCACTATTGCAATCACAAGATTTAATATGATTAAATTTGCAAGTGACATGGGCAATGTCTCACTAGCCCTCATGGACAGATGGCGGGACATTTACACATTAGGTCGGGGTGGAACCATTTATTCGCTTTTCGTTGGGCATATCCATTGGCCACTCTCCCAATCAGCCGGCCAATTGGAAAGTGCACTCGAGTATACCATCCAGGCTGGTGACAGGATATCGACAATTCTTAATTTCGGTTTTGTTGGCACACTAAAGTTCTTTGCTTCAGAGAACCTGGCAGATCTTGAATCTTTCTGTACTTATGGTTGTGAGGAAGTGCCTGATTGGCAGATGGACTGTAGAGGAGGAACGATGCTCATTGTTCTTCGACAAGTATGCAGAGCGCTGCAAGGTAAGACGATAACTAGCTCTCCAACCGAGTGCCTAAATGACGCATCGCACAACTCCTTATTGTACAAAGCATGGCTGAGAAATGCTATAACCAATAGTGATCGGTCGATCATGATTTATGAAGGATTTGAGGTTGTACCACTTTTTCTCTACGGGCACTATCAAGCAGCCATCAACTTGGGTGAGACCTTTTTGGAACAAGTAGATTCGTTGTGGTCGATCCGAAACACGCGTTTCTTGATGTTCTTTCACGGCCTCTCCTTGGCTGCATCTTTATGGGTAAAAATTAAGGATCCTGTTCGATCGGCGACCAAAAACTTCAACGGCAACGTTAAATCAAGTCTTGGTGATGCATTGGAAGACACCAAGAAAAAGGTTTCATACTTCAAGAAAAAGATCGAGGATTGGCAAGTAGTTTCGGATGCCAATTATTTGGCTTGGTCGAAGTTACTTACAGCTCAGGTATCTGAAATGGAGAACGATCATGGAGGGGCACTGAGGCATTACGAAGAAGCTTTGGACCATGCTTCTTCACATGGCTTCGTTTTTGAAGAAGCCCTTGGCAATTTTCTCCTTGCAGGATTTCTCTTACGCGCTGGGTCTCGAAGGCCAGCAAAGGCTGCATTAGTAGAAACAATTATGCTTTGGAGGCAGATTGGAGCAGGTGGCATTGCTCGGCATATTGAGATGGAACACAGTCTTCTCCTGCAAGGACCTACTCGCATTCTTCGGTATTCCGAAGCTAGCACGCAAACAGATTTCGCTGGTGACTCTGCGTCTGCACCATATCATACACTCGAGGGAGATGAGAGTGACGAGCAACAACGAGCTCATACCAACGTTGCCGAAACGAAAGGCGACAGAATTGGTGCCTGGCAAGGAGGCTCAGCAAGACCTGATGCAGGATCTGGGCTTCCAGCTCTAGATATGCTAGATTTAACATCTATTCTCGAAAGCTCGCAAGTCATTTCCAGTGTGCTTCAGGTTGATGAATTGCTTAAAACCATGTGCGAAATTATATTGCAGAATTGTGGAGGCTTGGCATCACTTGCTGCAATCGTCGTCGAAGAAGATGATCCTGTTGGCTGGAGCATAGCCGCTAGTGGCAATCCAGAGAAAGGTGCTGTGGCTCATATACCCGGGCTACCATTGAATGAAACGGCATTGGTTGCTGAAGGTGTCATTCTTTATTGCACTCGATTTCGCGAAACTGTCTTCCTACCTGATCTCATAAATGATGAAAGATTTAGTAACGTTAGCCCTGCTTGGTCTGCCCGGAATCCTTTGGGAAAATCGGTCATTGCCATTCCAATCTGTCATGGCATCAAACCATTGCTTGGTGTCCTTTACCTGGAAGGCCAACCAAATGCTTTTACAGATAGGAATCTTACGGTCCTACAATTACTAGTCAACCAAATTGGCATTAGTTATTCAAATGCCTTGACCTTGAAAGAAGTGGAGAAAGTTTCGGCTTTCAACAATTCCATGGTTGATGTGCAGAGGAGGGCTTTGGCTAAAGCTTTGGAAGCAGAGACGAACGCCAACTCTGCAAAAGCGGAGGCACTTCACAATGTTAAATTAGCAGAGGAAGCCGCTAAAGCTAAATCTATCTTTCTCGCCAACGTATCACATGAATTACGTACTCCTCTAAATGGGGTGATAGGTAATTCAGAACTCCTTCGAGATAGCGACCTTCGCAAGGACCAAGCTGAGATGGCGGACTCCATTCGTGTCTCTGCCGATCTATTACTCACCGTCATTAATGATATTCTTGATTTCTCCAAGATGGAAGCTGATAAGATGAAGCTCTTCATTGTAGCATTCAATGCTGACGAGATGATACGAGAAGTTGTTCGATCCGTTTCCTATAGTAACAGAGACAAAAGGAGCTCTCGGAATGTGGAAATAATCCAGGATATCAATCTTCCACAATATCTGATATACGGAGATCCCGTTAGACTCCATCAAGTTCTTGGCAATCTCATTGGAAATAGTTTAAAGTTCACCGAGAACGGATCTATCACGGTCGGTGCTAAAACTGATTGGGAAACCAAAGATACTGTTAAATTGACGTTTTGGGTCAAAGATACTGGAATTGGCATACCAAGACAACAGCTCCTCAAATTATTTAAGCCCTTCTCTCAAGCAGACAATTCTACAGCTCGTCGTTACGGTGGATCTGGTCTCGGCCTTAGTATTTGTAAGTCACTCATACAATCCATGATGGGTGGGCAAATCGAACTTGAGAGTGTTGAAAATCAAGGCACAATTGTTTGGTTCTGTGTAACTTTCAATAAGGCCAACCCGGAGGTTTCTGCTGGGGACAGTCAAAAAGAACCCCCGCGCGAGCTTGTACATAGATCCGTCAAAGCCCCAGGAACACAACCACCTACTACCGAGTTTAATGATTTCTCACATGTCAGTCGAGAGAATTTGCGAATTTGTATTGCTGAGGATAATCCCATCAATCAAAAAATTGCGATTCAATTCATGCAAAAGTTGGGGTTCAACATCATTGATGCTTACGACAATGGTTTGGAGGCTGTAGAAGGTGTGAGGCAAAAAGCCCGAGAGGGAAATCCATACCATATTATACTCATGGATGTACAAATGCCTGTTCTTGATGGATATGAAGCGACTAAATTGTTACGCAAAGATCCAAATGATGCTGTTAGAGGTATTCTTGTCATTGCAATGACGGCATCGGCTATTCAAGGGGATCGAGAAAAGTGCTTGGCTTCTGGTATGAATGATTATTTGGCTAAACCAGTTCGCTCGGGTATTCTGAAGAAGAAATTAGACCAATATCTTCAACAGGTAAATTCCACAAAAGATATGAAGAAAAATGCTAAAATTTTACAGACCCCTCTTTCCCTTCCTAATCTCAATGCAGATGCTAAGAAAGTGGCAAAAGATGTCCTTCGGGAAGCAAAAGATGACAAGGATTTAAATGGAGCAAATGCTCCTGCACTTCCAACTGCAAAAGATGCTTTTATAGATTCTAATGAACGAAGTGCTGAATCCTCACCTTCAAATCAAACACCAACACAGAATATTTCTGGAACTGCTACACCTACGCCACTTCATCCTTATGGAAGTATCAAGGATGAACCTCATCGTTTATCAGTTTCCCAAATAGACATGGAAGATTTTAATAAGACACCCACTGGGGAAGGACATCAATTAAGCGATGGGATTTCGGGAGTACACGAGGTAAATGGAACTAGAAGATCTGCAAGGCCAAGCGAAGAATTATCACCTAAGAGTATGCCAAGGGCATGAGAAATTTTGGATGGGAGAAGTGTGAACTGAGTTTCTATATTGGCGGGCGTCAATGGAGTGATGGAGTGATGGGTTATTGATATATATGGATGGGTTGGATGGGTTGGATGGGTTTTGTGTATTATTTTGAAGATGAAGATCAATTCAATTCAATACGAATTCAATACGAATTCAATACGAATTGAATTGAATTGAATTGAATTGAGTTGAATCGAATTCGCATTAGGTTTGTTTATGGAATGGGAAATTATATCAATATTTGATGAGATGAGAGATGAGAGGGAATAAGATGAATATTTAGTTGAAGTCGATGTTGAAGTTGCTGGCGAGAGGGAGAGGGAAGGATTTGCAGATGATGCATTAGAGAATAAGGATCAAGGATGAATGATGAAGGATGAAGGATGAAGGATGAAGGATGAAGGATGAAGGATGAAGGATGAAGGATGAAGGATGAAGGATGAAGGATAATAGACAATGATGTTTATATGATAGCGGGGGCAAAAGCGAAAATGAAAGCGAAAATGAAAGCTAAAGCGAAATAGATTATTTTTTACATAAAGTAAAGCGAAGCGAAGATATAATTTTCTTATAATAATGTTAGAAAAGTGATTGAGATATTTAGTATAGTGTGTAGTGATTAGATATTTCTTTTTGTAATGTGTATATTTTAGATTTGAAATTTATTTATTTAGGACTAGTTCGCTGGCCGGGAGCATTTCACTAGGTGGTTAGTTACTTCACCCTACCCTACTCTATAATTCGTGTCGGATTTTTAACCTTACCACAGGTTTACCTGGGTATTCTTTATCCTTTACTCGATACTGTTATAATAGGGCAGGTAGGGAGGGAGGCCCTAACTCCATCCACTTTACCTGAACAAAAAACAAAGTGGTGATCGATTAGATTTGAGATTTGTGGTGATAGATCTGATGGAGTCTATAGATATATTAGAAGACCTTGACGCTTAATATTGTAGATAGCTTTGCTCAGTAGTTTTTTTTTTTAGAATTAAATCTATATCTATATCTAATTAAATCATTGTTGTTGTCTTTTGGATCTTTATAACCTAATCTAATTTTTAAGAGGTTCGATTTGTTGTATGTCCCTCTACTTAACGTTAACCCTTCGTCGTTGCTATTGAGGCCCGCCCGATAACCTCAATACAAGATAAAAACAATTGGAATCTTACAAGTTTGGAAGTATTTCCGCAAGATCTAGAACTAACGAACCAGCGGTTGGTTATCCACTTTGTAATCTCAGCACTATAGGTTACCGCACTATAAAATTTGAATTCTTTCCTTCTTTCTTTCTTGACGATTACATATACATATCTTGGTGGTTTACTTACCTACTCTTACTCAACAAAAATCAGCGCCCGCCCCGCCCACCTACCTACCAACCTTTCCACCAAAATGACAAGCCACCCCAAACCTCCGCCCTCATTATTCCCCCCATCCGACAACCTCCCCACTACTCCCTCCCTGCACCACCACCCCCTAGAATAATTCCCCTCGAAGAAATCCCCCGTATACCCAACTACCAAGACATCGCATCTACCGACTGGCTCCCTATATACAATACAATAAACGAACTCCCTACAATGAGACAGAAATCCTACAATTTCATCTATGAAATCGTACGGAATTATGTTCGTTTATGCGCCTTCTCGGAGGATTCCATCATTTGGCTTTCTGCTGGCGCTTTAGAGGATGGTGATGCTGATGGGGGATATCATCTCGACAAGAAACTTTGCAAAGACCTTTATATTTCTGATGATGCGAAATCGCTTATTATGAGATTTTGACCTTGTCCACTAGCATTAGGAGATGTACGCAATAAATTTCTTTATTGATCGGACTATATCTTCATCTTTTAATTATTTGAAGGTATGGTGATGGTGATATTATCGCGCCTATTTATCTATATAAATCTAGTCGTTTTTTTACTATTATGGATTATGGATTATGGTGATGGTGATGGTGATAGTTTGCGTCGGAGGCGCGAGTCTCCTTCGTATAATAGAGATATGGATTCTTCAGCTGATAATGAGCGCTATATACAACCTTATGAAGTCCAGTTGGCTTGGGGGGAAGATCAGGAGACACTTGTTATGATTCTTGATATGAGAGGAAGGGAGTAAGTAAGTAAGTAAGCAAGCACGTGTAATATAATACAATACAATACAATTATCTACCAAAAGAATGAATGAAATTTTTCTTCTTCTCTTCTTTTCCTAACAAGATACTAACTTACATACTTGAAGATACCATCCTCATCCTCATCCTAACCCACCCACCCAGCAGCAGCACCTCCGAACCAAATACACCCCTCTCACCTACCAACCACGCCACGCACCCAGTTTCCTCTGTAGACAATTAGATCAAATAAAAGCATTAGATATCATTTCAATACCAATACCAATACCAATACCAATACCAATACCAATACCAATTCCCCCAAGTTCAAAATCACGCCAACCCCTCCAACCCCTCCAATCCCCTCAATCACCCTATATAGATTCCACAAAAGAATGTATAGTAAGTCCTTTTTTCCTCCTTCCTCCTTCCTCTTCCCAACCCCCTCCTTCCCAACCACCCAAATAACAAATAAATAACCTTACAAAACCAAACTAAGCCAAACAAACAATTTTCTTCCTTCCTCTCTTCCTCCCTTCCTTCCTTACATACAAACACAAACACTAACAACCCCAACCAATCAATCCATGAAACTTTCCCTCAAAGGAACCTACGGATAGCCGAATAATTTTCAGCAAAGCGGATTGGAATCGGGATTGTGAGGGAGTTCGGGCGGAGGCCGAGGTTGAAGGGGAGTATGAACGATTGGGGAGACCGGGGGTGTTGAGGTGTTTGTAATTGTAATATGCTATACTATATATACTCTGCGGAGGGAGAAAGGGGGAGGAAGGATGGGGGTTGAAAGATGTATTTTTTCAAATTTACAAGGGAATTTGTGGAAAAATGAAATAGATATAAATATATATAACTTTATTATCTATAAGAATCTAATACAAAGCCAGTCATGTCATACTATGTCACTGACCTCAAGATCTTACACCATCCCTTATTTATACATACATACATACATACATACATCCCATCCATCCATCAATCCATCCATGTTCATCTACTTTCATTTCAAATATAGTAATTGCAAACGCTCCAGAAAAGAAAAAGAGGGAAAAAAAGTCCTCATCTAAAATTTGAAAAGCAGCAAGGTCATTTTGAAATGTAAATGTGCCAACAGACAAGTTCAAGCCAACTTAGCTACTATATGGTGTCATGCACCATATATGAAATGACCTGAAAGCACAACATGCATCTAAAGGCGCAGCCCATGGTAATATGTACTTTTTAAAGACATCTCAAGGTTCAATTGATCCAACCTATTGAACCATATGATATATGGATTACAATAGAATGTTATACCCCAAACTTCTCTTATTCATTATCGAAGCGAAAAGGGTGCTTCAATAATGTATCCTACAAGGAAAATTATGAGCTTCCAACGGCATTTTTGGCTGCGTTGATATATTCGCTTGCGTGAATGTCATATGAAGGAGCAAATCCACCTAGGAGGAAGAAGATGGTTGAAACAATAAGACCAAGGACGATAACTTTTCGAAGGATTGGTCGACGGGAACCGAAATCTGCCCATTGACGTCCACCTTCAGCAAGATAAGTCTTAATCTTTTCAGCTCCAAGCTTAAACCAAACCATTCCACCTAAAGCAATAGCATAACCGAAGCATTGAAGAGGGGTGATAAAAGTTCCCCAGATGATGACGGAAAGGCAGACGAGAAGAATATCCTTCAAAACACCGCAGAGGGTGAAGATGAGAACGGACGTTTTACCGATCTGAGAGATATTGTTAGTGATTAATTTTAAATTCATCAATGAATTTAGCTTACCAAAAATACAACGGAAACGTTCAACATGAATGCGCACATGGCATTTGCCAAAAGAGTCCAGAAACCAACATTGTAGAAATCACCCATGGTCATGGTTGGAATTTCCCAGAAAAGTGCGACGATAAAGTTCATAATGGCACAAACTGGAGCGAAATAGTAGAGAGATACCAATGGATCCATCTTGAACTCGGCAGAGCTGAGGAGTCTTTGAACCATGACAATCCGAATAGCTTCGAAAATGATACCACCAATTTGGAATAGAACACCAATGACAACAAAATCAATTTCTCCAATGGATGCGATAACGACACCGATGACAATGAAGGAGACGTTGAAGAGGGTTTTCATGTTGGGTTCGGCAACTCCAAGGGCCCAACTGGTGAGCAAAACTGCGACAGGAGTGGTCGCCTATAATTAAGATTTAGCATTCTGCAGCTGAATCTCTGACTTCCCAACATACCTTGAGCATCTGAATGAAAGAAACACTTAGATATAGATATGTCAAGTTTCCGCAGATTAAACTCAAACTGAAGAAGATTCCAATTGGCACAATAGCTCTCAAGTATACACGACCCGTCATCTTAACCGTCTTTCGTCCATCGAGAAGATTGGTCGTACGTGCAAGAATTTGAGTCATCAAAGTCGCAAATCCAAGATGCCATGATGTGAGGAAGATTGGGAAGTCTGCAGATCTGTTAATTGATGCTCGCAAGTAGGAATGATGAATCGCAGGAGGCGACCAAGGAGGACGTACGGAATCCGACTGTCGACAAGATCCATTTGTTGAACAGAATCACACTGGAACTGAAGAAAATCCATGTCCTTTGAGGAGGTTAGCAAGATGTCGTTTCAAATTGATGATTGGATGTTAAACTAACATAACATAAAATGCTGGGTGTACAGCAGCCTTTGGAGGCTCTGATTTCTCGGCAGCAGGGTTAACTATAGGAAGGACAGGAGAATCTGCTGATCTGGAGACCTCTCCAGAAACTCGAACTTTTTCGTCCGTCATGATTGCGATTGGTTTGTTTGTTGAATGAGTTGTTGGTGAGATGAATCTTCAAAGTTGTTGGAGATGGGAAAGTAATAGATGATTTTTGGGTACAGAATCAAGAATCACAATCTAAAGGAGTAGGGTACAGTACGTGTGTACGCGTTTTCCCTGTGTGCTTGGCACTAGATAACGATCGGAAAGGTCAAAAATCCTGATGGAGAACGATTGTGGAGAATTATGTTTTTGGTTATGCGACCGACTTTGTTGTATGAAGAGATGGAAAATTGAAAATTCGGTGTATCTAGCACACAAATAGGTAAAATGAAGAAATGAACGGAAGAAGTTGAAGGAGTTGGTAGGTAGGTATTCTTGAGGATGAGAAAAGATGGAAATGATAAGAGGGGAGGAGAGGAGAGAAGAGAAGAAAAAGAAGATTGAAATTGAGAAGAAAGTAGAAAGTAGTAAGTCGTAAGTACCTAGTAGTCTTTTTGATAAATGATTGAGTTCTCGAACTTATTAGATACTGGATGGGCTAAAAGTAAGTACTCCGTAGGTTACAGGTACAGGCACAGGTACTATCTAGGCTAGGTAGGTGCTCTAAGCTGGAGCACTCCATTAAAAATGAACAGCAAGGTTTATGAGTGGAGATGCATTTTGCCCAGCTAGAAGAAAGAATATTGGGGCCAGTTGAAATTATATCTAACTCACTTTGTCAAGTACTTTATGAAGCATATGGTTAGCTGTAAGGGCACTTTCATTTCTGTATTCACTTCCATCATTCAATCTACTTACTAGGTGTCTAATCAATTTAAGTTTACAATCCAAAGCTTATTTATTAATTTAAAACCAGATCGGTAAACTTCTCGAAGAATTTGAGGATTCGAAGAATTGAAATAGGCGGCGAATGATAGATCACCTTTAATTTGTACTAGATGATAACTACTAGGTAGATAATATCGTCTAACAACAATAGGAATAATGTTCTCATTGATGAGGGAGGTCCCGACAAGAGTTTCTTTAGTTCATACGGCCAAAACAGATTTTAGCATAACTACCTATACAAAGTATGACCATAGTTGCGACGTTCCCAATAGTCGAAAACTCAAGAACCCCCCTCCGAAAAGGGACCGGCAAACGCGCAATCATCGTTTGGATCTTCCCCCCTTTTTTCCACTCGCGGCAATAACATGACAGGGTTATGTAAATGTATCTCACTTCTTACTTACTGAGTGCAACGCAAACTACTCGATTGTACCATTTTGGATCACTGTGTGCCAGATTAAGTAACAACCCGAAGTCGGAACCAAATCGACAACATCCATCCAACATCTTTAACATCGAATCATGAAACTCAAGAAAGGAAATTATCTTTGCATCACATATTTACACAGCCTTCTGACAATTTATTGGAGGTTGAAATCTTTGGTAGCAGATCTACAATCTTTTGAATCGAAATTTTACTTAATCTCAGCCTCGTCATCTAGGGACTACCCTTCCATTTGAAGTCCTTACCCGTTTGTTGTAAGGTTCTTGGCGCCACCTCCTGAATGTTAAATATCTTCTCTACTCTCCCCTTGCTGGTCGATCAAAAGTTACTCTTATTAACCATCTGTCAATTGCATCATCAACAACCTCATTATCATTGGCCGGTCCTTTTACCCCTTGTCCATTGACGATAAATCCCATATCCAAATCTAATTAACTGCTTCCATGTTCTCCAGAGGAGTAACGAAAGGAATCAACGTTGTAAATTGGCTACTGTATACTAAATTGATTGATTTACTCGAGAGATTAGTAGAATACGCTGATCCGTTTCATGTATTTCTCTGTCGACGTCAATCCTGGTGTATGACGGATTAAATGTGGATTTCACGGATAGACACCGCAGAAAGGGTTATATACTACCGTAACTTTATATGTTGTGGAGAAAGTTCAATTTGTCTCAGAGATGAGATCGGAAAACCTAAAAAAAAGTTAACTGATACCCGTGACGTTTCCCAGCAATCCTCTTGTCGACTTTAGATTACCCAGCCGCGAATCTCTCAGGATCATATAGTACCTGCAACCGATTTTCATTTATACAAGACTTTATACTTTTTTATATCTGTTGTGATGTTTGTGAGATCGACGGTTTATCCATGTTGATATTCATTTGATGAAGCCTCACTCGGGTAGTCTTCCAGAAGATTGCAGTTTGTAGAACTGTAAAGGAACCAAAGGTAACCATGGAGGTCAGTATCATGCATGATGCCTCCCGAAGGCTTCTTGCAGTTGCGGTAAATAAACGGTTGAGTTGAGAATCTATTCTTGTCGATCAAGGAAAGAAACAGATTTGAGAAGTAGATGCTAGGTAGACTTTGTAGATATATCAATGCTCAATGCAGGTGGTACTTGGTAAAACGCCAAATGTCGTGCAAAGTAGGTTAGCCTGTCTTTAGAGAATGGACAAGTCAAAAATCATAAGCTAACAGACTGGTTTGGAATCTAAAGATAGATTTCAGAGAAGAGACGTTTTGAATAGATGTTCGCAGCCGACGAGGAAGCTACCTAGTATTTCGCTGTTTTGATTGTAGATGAAGTTTTATCTCTTTTACATTCTTTTAATATCTCGTCCCAAACTTCGAGAATCTTTCCCAAGGTTTTCACGCCGAGACTGAACCAATCGATAAGCTTTCTGAACCCATGTCTCTTCCCTTATCCACATCTGGTTGTAGCGTCTACCATTATCCGTCTACCGGAAATTCTAGATCACCAGGATGTCATTCACTACATGAGAGGACGGGAACAATCTCATCCCGGTCAAAAATTAATTCGACTTCCTCAGTCAAATTAATCCCCTTAGACTCTAATCCTGGTAAGGTACGTAGGCTCGTTTACCCTCATTTTAACTACAAGGTACATACCCACCGAGATTCCCCAATCAGCGTCCCAGTTATTTCCACTGCTGTCAATAATATTGCTGCCAGCACGACTGACTGACTGTAAGGGAAAGATACATCTAGCCACCTTTACTTCACAATCGAATACATTCTTAAGACCTTTCCTCCCCCTCTCACTTCAAGGACATATCCAACTCATTTTCAATTCCAACTCTCAAATAAAACACTATAGAATTCAAAATGGCCGATATGTATGTATCCCCTTTGCATTCCATTGATCTGCAACCCCTCATACACCTCCATCTTCTGCCCAGTCAAGCTTTTATTATATCCTCAAGCTAATTGCATTTCGCAGTAACGTAGATGTTCTCGTTATTGGAGCTGGACCAACTGGTCTTGGAGCTGCAAAGCGTTTAAACCAAATCGTGAGCTTTATTTCATACACCATCAACTCAATGGAACCCTTTACTTATCACATTAGCAGAATAATGCATCTTGGATGATCATCGATTCAAACGAAACTCCTGGTGGTCTCGCATCTACTGATACAACTCCTGAAGGCTTCGTAAGTTTTTCCCAAAACTCAAATGATCAATTGTCATAAATACAGCTTCCTAACTTATCATTTACAGCTTTACGATGTTGGCGGACACGTTATCTTCTCTCATTACAAATACTTTGACGACTGCATTGATGAGGCTTTACCAAAAGAGGACGATTGGTACACACACGAACGTGTCTCCTACGTTCGCTGCAAGAACCTTTGGGTTCCTTATCCATTCCAAAACAATATTTCCGTTCTGCCAAAGGAGGAACAAGTCAAATGTGTTGATGGTATGGTTGATGCTGCATTAGCAGCTCGCACCGCTACGACAAAGCCAAAGGACTTTGATGAGTGGATCGTTAGAAATATGGGTGAAGGAATCGCGAATCTGTTCATGAGACCATACAATTACAAAGTCTGGGCAGTTCCAACCACTGATGTTTGTAATTCCCTTTCAACTCTACGATACGAATGTGTACTAATATTATGAAAGATGCAATGCGCATGGCTCGGGGAGCGTGTAGCAGCTCCAGATGTCAAGACTGTTGTCAAGAATGTAATCCTCAACAAGGTCGCTGGAAACTGGGGTCCTAACGCCACTTTCCGTTTCCCTGCTCGCGATGGTACTGGTGGTATCTGGATTGCCGTTGCCAAGACTTTACCAAAAGAGAAGACATTATTTGGAAAGGAGGGAGAAGTGAAGAAGGTTGATGCTGATGCACACACCGTCACTCTATCCAGTGGCAAGACCATTGGCTACAAGAAGTTGATTACCACCATGGCCGTGGATCAACTTGTTGAACAAATGGAAGATAAGGAACTCATTACTTTGAGTAAGGATTTGTTCTACTCAACAACCCACGTTGTTGGTGTTGGAATTAGAGGAGAACGACCAGAGAACATTGGAGACAAGTGTTGGGTAAGTTCACCGCCAATTTTTATTGCCCAAATATTTGTTTTCTGCCAAAACGACGACCCCTCAATATTCTTGGCGCAACTGGCCCATACCCGAATTTATTCCGATGCCTCATTGCTGACACATCTCTTAGCTCTACTTCCCAGAAGATGATTGCCCATTCTATAGAGCAACTATCTTCTCAAACTACTCCCCATACAATCAGCCAGATAAGTCTGTTAAGCTTCCTACCTTGTACCATGCAGATGGTAGCAAGCCAAAGTCTTCAGAGGCTCAGGAAGGTCCTTACTGGTCTATTATGTTGGAGATCTCACAATCCACCAAGAAGGCCGTGGATGTCGAGAACATTCTTAGAGATTCCATTCAAGGTCTCATTAATACCGAGATGATTAAGTCTAGCGATGAGATCGTCTCCACTTATCACAGAGCTTTCGGTAAGCAATTCAGACCTTGGCCTGTTATTTTAATCTTTCAGTTGCCAAACCCACATGTGTAGGCATAGGCTAACCACCCATTTAGATCACGGCTATCCAACTCCTTCCCTTGAAAGAGAAGGTGTATTGACACAGCTCTTACCAAAGCTTCAAGAAAAAGACATCTATTCCAGAGGACGTTTTGGTTCATGGAGATATGAAGTTGGAAACCAAGATCACTCGTTCATGTTGGGTGTTGAGGCAGCCGATCACATTGTGAATGGAGCCGTTGAGCTTACTCTTAACTACCCAGACTTTGTCAATGGTAGAAAGAACACTGAGAGAAGACTATTTGAAGGAGCCCAAGCATTTCAAAACAAAGATTTACCTTCACGCCTCGCCAACTAGATTGGTATTTAGAAGTTCGGAAGAAGGGTAAAGGAGTTGAGGGACGGAGAGAAGTCTCCTAAAATCACTTTATACCTCTTGACTTTAGCGAAGTTGAGAGGATACTTTTTTGATGCATCTAGATTTGTTTGAAATCGACTGATGTTTGCTTATTGCGACTTAGATACACACATATGCGATTCGAACTCGAATATAAATTCTGTTATTGAAAATAGTTAGCGAGGTTCATTTAGAGAGCTTGTTAATTGCTACTCTTTAGAGATAGATTCTAGAAAGAGAATTTATATTTTATGAAATCATTGATGTGTATTGTAAAAGGGATTATTGAGTTGTGTTTGTTAATATTGTTATAATAACATTAACAATAATAGATATGATATCTCATTTTCACAATCTTGTAGTAGTTGAATGGTTTGATTAAATCATATCAATTCTATTCTAATTAGTTAGAGTTCTAGATATCATTCACTTCATACACACTACTTATTTTTCGTATATACTTTAACCTTACTATCACATTAATAAGGGTGCGTTCGGATCGATTTTCAAAAATATTAGAAATATTGGGCTTAATAAAATAAAAAATTAGGTCTAGTATACATTTGAATATATTTGAGTGAAGCTAATATATTTGAGGGATATTTGAAAAAGTGGCAAAAGGGGTGGGGGGATAGAAATAAAAAAAATTCAAATACTTTGTTTAACAACTCCTAAAAGTTATTGTTGATTATTGTATAGGAAAAAGTTCGAATATTTACTCAAATATATATTAGATTCAATATTTTTTATCGGATCTAATATTGTGTTCGGGAAATGTAGATATTTGAGCAAATATATATTGACTGGAATATTATATTTGGTTCGAGTATATTAGGCATAATATATTGGCCCAAATGTGGTCAAATGTGGAAAAAAAATCGATCCGAATATACTCCAAGATGTTACGAGGTTTGCCGTCTAGATCACGTGGAAGTGCTCTAGGCTCTCGAGGTGGTTTATAACTAGGTGTTAAGCAGGGACTTAAGTAATGATAATAATGATATGCAATTTGTAACTAATAGTAGAGTATACTAAATGATTGATCTTGAGTATGAAGCTCTACAAAAGGAAATTTATATTGAATATATAGATCTTCATGCTTTTTGGATTACCCTGGATCACCAGTGATCCTGAGTGATCCAGTATACTTGTTTATATGTTCTGATGGTGTATGCATATGAGTTCTTAGAGTGACCGAAATCTCATAGTAAATTGAGCGAATCGAAACCGATTTGCATATGGCCCAAGCTTACGAAAACAAGTCAGCTGTTACCATCGTAACATATTTTTGATTAAAATTAAATCTTTTAATTTATAATTTGAAATGATAAATTTAAAGAATTTAATATTATTTTTTAAAGAATTTAATATTGTTTTTTAAATAATTTTCTTAACTCTTGTTTTAATTTCTTTGATAAAAGTAGGTAAGATTAAATACAAATAGTAGTTGTTTTTGGGGGGGTTTTTTTTCAATTCCTTCTTTATCTAGCACCATATCTTCTCAATTAAATTGAGATCTCAAAAGAAGAATGAGAAGGAGAGCGGCAATTGAAAATATCTAACTTCTTGCTTTAATTAATCGAGTTGTTCTAGTATGCTGTACATGGAGCTTTATATTATCATTCCTCGATGAACGAATATCCCGATGAATCTGAGTTGAATATATCAATCAGGATGATCTTAGTGTTGGATTATTATTATGTGCTAATAGAATCTCGTCTGTTTATTCTTGAGATATGAGATAAGATTTCAATAGTATAAAGAAGGCCGAGTTGGATATAATTAGCTGACACGCTGACACGCCATTTTGGAGTTGAATAAAAATTGCGTTTCGTGCGAGTGGGATGTTGGTTCTAACGATGATTTGTACGATTTACTGTATTGATGTCAAGCTCGAATGTACGGATAATCAGAATGTCGATTTGGTCGTTCGGAGTAGGAGGTGGAAGATGGGTTTTGTTTGAATGGTTCCGGAAAACGGAGTTTGTGTGGGAAGTGTGACGTACAGCCGGTTAAGCAGCTCTTTAGTTATCGTCACAGTCAGTGACTTTTTTAAGATCCATACGGTGATGAAAATGCTGTCAATGATCCATTGTTCATTCATAAATCATGACCCAAGCCGCCTACTATTAAGTAGTGATCTTATCTTCAGAGCCACTCAGAAGCCTTTTCCTCAAATCCTTTTTCTTTTCCGCTTTCATGCTATCAAGTTGAGTGACTGTCACTATGCTATTCATTGGGTTATCGTTGGTTTCTCCATATCTTCCTTGCTTACAGCATCTTCATTGGCTTTGATCTCGCCTACGATACTTCCTACCCACTGCTGTTCGCCTACATGCGGAATGGTATTCGAAATCGATCCGTTTGAATGTGGCATATTATCAATAGATAGCACCTTCGTCAATGTGTGAGAAAATCTCTGTATTTCTGGCTTTTCGGCCACTTTCGCAAGTAAAAGGTTGGCATATTGTCTTTGAGAGTTTGGTGTTTGACTGAGCGTTCTTACGAACATATCAAATGGATCTTGACAGATACCATATACTTCATGGGGAATTTGTGATCCATAAGCTTGCATAATATCTACCATCGAGTTCCCAATCTCGAATATCTTCTCGAAAATACCCATTCCATGGACTTCTATACTTGTGATAGGTAGTGAAGATATAACGCTCAAGAGAGAGTGGGCGATCTTTAGAGGATATCGGAAAGTCATGCTTTCGTCGGCTGCTCCAGAAGAAAGAAGCCCTTGACGCATCGAAGATTGCCAAACAATTAGGCGCAACCATTGTTGAGTAACGAGTATATCAGCTTTCTGTATGGCAGTAAGGGACACGTGAGAAGAATTTGAAATATTTAGTTGTTGTTGAAGCGCTGTATACGTAAGAGTTGATACTGGTGCATCAGAAGCTTCATTCCAAGAATCGACAAAGTTAGAGTCTAACAGATGGTAAGAATGTACTAGATGCATAAACCCAGAATGAATTTCTGGTGCTTCATAGTCATGTAGTGTTGATGGCAAGGCTGGCGTTTTCGAGAGGGTAAGAGGTTTATGACGCAGAATAGCAAAAGACCTATGATCATGTTAGAACTTCACATTTTGGACAAATCGAGCTTACCTTTCCGTGACATATAAAATCCAAAATGTACGTCTACGACACAATTCTTCAGCTGGATGGAGACCAGAATATTTAAACTCTTCATGTAGCCCTATATCTTGGGCCATTGTCATTGCTTCTCTCAAGTAGTACCAGGATTTCCTAGACTGGTTGAGTTCGAAGAATGCCGTTGACACAAAATATGAAGAAATAACAGCGGACAATGATCTATCATCCACAAAGTCATAACCCTGTCGAACCATGATACATTCGTCTAAAAAGAACCGGCCAGCTATTTCCCACGAAGGTGGCCCTGGAGCTAATATGTTTTTACCGGACATGTGTGTTGAAGTGATAGCACATAGAGAATAGATAAGGTTTTTCTCGTGCATCTGCAGTGGTCGATTGATTGATTCTTTCAGAGTGGGCATATGCACTAATGGCATAATCGGGTATAAGTGCTCAAGAAAGAGGTCAAGGCATGTCGGGATTAGATACATGTAGCTGACACATGTAGGCCTAAACTGATCCGTCGTGAAGATTCCATTTGTCCCATCATTCGAAAGAGGCGATATGTCCGACATGATCGGATGCCAGGTTGGTCGTTGTATATACGTTTGTGCAGCAGAAGAGTTGGCTGCATTCGAAACCCAACAATCAATATCAATATCAATTCTATATAGCATCTCTCAGCTGGGGACAACAAAAGGTGGTACAGATATGTGGCATAAATTCTTGATGTCACGGCTCGCATGAAAATACCTGGAATTTAATCCATCTCCAGATGTCCTTTTGGTTCTGATTGTATTCGCGGTCAAGTTGGAACACAAGGGCTCTGAAAATCTGCTGAGGGAGAAATATCATTACTTACGAGCCGGTTCTGGAACTGCTCCCACCTGAACCTGAGCCTGAGTCACGGGACTCTGCGAAGGTTTTGATAGCTCCGCCATTTTGAGCCCTCAGTTCATTGATCACTCTACCACTTCCTCGCTTTGGCCCCCTTCTCTTAGGTATGTGCTCTCTCTTGCAATTTAATAATGCATTTCCGCATTGCTTACACGGGAGATTCCCATCACATCGTATCCCTTAATTTGTCAATACTCGGAACTCCTTTCGACCAGGGACGGCCGTGAGGTAGGTATATATGAAAGACTCACTTCTTCGTCGACAATGATCGCAAACTTTTCTAGGTGTCGGTATCTTTGTATCTTCTGAAGGCATTCCAAATTCTTCTTTATATCAGAGCGACCTATGATCACTTAAAAGTATTCGACCAATATTCGAGCTTTAATTATCGGTGATCGAACCTCGGAGTTAGTAAATTTGTCGATCCGCCGTTGTTGATATTCGTAAAAGCGGGGAAATTTATGCTAGTCTCCATCGAGATTAGCATCACTACCGTGACACTGAGGGTTAAAAAGGCAAGTTTGTATACAAGGGCGTCGACGGCAAAGATTTGTTTGATAAATGATTGAGATCTATTTCATGAAGTGTATTGTAAGTGCTGCGTGTATATGTTATACTTTTTATCAAAAAAGCCTGATTTAAGACTATAAGCCACCAAAATACGAACAAGTGTGACGACGATGACATCCTTGAACAAAATCCACCAATCGACCGAATTGAACAAGTGCATGTCTGGTACAATAACTTCAGCAGCGGAAGTTAAGATAGCTTAGCCAGAAGTAAATGAGGTGGCAAAAGCTAATCGACAAAGTTGTCATGTGTACATTCTGACTGTAGAAATGTGAGCTTGCGGCAGAGCTTGAACCAGACAAGACTCCGTTCAGGATCCTCTATATAATTTCTTTCTGCTACGCATTGGCCCAATAGGCTTTGATTCTGATTATTTCGCAACTTGAGAACCATGGGAAGGTCTAACACATTGTTCTTAAGGGTTTATATTGCCATCCTTGAGCAAGATTCAAGTGTTTGAGTGCGAGGAAGACATTTTTTTGACTTTAAATACAAATTTGTTATTTGAGGGATACTCTTCCTAGATTCTGAGATTTATAAATCGTGTTTGGCGATGAGATAGGGGCTACAGTTCTTAATAGAATCACAAGCACAAGTCGTAGGAACCTCCTTTTGATTCATCCTGATCATTGGGCTTCGTAGTGTTAACCGTGCTTATTTCGAGCATGTATATAACTCAGGGAAGTATTCAAAAATTGGAAGAAACAATCGGTGAGTTATCTAAGGTCTTGTAATAAATCATGTCCTTAACTTACTGGAACTTGAAATTTTAATGACTTCCGCTAGGAATGAATTATCATCTCTATTCTCCATACCAGAGCACTGCGGAGTAATACAAGTTCCTCCCACTGTAGCGCTTACAAAACTTCGAGACAACAATTCACAATAAAAAGATATTCATTAACCTTACCCTTTTGTCACGGTACGAAAGACAGCTGAGGGCTATTTAATACTCATAGCTCATAACTCGCTTTTCCCTTTGGGGTGTGGAGACTATTCTCCTGTTTACCCGTGACGCAATTAACAATCCGTACTAGCTCTATTAAATGCACGTCTCAGCGCTCCGTAGTGCTCAAATATCACCGGCTAAAAATCGTTTCCATCCTTCTGGATTCGGAATATCGTTTTCTTCAACTGTCCCCATCCGTGGTGATGTTCCTAGTCATCTATGATCAAAGCACTGATAGAACGAGCCAAATTCTCACAGGCAGGAGCTTCTTGACAGGTTCCTCCTGTTGTTCCAATTCGTCGCTATATCTTTCAGCGTCTTTGCGGAAACATACACAGACTTCAAAATATGTCCATTAATACATATAGATAGTATCTGCTGTAAGCCTGATGCTAAGAGTTCTGACATTGAATTCGAAGACCTCTGACTTCGCTCACTGAAGCATTAAACATCACAGGACGAAGATCCTCTGAATGACCTGCAATTGAGTGCACCAAAAATATAATATTTCTATGAAAGCTTCATGTTTGAGGTTACTTGTCTTCTATGGAATACTTTCATAAGAATTCTAGTCTAATCTACCGAACTCGGGTCTGAATATGTGGAATATTTCTATGAAATGACGATTCCATATGCCTCATATGGAAAATTCTCCAAACTAGGGAGTAACTGACCCCAGCCGTCACCAATATCACCCAGTTGTTCGTCATTCCCAATCATCATATCCATCCTCCCAGCCAATATCATTTCCTCCTGCCCTTTATACTCGGCTACCAATCCCTCATGAGGAACCCAAACAACTCTCATCCCGGCTCTTCTACCCGCCTCCACCCCCGGCACCGAATCCTCAAAAACAAGACACTCCTCCGGTTTTATGGGTCTCTCATTCTCTCCCAAGCTCTCATTAATTAACTTCAAAGCCAACAGATAAATATCTGGCGCCGGTTTTCCCCTCCCCTTCTCAACCCTAGGATCATCACCTAAAACTCGTCTCCCCTCCGGAAAAACTTCAAGCAACTTCCTCGTCTCATCTTTACTCGTCTTCAATCCAAAATTATACTTTTCACTACTCGTCGCCAATGCAATATGCACTTTATTACCCTTCACATCACGTGCTGTACTCAAATCCCTGAGTAATTTCTCAACGCCTGGTAAGGCTTTACATTCTGGAAAATGGAGACGTTGCTGTTCGCGTTGTTCTAAGGCGTATTGTTCTTTTGTGATGGGAAGTTGAGCCCAGTCCATGAATACAGAACTAGTGGAACCACCGGGAACACCCATGAGTTTGGCTTTGATGGACCATGGGAGAGGAGGTCGGTTGTACGTGGCGAGAACATGGTTGGCGCATAGGGTATACATGTCTTCGGTGTTTATCAGGAGGCCATCCATGTCGAAGAGACATGCTCGAATCGGGGGAAAACTAAGATGATTGGTATGTTAGCTTCACGTGGGACGGGAAATATTCTCAATGGATTCGGAGATATCTCTCACTAATCCCCCATTGAGCGAGGACAAATGGTTGACTTACTCAGTTTTCACACTCATGGCTGGATGGTATAAAACGGTCGTGTGGAACGTGACACAGTAAGGTTTAATTCTTATCGTCCTTTACAGTTTCGGAATCAGGATGAAAATTTTCCCAAACACCTTCGAGTCTTAGATCTATTGAATATTGGTATCTTTGTAGTATAAAAGAATATCTGGAATTTGTAGCCTAAATAATCAAAATTTATAGATCAAAGTAAGTAGCTCGGGACATATAATTTACTAAAGGGAGATGTACAAAAGTATATGTGAGATTCTATTGACAGCACAACTTCCAGGGTTTACTTCGGGAAGCTTGATGCGGCTGAATTTGCCCCACTCTCTCACCAACGAAAATTCGTTTGTCCCAAGATACCAAATCTTACCTTCTCTTTCAATTTGACCATTAGTACGTGTGATATTTTATTCATCATGGGTTTTCTATTTGAAGAGGATTTTCGGATACCAACAGAAAGCTCCTCTAAATGTCTTACATCCATTGACCATGTCATCGCATAGTTCACCATCCCCATCCTTCATACCGGGCACCTGCTTCTTGAATTTATCCATATAGCTCTCGGCTTGTTTGATTCGCGCATTGCTGCGTATGATTAATCACATTACTTGATCAAATCAGTATTAATATTAAATGTCCGCTGGATTTCTAAATCTTACACACATACCCTTGCTCAGACATTATAAAAATACAGAGAACAAAAAATCAAAAGCAACTCCGAAAGAAAATAAAGCACAACAAAGATATGAGAATTTCTCCTCATTGAATGGAATTTTCAACTTTTCAAGTATTGAAATCAAAAGCTCATATTTGGAGAGAAGAATCCAGGTGTTTTATGAAAGGGAACATCAAGGCTAGTATATATTCGAAATCGAAGATGTCACGTTATGGAGTCTCGAGGTAAAGATGTTTAGGGTAGTAGATATAAGAGAAATAGCGGGATTTATCTACTTAAACTGCTATTCTTCTTCCTAGTCGCTGGTTTCATTGCATGTATCCCGTCTTTGCTGCATGTGGTAGTGTTTTATATCCTCTATGTTAATCGTGACTATGTTATGCATCGACTAGCCCATCAAAGCAATAGTTCTAGCTTTCTCTGATATTTTAAAAAGCTTCCTTGGATCGTTTTAACTACGGTGTAGCTTTAAATCGAAGATTAGAATATAATAAATATAATCATGCTTTGGCTAAATACCTACCTCAACTCCCAACGTGCAGAAAATAGTTGCAGAAATATCCTGTGGATATGAGAAAGTTATCGTTTGTAGCTAGAACTATGAATCTATAGTTATTTTTCAGATTGTCAGTCTATTATCATCCCAAAGTAATCTACACAGCATGATTTGAAAGCCTCACCTCCTCTGCAGATCGCTCTTAATCATTAAAAGTCAATATCAGTATCTTCAGAATCAAAGATAAGCTATACTAAATGAAACCCGTCTAGACTAACAAAACTGTAAAATAACTCGACAGTGACGCAATCTACAATTAGACACAAACTGCCGGCATATCAATGAAGTACTCAAGTATCCTAGTTTCACAGGAAACGGTATTACCATTAAGGATTCAAAGATGTGTGATCAACACAAAAGTAATCAGATAATCCCTACCATCATATAATATTATTTTCACCAGTATAATAATTCTATTTGTGGTGAATTATTTCAATTTATACCGAATATAACCTCTTAAATATAGAGAATATTTTTTCAAATTTGTGAGTAAGTCCAGTACTGTTACGAGGTTTGCCGTCTAGATCACGTGGAAGTGCTCTAGGCTCTCGAGGTGGTTTATAACTAGGCGTCAAGCAGGGACTTAAAGTAATGACAATAATGATATGCAATTCGTGACTAATAGTAGAGTATACTAAATGATTGATCTTGAGCACGAAGCTCTACACAAAGGAAACCATCCTGATTATATAGACCTTCGTCCTTCATTGGATCTCTTGGATCCTGAAAGTTTATGGACCTTCGATTCGTATGGACCTACGATTTGTATCCCTGAATATGCAGGGTCCATCACGTGACTTGGATCAGACTATATGTCCAAGCTTGCTAAGGGTGGGGAGATCTCGTGAGGAAGTTGTCATACAATTTTGTATGTAAATTTCCTTGCTTTTCCATAGGGTCGAAGCTTATACGGACAGGTTGACTGTTACCTTCGTAACACTTCGCTCCCTTCGAGCCACGAAGCATGAAGGTCTATATAATCAGGATGGTTTCCTTTGTGTAGAGCTTCGTGCTCAAGATCAATCATTTAGTATACTCTACTATTAGTCACGAATTGCATATCATTATTGTCATTACTTTAAGTCCCTGCTTGACGCCTAGTTATAAACCACCTCGAGAGCCTAGAGCACTTCCACATGATCTAGACGGCAAACCTCGTAACAATTAGGAGTCAAAAGTTAAAAGATAAAAATCAAAACATAAACAAAATAATAAACTTATAAAATAAATAAGAAAATATATTCTCATCTATTAATACCGAAGTATACAAAATGAAGGGATACATTGTTGAGATACTAATATCTCACAATTAATATATATAAACATCGAACAATATAATAATCTATCGCCTCAGATGAGTGATGCCACGGCTTCCTATGCATATGCAAAATCAATACCAATATTATATGCAATTCCCCATTAAAAATCATAGTTTCGTAAAATTTGTCGTCCGATAGTCATTTACCACCTCCCGTAAAACGCCCGGATTGCACAGCTTCAGCCTGGTTCATCCCTATTTGTTGTCCATCTAACTCCTCAATTAAAATGTCAAACCTTGCACCTGGTGCGTGTTTTCTTCGCACTACTCCATTGGAGCAAAGAATCGACTTGCTTCAATAATATCCTTATCACCATTTGCAAAATCCCAGCCCACAATCGTTGGTGTTTGACTACAGCATATGATCCTACGAGCATCAAATTGAAGTTTGAAGACACGAGCATGCGTTGGATGAGGACCACCTAGGGGCATTCCACGATTGGGCATTGTTGGAGGAATTGGTGCAGCAGTACTTGTTACCGGTGCTGTAGTCGTATTTGAATCATTGCGCAAAGGAGGCAGGTCAGATAAATCGCAGCCTCTTGCCTGTAGAGCTGCAACAAAAACAAGATTCATCAAGTGCTTTGTGTGATCTGTCAAACGATTGATAGCAACTCTCAAGTATTCGTGAAGCAGTAAATCTGGGTACTCATTGAGCGTTTGACGTAGACCTATTGCACCAGCCGCAATTGCTTTGTCAACTTGGTCCTCCGGGGCAAGCTTAGAAATATCTCCCAAGGGTGACTCGTCACCTGCTGATCCAGGCGTCAGCCCCAGGAGCCATGCTGCATTTTTGTTGGGAATGCTTCGAGGTACTCTAGCCCACTGCCTGATTGCACTTCGGGAACCTTCCTCTTGTCGGAGAGTATGCTGAGGCTTCCAGACACCTTCTTTATCCCTTCGCCATATATGAATCGACTCATCATAGGATCCCGAGACGATACGACTATATTTGCAACCTCCACCACCCGGTGGTAATTTAGCACCAAAAGCAGTGATATCTTCTGGCTTTGAGGACCCAGAATTTTTGAGACGACCTTGTTGATAACTCTGATCGACCAATCCACCGTTCACAGCCTTGAAATATTCTCTATCAATCCGCTTTGCATCCTCTCTTTCCTCTTCCGCGCTGTATGGTAAATCACCAAATCCAGCTTGGACGGTCCTCACCAAGTTCGTATGACCTCTAAGGCTGGCTACTTCAAGACCGGATTCTTTGTCGAAGACTTTAACCTCGTTGTCACTGCTACCACTCACTATACGACGACCATCGTATTGAACGCACGCGATTCCCTTGTTATGACCCAATAGGGTTCGAGTGCAAGTGTTTTTTTTCCAGTTCCAGATTTTTACTGTTCGATCGCCTGAAGCAGACACGACCTCATCACCCAATACTTGAACGGCGTTAACCGCAGCTCCATGACCTTGTAATGTGCAGATATTTGTGTACGGCGGTATGGTGGGACCCGCAGAGGGATTGTTTTCGAAGCCAAGATTTGGTATCTGGATGGAAGCTGATTCGTTTATGATACCTCCGTTGATAGGTCGGCGATTGAATACTTTGATAGTTTTATCTTTCGAACAGGTGACAAGCACACGTTTGTCAAATTTAACATTCAAAACTGATTCTCTATGTGCTGTCGTTAACCTTTGCACGATCTTACCTGTCGAAAACCGCCAAATGATGATCGTGGCATCACTGCTTCCAGAGACAATAAGATCTTCTTCTGGATCAGGGTCAAACTGGAGGCAGAGTACTGATCCGAGATGTTCTGCCAAGGGAGGAAGAGCAAGGCGTCTTCTCTCAAGATCCCAGACTCGTATGGTTTTATCACGGCTACCACTGACCAGATAATTCTGAGTATGCTGAATAGTATAGATACACTCTGTATGACCCTCTTCTGGATACATAGGATGCGGTAATTGAAAGTTGGTAAACTTTCCAGCTTCCCAATTGGCTTCTAGGCGTCTTCTTTGGGTATAGAGATAATGCCAATTAAGTTTCTCTTCCCCGTCACTACGGTCTACAACGGCTAGAGTGGGTAGTTGCCTGGGACGCGAGACTCCTTTTCCTTTTCCTCCAGGCATAATTCTCTCTGCGCTAGAAAATGAGGTCTGAACATTGCCACTATCCATTGGTAAGACTGGTGCATCCATCATGATCGCGTCTTCCGCAAGAGGACTTTGTTTGATTTCCCTTGTGCTTGCCGGTCCAAATATTGACGTCTGCTTCATCAAGTCCAAGTCTTGATTGTCGTTAGTCCGATCAGGACTAGATACCATACGCTGTGAATTGGTGGTGAATTTGCGCTTGGCTGGAAGATTGAGGTCGAAGCCGGTCCTTGAGCTCATCCACGAAGGTTGTCCCCCCGGGTACTCGAATTTCGTAACCTCTGATCTGATAATTCTGAACCCATCCCGTATATATAGTTGTTCCCACAATTTTCGATCGAATGCTAACATTTGCCAATGTCGCGAGGTGCTGGCGGTTCTTATTAGTGAGACTGGGTCAAGGAAGCTGAGAATCCTCAAACAGATCTCCGATGGTAAGTGAAAGAAGAAATCAATTTTAAGTCGAGGTTTAAGGCGCCCAACAATATCCCATACTTCCGACGTTGGTAATCTACTCATGATGTCCAAAATATATTCTGCAGCGAATGAATGAATGTGAGAACGAAATACATCACACGAGCACGAGGCGGGTTGCTACTTACCAGCACGATCTTCTGGAGATAAATCTGCAAGCCATGAAGGCAAGTCCTCGAATTTGAATTGATTGATAACAGTCAAAGGATGTTCACTATAGCCTTCATCAGGAGGAGACCTCCGAAGAGAGCTAGACATGACTGATGACAAACTTGGCGGCAGTAGTAGTAGTAGTAGTGATTTGAATGATTAAGTTTATTTTAGATTTTGTGTTCAAGGGATAAATTAAGAAGGGACTTGACTTGACGAAATATGAAAATCGCCTAATATTAGGTATGACTTATGAAGAAAAGGATTTCGTGGTACAAGTAGTAGGTAGGTAGGTAGATAATTTAATAAGGTTATGTTTCTGGGTGGAGGGTTGAGTTGTTAACGGGCACATGTTGATGAGGTAGCACTCCTGCGCTGCACGACTGCACACCCTGGCATGCGTGTTCTGGCAACGATCACGCGGCGGGCTAGGATACAAGGCTGGAGAAAAATCTATGCTGTGGAGTTCACCAATTCAGAGTTGTGCCTCATGCCCTCATGCCTTGTGCCTTGTCCTCTTTTTTTTTTTACTTTCCGGTGAAGATGATTACTTGAACAAGCTAAACTAGCATGTATGTAGGTAGGTGCCTATGGAGTGCGGAGGGGTCAAAAATAGATTAACATTTTCGATCAAAAACCATTCACAAGATGACAGAATTGGGTGGTGAGTGATTGATGGAAGCCGTTAGGAAGGAAGGGAGAAGGAATGGAGGATCAATCACACCTCGGAGATATAATTACGGAGCCTAATTAGGCAGTAAGTAAGTATTTCATGTTTTATCGAAGGAAAAGGGTTGGTTAAATGAATGGACGAAATTCCCGGACGGAGATGGAATACCTATTTAGGTGTGGGTAGGTAATAAAATAACAACAGGAGCATCAAGCATCGATTTTTGTGCTCTAATAAGATGAGGTGTATAGATAGTATCGAAAGTATAGATACCTGGGTAGCTTCACCAGTTCACAACTTACCTAAATCTTACAAATCCCTTATCAGAGCGAGCAATCTGCCTTATCGACATTCATTGGAAGCTTACCACGAGTAAACATCTGTAAATAGGGGAGAGAGCTACTAGGGACGGTGGGTCTGTACTGTAGAATGGATATGGATATGGATACAATCAAAAAATACTATTAACAAGATGGAGGCGAAGATTAGAGGAAGAGATGAATTGAGCAATATCTGCTAGTATATTCAATACAGCCATACCTAGATACTAACAATCATCACACTTTAGGTTTTGAAGTATAGTATTGGGAGAAAATGGGTTGATGTCCAGTTTCAGGATAGATTAACCTTGGGTGGTTTGTAGTAGAACTTATTGCTGAATCATATCTATACACCTAGCTATATATACAGATTAACATAACATACCTAGGTATAGATAAATACATACAAGTGAATAGAATATCTTTCCATCTAATAAATTGAAATCACCTCATCCGACCGATTTCGTTTCTTTGGAAATCTTTTACACATGTGATGCAAATGTTCACATCCTCCTTCCTTCCCTTCACGCAGCCCTTTGAAGAAGGTCGACAGTTATTGTTTAGTAACTTAGCGCATAACTTAATCCATCACACACTAACCCATGGCAAAGCAACACTTCTGAGACAAGAACTCAACCCTCTCTACCCACTCACCCATACAAACCAACTCAAATTCAAACCCACTTCCCACACGACCTTCACACTCACAACCTAACTAACCTCATCGTACTCCTCCAAACCCTGAGAGTTCCCATCACTATCCCCTGATCGAAAAAAATCGAATGGCATACGGAGTAGACGATTCACGATTCAAAATTACACAACTTGAGCAGGCAGGCAGTGACCGTCAGTACTGAGTACGGAGTGCTGGGCACAGTAGGTCCTTTCGCATACTTTGCACTTTGCACTTTGCACTTTGCACTTTGCACATGGATGACCCGCAATCAAATGTGTTCGAATAAACAAACTTGAAATCCACTCCTACTCCCAAATTATTATTCAGTTCCCCACCGAGACTACCAAAACAACCCTTCCAACGAAAACGTATTGCGAAAGAAGACCGCACACCGCAGCACTCGACTCGACCAGACCACCTCCATCCACCTGCAGTTCAACCTAGTGACAATTTATATTGTCCAGAATAGATTTATTCTTCCCCTTTAAGTGGAAAAGCGGAATATTATTTTAATTCAAATTATCACAATTTAATTCATCGTCAATCATTTGGAGCTTCATTCAACTTTCATGTCATCTGGCGGTGTTGCCATTCGTTTGGCCCAGTCTCAATCTCATGGACCTCTTTTGAGAACGAATACAGCGCCTGTATTCAACAATCGAAGCGCCGAGGGCAACGGAACTGGTTTGAGTCAGACAATGAGCCATAACTCAAGATCGTCGCAGCTCACGGGCTCGACTGCTTTCACGACTTCCTCTACGACTTCATTAAATTCTTTATCTACTTCTGCGACACTTGTTCCGGCCCCGCTGGCGATGCCAGTACAAGGCGGAAATGTAGTTGCGACGAACAATATCATTAACCAGAGAGCCGACGCCTCGAGATCACTATATCAGATATGCGTCAATTTACGACAGAGATTAGCACAAGTTCCGGGATTCAACGGTCATTTTGTTGATTCGGACGATGAAGATGAAGCCGAGGAGGATATGGACCCAGTGTCCTCGCTTTGGCGCTGTTTGCGAAAAGGTACCCCTCTGGTGACGCTGTACAACACCCTCAAACCAGCAGAGCCCCTACCACTGCCCGATAATAAAATGGCCGAGCCAAAGAAATCTAAGATGGCAGCCTTCAAATTTGTTGAAGCTTGTATGAAGGATCTACAAATCCCGCCGGGCGACGTTTTTGCTCTATCAGATCTTTTTGGTGATGACACGACTGGTTTCGTGAAGGTACGTTTGTCTCTATTGTGATTTTGCGTGAACATTTCTAAGACCTCAAGGAGGCTTGGCACATTCCGAGGTCGTCGCTTGAGTCAAGGGATAAAATGTGCATGGAATCCTGGGATGAGTCAAGGGATAACATGTGAAGATGGTCAACATCCTTCTAGAGTTGTGTCAAAGGTCTGCGAGCGTTTGCGCTTATAGTTCCTTCATTTGTAACATCGTTGAAATTGGAAAACATGAGAAACCCCACTTACCATTTCGGACAGGTTACCCAAGTTATCAATATCGTTCTCGATGTGGCTGAACAGCGTGGCCTGCTCCTCACATCGCAGGCCGAGGATACCAGCGAGTGTGCCACGGCGCCTGGGTCCAAGATGAGTTACAGGCAGCATGTAGTCCGGGAATTAGTCGACACGGAACGTAAATATGTCCAAGATTTGGAGAACCTGCACGAATTAAAGAAGACAATCGAGCAAAAGGGCGTAATTGCAGGCGACGTCGTGCACGACATATTTCTTAACATCAATGCGATCCTTGACTTTCAGCGACGATTCCTCATCAAAATCGAGACTACAAACTCTCAGCCAGTCGATAAACAGGAATGGGGCCTACCTTTCAGAAATTATGAGGAGGCATTCAGCATTTACCAACCATTCATTGCAAACCAGCGGAAGGCAGCGACTATAGCGAAAGACAACTTTGACAAAATTACCATGGCAGATCACCCTGTCGTTGTGGACTTTAATACTCTGGATGGTTTCCTCCTGAAGCCGATGCAACGTCTAGTAAAATATCCTCTCTTGTTAAAGGTACATCACGCTCTATATTTTGGAGTTATTTGACGCTAAAGTGAACAGGATCTTCGAGACAAAACGAATGCTAGTGACGAGGCGAAAGAAGATCTCACTCTGGGTATCGAGGCGTCGAATCGTGTGCTCCACCAGGCAAATGCCGCGGTCGATCGGGAGCTCAGAGGTGAAGCTTTGTTGGATCTCTGTGGCCGCGTGGACGATTGGAAAAACCACCGAGTTGATCACTTTGGTGACCTAATACTGCATGGTCATTTTCCCGTGGTTACTGGGAAGAGTGACGTTCCGAAAGAGGTGCGTTTCCCTCTTTCCTTTAATCAAGTTTCACCCAATACTTACGAACCCGAGCAGTATACTATTTATCTCTTTGAGCGCATTCTCCTCTGTTGCAAAGAGATTAATCCAAACAAGTCCAAAGATAAACTTATGGGAAATCAAAAGGACAAAAAGGACCGGAAGGATAAGAACAAGATCAAGGAAAAGGATAAGAACGCCAAACTACAGCTCAAGGGTCGCATTTTCATGACTAATGTGACGGATGTAGTATCATCTGCCAAGCCAGGTATAACATTGTCATCTCTTCACGTCCGTAAAGTTTTTTTGCTAATGATTTCACAGGTTCTTACACAGTTCAAATATGGTGGAAGGGAGACCCAGGCGTTGAAAACTTCATCATCAGATTTTCTAATGAGGAGACCATGAAGAAGTGGTATGAAGGTGTCGATAAGCAAAAGAAAGAACATGCCAATACTGGCGCGCAAGCAAGCGCTAGTCCAGATACAGCACCAGAGTTCGGATGGGCGCGTGATCAAATTGCATCAATGCCTAATCCTTACGCTCAACAAGAGGAAGAAGAGGAAGAGGAAGAATACAACGGCACGACCGCATATGGATCTCCGCCAAACTCTGGAATGCCCCCAAATTTTGGAATGCCGCCAAATCCTAGCATGGCTCGAAATTCGTCTAGTTCTAGCCTACGTTCGAGATCCGCAACTACAGAAAGCAATCAGTCTTTAGCTGGCATTGCAAGAGCACCAGCGCCACGTTTTCCGGTCGGTATGGGCATATCCCCGCCACTAAGTCTGCAGACTCAAATGTCTGGCTCACTGCCGTCTCCTGGTCAAAGATTGGGGGACTCGTACTTTTCGCCTATCGGGGAGTCACCGGCATCCTCCGCGCGAACAAGCACTGCTTCTTCTGCAATGTTCCAATTTCCTCAGACATCTCAATTCCCACGTCAACCTACATCCCAGGGGTCCTGGGAAGACAATAATCGTTATACCGCACCTGCGATTGGTCGGGTACCGTCGAGGGAAAGCCAAAATTCTATAAGCGGTGCTTCTTACCAGATGAATGGCCGAACACCGCAGAGGCCATCACTTCCTGCTATGGCCTCACAATCACAGGCTGCAGCTGCACAACAACGAAGTCGCTCATATAGCACCCCTGACATCAATGCTCAGCAAGGCGTTCGCCGTTTGCCAAACGGAGCTATGAGCACCCCTCAAGGCCAAGTTCCCGCCGTTCCCGGTATTCCGGCACACCTGCACCCAGCTTACGATGCTGGCGTTTCCAGATCCCAGAATAACTCCCCCAGTGGATTGCCAGTAAGGACAAACACCCAGTCGCCTGGTGCCCAAAGAGATCGCCAACAGCAACAGCCACCGCAGTATGCCAATGGGTTACAATACCCAAATGGTCCACAAAACCTTGGCGTGTCACAGCCCAATTATGGTCGCAATAATACGACTCAGATTCCAGCAAACGCACTCGATAACCGCCTGCCACCATCATTGATAAGCGGTAATCTTCCACCGGAAAGCGATATGTCGTTACCGACACAGCTTAAAGTGAAGGTAAACTGTGATGGTAACTACGTTACTTTGGTGGTGGCCTTTAACATCACATATCAATCCCTTACGGATCGCATAGATGCTAAAGTTGGAAGATTTTCGACCAATGCTATTGCTCGAGGTACCATGAGGCTCCGTTACCGTGACGAAGATGGGGATTTTGTCACTATTGAGTCAGATGATGACATTCAAATCGCATTTCAAGAATGGAGTGAGGCACAAAAGTCACAATATCAGTATACCGGGCAACTTGGGGAGATTGAGTTATTTTGTTTAAGCAATGAGGGTGAGCGTTAAATGGTAGTATGACACCAGGATGAGGAAATATGTGGAGTGGAAGCATTGATGGATACGGCTTTACATGGTTTATCTTGATATATCAACATTAACATTCATGGATGGGGGGTTTATGATTACACGTTGCGATGACGATAAAGGAAGGTTTAGGGGTGGGAATATGAAGTCGGGTTTATTGCTTCTGGCACAAAGGTGTTATTTGGCGCTGGCGTACTTTACAAACGGCGCCTATGCATGGTGGAGGACGATGGGAGAAGGCGCATCTATTGCCTTCACAGAGCATATAGCGAAAGATTAGTTTATGAAACAAGAGCCTCACAGCTAGCGGAAGATATACCATGGTGGAGTGGGAATGAATCACCAGAATGCCGTAGAAATACTACATCTTTGATACCAACTTACAACTCTTACTTTCCGCTCAAAACTTTCTGATATGTTACATTTGCATCTCAATTGATATTTTCCCTCCCTTTACGCCATGATTGCTACCGCAATATGCACAAGCCCATCATGAAGATTGATATACAAGTACGTGCAAGTACGTCTACACTTCCATGCTCTTTCCACATATTTTCATACTGCTTGGGCTGCCATATTCTTCTGTTACGAGAATACCCTGTATACATCTTGAAATGTCTCTCCCTACTTTCTTGACGCCGCACATTATTTCATCAACACCCAGTAAAAATATTCTCTAATCCATTCATTTCTTCTTACGTGGTCCAACAATCTTGGGATACATCCGTGACAAGTGATAATTAATCGTGTTCTTCTTCTGTGCTGCGGCTTTCTGTACGCGGGTTGTGTTAGCAGGCCGTCGCAATATCCTTGATTTATTTTGGAGGCGGAGGACAAGAAGACGGGAAAACATACGGGCGCATCCATACAAGTTCTCAATTGCGTTTCAAGGGCCTGGCATCCCGCTACATTATATCCGGAAGACGCCCAGCATGCTGGCGAATGAGGATTAGTATCTACGCAATCAGAAGACACATAAGTGGTGCGGGGGAATCTTACTGAGAACAGAAGTCATGATAGCCAGACATGGGTTTGAATCAGTCTGATTTGGTCTCCTTACCCTCAATTTGGGCAGTGGTGGCAACCTCATGGGTACTTTTGCTGTGCTAGCTCCTTTAGGAGGCATATTTGGTTTTGGTACACTGGTTATGTGTGTATGTGTATGTCAATGTGAATGTGAATGTGAGGAGCAATCGATCAAATAAGCAATCAATCAATCCCACTTGGTGGTCCAGATATTAAATTGACCTGCCGCTAAATAATTTAGACACTAAGATTTCTTCGGCTTAGTGGCAAATATCCTTGAGATAACATTGGTGGGTCTGGGTTTGTTTACATGTAAATGATGAACCAATCAGCACGGACCAAAATGTGAACTTCTTTTCAGTTTATGAAAACACGAGGACTGATTATATCCCCTCGGCAGATGGGAGAGACATAACATTAAAAGAACAAAACATCCTTACAATCAATAATCTGCAAATATTGATCTTGGAGGACTTTGTTGGTATTGTTTTTGTTTTATCGCTGAATATTATAAGAAGTATTCGGTTACAAGAGTATAATAGGATACAGCATAGGATCGATTGGTTTGGTAGTGAATCCACATTCGAGGAGGGGATTCATTATGGAGGGAAGATCATTTGACAAAGGAGAGAATTGGTGAGCGCGTTTCTTTGTTCGCTCTGCACATAGTTATATGATGACAACGAGGTCTAATGCCGAGAAGGGATATATACAAAGATGCATTCGCACCGCAGCCTACAGGAAAAATACTAAAAGCTTGGGAACGAGCACCAGTGGTCTCACATGCCCCGCGCTTACATGGCCAAAAAATATGGAAAAAGAGAGGTGGATTGCGAGCCGCAAAGGACAATAAGGAGAATTATAACGACGCGTTTCTAGAGTTGGAAAAGGAAGGCGCGGGTTCGAGGAAAAAGGCGAGGGTGGTAGGAAATAAGGAAGATATTTCGAAAGCTAAGTGGCATGAGGGGAAAGATAAGAATGGCGAGTGGAATGAAAATACTATGACGGGCATGAGTAGTCCAAGGAAGAATGTGCTGGGGAGTCCGGATAAGTCACAAGTAGTGCCTAGGAAGAGGACGAATGCCAATGTGGTTATTACGCCTAGAAAACCATTGAGACAGATGTTACTTGGTGGGGAGGGTCAAGGTTTGAGTGTGGGTATGTCACTTTCTCCGACGAAGGATAAAGAAGCGAGTGGTAGTCCCGTGAGGAGGAGAAAGGCGGCGAGGAAGAGCATTAGGAAGTCGGTGATGCCAATGGACGACGCGCAGATGGATAATGAGAAGCATCATGTGCGACACACTTCCTTGGTGTTCGACTTTGAGATGACTACTGGGAAGAAGGAAATAGAATCAAAGCAAGGATTTCAACAGTCACCCAAGAAGACACCAAAGAGACAATGCCTTCGAAGATCAATGCGTGGGAGAATTTCAGAGCCCGTTCATATTCTTGAGAAAGTCTTGAGTGTTCATGAAAAATATAGCTCACATGCTGGACTCGATTTTATTCCTCGCCGAATCGAAACCCTTGAAGATCGAACGAACGCAATGGACATTGACCACAAACAAGATGTATCCTCTGAGAATGACAAGTCTCAAGGTACAGGGCTTACCTCAGCTCCGGAATCAGCCAAGAAGCAGAATATATCAATCACTACTTTTGATGCAGCAACGGAGGACCTTCTTAATCAAAATTCTATTAAAAACGTCAAGCAAAAGAGAACAAGCTTACGCAGAAGCACTCGTCGCAGTGACCCACTGCTAGAGTCACGGGTTGAGAGGCCTCTCGTTATGGAGAACACGGGGGTGACATCACCAAACAATTCTGCAGCGAGCAATCGAGATCTCGAGCCCGAGAAAAGTTTTCAAAGCACTGGCGGTGTTCTAAATTCCGCAGTGACCCTAGGAAATCCTCATCTCCAAGAACTCGTTTCTAGAGATACGACCGAAGATACGGACGAATGCCAAGGAGATTCAAGCGATTGTGGAATGCCCAACCCCGTCGAAGAAATAAATCACATTGTTGTAGAACTTCTTGACCAACCAGTTTCGGGCAACGATAATTTGGGTAGTGTTGACTCCCAAGAGTCGATGCTGCATTCGACCACTGATGCTTGCTCGGTTGAATTACCGGCTAATGTTCATCGACAACAAGCTTTCAGTGGCATTGAAGACATCCAACTGGTTAAGGAAAGCCCCACGGCTCACGTGGCTCCATTGGAAGATTCTGATGACGAAGATATGGATGATTCTATGTCAGAGCTAGGTGAAATCTTACTCGAACCTAATATCAATGTTGCAAATCTTGGGCTTTCGTCTTCAAACCGGTCATCTCATGACAATATCAACGAAATGGAGGATACAGCGGAATCTGACCCTATCGAGGATCCCGAGTCTTTCGATTTGATGCCAATCAATAGCCTGCACGCTAACAATCAGCCTATCAATCCCGAAGCTGATGTTACGCTATCTGAATCATCGGCAGCGTTTGCCACGACCTCTGACATCGACGACGCCTTCTCTTTGAGTGCAACTTCCTCATTCGAGAACGATGATACGGATATACTTCGCCAATTTCTCACCCGAGTGAAAGCAGATAAAGCTGCGAAAGCCGCAGCTCCCGCTCCTAAAAAGAGAAAGTCACTACCCCATTCACCTCTTCGAATTCCACTTGGGGACATCATGAATGCTGAAGCATCATCGCCAGTACAGGCACCAAAAGAGGAGTTTGACCTAAGCTTCCCAGCTACAACATCGCCTTCACGGAAGAGCCGCGCGGCTACGCCACCATCTATCGACGAGGTAGATGTGGAAGCTAAATCTATTAGAAGAAGTGGCAGAACCCGTCCACCAGTGCCTAAAATTCCCCTTCCAGCGCCTAGCTCCATTCCAGTTCGAAGGTTAGGTGGACATGATGGCGATACGACCATCACTCTCAAACAAAGTGTCGAAAAAGAACTCGCCGCTTTGACTCGTGTCAATACTAGGAAGAACAAGGCAGGTGCTGTTCTTCCAGAAATACTCTTAGCAAGAAAGGCAAATGGGAAAGAGAACCCGGCAAAGAGGCAAAAAGAATTGAAGGAAATGTTTGAAGAGAAAGTTAGGAGGGAGAAGAAAGCTCAGGGCAAACCGAGAAAGTCGGTTGTATGGGCTGAGGAAATTGCTCGGTATCAAACACTAGAGAGGAAAGACAAGAAGACGATGGAGAGTAGGAAGGTCAATAAGAGTGGTGAAAGAATAGTGGACGAGAACAAGTCTGAGGAAGCGGAAGAAGTGAAAGAGAAAATGGTGAGGGTGAAGATCCCTACAATCTCTAGCTCGAGGACTAGCAAAATTGCTCTAGGGATTCCTACAGCTAATGGAACACCTTCCAAGAAGAAGAGGTTGATAAGATCAAGGTGAGACGGAAGGGATTTGTAAATGATTGAATGGATGTACTTTTGTGTCTTGTATATTGAGGCAGACTGGATAGGTGTTCTAGCAGGATGGAAAATGGAGTTTGAAGCTTGAGACTTCGGAAACTAGCTGCGGTGTTTCTTGTTGAAGTGGATTGGAGTAACTTTTTTTTTCTATTATACCTAGGAGTGTACTGTTTAGTGGATGTATCTCTTTATTTTTTCTTTTTGTCACGAGGAATTAATGAAGATGGTTAAGATTGGTTTTATGATTTTATTGTGATCCTTGGATATGATATTCGTTCTGTATCTATTATGTAGGTAGAGTATCTAGTTTAGTATGGAAAATGTGAATACTTGGAATCATTTGAGGAGGAAAGAGAAAGAGGGGAAAGATTTTGTAACACTTTGATAGAGAGATGGATGGATTATCTATTATAATCTTATAAAGTATGGAATTAAAAATCGAATTGAGGAGGGTGGAGATAATTGTGAGATAGTTACTTGGTAGTCATTCTATGTATTTTTCTTTGGAGAATGGGATGTGATGTTTAGAGGTTGTTGCTTGGTTTGATCAAATGAATATATATGAATTTTGGGAATGTAGTCTCCTTGGATTCTCGAGTACAGGTAACGAACGAATGGGCGAACCATCGAAATCTAATTATTAGTGGCAGAATTTTAGCTGGGCTATGCATAATAAACTCGTCTATGAAAGTTCAAGCAAAATTGTATGGGGTTTGATGAGGGACTGTCAAAGTGCAATATGCAACAGAAATATTTAAAGTTTTACAATAATCTCACCGCCTTGAAAAGTTATCTGACTAAGCAAGGCTGTCAGATATCTTAACCTCCCATCACCCATCAAAATAAACCTCAAGGGACTTTCAACGAAACCAAAGTCCACCAACCCAACAGTTCGCAATGTCTATGAACGCATTTCCTCGCAATTCATCCGACGAGTCTTCGGGTGATGAAAATGATTTCTTACACCCATCCACAGATCCTAGAGATGAATTCGCAGATTATAATCCGAGGAAACGGAGGCGCACTGGAAGGAATGCGAAAGAGAGTGCGGCATTGGGTGTTTTTGGGAGTGAGAGTGAGGATGAAGGGGCACCGGGGAGGAGATGGAAGAAAAAGAGTTTGAGGGGCAAGGGAATGAGTTTTGTGGCCGGTGGGGAGAAGGCTGGGGAGGACGATGAGGAGGAGGAGGATGAAGATGACGACGACGATGACGATGAAGCTGTCGAAACTGGGGCTAATGATGGGAAAGGAGATGCAGACATGAAGGATTATGAGGAGGAATCAATTGCCCCCCGAGGATTAGGATTTGGTGCTGTTGGCCAGGGTTTAGGTTTTCAAAGTCCTGCTCCGACTAGGTCGAAAAACACTGGACTAGGTTCTAATGCAAGTACACCTTTAGGACGAGGCTTCGTGCCCTCTTCAGCGAACAATCCAATATTATTAAACGATGACGATCCGCAAGACTCGACGCCGCGAATTGCAAGGCCAAGCGCGTTTTCTACACCCTCTAGCGGACGCGGTGGAAACAAAGCAGGTGGCGGCGCAACCCCCGTTAATAGTATGTCATTTGCGGCAAGGATGATGGCTAAGATGGGTTATAAAGAAGGGCAAGGTTTAGGAAAAGAAGGCCAGGGTCGGAGTGGTGTTATTGAGGTCACTTTGCGACCGCAGGGTGTAGGTTTGGGATCGGTCGCTGAGAAATCGAAACAAGAAAAGGAAGAAGAGAAAAGGCAAGCGAAATTGAGAGGTGAGAAAATCGAGGATTCTGATGAAGAGAGGAGGAAACGTAGAAGGAAACCAAAAACAAGCGGTACGGATAGTGGTATGAGTGGAGTGAGCACTCCTCGGAAAGCAGCGAAGCCGAAATATCGGACCGTGGAGGAAGTTCAACGAGCTGCGCCAGGGTTGGAAATTCCGGAAGCATTTGCACCAATTCTGGATATGACTGGACCTGGTCAAAAATTATTAACGTCTACATCTGGACTTTTGACACCTACTGCTGGACCGCCAAAAACGGAGAGCGTTGAAGATATCGAGAATAGAAAACTGGCTCGAAGAGCTCAAAATGATTTATCGGCCTTTGTGGAAGAATGGAAAAATCTTGAGGAAAGAAAAGCATATACCGAAATGGAACTCATACAACGACAGCAGGAATTAGACGAGGAACAACGACAATACGAGCAAATGAAAATTTTTGCGGGAAGTATTCAGGGTATTGCAAAGGCTGTTCACGATGGTCAATGGGATCCAGTAATCGAAGCATTGAAAACCGTGGATGGTCTTGATATATCTGGGGCTAATGAAGAGCTGTCAAATATTGCAGTCGCAGCTGTTCATCCTTTTCTTCGCCAAGCTTCCGAGGGTTGGCAACCTCTAGAGGACCCCAAGTTAAATGGGATGGTTCCCAATCTTTATAAAATTCGACATATTCTGGGGGCCGTGACTAATGACAAAGTTATTATTAGTCAGGATTCTTTCATGAATGCCTTACATAAGAATAGGGTTAAATCCACTACCCCTTATGAAAGTATGATCTATAAGATTATTTTTCCTAAAATCGTATCATCTATCAATAAGAACTGGGATGTCTACAATCCAGCCCCGGTGTTGGCATTTCTAGATGCTTGGCAAGGATTGTTACCAAAATTTGTCAGATCACAGATTCTGGATCAGGCAATAGTAGGCAAACTTAATGATGCTGTCTCATCCTGGAATCCAAAGAAGAGACGAAATCATGAACTACCTCATCTTTGGTTATTCCCATGGTTACAATATCTACCTGCCTATCATGCAGATCCAAAAAGCTCAACTGGTCTCGTTAGCGATGTCAAGCGAAAATTCAGGCATCTTATCGATTCTTGGGATTTCCATAGAGGTGTCATACCAGGTCTCAAACAATGGCGCGAAGTCCTTCATCCAAGCCCAAACAATGATACTTGGACTCCTCTAATAATGAACCACGTCCTCCCTAGCATGGCGAAATTCCTCAAAAACGAAAAGAATTTTCTAGTCGACCCTAATGATCAAGCCCCCTACATGTCTAGTCTCCAAGGTATATTTGCCTGGAAAGATGTCCTTAAACCTCGCGTTGTAGGACAAGTTCTCATCGGAACCGTCTTCCCTATGTGGCATAATGTCCTACATCAATGGCTTACCGTCGTGGGACATAATGCAGAAATAGGCGAATGGTTTGAATGGTGGCGCGACAGTGTTTTCCCGGCCGAAATTCGAGATCTTGGTGAAATTCAACAAGAATTCGAAAAAGGGCACGAGATGATTAAACGTGCATTAGCCCTCGGCGAAAAAGCAAAAACTCATCTCCCTGCTCCGGAAACTTCATCCACTTCTTCTCAAGCAACACAAATACCCCTTTCGGAGGAGAAACCGAAAGAGAAACAGATATCGGAAGAAGTATCGTTCAGAGAGACAATCGAAGATTGGTGTATTGAAAATGATCTCCAATTTTTGCCCGAGAAGAAGGTATTGCATAGTGCGGGACCACTTTATAGAGTTACTGCGGCGGGCAATGGGAAGAATGGTGTGCTGGTTTATTTTAGAGGTGAGAAATTGGTCGCGCTGCAGAGTCGAGGGGGTGGGAGGGAAAAGGTGGAGGTGGGGATTGAGTGGGAGAGGGAGGAGGGGAGGGATATATTGTTGGGGATGGCGTGGATGGGGGTTAAATAGTTTGCTGAATGGTGGGTGGTGGGTGTTTAGTGGTGATGGATGATGGAGAGTGTACTTTGTAGGATAGTTTTATATTGGGTGGTAGGGTGGAGTGGGAGTGATAGATGAATGGACGGATGGATGCATGTTTAATATATAAGATCCTTGAATGCTGGGTAACGTTATCTTGTATTATTCAAGTCTTTGGGATGAAAGTATAGAAGTATAAAAGTTCAAAAGAATAAAAGAAGTTATATATTTAATCTAATCCTGGAGTAATACTTCAAATTCACATTCATATTCACACTCACATTCAAATTAACCCATTTCAGAAACCGACTAGCCAATTATTCACACTAAGAGTATATAAGTCGCAGTGTGAGTAGTGAATTCAATAACTTGTGAAGATTTTATAGTACCCAGTAAGGATATATGACCAATCCAGTTGCTTTCAACTTATACACCTCCATATCTGTACAACAGCACGAAGAGAAAAGCAGTCAAGTCTTGAGAAATTGCTATGCTTTGGTACGATATTAAAGTCTCTATCTAAAAAAGCAAGTTCTTTTCCTGGTTTCATTGCTTGCTCTTGATAGGTAGATAATACTAACAAATTTTGCAGAGAAAGCTGAAGACGAAAGCAAAATAAGGTGGACAGAAGATATACATGGATTTCTTATGGACAAGCTTGGATAGAAGATTTGATTCAATTCACTTGATTCAAATTTGATTCTGGAAGATCTCGACTGGCAATACGTTTGAGTGGCATACATACATACATCAAGCAATTTTCAAGGGTTCTTTACGCTTCATACTTACGGACAAAATCAAGAAATTCAACGGGAAGTAGAGTACTCGAATATCGGAAGCACGGGAAGCAAGCACAGGAAGTACAGAGGCTTCGAAAGTAGTATCAAAAATCGAGGAATCAAGTAGATTCAAGTAAGGACTCGCAATATTTTCCCTCTACTTCTCTTGAAAATTATGAAATCAACTAATACTCAACTATAGTTACAACTACTCAAGTAAATAACCTCATTCATATCCTTCCACATATTTCCCACATTTCTCTCATCTACCACCACCACCACCAACACCCAAAATCAACAAAAACAAACCACAGCAAAATGTGCCGCAGCATAACCTACCGCTACCGAATCTGCACACATAACTGGCGACCTTGCATAATTCTCTGCACAGACCGGTGCCCTACAGCCAACGTATTGGGAAAATGTCCAGTGTATAAAATTAAATACGAGAGGAGAGTTATTAAAAGTGGGAATGGGTATTGTGCTATTTGTTGGGAGGGGATGGTGGAGAAAGAAAGGGAATTAAGCGAGAGAGAGAGGAATTTGGAGGGGAAGATGGAGGTGGTTAGGTGGGAGAGGAGGGGAGTGGGGCTAAGAAGGGGGTTTGGGGATGGCATGGGGATGGAGATGGCGATGAGAGAGGAGGGAGGGGAAATGGTCAGGAGAGAAATGATTAAAGGGGAGATGGAGGTGGAGATTAAGGGATCGAAAGGAGAAAGTAGATTGGAAGGAAGTGTATTGAGAAGCGAGAGTAATATTCTAGAGAAGGAAAGGATTTTAGAGGAGAGGATGATAGAAGGAAAAGAGAAAGGAGAAAAGAGAAAGGAGAAAAGAGAAAGGAGAAAGGCAGAAAGGAAGAGAGCTTGAGAGAGAGGAAAGTGAATGGATTTTGGAGAGGGAGAAGAGGGAAAGAGAAGACGAGAGTGGGAGTGAGAAGGTGCCATTAGGGCACAAAGGAAGGAGTGAGTGGATTTTAGCGAGCGATGGTAGTGTGAGGAAGAAGGAATTCGAAAAAGAAGGAGGAAAAAGCTAGAGATAGATGGTAACCTTACAAGTAAAAAGGCAGTGAGTGAGACATGGCTGGGCCAACAAGGGAAGTGAGTCGGAAATCTGTTTTGTCTAAATCTTAAAGAATTATCAGGCGTTCAAAATTGGTCATCAAATAACTTTTTCAAGACTGAATTAAATCAATTGAAAGATCAAAGTTTAAAAATTAAATCCTCTTTACTCTAATCTCTCCTCATCTTTCAAGAAATAAAAGTTAATCTTGAAAGTCGAGATGAGTAAAACTCTCTTTCTTTCCATTAATCAATCCATCAATTATCAAAGTTTTCGCCGCAATATTTACTTAAATTGTATTGCAAAAGGTATCTCTATATTCCACACTAACAGCTACCTATAATAGAATAGCAATGATCCAGACGCCCAATAATGCTTTGCTTTCCCGTCCCTAACACACTCCGATGCAAAAATCTGCAATAGCCAACGCCCTACCATTATGCGGAGCCATTCTTAATTCATTTATTTATACCATACCATACCATACCATACCATTTCGTTAATTCATTTCCATTTCTTCATTGTCATCAACTTCCGAGCCTACTCCTTGTGTATGATTGCTACTAATACTAGTCTTTCGCACCATACCACCAACACCAAAACGAGAACCACCTAGTCCTCCAACATATTCTAACTCTTCACCTGAATTATTGTGTTAGAATATTTTTAACGAGAAAGAATCATAAAAACATGCTTACCTCCTACAACTCGACCTTCCATGTCGATTTCCTGAGATAACTCGACCAATGCTTGACGTGGTAGCCTCAAAAATCCAGGCGTTCGAACAACTCTTCCCCAATGCGTAAGGCAAAAGCTAGCAGCACGTCTGCGTAACCATTCTTCATTAGCAATACCAGCAGAATGCCAAATAACACAAGCATGATCAACATCTAATTCCTTTGACAAACGATTAACACATAACAATCTAAGATGTGGAATATTATAAATGTTTGACATGACCAAAAGTCCTGCAACATCATCTAATTCGGCGCAGTCATCTGGATGAATACTATCAGTGTAGAGATAGTAGAGAAATGCCTTGACAACAGTATACGGTTCCGGTATATGCATCCTCTTTGTATGAAATTCTGCCATTTGTGCATTGTATAAGCGTGCAAAGTGGGGCCATCTGGCTTGGAGGATGAGTTTGTGAACGTGGATTGGAGGAGACGTTGGGGCATCAGGAGCCAACCAATTTTGCTGAAGTTGATTGATGGAACCTTTGGAGCTTGAATCATCCTCATCCCATTCATCATCTTTCGATGCGGTTATTATAAAATCAGCTCCACTACCACTTTCTGGTGGTTGATTGAAAACTTTGGCCAGGTCCATTCCAAGTCCTTTTGATATTTCGACTTTCATCCTACCAGAAGATGATAATCGTGATGCCTCCTCTCGAGGTTCGGGATTTAAGCCATTGCCGAGTAAACCATAACGTCGAAGATCAATTTCCATTATATCACTAAGCGGTCTGGTTAGCAGCTTAATATCTACAAACGAATAACACATACCTGAGATATTCTTCGAAGCCACCAGGACCTAAATCTGTTGCTGTTGGATCTGTTGGGCAACCAAGAAGCCAAGCCTTTGTACCCTCGTCATTCATGGTGCAGTAATGCCATCTATAACCAGATCTAAAAATATCCCGACCCTCTGCTAACTTTTGCCAGCGCAAAGTGTCTAATTCCAGAGATGACAAAGAACATTCTTGTGGCGTAATAGTTGCTGCAGGGGTGACAAAATCGAGAAGAGTTCCGTTGGTATAAACATGGAAATGCATGCCTGAGCCTTGGGCTGGTATATTGGGACCGGAGACAAATTTTAACGAGGAAATTGTACCAGGTGCAAGAGGAGGAGAAGTAGTTAATTGGAACGAAGGTGGATTGACTTGTGCGCTGCTTGAATTTGCGGCATAACCTGAGCTGCCTACAGCTGACTGAGACATGGAGAAGGAAGGTCGAGGCGAACGACTGAGAGCTGCATGCCTATCCATAGAGCCATATGAGGGTGCTGATTCAAAAGCCGGGCTACCCTTAAAATCCAACCACCATATGTCACCAATCTTGTCCATATCTTCACTGAGCCCCCCAAAAACCCAAACTCTGTCTCCCCATAAATATGCCGAGTGGTCAAATCGTCCAACGAACCGCCATGCCCGAGACCAGGTGAAAGTTTTCAAGTCGAGGTAGCATATATCATCCAAGACGTAGTTATTGTGACCGGTAATACCACCAATAATGAACAGTTTATCCTCGTGCAAAACGGCAGCATGTCTTGCTCTTCCTTTCGGTATAGGCCCTGATACAGTTGGTTGTGTCCAATGTGCGGTCTTGAGGTCGAAGATGATGAGATCGGAGAGGTAGGTACGGTGTTCATTTTCACCACCAAATATGAGTAATTTATCGCCTTGGTAAAGTGTAGCAGTATGACCTGCCAAGTGTATTAGAATTGGGAATCACAAAGAAACTCAGCTGGCGCAAGACCTACCCATTCGTACACCTGGAATATCACCATAGTTGTCAACCAAATTCCACTGGTGACTAACCAGATCAAGTCTCAAAACATGATTGTAGACCTCGTCGGTGTACTGATCAAAACCACCAAAGGCATAAATCTGATTGTTTCCGCAATATGTCACAGAGGCATTGACAAGGCAGGCTGGGCGCTATATAAATTCATATCTAGGTTAGAAAATAGTCTGTAAGGTATCGGGATTTCTAAAAATTACCTGACCAAGAGTTCTTGTAACCTTTGGCCTGTACCCATCCATACCCAGTCTATTCTTCACAGGTGAATTCGGCATTAAGAAAGTATTGCTTGAAGGAGCAGGACCTGGAGTAGTAGGAGGACCTCCGGAAAGTTGATTGGTTTGGGTAGGAGTAGAGACAGAACCAAAGATGGAATAGGATGTACCGTCGGGTGTAGAAGGCTGAGCCATAATAAGAGGTGGTATCTTATGTGGTCATGCTAGATTGGTTGATAAAAAGAGTTGATGCTGTGCAATTGTGCACAAAACCCCCTCAAACGAATAGTAAATGCCGAAACGAACGGAATCGACTAAAGAGGTAAAAGAAAAGAGATAGGATGAGAAATTCGATTGTTGGGGTGAGACAAAGAGGATTGTGCAGGTTGTACAGGTTGTTAGCATTCAAACGATGGATCAATATATTCTCGATGATATTAGACTTTGCATGGTTCTTGTTGGTATTCAAAGTACAATGAATGTATGTATGTACAGTGTACAGTGTACATTAAAAATCATGCACGGGTGACGATAGGATGGAACATGTGAAGCATTGAAGAATTGCTGGTGCTCTATGGAAAGAGGTTCACGGTCGGCGGGTCGGAATCAATACTGAGTACACGCACAAAGGCATGGGATTTTGTGGCTTACGGTTCGATGCATCTGATCGTGCCTGAGGCTTCAATTATTTTCACCACTTTTCTTCGTTACATGATGGTTGCCCCTCACAACCAAACTAATCTAGTGGAGTAAACAAACGAGTAGAAAAGCTCAAGAGTATTCCCTCTTCGACGACTTTTCTTTTCCTTCTTCATGCAACATTGCAATCTCTCTACACTTCCGTACCTTTACCTTTCCATCTCACATCCACTCTCACTCATAGTCACATAACATACAAAACATACACAACAAGAACAACATCCCTTCAGTCATAAGAATACTTCAAGTCTATTAGATCTTTCTGCTAGTACTTTGTTACACGCCATTGGTCGTTATCCGACTCAAGCCATTCTTATATAGAAGAACTTTTCGATATATCGAGCACAAACACGAATTATACTAACCCAAAACAATTACCAGGAACCATTAGGTTGAGTCTCTTGGAGCTCGTTCGATACACCGAATCTACTCCCATCATCGATCGATACATCGATTTGTCTTTCGACCAAGATCATACCTTGATATTGCAAAATGGCTACCGCAGTATCTACCCCAATCAAATCCCACACTGGGCTCTTTTCCACACGTACCGCTGGCGGACGCATGCCTTTGACCCCATCTCCTCGTACACGCACTCAAACTCTTTCCATTAATAATTCATCTCCTTTCACCCCACCTGAGAGAAAGACATCGGAAGAAAATGTTCGATTATCATCCAAGTCAACATATGGTGGAAACTTAACATCGCATTTTGCAAAGTCATCAAGAAAATCTCACCGCGACTCACCAAAGTCCAACATTGCCAAGGGTGTCCAAACTCCCCGACATGCCCTTGAACTCGGTGTCTCCGACTTTGCTCTTACTGGTACAGGATGTAAGACACCTGTCAGTGGACGGACCAGAAAAGCCCCGGTCCGCGCAAAGTCTACCAAGACAACTGTCTCATACTCTGGTGACAGATTCATCCCAGATCGTGCTGCAAGCTCAGCTATCACAACCGCTGGCTGCGGAAAGGCCGACTTCGCTGAGAAACAAAGACCAAAATGCATCAACGAAAGCTCTTCAGTCCTCGCATCAGGTGCTGGCGATGCCCTTGCTGCTCTTGAATCATTGACCCTGGATGATGAAGAAGAACCAGCTTCATACTCCCGCCCATCTCCAAACACCATTGCATACCAGGACTCCTTGGCATCTGCTTGTGGTATTTCTCAAGGTCAACGAATTCTTGCTTTCAAGCCTGCTGCTCCTGAATCTTCAAAGCCAGTCGACCTCAGATCTCAATACAACCGTCCTCTCAAGAACTCCAACGCTACCGCTGCTCAATTCAGACGCCGTATCGCAACTGCACCAGAGCGTGTATTGGATGCACCTGGTCTTGTTGACGATTACTACTTGAACCTTCTCGACTGGAGTTCCAACAATCAAGTTGCCATTGGCCTTGAACGCAATGTTTATGTCTGGTCTGCTGAGTCTGGTACTGTCAGCTCTCTTCTCGAAACCAGCCCAGACACCTATGTTAGCAGTGTCAAGTGGTCTGGTGATGGAGCATATGTCAGTGTTGGTCTCGGTTCCGGAGAAGTTCAAATCTGGGATGTCGAAGAAGGCACTAAGCTCAGAAGCATGCACGGACACGATACTCGTGTTGGTGTAATGGGATGGAACAAGCACACTCTTTCCACTGGTGCACGAAGTGGCCTTGTCTTCAACCACGATGTTCGCATCGCTCAACACAAAGTTGCTGAATTGGTTTCTCACACTTCTGAAGTTTGTGGTTTGGAATGGCGCGCTGATGGTGCTCAACTTGCTACCGGTGGTAACGACAACTTGGTTTCTATCTGGGATGCTCGTTCATTGGCTGTTCCTAAGTTCACCAAGACCAATCACAAGGCTGCTGTCAAGGCTCTCAGCTGGTGCCCATGGCAGCCAAACGTTTTGGCAACTGGTGGTGGATCATACGACCGTCACATTCACTTCTGGAACACCACAACTGGCGCACGTGTCAACAGCATCGATACTGGTTCCCAAGTCACCAGTCTCCGATGGAGCCCTCATTACCGCGAGATCGTCAGCACCAGTGGCTTCCCTGACAACTCTATCAGCATCTGGAGCTACCCAACCTTGGTTCGCAATGTCGAGATTCCAGCACACGAGACCAGAGTCCTCCACAGCTGTCTCAGCCCAGATGGACAAATGCTCGCTACCGCTGGTAAGTTTCTTCCCCTACCTGATAAATTGAATACCACTAACAATCATTAGCTGCTGATGAGAGCTTGAAATTCTGGAAGGTATTCGAGAAGAAGTCTGGCCCCAGTGCATCTGCATCAGCTGGTTCTTCAGGAAAGGCCGACATGGTCAAGCAAATGACTATCAGATAGATAGGTCAAGAATAGCTCTCGGGAGCTACAGGTAAAGTATCAAGCAAAATTCCATAATAGCATTTAGCGATTGGGATGTTTTAGCGTGGTGTTTGGTGGATTTCGATCTTCACAATAGCCCATGGCAGAAAGTGCTTCACCTGGTGCAAGTTGATGCTTTGACGATGAATGAATGGATACCTCTGGTGCTTATATAGTTGGCTGGCGTACATCTTTTGGAAGGGGACTCTATGTGTTAGTTACTTTAATTAGGAAATGTAAGTTACTTGAACTAAATTGAGGGCACGCGTTTTAAGTGACGATCAATTCGAGTCATGCATCAATCGCAATTCCAGTTACTGTGAAGCCGTACATCTTGTCAGTGACCAATGAGTCTCTAATGAGTCTCTGAGCCGTCTAGCATCCAGGATTCAAGACTCTCGAGGCTCAATCAAGTACTAGATACAGAAGGATGGAAGTCATAATCGGTCAATGAATTGGTGCAATAGTGATAAATATGGAGCACAGTCAGAATCTGAAAAGTGACCCATCAGCGATGTTTTCTGTGAAATCAATAATTCATCGATGTAGAAACAATATATTTTCGATTTGTAAGTAGTAATTATCCTCAAGTAGGGACGGACAGTGGACAGAAATAAAGAGAAAGGCAAAGACAGACTTAGCCTCCAGGCTCTCTTTTGAGTCATTATATAAGCGAAAGCGGGCTAAGGTTATCCATATCTCTACCAAAGCGGTCTTCCCCCATACAACTCCACAAGTCAGGACTGAGCAAGATCATTTTACCTTTCAGAATCCCCATTAAATTTGTTTACAAAGTTCCATAAAATAATCAAAGAAGATCTCTAAGACAATCAAAAAGTGGCAATACAAATTACGAATCTGAAAATAAGTGTGGAGGGTGCAATTGTTGTTGCAAGTCAGCGACCGTCTTCACAAGCTGGAAACAATCAGTACAATCAGACAATCAGTACAATCTATCAACAACTCCCCACGACCTACCCCTTCCAACAGCCTCCGATCTTCGATTTATGTTAGCTGAAGTAATGAGAATTGAAGGCGCAACATCTGCAAGATCGATAATTACTCGCGCGTAAAGAATTAAGCCGTCGGAGAAGTAATTGAAGACGAATCCACCTCGTGCACAAGACCAATCCAAGCAACGCAACAACAAGATGTCGAATACTCAGGTCGGAAATGTTTACCAGCAGATTATCGCAGATGTAGTCGATAGCTCCCGAGTTGACTTCGAGGAGGGAGGAGTTGACGAAGTAGTGTTGGAGGAATTGAGAAAGGTATGTTTGTCTCGACTTCTTTTCCTATCGTTTCGGGGTTTTGCGATCGCATTTCCAACAACATCTTTTCAATTCATTTCTTTATCTGCTTTTCTTCTTAAACGATTTTTCATCTTCGAATGGTTTTGATTTCGATGAATATTAATGTATATCATTGTGGTGGGATGTTGCTGTGATGAGAATCTTTGTCGCTGGTTCTGTTGGCTTTCTTCTTGTTGTTTTCCGCTGTTGCTGCTTAACTGATGCCTGTGCACAATTGGGCCAGTTTTGCGGGTGGGCGATCCTCTGTATTTGGCTTTATACCCTTGATACTCAGCCTCTCGGTTGTGAAAAGGCTTTTCTTGCACTAGTCTATCCAAGCTAGTCTCTTTCGGTCTTTTGTGTCACGTGGTACTTTGAGAGACATTATGTGCTTCCGCAGCATATGTAGTAGCAGTAGTTCACTTCATTGCTTCTTGGAACATGGTCTCATTTTTCCAAATCACTATCTTCAACCTCCCAACTTTCTCAAGATAAGTTAATAGGAGATGTTACTAATCCGTTACAAAGGGATGGCAAACCAAGTTGTCACAACTTCAAGTTGCCTTGTTTCCTTGGGATCCAAAACCTGATCAACCTATGCAAAATCCCCCAATGGTACCTTCAAACTACCAGCATACAGGCATTCCTCCCGGCCAACCAATATATCAAACTCCAATGCCTAATGGACCTCGTATCAAAACCGAACCTGGTATGGAGAACTCAGGCTTCATGCCAATCCCTATGTCACAGCCACCCCCTCAAAATCCTCTTATGACTATGCCCAATGCAACACCTGCTCAGCAACGTGCCGCTCAAAATCTTCATGCATCTTATGGGCAGAGAGCTGCTGCTTCAATTCAGTCCATTCAAGGAGGTGGTGGTGCACCACAACCACAGCAGCAAGCTATGACCCAACTGACCCCGCAACAACAACAAGCTCTGCATGCGCAACAGCAACAGCAACAGCAACAACAACAACAACATTTACAAATGCAGTCAATGCAGCAGCAACAGCAGAGACCAGCTAGCGGCTTACCTCCTCAATCTCAGCCACAACAGCCACAAGGACAACCTCAGAGTCAGCAAAGCCAAGCAGCTGCAGCTGCTTATAGACAAAGCATTGCAGCTCAACAGGCTCAACAGTTACAGCAACAGCAGCAGAGACTTCAGAATGCTCAAAATGCTCAGAACCCTCAAAATGCTCAGAACCCTCAAAATCCCCAGAATAATCAGAATGGTCCGAATGGTCAAAATGGTCAAGCTCCGCAAGCCCCTCAGAACCCCCAGAACCCCCAGAATCCTCAGAATCTGCAGGGTGGAGTTGCAAGTGCACAAACCGATGGGGTTGGTGACGATTTTGAAGAAACTATTGGGGTTGTCAAGCAATTTGATTCCCATGGAAATGAGATTGCCATGGGCCGGGTTGAAATTGATAATCTGATCCGCAGCAAGATTGAATCCATGGGTAAGGCTATGGAAGGTGGTGGTCTAATGCTTCCACTCAAGGAAGCCAATAAAATCCCCTCAGCCAAGCGCCAGCGAAAGACCTTACCAGGCTCATTGTCACAAACAGATGGTCCCGGCTCTGATGATGACGACGATAAAGCCAAGGATGAATTAGATGAGGATGCAATTAATTCTGATTTGGATGATCCTGATGACGCTTTGAATGATGATGAGGACGAAGATGAGGGTATGGGTCATATTATGCTTTGCATGTATGACAAAGTTCAACGAGTCAAGAACAAGTGGTATGTCCTCTATCCCTCTACCTTCCTTTTCATCTACATTTTCTTATAGCATACCCATGCTAACAAATTCTACAGGAAGTGTGTCATGAAAGATGGTGTTCTTACCGTCAATGGAAAGGAATACGTTTTCCATAAAGCCACCGGGGAATACGAATGGTAATTTCTAGGATACCCATTCATGCACCAAAATCCTTTCCGTCTCTACACCATCACGCCTAAAGATGACAGCTATCAAGCTCTCCCAACAATGTCCATCTTTTTTCTTTTCACTTCATGGACTCCAAACACGTCATACCCTTCAAACCACACAACATCATCTCGAGATTATAGACCATCTTCTCTCTTCTCATCTCCCTCTTTTCCTCCCTCACGTTTCGTGGATATAGATGGATGAATGGACGGGTGGATGGATGGATGATATTGAATATCAAGAATAAACTCACCGGTCACCCGCGGAGTAAAGGATTCTTTGGGCATTTGCATTTGCACCTGCATTTGCATTTGTATTTCAGCGATCACGAAAATCAAACATCACATAACATAACATAACATAACATAACATAACGCAATAAAATTAGGAGATGATATTAAAAAATTGAATAAATAATATCTATCTATTTATTTATTTATTTATTTATTTATTTATTTATTTATCTATCCCATCCATGACAAAATTAAAAGTTGAATGGTGAATTTGGCGTGATAAGAGATGTGATTTATAAAACTAAGTAAATAGTTGTTACCTAGGTACCTATGTTTGCTGTGGTAGCATGTACTTCGTAAGTTAATTTGAATTTGCTTTTGCTTGGTTTGGTTTGGGATCGGCTTGACTTGACTTGACTCGGTCGGTCTAATCTAATCTAATCTACTCGAGTAATTAATCTACCCAGTGATCCAGGCCACTAGACTCAGGGGTTTAATAAAATAAATTACTTCACATATAATAATTATTAAGCAAATTCTTTCTCGAGATGATCAATTGTAATCTTGGTAGATAAATAAATAAACTCTACTACACTTAGGTAAGATTACGAAGGAATATAATATAGTATTAGAAAACAAAATAAAAGTACACGCGTCCTTTGAAAGAATAACTTGAAAGGATATTGATATTTATATTCATATTTTCAAATCTCTACCTTTTCCTTCATAAAGCACGAGTAGTTTATCTTACTATATTTTATAATCCACGTGTATTCGTATCCATACCACCCACCTATACCCACAACTCCCATTCCATCCCATCAGCAAACATACCTCCCACCATCATTGCAATCATGCACTCATTATACAACTATCTCATTTCATATCTCTGGCTTCATTGCTCAATTCGGCATTCTACAAGCCCTTGGCACCTTCCATACTATTCACCTGCCAACAATTCTTCCTCGTTCAAATTCCACCTCCTACTCCGTAGCCTTGTACTTTTTATTAAACTCTCCCACCGCAACCCCAATATTCCTATACAAAAAGTTCCTAGAACTCTCCTCTGCCACTGGAATAAACGGTCCATTTGTTCCCCCTCTCAACGTCAAGCTTAAACCCGTTCTCTCCTTACTGATCGTCTGAACATCCTTCAACGGCACATCCCACTCACTAGTCAACTTCTTACTCTTAACCAACATAATGCGTGAGTAAGTTAACATAACCACGACATCCTCGCGCGGCAGTTCCAGGTGCGCAATATATTGTTCGTTGAAATATTTCCCGTTATCGAGCTGTTTGAGCCAGAATTGTCCGAGAGCTTCACGTTGGGAGTAAGGCCTCACGATACCATCTGCTCCGATGAAACGTGTGAGACGCACACGATCGAGTCCACTATCGTCGAAAACTGTCGTGGTATTGCGGATTCCTTCACTCACATTGGAAGCCAGGTCGAAAACACCAATGGCTGGTTTAGTAGCAAACCCAAGAAGACCTTTCCCAACACCTTTAAAGAAACCTGCAGCACCTTCTTGTTCCGCTCCTTCAAGAGGCTTACGAGCCAATCCGCCTACGCCACTTGCAAAACTCGTTAACAAGGAATTGGCACCTGCCGTAACACCATATAGAGCATGCTTGGGTCGATTTCGAGATCTAGTCATGCGGCGACGGTCTTGGAACTGCTTATCCATAGTAGCTTCTGCAAGTCCTTTTGCAATACTACCAGTCCACTTTGAAAAACTGTCCGAAACACCAAACACTGATTTCTTAACAAAACTAGTGGCACCCTTTGCGATACCAATACCAAGTTGTTCGGGATCGTTCATAATGAAACCTTGATATGGTTCATAGAAGATATCCGCAACACCAGAACTGATGTTGGTGAACAATCCGACAGGATTTCCGAGGAAGTCAGCTGATCCTAAGATCTTATGAACTTGGTAAAGTGCTTCCTGTGAATAATGATTGGAAACATTCATCATGAGGACAGCGGCAGAAACTCTTGCATTCTCCAACATCAAAGCATTCATACGGACGGGAGCATCATTGATGTTGCCGATAGCCATCGTTAAGACATTCATGAAGAACATCAGAGGATTCTTAGACGATGTCTTATCCTCAACGTTTACTCGATCGGTACGAACAAAGGACAAATCAAGCTGCATGGGTTGAATGTTAAGAAGCTCGAAATAGATATCCTGGCCAGATTGTTCTTGTTTTGGTTCTGGGATATCGAGACTCTCATCGCAAAGTACACCTTCATGTGTTTCTGACCAGGCTGCTCCAGGTACCTTGGAGAATTCCAAAACCGCCCAAACAAAATCTTCATCAATTTCGAGAGTCATCTGCTGAACCAAGACTGTTGCATATTTGATGTAGATAACCCCGTAAGAATCATCCTTCACTCTAGTAACCATAGCATGAAGTGATGGATGAGCTTCCGTTTCCTTAGTACCCTTTTGAACCACACTAGGATAAAGAATCATCGGGAAAATCCCACCATAAAGTTGATTATCAATTTGTATCCACTTGATCGAGGCAGTGATTGTTTGATACAGAGGTGACTCGGCATATTTAAGTGCGATATCACGCAAAGTGATATAAGCAAGTTCTTTGAGTTGAGCATTAACCAGTGAGATACCAATACCACCAAGTTTGAGTTGTGCTTTAAAGTTGACGGCAGTATCTTGGCTTTTGACCTCAAATCCCCCCGCAACACTGACAGAAGAATTCGTTCTTGACTTCTGCTTGTACAAACTCTTCGATGCTTTGTAGTTGGACAAAATGAGTGTTTGTGTTGGACCGTCTGCTGCAACATTAAGGTCAATGATTTTTTGGTTCTTGGGGTGAGGATCATCTCCTCCAATCTTCATAGGAATGAGATTACCGATCTCTGCAAGTTTTATGTGTCGCTCTCTTCCGTTCGCATTAATGATGAGCTCCTTTTGCTTAGCAGCAGGATAATCCCATGCGTACGGCATGATACTTCTAGGGGGTAAACGATATCTTATTGGGCGCCACCCAGATCTGTCCTCGACGTCTTCATCGTCTAGATTAGGATTTGCTTGGAAGAACATGAATTCCGTATCACTTTCATTCCGCATAGAGAATGGCCAGTTCTTAGTCTCGGCGCTAATGTGTAAGAAAATTGTAGCATTTTCCATGAGGATTTCGACTCTAATGAGCTTTTGTCGTTGGCCAGCCTTGGCCAATTTCACGTGTGTAATGCCAAGATTCGAGATTATGAATGGCGACGACCACTGGTTATTTAATCCAGGGAAGCATAGCGTAAGTTGCTTGACGGGACTCTTCTGGAGGAAATGAAGAGGTTCTAGGGCCTGTGGCTTCAAAGTCCAGAGTTCAGACGACCCGGGTTCCCTGACATTTATTTCCTCGTTCATCTGATTCTTCAGAACGAAGCGGGGAGCAAGAGTGACTACCTTCGTCATTTTGTATTTGCCCTCTCCTGATTCAACATTGATGCCCACGTGTATCTCGGTGTTGTTTTTAGAAGAAGATAAAACAACATCGACATTACTACCGATGGCATCCAGACTTTGTGGTTTACTCCAATTCGAGTCGCCAACCTTCAATATAGCACGATTCCTTTGATCATCTCCGCCATATGCGAACATATAAGGTAGTGCCTTACGCCGTTCTGAATCAGCCGAATCTGTACGAAACCCTTGACCGGCCGCCGTCTTTGCTTGCTGCAACAATGACTTCTGTTTGATGTTGATCTCCAGTCCGGTTTTATTTAGGATAACGTAAGGACTGTAGACAGTTACTCTAAATGCTCCTCCACTATCTGGAATCTTGAAATAATGCAGTTTGAGGTTCAAAGCAAGTCCATCACGATCTTTACAAACGAGAGTAGTCTCCTTCCGGAAGTCATCTTGATTATTCGAATTGATGATTGCAAACTCGCTGGCCTTGAATACTGTGTCTTGCATGTCGATGCTCATGAGTAGCAAATGCGAAAGTTCGACGACATGAACAGGACTTAGACCACCTTTACGAAGGAAGTTCGTCCAGTCTTTCTTCGTGTTTTTGTCATAGATGCGATATTTGAAGTCGTACGGCAGCAGATTTTCAAGTTCGATGGGTGCTGAAAGTCGAATACGCATGTAAGGATAAATACTACAATTTGTTAGCTTGATTCAAGTAAATCAACGGGGCAGATGTTCTTACCTTGTAATGGGCGTAGTCTTATCAAAATTGGCGTTCATCTGAAAATAGAATGGTGGCGTCTTATCACCACTTTCGCCCTTGCAAGTAATAGTCCTGGTAGGTCTCTTGAGAAGATCTTTCCAAAAGAGGGATCCTGTGGACCAAGAATATCCGAATCCCTGATCTGGTCTCACGAGTAACGATTTCATGTATGCCGCTCCGACAGGCGCAGGTCGACTTTCCCCTGGTGCAATCTTTTCAATCTTGAGCAAATGGCCCTCTTGAGAATCAAATACGCCCAACTCCACAGGAATTTGTGTTTTATTCTCCACTAGAAGTGGAGATCTAAAGGTGATGTACTTGACGTTATCTGTACCCAAAGTAACTTCGACAAGCAGCCGGTGTAGAATCTTATCCTTGCGAGGTCGCAGACTGTACAAAGTTTCTCCTTCGCGATTAACTGGAATTTTGTTCAGACTATCGAATCCACTTCCCTCCAATCGTAATCCCACAAATCCACTTGTATTCTCAGGCGCGAGATTTTCACGCATCTTTTCCCAATCTTCGAATCGCCAAGGTGCTTCTTCTCCATCTTCCAATGTGGCGGCCATGGTATTATCAGCATCAGGAACATCTGCCCATACATTAATATCGAAGCCAGTGTAGTTTCGAATACGATATGGAGCATCGGCTCCTCTTGGCTTCGATAGTACGTCGTCAGATTGAGTGAGGAATTGCGCAGATTTCGATGCTAGTGCGATAGTAGCAGATGTGACAGTGATCTCAAGCGTCTTCTTCGAAATTAAGTCGACAGACATACAATCTGGGTTCGAGTCCTTGGCGACCAGCAGACCCAACTCCCAAGGCTCAATAAGAGGCTCCCACGCTGACTTTGAGAAATTGTAGACATTGATGAACATATTGATGGCTGTATCAGCTCGGAGTTTGCCCGACCAATCAGTAGCAGAAGTCGTGAATTTCTTCACACTAAGATCAAGAATTGGTAATTCGTGTAGGTCGCCGATTAGAATGAGTCTCATCCCAGCCAGTGTTGCAGTCAGTTCTTCATGCTTTTTGTGGACTTGTTGCGTATCGGTCTTGGGGGCGGGAGTTTGTTGAGACATAGCAACAGTGCCAGCATTGGTCTTCTTCATTGTTGATGCACCTTTACCACTAGCTGTTCGTTGTTTGAGGCCCGAAGAACCATGTAGCTGTTTCGCCTTGACATCAGATGCAACTGGTTTCTTCTCCCCAGGTTCATCATCATTGCCAGAAAGCTCCGATGCTCTCTGAACAATTTGGACTGCCAGTAAAATATCACGCAGCGATAATCGGAGAACAAGAGGTTCAACATCAAGATAAATACTCTGAGCGTTTGGCTTTGAACTATCAATTGACATTTGGAGAGAGAAGTCATCAAGAATCCTAAGGCGAGTATCCTCAAATTTATCCATTCGACATAAGAACATACCCATCTCGGATACCTGCAATGTGAGGGCATGTTGCTGTGACATAAGAATCTGCTTCGTACCAAGTACAATTGCTTCGGAACTTGTACTGAGTGGATTTGCGATCAATATAATTTGTGCATCCACGACGTTCACCCTAAATGCAATTGACATCGAAGATTGATCAGAGGAAGAAGACGATTGACTAGGTGTATTGCTACTAGTTGTTTTGCTCGGAGATCTTGCTCGACTTTCTGTAGTCTTCGACCTAACTACCTGCATAGAATCCGCATCGGAGACGTTCTCGGACTCCGTCGACTCATCCTCGTCATCTGGTGAAATAGGCTCGTCTACCGCTAAACCTGCTGTTATGAATGCCTGGAGGGCGAAAAGATAATCCAGAGCAAAGATAACCTTTGGACTATCTATCGACAAAATAGCAATGAGGTTGCGTTCTTGTCCCCCTGAAATAGTAATGCTAGCCATGAACTGTTGTACATCCTGGTTTGAAGATGTCATAATCTTGCGGAACTTGTTTGTATCCCTACTCCTACTATCCTGAATTGTGAAAGCGTGTATCAAGAACTCTGATTCCAATGAGCCATCTGTCATCATTCGGAGTTTAACCTTCGTGTCGTCCATAGAAAATTTGGATAAACTTGCGGCCTCAAGATCACCAATTGGCTCGTGGTCCTTTGCTAAGACGAGTTCGAGACCGATCGTGTTAACATGGAAAGCCAAGTCAAGCTTAGTCCAGCTCTGTGAGTTGGTGCCCAGTTCCGGACCGAGATCAACCGGCTCATTATTATGATCATCATCTGACGATTTTTTTGTTATTGCTTTTGCCTTCTGCGTCGTTGCGCTGGGTACGTCCTCCGCAGCTTGTTGTTCGCTGTCATCTGAATCCACCATGAAGGCGCCTGGAACGGACTTCGCCAGCTCAAGAAGGAACTTCAATTGCGTTTGTGTAATCCGCAGATTGAAGTCAGACATGTAACCTTCAATCTCCATATCCGGACGAAGCGCTCCAGAAGTATGCTCGGCATAAGTGACCAAAAAACCCAAATCAACTTTGTCAATGAGCTCAAGCTCTTCTGTCTTCTCATCAGGGAAATGGAAATCGGATGTCAACCGGATGTTCCTGATTCCAGCCGTGAGCTTCATCGCAATAGTCGCATCTTTCGAATCGTCGAGTGGGACGAATTTGTTTTCTGCATAAATTTCTCCAAGATAAGCGGTCAACAAATCCCTCTCACCACTACCCGCATTCATGACACGAGGGAAAACAACGATCGGGGTCTTAATGTTGACGTCAAATCTGATGCGGCTCGTACTTTGTTGGAGCTGAGAAGCTTGGTTTGCTGCAGCTTGTCTAGCAGCATTGAAGAGAGCTTGCATCTTCTCAAACTTGACCAAAAATTCGATAATCTTACGGTACGGTTCCTCAAGGAAATTGACTTTAATAGACCCCGCGCGCAAGTAGATGGAGGAATCATATCCAGGATATGAACTGCTTTCGGAATCAAAGGTCTCATATCGGAAGTCAGCCAAGTCATCACCCTCGATAGCTATCAATTTTCGAAGATTCGACTCGCTGGAGGCTCCTAGGTTAACATCGTCGAGTAGAGATAAATCGCCCAACTTTGCACCAATTCGCATGGTATTCCCCAATATAAAAATTCCTACGTCTGCGTGGTTGAATGACAGTGTAGCTAATCGGATGCCGTCATTGTTGAGTATCAAGCGTATACTCTTCAGGTCGACCTTGACGCGAACGGATAATTCAGTCTTTTTGGGCGATAGCACTACCTCCTCTTCGGACGGCGACTCATCTGGCACAGCCAACAAATCATCTGAAGTTTCATCAGCAGATTGGCTTATTTTCTGTGGGCCATCTTGATTCGTAAATGTAATCAAGATGAAATCAAGCAGAGTCAACAGCGTCTTGCGAGTAACCACCAAATTGATTGTAGAGACAGAAACATCCACATTAATCTCCACTCCATCATATTTTGGCATGAACTCGGGTGAGTTGGGGTTTACCTTTACCACTTTGACGTTGATAAGGGCAGTTTCGTCTTCTGACTCCATGTCCCCAGAGGAAACTATCGACTTGAACTCCGCAGGAGGGTTATCAACGTAGTCATCTACGACTACGGATTGCAGGGAGGTTTCCACGATGAGATCGTACGGACGAAGAACAAAATTAACACCAAAATTCTCGGCGACTACTTCCACCAAAAGTTGATCTGGCTTCCTGCCCTCTGGGTCACTTCTATAAAGCGAACCCTGAAGACGCTCCACTTCAAATTTGAGCTCGAAATTCTTTTGTTCCAACTTGAGTTTATCGCTCTCTTTACCGCTGGGGGCGTCTTGGAATTCATCCTCGTCATCATCGTCATCGTCAGATGACTCGTCTTGAAGAATTATAGCCTCTTGCCTGGAGAAATTAAACGACATAGATTGAGTCCGATCTTTTTGTTGCTTCGATGATGAAGGTGCTCGTATCGACAGATTTGAAGGTCGACGACTTTTTGCCAATGTCTGTGCTGGAAGCTCTTCTGCTGATACATTTGGAATAGCGGCATTGATAATACTCATCAAGCTTTTATATTTCTTGTCCGAAGCAGAGGCATGTAGTACAGGAAGATGACCCGAGACTCTTACTTTTGTCAAATTTGGCGCTTTGGGTATGATTGATGTTTCGACAATGAAATCAATATTGATCTTCTCGACAACGCGCATCGAGTGAGGATCATCCTTTGCCGTCACTTGTGCTTTCGTAACCTCAATGGATGGTCCAATAAGAACTTGTGTATTGGAAAGCTTGACCACGAATCTATCGTACATGAGAGATTCCAGGCGCTTGTAATCTGCCTCGGTATAAACCGTCTTCTGCTTTGATTGCACTTCGCGCATTGTTTCCTCATCCACAAGTTCGCTGTTCACACTGATATGACCAGCATCAAGAACAAGACAAGTCGTTTTCCTCGAGGTTATGTTTTCGGGCACAATGATAAGAGGTGCTTGAAGATCCAACTTGGCGTTAATTGTTTTGTGCTCCTCAAGCGCAAACTCAAGACCTGCTCTGGTCTGTTGTCTCAGTCCTTCTACTGTTGCTCCCGCAGATTCCATGAGAGCTCCAATAGACTCCATGTGCCTTTCTGGTGGCTTAAAAAATTGTATTATGCCCACAAGGAAATGAGGATTCCAAATAATCTCAAGCGGTTTGAGCTTTCCAGTTACTGCAACATCACCGCCATCGTTCAAAGGATTTGTTTCGACTTGGAATTGGAAGAATGGATCAGGGGTATCGTCTGATTCGTCTTCATCGCCGTTAAGTAAAAGCTTGGCTTTAGGAGTTTCAGGAGCATCTTTGACACGAACGATTTGAGGAAATAAACTTTCGGGAGTCGTGCCATCGTTCACTCTAAGGCCACCAAGACTTATATCCGCCAACATTGACTCCGGTCGCTGTAGGAACTTTGCTTTGAAGGCATCAAAGTAAAGGCTGAGAACTTCGACCGTATGATTATGAGGATCACGCTTCAGGGTAAAGCTACCGGTATTGAGTGATGCCTCAATTTGCATCTTAATCGTCTCTTTCGGTAAATCAACACTTTCCGCAATGGCTGTCTTCTCGTCCCAATCAATAGCATCATAAAGCTCTTTCCGCTGTTCCTCGGTCATAGTTGTCTCTTCGTCCTCCTCCTGGGCTTGTGGCTTCGATCCCCAGGCCCATGCAACCCAGCCTTGCTTTTGCTTCGGTGCTGCCTTTTTGATACCGACATTTTCTTTCTTCAATTGGTTCCTAGCCAAGGATCTCCAGAAGCGCATATCTTCATAATCGAGTTTCCACTCAAGTTGATCCAATTCATCGGTTTCATCAGGGGATAGTGGTTCGGCTTGCTTCTTCTTTTTCTTAAAGAGCTCAATGTACCGAATCCGATCATCTCTTCTCTCCTTGAAGTAGGCCCATGACCAACGACGATTGCGTTCATGAATCTTACTTAAGATAGCATTACCAGCGAATTTGAACCAAGCCCGTGGATCTTCCTTTGGTCGAACACCTTTTGGTTGAAATTTCTTATATTCCTGATGAAGGAGAAAGTAATGGAATAAGTCGACCATCATTAACGCATCCCGATATTGATTATCATCAAGAACAACTCCAATTTCATCGAACAACAGGCCGGCCTTCATATGGGGTACTTCTATCTTACCACTCTTGTCCATCTCCAGCTTCATCTGACCACTAACAGGCTTCAGAATGAATTGATGGTTGGCCTGTTTTGGATCTTCGCCTCGCACAATCATTTCTTTAAAGCTCGACAACATTTCATCATGCGACGCAACCCCCGTCGATTCAGCTACCTCTGCTTCCCTTCCAGTGCTCAACAACTCTGTATCCGTATTCCAATACACAGCTAAAGCACCCAGAGTGGCAAGTTTATGTGTGGTTCCGGAAGAGTTTTGTATGTATGTCGGTTTCCAATTACCATCCGTACTAATAGCACTGAACTCTTGTAATGTGAGACCGAGAGCAAATGGGTGACCAGGCGCTGAAATCGAGTCTTCATATCGTACGTGAATATTCTTGACCGTGATCTGGAGATTGTCAATGATTTTAGTAACCAGACTATCCGTGAAGCTCTGATTCTTCTGCTGTTCTTCTAGACTCATGCCCTCTTGACTTCGATCCTTCAACATCTCGGCACTATCCAACTTCTCAATCTTAACAGCCTGCCTTCTCCTCTCCTCCTCTTCTTCATCCCACTCTGCATCTTCCTTCGGCGAGGCAAGCACATAGATATCTTCGATTTCGACTTGAACCGGTTGGCCCCGCAGATTCGACCATGGTATCTTTAAAGTGAGTTGCCCCAAATGTCCTTCGACCACATTTATAGGTAGCTTTAACTGATCCAACGCCTCCCGCCGTAGCTCCAGATCTCGCAGCTTAACATCTCCCGACCAGATTCCCACTTTCAGCTGTCCAGGATCGAAATTCCGTATGTACATACCCAGGAATCGATTGAGTAACGATGCAACCAAACCTTCCAACATCTTGAGTTCCTGTTGCCGTCACCCGGGCCGGGAACCTTTGGATTAATTTGTTCGAAGAGTGGTTGTTGGCATCCGCGACGGTGGATTTGTGAAGATTATCGTGGGGAAGATAGATTTGCGATGATTTAATCCATTACTTTTGGATCGATTCGTTCTGGGTGTTTCGTGGCGGATCTCGATTCGTTCTGTTGTATTGTAATTGTACCTAGGTATGGATGGTGATGGTAAAGAGTGGATGTATCATAAGAGAGGGGTATCTAAAAATCACCCAATGTCCCACGCGTTTGTAAATATTTGGATTCAATCGACATCAGTAAAGGCAATCACGAATGAATGGTCAAGATCGGAAAGTCAACCACTTTTGGTAATGATGTAGAATGATGGAATCCACTTTGAACATAATGAACATAATGTAAAAGCACCTAGGTATATAGTCATACATAAAATGCCACGTGAAATTCATTGAATATAAAAACCTGAAATTCTTCCCGTCCTTCCAAAATCCTGACCACCGAAGCTGACCCTTGCATACCTTGCATTGTATTCAATTCATTTCTTTATGGTGGAGTTGGCACAGCTGGGAGCTGTCAAATGATGACGTATTCACAGATAATTTTGAATTCCTCTCTCCTGGAAAATTGAGACGAAGATCTTACTTGGACAGTACAGTAAAAGGTATTACGAAACTAATCTTACTTTGTATTTTGAGATCCATTATCGTGATTCTTACTGGTATCAATCAAACATTCTATGTAATCGTTCCCACCACATCTTCAAAACTCTTCAAAACTACCCCTCCAAAACAGCTCCATCAAATTTTCCCGGTTTGTTTGCCCTCTATTTTCTAACCAGCTCCAGGAAAACTACAAGTATTCAGTCAATTCAATCATTCTTTTATTTCTATTTTTCTTTCCTCTCAATAATTTCTCATACCACTCACCACACCCCTTCCTAAAAAATTAATATTAAAATACTTCCCACGACACCCACTCCTATCCATTGATTGATTTCTTGAACCAAACCATACGAACAAACATCGCGGAGCAAGATCTCAAACCATACAAACCAAAACTATGCTTCGCACAACTGCCACACGCTCTCTTCTAAAGAGCCTCACAAAACTTCCCACCTCTCGAGCAACCTATTCTCAAACCACCTCAACCCTCAAAACCCCCTCTACCTTTCGCACCTCGATTTCCAAACGACCTTCGCTAGCACTCTCCTCTCGTCTCTTCTATGCCACCAAATCCGAACCTCCATACATACCCGACCAAATAAATACCCAAGAAGAAGCCGCTTTAAAAAAGCAAACCATTGAACCACATCCCGAAGCTGTATCATTAAAATCCTCCGTCCGTCCTGTATTCGAGGAAAAGCCACATCATGAAAGCCATGGATCGGTAAAAGATGATTTGGAAACTATCAAGGAAACATTTGCTCTAAGAGAAGTTCCTAGGGAATCTCTAATAATCGGTGCGGCGGGTGTTTTACCATATGCTGCTACATCGGCTTCTACAATCTATTTGGCTTATGATATTAATCATGCTCATGCTACTGGACAAGGCATTTTATTTTCACCTGAGACGGCTCATCAATTGTTGGATTATATTACACCTATTCAAGTTGGATATGGTGCTGTTGTAAGTTTTCTTTCTTTCCAACCCATCAATTAATGCTAAATCTCCCGTCAGATTATTTCTTTCCTTGGTGCTATTCATTGGGGTCTCGAATACGCGGGCTATGGCGGACACCACAGCTATCGTCGATACATGATCGGAGTTGTAGCTCCAGCAGTAGCATGGCCCACTATTCTCATGCCTGTCGAATACGCACTAATTACCCAATTTACCGCCTTCACATTCCTATATTTCACTGATGCGCGAGCAACAGTTCGAGGATGGTGTCCTCCTTGGTACAGCACATATAGATTTGTTTTGACATTTATCGTTGGAGCGGCCATTGTAGCAAGTTTGGTGGGTAGAGGAAGAATTATTACTCATGATAGACAATTGAAGAGTTCGGTGGATTATGTCAAGGAGGATAGGGATAATCAATGGCTTGCATTGGAACAAGAGGAGAAGATGAGAAGGGCGAAGTTAGCAGAAGAGGAAAAGGCAGCCGAGGAAGATGAAGCAGAAGGTGAATCTGAGGATGAGGAAAAGAGTGATGATAAAAAAGAAGATAAGAAGGAAAGTAAAGACGAAAAGTAAGATGACATGGAATCACCTAATGATTGTATATACCCACATTGCCTCCTCATCTTTTCATTTGTCCTCCAGTCAATTAATGTCTGATATCATTATCAACTCTTTCACACAAAAGCATTTTCAAATGATTAAGCTTAACAATTCCACGGCAAAAAGAACCTTTTCATTCTATGCGGTATCGCATATCCTCCATTCCCGTATATTTAAATACAACCAAATATTTCCCTCCACCCGAAACCAAAACACAACATCCATCCATCCCATTTCTCTTTCCTTCCTTACAACCAGAGTAATTACAAAAAAACCAAACCCAAAACCCAAAGTCGGAAGACTGGCTATCCTATCCACTTCCCCAGCCGCCTAGTATTATTGATATAATTGTTACGAGGTTTGCCGTCTAGATCACGTGAAAGTGCTCTAGGCTCTCGAGGTAGTTTATAACTAGGCGTCAAGCAGGGACTTAAAGTAATGACAATAATGATATGCAATTCGTAACTAATAGTAGAGTATACTAAATGATTGATCTTGAGCACAAAGCTCTATACAAAGGAAATCCATACTGAATATATAGATATTCATGCTCCCTTGGATCCTTCTGGATCCTCAAGCTCCAAAAGCTCCAAGTCACGTGTTTTCTGACAGTGCGTGCGCATACGATCCTAAGTGACCCAGATCACATATTAATTCGATGAAAGCTGATCGCTTTTGCACAAGGCCCAAGCTCTCCTAATTAGTCAGTTGTTACTATCGTAACATTAAGGCTTTATCACTGGTATTCACTTGGAAGTGAATTCGTTACTAGATCAAGTAGAATGTAGATAAACTAATTGATAACTAAGTTGAGCACGAGGCTCCTATACTATGAAACTATTCTGACTATATACTAAATCTTTTCCTGGAGCCCTGAGGAGCCTATGCTCCTGGAGGCTCCATCACGTGATCCCTACTTGCCTCAGGACACTAATCCTGGGACGATTCGCAACCTAGGATAATATAGCTCCTAGGATAATTGTCCTGGGGGAATTATTATCCTAGGACACTTGTCTTCATACCTATGTGGTTGCCTAACCGTTTATCCTAGGGTCGTTATTATCCTAGGACACATTTTATCCTAGGACACTTGTCCTAGGATTCCTTATCGATAAGGGAACCGCGGGAAACAGCGGCGCAAACCCCGATACTTGGTTTTATTGTATAATAATAGTCGTGGTTCGTGACAGATACGTGAATCCAATTAAAGTGTGATATAATAGAATTAATAATGAATTAGAACATCGAGCCTCTCAAAAGACCTTATAAGACCTCATATCAAAAAAACTGATAGTAGCAAAATGACTCAAAGATAAGCCGACTAACTTGGAGTGTGTAGAATCACTTGAACCTTCCAAGTGGATGAAATGATGAATTTTTCATCACTTTATATATATACACTTACGTCAGAATTAGACATTGTGCATTAGATATCCTGATACCAACTTAGATGTAAAAGTTATAAATTCCAAATCCAAAAGTTTCATAGGAATAATAAACTCTACTACTTAATCAATTATCCGAGAGAAAAAGCATACAAGACCAATTTACATACGTGAAAGAAACAATCAAAATCAAGATGTGCAATGAAAAGGAATCTAGGGAACTACCCGACTACCTAACCACCCGACAATCTGAGACAAACAAAGAGGCGTGCAGGATGGGGACGAGTAGAGACAAGGAGCATACAATCAATTCCAAATACCATTCAACAATTACAATGTCTTTATCGGAAAGGAACATCACATCCAGGATATCGACTCCGGCGGAGTGGGAGTTCCAAATCTCAATGCAGATGAACATTATCTCTAGCCTGTTGCAAATATTGATCATATTGTAATTTTGGGGAGGGAATTGAAATAACACAAATATATCTGCCGTTAAGAATACCATACTACACTTTGGGCATATGGATGTAAGTTCCAGCTAGCAAATATTCAACATATCGATTAGAAACTCATAATGTGATGACATTCATATATTGATATCTTTCAATATCAAAACGTGGAGCTGGTATAAGCTTCACTTAGGGCCTTAGCACCTGCACGTCATGGCAAGGGTCGTCATCACTAGCATGTGAACTTTCCCAAAAATTCTAGAGTCATCAAGGCAGCCTTCCAAGATACTGAAATAAAGGGAAGTACCTACTGGAGTGACGGGACTTACTACGCTCGTAAGAATGTTACCAATTCCGGGATTTAATTCCTCATACCGGAATCACCTTTTTGTATCATGCCCTCTAAGTGAAGATTAGTGTGAGCAAACGACTAAATTCTCGCCTTCCTTCTGTTCATCCTAAGCGATATTTCCTGCACTGCGATTTCAATGTAACACATCCGAAAGTGCCCCGCCGATTAGAAAATGAACTCAAGGATAATAATAAGTTGGGGGTATACTAATGAGATTCCGCTCATTGGCCAAGATGGATCTTTTGAAAAAGTTTTATCCATCCACTCCAGCCTTAAATTTGTTCGGGGCTCCAAAAGAACGAACTTATCACATGGGATAGAAAGTTGGGCAGCCACTAGGCTCGAACCCAGTAATAAGTAGCATGAAGAATGATTTCCGCAATGATGAATTTCTTTCCTCGAGTCCATCAAGATATGTTCGTACAAAATTAGCAAACCTTAAACCTTACTGTAGTAGAAAGATCGCGGAACAGATTCATAACAACAAAAAACCTTAAAAAGCGTGATCGATCATGACGTCTAAGATCATGTCGAGTTTAATGCAAATGAAATTGGGGATGTTGTCCAGTGTGAGGCGAATAAGATTGCATTGGATGGATAGATGCATCCTAGCATGAGAAACTGTCGCATCGATTCCCTAGCAAGAACTGTGATCCCCGATGCGGAAGACTGTTTTCATTGGTCAGGAATCGTTCGGGATGCAACGAAGCTTTCTGAAATTTTTCTTCTCAAATGAATTGTATGTGCCCATTTGCGGATCTATAAACACATGCCGTGTGGCGTGATATGTACGCCGAGTATTGCATGTATCCTCGCGTACTTTGTAACCGTATGTAAGGCTTGTTATGTGCAAACAAGTGTTTTCGGCATCGGGAAAGTCGGAGACCGCGGGGCACACAGGCTTAACTGCCAACCTTACCTAGGATTTACCTTGCTGTATTCATGACGCCAAACTTTTCTTCTCGTCGCTGTGACTCCCAATCTGACAGGCACAACAACAACAATAATCGTGAAATCCTAGATTGGATTTGGTCTCGGTGCGGCATTAGCCAGATCCTTGAAGGAATTCTATGATGAAGATCATCTGCATGGGGTCCATTTGATCGTGACCACTTTTTCAAAAACCTAAAAAGCTTGTTCGTGGTATCATGAGAAAAATCATGTTGTTTTCCCCCACTTAAAAAACTCATTTGCCGAAAAACATGCATGCTAATCGTCGTGCATCCTTGGCTTCCGTCGTCTTCAAACATCATTCAAAAGTAGAAAATCTTATCAACATTTTAGGTGAAGATGATACACATTGCCTGTCTTCTTGATCACTTCCTGAATTCCCTACTTGTCACCGAGGCCCCCTTGATAAAGGAAACCGTTGGGCTGACTCACTTTGCAATTGATTCGGTGCAACATGCTAACCGCTGACAACCTCAAACAGCTCCCGCGACAACCCCTCAATTTGCCCAAAGTCTAGATGGTCTGCAATAACCTGAGTCATTTCGTATGCTTGTCTGCATCTGCTGTCATACGCTTTTTGGTTGGTGCGCCCGATGATCATTGGTTGACAAAATAAGCTCTACACCATACTCCGGCATTTGATATGGCATTCATGCAATGAAATGAGAGCATGATGGTCATCAAGGTGCCATAAAAAGCTCGGGACATCCGGAAGTGGATACGCAATTAAAAAAGAAATATCAGACATATATGTGTGTATGTATATATATACATTAGCCATGTTGAATCATCTTGCTTTGCTTTGCTTTGCTTATGGTATCTTCTTCCCAAACCCATTTGGCCTTTCCGACATTCAATACCGTGTCTTGCAGCATACTATCATCGTTTTTGAACACCATCCTGATTCAATACCGTTCAATCATGTCTTCCAAAAATTCTTCACGAGAAAGGAGCTGTGAAAGCGAAGTTCGTAGCACAAGATCGACACCTGGAAGAGACACTCGAAGTCCTTCACCCCTCGCACAAAATTCGAATGAACTCCCAGACATTATGAGGTCACGGATTTTAGCCAGCCCAAAAGAGTCCGATGCAGAATGCTGGGAAAGAATGTTGGCATTGCAGAAGGAATATCATTGTTATCAATCTGCAAGATTGGAAGCTGCTGTAGAAGCTTTGGAAAATGGTTGGCTTCTTGAGGATGTCCCTAGACGTCAGTATAATCTTCGAGTGGAATGAACAAAAGCTCACACAACCACAGCATCTCGACTTTGCTTGGATCTCATCAACGATGGTTTGAAAGCTCAAATTCAGACATTTGACACTTTTCGAGGAGATTGAATCGATAGAGGGAAGTTGTGATTGCGTCGTAGTATCTATGTTTGATGTAACAATGACGAATCTCATCACGGTGTAGTGCACCAAAACTTTTGGGGTGCTGGTTGCATTGTTGGTCATCACGAAGGCCAAGTAATGTTGGTGTTTTAGCGTCGGCGTTATGGTGTGGGTGAATCTGGATATGAATCCGCGACGATATAAGAAATCGATACCCACGGTCTGATGTTTTGGGTATGTAAATGCTTTATGGATAATCATGCGGATATGAATAAGTAATCGTACGTCGTTGCAGAGTATGGGATTGGAAGTGATCTTAGACACAATGGATTAAGATTATATATAACATATGAAAATATGAAGAATAACCAAAGTTGATCAATCGAGCAGTGAATCAGATTTCTTTATGTACTTCGAAAGAGCTTGGAAAGAGCTGAATACCTACCTAGGTTGGTAGGTAAAGTAAGTCTTACATTAGTTGGATGGAAAGGCATGCTGTACATTATCACGTGCTTTCTACATTAGGCAAGAGTGAGTGGGTGCGATTGCAAGTTGTCGCGACAGCACGATGCTTCATTCCCGGAAGGAGAAAAAGGAGAACAAACGAGGGGGGAAATGCCCTTCAATACTACTCACGCGAGAGGAGGAAAAGAATCCTTTGCATCAGCTTGTTCTTCTCATCATCATACATCTATCACGCAACTCTCTTCACATTCTATTCAAAATTGCATGATGCACGTTAATATCGTAAGTAGGCTCTGCAGACCAACATCTGGTTCTCATGGAAAATTGGAAATTACAATCTCGGGTCGTTGCTATGGTTCAGCTTCACTTCCATACACATTAGCTACGGCTGATCGCATATCCTCTACCAACCTCCTGTGATACACATCCTACCTTTTTTGAGTGTCGTATGACTTCAGCCCGATCTGGTTCCCAGCGGTCGAGCTTTGACATTTTCAGATCATGTTTCCGAACCGACCATCCTTTATGTTCGAGTACGTACCTGACTGACTGCATTGCTCTAGTGCCAACATGATGAGCCGCTCCTAGTTAGGCCCAGTCGACGTCTTGTTCATCATGGTGATGAGGCTTTTCACTGACCGGATATTCCATACATCCCCAGCTTTCGTAGGTATCACACAAATACCCGCGGAAGAGAGGAACCTCGGTTCGGTACGTCGAATGGTATCACGAATATATATATATATATTTATGTTTTTCATCCGTCCCGATTAGTGTTCGCAACAGATTGCGTACTATACTGCTTATTTTGATATCCTATGGCTTGGAATGACCTCTCATTACTTCTCATTTATAACAGCAACGAGGTTGAGAAGTGACAGATATCATTATCATATAACTTAGCCTTTTAGTATCACTAGATCATTCATTGTTAGTGAGTCCCCCTTTCCGCCTTGCAAAAGTGATGATCGACCACCCGCATAATCTGTGACCCCAATACGAATCCAAGTACTCCATACGTTTATCTGCTAATCTTATCAAAGCTTATCGTGACCTCGGGATCATCTGCAGCAAAATTGAAGCAGACAGACGCTTTCCAGGGTTATTCGACCATGAGAGCCCCGGCTGAGAGAACAGCAGAACAGAGATCCTTCCAGACTACTCTTTAAAGAATTTCCCAGGATTAACGAAGAAGCGATGCACAGAGGTACCCTTTCGAAGAATGAAGCTAATGAGTAGCTGGCGGAGGATTATTAAAATAACTGCCAATAATGTACTTCGCATGCAATGAGGCATCCTCCAGTAGCATGGCATTGACACTACCATGTAGATAACCGCGGAAAAGCCTCGTGGCAAAATTGGTCTCAACAATGAGTTCTCTTCATAGTTCCAAGGGAGCTTTTGCATTTTGTATTTCTTCAACCCTGCCAAGAATATGGTACAAGTCATTCCAAGTCATACCCAAACATGATCTGTCATATCAACACAGATATCTGGAACTTTTTCTGACCGTCTAGATGATTCATACTTTCCAAGTGATATCTACCGCTACATAACATCATTATTCCGTCCGTCAAAACAAACTGCAAATCCTGAGTAACCAAAAAACAATCCGGATCCAAACCAAGACCTCAGATTGCCTCGGTGATTTCTCTATCCAGGAATAAGGCTTGTCTCACTTGATATCTGCTGTCAAAGAAACTTCGATAAGAAGCCTAGCAGCCGGGCAAGCTTGCAAGGATAGCGATAAAGCTATTGCTGAATCTTTTCGACAAATTCGATACCTTACGCTATCAAGTAGTTCGTGAAATTCAAGATTGCATCTGATGCGCATGAATCCAATAAGTATCCTCTAGGACTTTCTGTCTCACCGAAGCAATCAACGAAAAGTAGAATATATGCTTGTTAACTAGGGGCTCCTTCATGTTTTTGACTCTCGCCATCCCATTCTCCGTACCGTTCTCGCACCACTTCTCATAAATTATACACAACTTGTTATCACTGACTTGCCATCGACCAATCATAACAATTCTGCCTCCGCTGTCAATCCATAAACCGTCTGAACAATTTTCTCGAAACCCTAGCCATGGAATACAGAAGAAGTTCGATGGTTATGAACCGAAAACAACAGGCTAGTACAAACCCTCAGATATATGCTAGTTTCGCCGGTGCTGGTGTCCCCCGGACCTCAAATGGGATTTTGGACGACATGCCTACAATGTGGTGGGATGAGGAAAGAATTCACGCCACCGTTACACGACAATTTGTTTCATCAAAATTGCATCCAGACGAGCAAGAGCGTCTGGATGAGCCATTGGGTTTCGGTGATGGCTTGACCGATGACACATACATGGAATGGATTGAAGAGAAGGCGAAAAAGATATTCTTGATCTTGGTGGAGCTGGGTGTGCCTGATCAAATATTTGGAGTCATTGATGATTCATGGGGCGATGATGATCTACCGATACCGATGGACCAAGTTGAAAGACTACAATTGACCTACGATCGAAACGAAAAGCTAGAGAAGAAGTTTTTCCAGCGTCAATTCAACTATCTCCTAAGATATGTCGCTAAAGGCGAACATATATACTACGATGATGTAGAAGTCGTACCGCTAGAGCCAGTCGAAAAAAGAGCCGCTGGAACAGTAAGTAGTCTTCTTGCGAACAGTTTTGATAAGGTCCATTTACCTGGCAGGCCAGACACCGTCTTTTTACGCCGACGAATACTCCTAGGTAGCTCACCAGAACGAATGCTACACGAGGAATTCCTCTCGGGCGTCGAAGCAATGAAAAGGGTTGACCACGTACACCTCACGTCATTATGGGCTTCTTATATCCACCAGGATAAGGGCTACCTACTCTTGACTCCAGCAAACGCCAATTCGCTCAAATCCTTTCTCACCATTATACCTCAATCCTTCAAAATCCTAGCTAAGCAGGACCGCCGTGTTCTTATTTTGAATTGGCTTCACTGTCTGGCTGGAGCTGTGTCATTTCTTCATAGCAAAGGTCTTTCGCATCGTAACATCAAGCCCTCAAATATCATGCTCGACCTTGACAATCACATCTTTCTGGGAGATTCGGGCGTCTTCACTACACATGTCCCTATCGAGGAAAAAAGTGGCTTTGATAAAGAGGCCTATGATTACTCCGCCCCGGAACAGAACCATTATACGGCAACCTCCACTTCTAGCCTGCCCAATACCCGGTCGGTATCGTCGCGTCCACCGGCATCTAGCAGGTCAGCCTGTGTCCCTACTGATTTTTTATTTCAAATCCCTACAATGCCATTGTCAAATGATTCATCATCTGTTCATACAGTCTCGACTGGTTCGCGATCAGAAGGCTCAGGTCCAAGCCACATTGGAAGAGACAGCAGAGCTGGTAGACACGATCCACAGAAGGCCGATGTATTTGCTTTAGGGGCTATCTTCACCGAAATCATCACATTTCTTATGAAGCGATCGACGAGGAATTTTGCCTCGCATCGATCGTCCAAGCACAAGACCTCGGGTCATGGTGGCGGAGTTCCAGATTCAAGCTTTCATAAGAACCTGGGACAAGTAGATAGCTGGATGAATACACTTCTCAAAGATGCCACAAAGAAGGAAGACAAGATCTTTCGAGGTGTTTCTCAATTAATCGCACTTTTCCAACGAATGCTCTCACCCGAACCAAACGATAGGCCATCAGCAAGCGAAATTCAGGAGAGAATCTACGCCATATTGACAGAGAATTGTGGCTTAAGAGATAATCCTGGAGGCAATAACTCAGAAAGAGGAGAGATACATTGCGGAACCCGAATCACAGAAGACCAGTGGAACTTTGGCTTTGACCAACTGCGCCTCGCAAGCCAAAGAGCCGCGGCAGAAGCATGTGCTTCCGTCGCCGGGGATACGATGGCAAACCTCCCGCTTGGTAACGGAGGTGTAATCTACGGCGTAGAAAGAGTAGCCACCGTAGTGAATAACGGCATACCTTTGTCATCGATGGGAGCGAGAGAAGGTGATCGTGTAAGCATCAATACGAAAACGAGCAGCGGCAAAAGCAGCGAAGGGAAAGGCAAAGCCGCCGGACAGGAAAAAGCAAGACCTAAAGCAAAAGCTTGGCAGGCTCCTGTTTATGCTGGTATGTCATTCCAATGTTTCTCGCTCGTATTCTTGAGTGTATATGTCTATACTAACAATTGGCGCGCAGAGCTTAGTTTCGGCTAACCCCCTAAGTCTCGGACTCGCGTTAAATTTCGACCCACCCGCAATGAGAGATGAATTTTCATAATAAAATTTTTGGCCAGCATGAGAAAGGAGAGAAAAGCGGGTTTTTACGAACAGGAAGGGAGTTGAATTAGTTAATACATGTCATTACTGCTGGTAATGGGTTTGTGCGATAAATTTTGTATCCTCGAGCTCGCTTTCCCTATTCTTTTCTTTTTTTTTTTTTTTTTTTTTTTGGATGGGTGGATGGGAATGAGGGGTGGAAACTCGTCAACGGATGAAGATGATTACAATTTCAAATTAGTATCAGTATGAGTATGAGGTGAGGTGATATGATATGATATATTATGATAATATGCGACACGATCTATGAGATGGAATGCCATCTTCTTCATGGCGTCTATTTTTGCAGTGTATAGCTGCTTCAGGTAGCGAAAAACGAATTTCTGGCAGGGAAAAATGAGCTTTGGATGGATGGGTGAATAATCTAATTAGGATATGGAAATGGAAGCGGGAACGAAACGGAAAGGAAACTGGGCGATTATGAGTGATATATATAAATTTATATTTGATCATCTTTCCATTTTATAATTTTATAATGTGCATTTTAATCAAAGTCATCGTTTTTATCCAGTTCTTTCGTTCAACTGGTATGTGACGAACACTATGCCTATTGTACTTTTTCGTCCGATTTTCAAAACGCGAAGCCACGAACTTCGATCCCATCGTTGTAGGAAATTCACAGCTTAGATTTAGTAGACGCTCCCCTTGATACTTTTGTCCAACTTTTCAGCTTGTTGAATCTCAAGGAGTTCGGGGCTCGGCTCCCCACCCTCATCACTCTGTGCACCAGCATCATCATCTCCATCATCACTTTGATCCCCCAAAGCATCAGCCTTGACCCCCTTTCCCATCCCACTTGATTCTTCTCTTGTCAATTTCCGCGATAACACTGAGATACCCAACGTATTATTCGCATTCCGTGCCCTCGCTAGCCTTTTCCTAACATCTTCTTCTGCGCTGAACTCGGCGTCACTATTAGCACCACTAGCGCTTCCACCTCCATCTCTACCACCGTGGCGTATGCCAAGCAAATCACTGGGACTTTGAATGCGACTACGTAATCGGTCTTCTAGACTGATAAAACTGGGTGTTCCATCGGGACTGCTAACTGTTTCCTCAAGACTCTTTTGAACATCTAATTCAGGCGGGCCCGCTTTACCTCTGGGGTCGTCCTCGTCTTCATCGGAGGAAGATTGCCAGCGACGTGCTGCCGGTCGCCGGGATGCAATTGTTTCTATGTGTGTTGATGAAGTAGACGCTGAGAGGATTGGGCGACCATTGAGTTGCATTGCATGCATGGAGTTCTCTTTTTTGTAGTGATGCTTTCCATGGTCGCATCCATTCGGACAACCACCCCATCTCTTATGTGTTGGTATAGGGCTAGAAGGTCCCACATGGGAGCGCCCTGCCACTAGCAATTTATTCTCCTTTTCCTTATCCTTTTCAGATATTTGCCCATTTTCGGGCGTCGAAGAAGAGGTCTTGGCGGCGGCGGCAATTGCAAGACGTTCCTGTTTTAGCTGAGACCATGTGCGTAGTTGATTCTCTAATATGTATTTTCCAGAATCGTCAGACTTGCGCATGATGAGGAACTCGCAGTGATTGACGTTTCGGAGATCTTCGAAATATTCCACTGAGAAATGATACCATTTCATCAGAAAGACGCGGGACATGAGCCCATGAGTCACTACCATCCAGTCTTGTCAAAATTGTGCCTAAAAAGTCCAGAGGGCAAAACGGACCTAAAACACAGACACTTGCGAAATCATCATCTCCAAACTGTCTCCACAGACTCTCGTTGAACCCACTTACTCTGTCATATGCATCCGCTGCGCTCTCTCCATTAGGGATTCTATAGAAAAAGTGCCCATAATCTGCTCGTTCCTGCCACATTCTCTCCATTTCCGCACTACATGGTTGGAAATTACCAAAGTCCTGCTCACGCAAGCGAGGCTCTTCGTACACCTTTATAGAATGCCTGGGAAATGGTGAAGGACTCGGGGAGTCAGAGGTCAGGGTGGACAGAATACCTTCTGTAGTTTCACGGGTTCGTCGATAGGGGGAAGTAAAGAAGTGGAGGGTGTCATCTGGACGTAGGAGATTTCGAAGTTGTAAACCAGCTTCATGAGCCTGTGTCCAGCCTTCAGGAGTGAGCTTTACTCTGTGATCGGGTATGGTTTGGTGAATATCGCGGTTTTCTGGATATGTTAGCTAGAGACCCATAGCAAGGCTGTAGCCTCATGCACGAAAGAAAGTATGGGAGCATACTATTTCCCTCTGATTGTGCATGTCTGATTAAAATGATCATGCGAGGTTTTCCCATGATGGCAGATAAGAGCCACAGCCTTCCGTTCCCAGGGCTTTGTGTGTTGTACGGGAAAGTTTTAGGTAATAATAGAGCGAAATCCGAATAAGACTTTGTCTGTCTTTCTATTTGTAACTCCAAGCGAAGGGGGATTGGTTTTGTTCTGTAACAATACCGGGAGGAAAGTACAGTGCAAGTTGTTTCAAGTTGCCGCCTCTCCTAGTTGATCATTTGTTATCGTATCCTCTTATCTTGATGAATGTGATTTTGACGAAAAAGATATACTCCGTATGAATCTGAATGGTATTTGGCGGGGCTACTCGGTAGACTTCAGATTAGTCAGGGCTCGGGGAGACAGACAAGGCTGTAGTAAATAAAGCAAAACCTTGTTCATCGAAACTGAAAATCACTTCACTACCTGACACAACAATAATTACATTGGACAAACAATGGAACTTCTGCCATTGACTTTATAATACATCCTTGCATCCGTAATTACAACACAAACTTTTGGTGTGAAAAAGTATCAGTCAAAAACACGCGTCCACATATAAATTCATATAAACGGATATACCATCAAGGCTTCCTCGACCATGTCTGAAAACATCCCCGAATCCATTCCCACTTCCGCAGACCCACGTTCTAAGCGCCCCCTCAAACGTCGTGCAATTTCCCCTCGTTCAGAAACTGCCTCTCAAATTCACAAGTTGATGTCCGCACCCGAACGCAAAATCTCCGAGACGGCGGCTCCAGTGGTGAAGGTATCGGGAACCGTCCCTGAAATAGTGCAGAATGTGCAAGGAAGTTCTGCAGGAGCTGGATCGGGGGAGTTCCATGTGTACAAGGCGAGTCGAAGAAGGGAATATGAGAGATTGAAGGGGATGGATGAGGAGGTTAGAAGAGAAACGGAGGCGGAGGAATGGGAGAGGGAAAAGAGGGAGAGGGAGGAGAAGGATGCAGAGAAGACGAGGAAGGCTAGAGAGAAGAGGGAAAGGAAAAGACAGAAGAAAGGCGACAAGAGTGACACTTCTGGTGCTGGTGGTGCTGGTGGTGCTGGGGCACAGGCAGGGAAGATCAAGCCTAGGATTGATGCGAATGTCAGAGTAGATGATAAAAATGAGGACGCTGGAATAGAAGTTGTTGGGGAAGGGCAAGCACAAGTCGGCGTCATCATCCACGACGATGATTGACAGGCATTCGACGGTACATGAGCTCAATTCTCCCAGTCATTTTCCATTTCTGCACGGATAAGGATGGTCACGAGTATTGGAAGAAAGGTCAGATTGGGTGTATTGGCTTGATTTCTATTCGTTTACCATGAGCATGAACAAACATTCATGAACTGTGAGCTCTATGCCATGGTTACAAGGGTATGCTCAACCATATCAACATCGCTTTTTTTTATACACTAACATCTGAAGATTTATTCCTCCCCACCGCCAGGTGCGCCTGGTGCTCTTGCTGCCTTCGCGCTGCAAATATCATCAACCCTCAGGAGAAGGCAGGCAGACTGAAATAAATTAGCTGCAAGCGTTTGAAAAGTGACAAGCATAGAATCACATACCTCAACTGCAGTCTTGATACTTTGTAATTTGACAGCCTCTGGCTCCCAAACACCGTACTCATTCATATCAACCAAAGTACCCTTGTCACCGTCAATACCCCATGAACTTCCACCTTCGGCATGCTTTGCTCTCAGTGCAGTGAGAACTCTAACCGGGCTTTGCCCAGCGTTTTGAATCAAAGTTCTTGGAATGACTTCCATAGCTTCAGCTACAGCCTTGTATGGCCATTGCTGTACACCCTCAATGCTCTTTGCGAGTTGACCCAATCTGACAGCTACAGCCATTTCAGTAGCACCTCCTCCAGGCGATAATCTGGGATGGAACATAACATTTCGTGCAACCGCCATGGCATCGGCCAAGTTTCTGTCAATTTCGTTCAAGATATCTTTAGATGGGCCTCTCAATAAGATAGTGCATGCCTTGGGTGATTTGCATTTGGTTAAAAATGTGAAGTATTCATCACCAATCTTTTCGATCTCAAAAAGACCACACTGGGTTCCAACGTCAGATTCTTGCAGGTCGTCCACTCTGTTGACGACAGTTGCGCCGGTTGCACGAGCTATTCTGTTGTTGTCTGTTTTTCGGACACGACGCAGTGCGGTAACGTTGCCCTTCATCAAGTAATGTTGTGCGAGATCTAAAGTTCATGAGCCAAAGCTAAAAAGGAACCGGGCGAGCAAACATACCAGAGACACCTTTCTCCGTAATAACCAGATCAGGCTTGAGAGCAAGAATAGAATCGCACATAAGCTTGACCTGCTCCTCCTCAATCTGCAAAATCTTATTCCAGTCGTCCTCTTTGCTAATCTCGATGTTTGTCTGTGATTCTCCCTTCTTGTATTCCAGTGTGCAATCTAATAAGATAATTCTTGGATTCTCGATTCTTCGTCTCATCTTCGGGTGGGTAATATCTTTGTTCAGCATAACACCGTCCAAAACTCTACTGTCCTCGATTTCTCCGCCTGGAATCTTCTCAACTCTTGCATAACGCTTAATATCAACCTCTTTCTTGCCACCTCCAATTTCGTGGGTTACTGTTCGTACAGCCTTGAGGGCTAAGCTGCACATCAGTTCAGACCATCTGGAAACGAATTTTGTGCCGATCGAGGATGAGATGAGTTGGTACATGGCCTTGTCATCATTGATGTCGACTGGAAGAGAAATTTCTTCAATAATCTCGAGAGCATCTTTCAGCGCAGCCTTGAAAGCGGAAATAATAACAACTGGATGGATATTTCTTTCTAATTGTGGGAGAGACTGTGCCAACATTTCACCAGCTAGAAAATATCAGCCCAAATTATTTTGAATTCCCAGGAGTATTCGTACCAAGAATAATAACACTAGTAGTTCCATCTCCAACTTCCTCATCTTGTGTTCTGCTCAACTCAATCATACTCTTTGCGGCGGGATGTGACACTTCGATTTCTCTAAGAATGGCATGTCCGTCATTTGTCAAAACTATACCTCCCATAGGATCTAACAACATCTTCAGCATCGCTTTGGGGCCTAAACATGATCGAATAATATCTGCAACACTGTTGTATATCAGTTCTGAATGTTGAAATGGCGGGGTGCTCGAGAGGTGCTGTGAAGAGCTCTTACGTTTTGGCTGCGGTAATGTTCGACATCTGGGCTTTTCGGCCAGTTTGCCTATCACCACTCTGGGTGTCTGAAAGCTATAGTCAGCGTTCCCGCCATTTTCTAAGGATGAGGGGTAGCAAAGAAGAGCTTCAAACGCTTTCAAACTTACTCATCACTACTACCGGTGCCTGCATGTTTGAAGGTCTCTTGGATATCTGCTTTGGAGTTACAGGAGTGATTGGCAAGAAGGACGACAAACAAAACGTTTTTGTGTGTAGTGGGATGTTGTAGGGCCGTTTGAATGAGTTCCCATTGCTCTGCGCGTTTACATCGCGTCTGCGACAAATTTCTTGATGCGGTGTGCACGGACCATATTACATTTTTGAATATTGTCGTTCGAAGATGCTGAGTCAGCATGCCTGAACAAATAACTACACAGCTCATGAACATCACGTGCTCACATCACCGTTTAAGATTCGAACTTTGATTGGCCTTTTTAAGTGTGATTGACCGAGAAAGTCAGTATTTGAGCTCTTTTCATTCATTTAACTATATTAATACACAATCTGAATAATTGCGAGCATCCTTTATTTGAATTGCCAATTAATTACGACGGGATTCCACTTCAATGTAACGTTATTATATAAATTTTCATCGATTTATCTCCATCACAATCCAATTCTCCCGCCCAATATGATTGTTTTTGCTAGATCCGAACTCTAGAGATCACTTCTAAAAATCTTCACTCTTCATGTCGAGCTCCAATCCCTTAGCTGCAAGTAGCCCTGCATGTAGCCCTGCATGTATGACGTCTCTGTGGAAAGTAAGCATTTAAGCATTATAGTCGTGTTTTCAAGGACCAAAACATTCGCAGACCAGAATTTCCCCTCGAGTCTGCGAGGCTCTCCTGTTGTTACATCTTTCTATCTAAATGCCCAGTGAAAGGAGCCATAATTCCATGATCCATATCGATAGTCTAGTTGTTTACATGGGGTCGATTAGCAGAAATAAGGAACCTTCTAAACAACAGTCTCATTCTCAAATCTAAGTGCTACACTTTGAAATAACGAGCAAGCTTGTTTTAGCCGAGGTTTCTATCTCTAAGGGAAGCTAGCAGTAATATTAGGGTTAAGCCTATATTTGTCTTCACCAAATTCGAATATCTTTCAATCAACATGGCCCCCTGCCCGAGCAAATTACAAACGAACATTCGTAGAGCTTCAAAATTTATCGCTTTCCATACCCAGCGAGAAAGATCAAGGAAACATTTTTACTGGTTCGAAGGGTAAATCTAGGGTCTACTAAATGGTGTGGTTAATGTATGTCTGTATATTTTGTATTTCTATATTCCCGTGGAGAATTCAAAATGTATGTTTGATTGTCATTTGTTTGATTTTCCTTGCTGTTATACAATGCGTCCCTTTTAGACAAATCACCGATGCTTAAATCGCCAGCCTGGAAATCCAGAAAACAGTTTAAAAGGTTTCTGGCATGAGGTCTTGGGCGGGTTCAAGTGCGGCCTTGAAGCTTCGAATAATTAATGCGAAGACAAGCCAGACCGAAGAATGAATGAGAGGGTTGAAGATGGAAGTCATGATATCTTGTGTATTTTCCCCCGGGTTCTGGTTATTTCTATTTCCCTATCGCTGGTTCTAAATAACTCCAATAGCTCTTCGTGACTTGTGGATACTATAGCACGTAATATCATGTTTATGCAAAACTTCCGAGGCCTATTCGTATCGACACGCCAAATAATCTTTGTATACTTAAATGTTCAAAGTTTTTAAATTTGTGCAGGAAATGAATGATTCCACACCAACTAGAAGCCCAAAAGAGGAAAATCGAGCGAATAGAACTTCGCTGCCTAACTCCGAAACTCCATTTGAACCTAAATTCATTTCTAGCACCTCGGGCAATTCCTTCTCGTTCACATCCTGTTTCCTCTTCACTGCATCATCAATTCTTTCCTGTCACTCGTCCTTTTCCTTGTCGAACAGCATTTCGGCGCACCTAACACCTGCTCTCTAATATAGCTCGTCGGGCCAAGAACGAAATTATTATGCTGTATTACGTATACCGTCTGTGTCGTCTTCGACTTCAACGATATTAACCTGAAGAACTTGTGAACTGGTGTCGTCTACTGGGACAAGGTGGTCGAATGTAACACCATAGTAATAAATGATTCTACTAAATGTTTATAAGTATGAGTAAATGGAGCTCTAATATGATTGTAATACCTTGTGTAGAACAGAATAGATGTGACGGAAACCCCTGCTTTCCTCCCACCCTTATTATATAAGAAACCTCAGGTACATTAACCATGTCCACACATGATACGATTACTCGGGATTAGTATACGATTTAGGTGGTCTGAGGATCAGATCCGGACAAGTACTAGGTATCAATGGTTATCGGTAAAGTAAGATCATTGGAGGGATAAATATGACTTCTTTTTGCCTAGCCATTGCGGCTAGGCCATTCATTTGTGTATATATAGAGTAGCTATCCTCATCTACAGGTGCTCTTCACCTGTAGATTCTAAGTTAAATACAATTGCTGGTCTATAAACACCCTTTTGGTCACAATAACTTTGAAAACTTGAAAGAATTTAATTTTAATAATATAAATAATATATACTTTAAAGTTCTCGATTTGTCGATTATATAAATGTTTTAAAATGTTAAAGTGAATGGTTCCTGCGTAGCACGTACACAGGGCACTAGTCCTAATAGGACTAGTGCCCTGTGCATGTGCTACGCAGGAATCATTCACTTTAACAAAAATTATAATATATTTTTGTTTTTGATAATAAAAAATAAATATCATCTTTCAAATTGATATATCAAAAATGTTTTATTATATAATTGATTTATTAAATCTATTATCAATAAATGAATAAATAATAAAATAAATTGTTAAAAGGAATAGAAGTTACCGGTACTAATCACGTGTCGTGATTAGTAATACGGTTACCTAAACAGGCTAGATTAGATGAACCATAAGCAGGCATATTGGTCCCCTCCGAGGATACCAAGAGGAGATTAATATGCCTACAGACGTAGTAATATAGTCAATATAGAGGCCTCTTCCACCCAATCTTTTAATATAAATCTTGAATAAATTAAATACTTTATCAAATATATTAAAAGTAGAAAAGTAAATAGATATCGAATACTAATGTTTAATGAGTATGAAAATTATAAATCGTCAATATTTCAAGAATACTATAAGAAATATAATTGTAACGATACTGTACCGGAGGCAGCGGCTGCCTGAGGTTTCGTCTGATTGGTAGTTGTGGGTTAAGGCTTTATCACTAGTCTTCACTTGGAAGTGAAGTCGTTACTAGATCAAGTAGAATGTAGGTAAACTAATTGATAACTAAGTTGAGCACGAAGCTCCTAAACTATGAAACTACTCTGACTATATACTGAACAATAAAGGGGGCCCCTAGGAGCTTTCTGGCTCCTCAAGACTCCTTATCACGCGATTTCTGATGGTGCGTGCGCATACGATCTTCAGGTGACCAAGATCACATACTAATTCGATGAAATCTGATCGTGTTTGCACACGGCCTAAGCTCTCCTAATTAATCAGTTTGCTACCATCGTAACACCATCAATCCTAATGGTGAATCGTGACAATAATATTATATTATTTAGTTTATTATTTCATTTTTTATATTTAATTCAATTATATGACGGAAAAGTCGTAAATGGAGTCAATTCAATTATTTAGAATCTAAAACTAAAGAATTAAAAAGATTCTAAGTAAGAAGGTCTTTATATACAGGGCTAGTGCACGTGAGCTACTAGTGGGATAACAACCGTCACATAACAAATTACTCGATATTGATTGTTTTAGTTCTTTAAAATATTTATATAATTGATAAATCAAGAACTTTATCAAGGTGTATATCATTTATATTATTAAAATCGAGTTTTTTCAAGTTTTTAAAATTATATATATCGAAGCAATATCTATATCAAATGATAAAACTAAGTTCCGCGAAGCTGGACTAATCCTATTTAATCCGGAAATTGTATTTTCAAAGTTAGATATTCGAATAACTTCTGTTAAAAGGAATGACCTCACACAGGGAATAGTGGGAAGCTGATAGGGCAGAACTGAGGTAATATTGGTCTAGTAGGTAAATCTCTCTTCTAAGTTCTACGGAAGTGCGAAGCTCTCTGTAAGAGAGCTTCTCAATCTAGTCCTAACAGGACTAGTGCCCTGTGCACGTGCTACGCAGGAACCATTCACTTTAACAACTTGATTAAATAAATCAATATCAATCGATCTTAATATATAACAATCTCAAACACTTTATAATCTAATTGAAGCTTTTTCTTAATTTATTTTAGTGAAAAGTTATATTGCTCAACATCAAAAGAATTTATCTACTTCAATATTTAAAACAATTATAACTTTGGTTAAAAATTGTTACAACGGCTATCTTCTATGCCGCGTCACATGACTAAACCAAGGTAACGTGATTAAAGTCACGTTATGGACCGCTGAGGAACGCTGGCTGTCCAGGAACGCTGGCTGTCCAGGAACGCTGGCTGTCCAGGAACGCTGGCTGTCCAGGAACGCTGGCTGTCCAGGAACGCTGGCTGTCCAGGACCGCGCAGCGGTCCTGACTAGCCATAGGCATGAAGGTCTATATAATCAAGATGGATTTCCTTTGTATAGAGCTTCGTGCTCAAGATCAATCATTTAGTATATCCTACTATTAGTTACGAATTGCATTTCATTATTGTCATTACTTAAGTCCCTGCTTGATGCCTAGTTATAAACCACCTCGAGAGCCTGGAGCACTTCCACGTGATCTAGACGGCAAACCTCTTAACAAAAATACAAAGTTTTTAATTTATATAAATACATTTTTAGTTATTGAGATTTATAATCTCCACAAAATAAATAAAGCATTTAGTAAACATTAGAGAGCTAGAAAAGCTTTAATACAAAAAAAAGAAGCACTTTCAATAGAAGATAGATATAATATATTAAAACAAAAGAATATAGAAGATCAAATACAATACAACGAATTTACAAATGATGATTCTTTAACAAGGAGACAAATTATTATACGACGATGTAGCAAATGTGGTAGTGCTTCATATAATGCACGAACTTATCAATTAGATCTAGCATTAGTTGATCTTTGAATTATATATAATTTAATTCTAATTTATAATATTATTGTAATTTTATTTCAATGGAATGTGGACAATTGAGATAAAAGTGTACAGGGTCCTGATAAACCACGTTAACCTTTTCTGGTTTTCTTACATAAAAATTGAAAAATTTCGAAATGGAGGCTCCACATATCTTGCAATTAGAATTGGTACCAGCCAATAGCAACAGAAAATAAAAAAGACGCAGAAAACATACAATCTGACATATGTGTAACTCACGTGATAGAAAACGACTATCTATAGTACCGGCTATTATCAACTCTTTTACAATTACCAGAACCCGTCTGCGACTTCCCGGCCAAGAAGTTATTCTTCTCGTTGAGGCTTAGCTTGTTGAAGGCTAGCATGACTGCTGTCTGTTCGGCTTCCTCCTTTTCCCTTATTTTTCGTTTTTGAACAAGGCTAGCTGCTGATCCATGCTCTGATAGATAACGCATATAATTGGTGCATTTACTATACCAATGTCTATTGGGCTGCTCGTACGGGTAAGTTTGACATTCTATGTCCATAGGCTCCCTAACGTAAGTCCTGTAAGTTTCTATGTATTTATAGACTTCATCGGGCATCTCCACATTCGCGCCTATTTCGACCATTCTCGCCGCGAAAAAGTCCCTCCATTTACCTTTTTCTGAATTTTTTGCTAACCGCTGCGCTATTTTTGGATTACCTCTCATTTGATTCCACTCAAACCACTCTGAACGATAACCACCATGCTCCCAATCTATGATACCTGTGATATGTCCATCTTTTACCATGATATTAGCTGAGTTGAGATCTCCATGGGAAAGTACATATTTGTCTCCTTCCTTGAATAGATAGCTCTCCTCGAACGTCTTTTTCCATTCCTTTATGACTGAAGGGTGTTTGCGAAGACGGGGTTCGGTACGAGCCCACCATTCTTCTTGATCGACAGTCATGAGATCCACGGCGAAGTATTCAGCACCTAAGAGTTTATCTCTGCTTCGCGAACCATCTGGAGCCCCTGGTTTTGTCGATGTAAATTTGCGTGCTTCCACTAGATATTCTGCCAATTCATAGCCAATTGTTTGGTGTTGTTTCCAAGTCAACGAGCGGGAATTCCCAGCCTCCAACAGTGTTGTGCCGGGGCACCTCTCCATCCAGTACCAATCACTATTTTTATCTTCCCAGGTACGCATATCTTTTGCTACAGGAACATTTGTTTTCTCAGCTAGTAATTTACTTACCGCATAATCCGCACTCGGGGGGCACAGATCCCCCCCATAGACTCTTGGTCTCTCTTTTATAACGTATTTGTCACCAATAGACCATATACCCCTGGAAGAATACATTGAAACCTTGACATGACTGAAATACGAGTTATGCTCGTATTGGCTGGAGTCCAATCCACAAACCTGGCAAAGTATGAAATCTGGGCTTTTTGGGCGATATAAAGCGAGTTCTTCTTTGGTAGTGCCTTGAAAGTGTTCATATACCGGTGGCCTCTCCATGCTGCTAGGATTCAATGGAAAATTTTAAATATGAATTGCAGTCTGCAGAGAAACTATTGGGAATTGATGTATCTTGATGGTTGTATCGTGGAGAACCGGTGGGAAAGCAAGCTCTATAAGTAGAGTATTGAAAATAAAGGAATCAAAACATTGTAAAGAAAAAGTTTGCTTCTGTACTAGGCGCTCACAAAAGATGGGCCACACAAACAGATCTCCTCAGAAGCAAATTTCTCTTTGATATCGCATGGAGGGCCTTATAAAGAGATGAATCTGCTTCTTTACTAGGCACTTGCAAAAGATATCAGACACAGATAGATCTTTTGGCAAACAGTGAATATACCCTTGATAACCAATGAAGAGTGTCGGCAAGATAAAGGAAAAGATGGCTATTTCTCGATTAGACCTTAAATTTTCTTTCATGGCCGCTTGGTTTGATAATCGCATCTGAAAATCCATCTTCTTTTTTGGGTGCAGACATCACATTGATGGACACTGGTCGAAACCCCTACTACAAAGTGTATATTAGCTTAATGATATCACAGATATGGTTATACTGTGGATGGAAAAGTGTTGCGACCAATATAAGTTACAAAATAAAGGTGCTAATAATACTACTGCAATCGCGTATTAGGGGGCGGGTGGGGAAGTGGGGGTTTGTAGCCGAGTGCGGGGTATGGAGCACGGAGTATATTAACGAGGTTGAAGTCTCACAAAGTACTGGGTAGTTAATTGAACTCTTAATCATTCCCTTTCACATTCTTTCTCTTTCTTCTCTTTCTTCTCTTGTTACGACGGTATTCAGTTATGACTAAACCCCGCATCACATGACTAAACAAGAGGTCACGTGGTCACACTAGTCCCACTGATTTATATCGAGGGGAACGGTGGGACATACGGCACGAAGGTCTATATAATCAAGATGGATTTCCTTTGTATAGAGCTTCGTGCTCAAGATCAATCATTTAGTATACTCTACTATTAGTTACGAATTACATTATTGTCATTACTTTAAGTCCCTGCTTGACGCCTAGTTATAAACCACCTCGAGAGCCTAGAGCACTTCCACGTGATCTAGACGGCAAACCTCGTAACATTATATTGTAAGTCAAATGATATTATATATTTTAGATTATTATTACATTCAAGTTATTTAATTTAATCACTTGATATTGGATGTTTTGACATATTCAAACATTCTGTTAAAGTGAATGGTTCCTGCGTAGCACGTGCACAGGGCACTAGTCCTGTTAGGACTAGATTGAGAAGCTCTCTTACAGAGAGCTTCGCACTTCCGTAGAACTTAGAAGAGAGATTTACCTACTAGACCAATATTACCTCAGTTCTGCCCTATCAGCTTCCCACTATTCCCTGTGTGAGGTCATTCCTTTTAACACATTCATATAATTATCAAATTGAAGGATTTATCAAAGCTTATATCAATTATATCACTAAGATTGAATTCTTTATAATCTTCAAAATTGTATATTTATAATCATTTACTATTCAGAATGTAAAAGCTGGTTTTCGAGGAACAAGTCTAATATCATTTGATCCTCAATCTATACTCTCAAAACTAGATGTTAGGATTCGTACTTCTATCCCTTTATTTATTTTTTTGGAATTTACCAATTTTTAGATTTTTCAAGCCCCTCATAATCCAATTGAGGCTTTTTTACAATCAACTCTAGTAAAAGCTCAAATAGCTTACTATCAATCAAGCTCTTCTACATCTATATTTGAGACTATACAAACTTTAATTAAAAATACAAAGAGATTAGTATATAAGAATATACTTTTGAGTATTGAGAATTGTATATTTCAAAGAACAAATGAGGTATTAAGTAAACGTTGATATATTAAAAAAATTCAATTATATAATAAAGAAATATTTATTGAATAAGAAGCTGAAGATATATTATTACAATAAGAGATTGATAATCAGATTCAATACAATGAGTATCAAAATAAAAGAAATTCTAATAGGGAATCATCTATTAGTCGATGCTATAGTAAGTGTGGAAAGATTGGTCATAATTCAAGAACTTGTCAAAATAGTATAATAGATCCTAGATTATTAGATTCTTAATAGTTTGAATCAATTGAATAAGTTATGATTGATTAATTAGAATTTGAAGTGGTTAAATGGTCAAAAAGTGGGCGGACTAGTGATATGGGCGGACTGCTGATAAACCACGTTATCAATTTGTAGGTAAGAAAACCCGAGCTACCAGCAAAACAAAATAAAACACTCATCCCTCTCAAAATTTGCATGCATCCAACAGAGCGTAGACCCTAGCGAATCTTCTTGATCACTCCCATCCACCATTATATAAACCACCCCAACAAAATAAAACAAAATAAAATAAAATATCTCCATATTAACCATCCCATCTAACAAAACAAACCCCCCAAAAAACAAAGCGGAACATTTCCAACAGGATATCTTCACTCCATCATAACCTCACATCAACCTGTTACTTCGAAACCCACGACCCGCCCTTTCATGCTCTCGCTTTAATTTCGATCTCTGGGTAAGCGAAAGTCTTAGTCGGGTCGTACCCTGCAGGGCTTTTCTCTACGATAGAAATCTTGAAACTGCTATGCGGACATCTAATAACATTCCGGCAATCTCCCTTCCCACAATTCTCCCCCAACACCACCAGCGCTCTAAAGCCAGAACCTTGAATCTCGAGAACCGCGTCCACCGTTTTTTCGGTGGTATCCTCATGCTCGTCAACTAGTTCTCCTTCACAAGTCACAATGTAATGCTCCACGCCTCCCAACACTGTGACCTGTTCCTCCCTAGTCGTATAGTATTTGAAGATATCAACAGTGGAGAGTAAGGCTTCGCAAGTCTGTACTTTGCATGTAGGAAGCTGGCTGAAGTTTCTGTCGCCACATATAAAGCAGTGTATGATAACAGTGTAGGCTTAAGTGAATATTTTAGGGGAGGATGGTGGTTGATATGTGTAAAGAAACTTTCGGGCAATTGCGGTTTATAATTATGTTATGAGAAGAAGAGGATGATACGGAAAAAAGTTTGTTCTGTCGATTCTGGCCTTGTAAAAGAGATAAAATTGATCCCTGTGAAGTGAAATTGAAGGAGTGAGTTTTCCATTTTGACAGCAAAACCAAGCAATATATAGAAATTGAATTTGTGGATAAATCAAAATGAATTCAAGCACCTATCACTACCTTGTCGAGATTTCAATAAAATCCTGTGCTTACACCCAAGACTTTTCTGCTTCGGAGATCAGCGATGAATATTTATTACTACAACGAACAAAAGAATATGAGACCATCTGTGAATTTTGCATGGCATAACCAAGAACAAGCTGGTATTTGATGGTGCAAAGCAGAAAGAATTGCGTACTACTCTTTGCTATCACCTCCGTCTCTCGGCGGGCTGCTCGAGACCCACGTTGCTAGGACGCTACATCTGAAGACATGAGTGAAGCAAAACAGTAGTTTGAAGACATAAAATAAAGAAAATGAGAAAGAAGCATGCAGGTGAATCGAGCTATGATCACATGGGAGCTTCTTTGCCGGTGAAAACGTGAGCAAATTAATGCTAAGACTACCTTAGCACTTTTGACGCATGCGTTAACTTTTGTTCTACTTCATTCCAGAATTCACATGGAACATGCTAATACCGGGCTGTAGATCTAATGAAAGTGCAAAGTGTTCATATTTGAATTTGTGCAAGAGAAAGTGACAGCGAAGCCGATTGATTGACTTTAATAGATGATGCTTTATTGGAAACACGTCGGTAAAGTAGTGGTGGCTCAATTGTGTGGTAAAATAATTAACCTTATACCACATGAGCTGAGGCTGAATTCGAACTGCTTACTGTGGCTAGTTTAACTATACCCTCAACCAAGAATACTATTAATTTATCCGCTCTTGAACTGCAAAATGTTAATACGCGTACCCATGGATACAAGGCCGATGAAAACTTTGGCATTCTCATTCTGGTGTGGTTCATAATACTTGCCCTTCTACTTGTCGTGGTCCAATATTATGGTAAAACAAGGCTGAACAGCTGCGGGTAGTTACATGTGATTCGCGTGGTATCTGAAACAAAGCTGAATCCAAACTGCTCCAGCTAATTATATCCCCTAATCAAGAGGTTCTTTGGGAGGAATGTTTCAAGTCCATTCTACAGGGGGTAGGTTCCAAGTGTCAATCACAAATCATTTTCGCTTATTTCGGTCACACAAGCAACGAATTCATTATCTCAACACCATCGCCATACCTCTCCTCAGTAATCTAGTTCCACTCGATACCGCTTGCACTTTGTACTGCGGTTGAAATCAAAATCCCGAGCAACTTGGTTTGAACTTCTGTATGGATACAATGCCTCAAAGAGCCTGGAAGCTCATAAGTTTGAAGCCCTCCGACAACAGGCGTACTCTTCGAACCCCAGTGACTCATATATCTTAGTTCAGATCTCCACATGGGCTTTCCGTCTTCGTGTCTCACTCAGTGATTTATCTCTATGGCCCACAGAGTCTTCGCCATTTTCGTTAGATCCGCCGGTTTATTATCTATATCTAACCGAAAAATTCTCTTCATCTCTCCACTCGCCTGCATTGCCGGAAACTCTTTTGTGGAAAAGATACTATCGTCAGTTGGCTCCGCCTTATGACTAGCCACCAAACAAGTTGTTCCGGTACAGGTTCTGCATATGACCCTGAAAATCCTTGGCGAATAACTTGGAGAGTAGAAGCCGTCGTTTGGTAATTGGTTCGATCAATGAAAGCTTTACTGATTCTCCAGGCTAGACCCATATGAGCAAGCTTGCTCTTCACTACGTAGGCTTACGGCGCTGAGCGCGGCAGGTTTTGTCTTACATATGAAATTGAATGCTGAATTAGAGGGAGGTTGACCGGGTAGAAGTGCGTTTATGCAATCTTGTTTGCTAGGGAGAGTGAAAGTTTTGGTGGTCGACGGACTGGTTGTGCATTTGTAAGGCTGACTGAGAATATGGAATGCGCGACAGCAGTGTCTCTGGAGAGGTAAGAAGAAGAAGCCAAGAGATGAGACCGAAGACAAATGCATAGACAGAGATGGAGAAAGATTTGCTTCTGGGGAGAGCATGATTGCGACTTGAATTGGAAGAACAGCAGAACTAAAGTGCAAGAAAGAAATATCAAAAACAAAAATAAACTTAGATGAAAGTTGTGATGTAGTAGATAGGAAAAGAATCTATGCAGAAGGAAGGTGAGAGATCCGACACGGGAGAAAAGAAGTAGAGAAAGCTTCAAATACACTTATACGCTCATCTGTATACATCAAACTGTGGAAGTATATGGAACATATGCAAAATTGTAATGGGAGTGATATCAGTGAAAGTGAGATATATTTCAATGAAACATCCACTTACCGTTGCACTCTCAATGGCTTTAGTCATTTAATTTTCTCAAAAGAGCTGCACTTGCCAGAGAGTCACCCTCAAAACCATACCAACAACCCTGGCTACAATTGAAATTGCGAGATGAATTACGCGCGATGAATATTTTGATGCATTTGGATGCCGGCCACCAGCCAGCTAATTTGCAACTAGAAGTCGAAGCTGTGATGATTTGATTCCATAACATAAGCCCTCCACAATATGAAAGAAAGAAGTTAACTCATAGCTATATATATAGAGAATCAACATGAACTCCAATCATCATCATTGCATCAAGCTCCTGAGAGTAAGTATTGCCCCCTCATCACACGTGCGAACTCTTGATGGAAAACCCTGAATCCAGAATTTTTCAACTTTGTATCATTCTTTCCACTCATATATAATACCTTGAAAAAAGCTTAAGCTTGGATCCGTAAAATCCTGTTGTCGGCGACGCAGAGTAAAATGGTTGGTTCTCGAGCGCGCTTAATTAGTTACGAATTCGAATGAGGACTGATGGAATGAAACGTCACATCAATGATAGGGGCTACCTGAGATTTGAGGCTCTTTGATGACTGAAAATAGCATTTGAGCATGCATGTTGATGCTGTGTCGACGTCAACACTCGCTTAGCTTCCTTCTGCCGCTAGCAATGCCCCACTTATTGTTCAGGGGCTCCTAGGACAATCTATTCTTGCTCTTTCTTCAGATTAATCTCTTTAGGCCATCTCATAATTATAATCATAAAAATAGTGGGTATTATTCCGGTGATCGGGATGGGAGAATTGGGCAATGGTGGGAGGTTCCCCTTCGCTTGAGTTTATTAAATTGATGCTCAGATATGGATTTAAAACCCAGAAGACGAGGCGGCAACTGCACCGGCGGAAACGGGCAATCTTCAAGCTTTGAAGCTGTTTGTAGAGACAGACCAGGACTTGGATTAAGAGGAGAAGGCTATTTAGTATGCGATAGGTGATCGAGAATCGTTCAAATTCAAAGGCACAGCGCTATGTCGTGCTTGTAGAGCGGGAAAAATGTGGACTTGGAATATTTGCTAAGGAAAAGAGCAGATACAGCTTCTTTGGCTAAAATGGGACAATCTTTTATAGATGTAGCGGAGGCTGGAGGGTATGATGTGGTTGACTTGATACGGGAAACATCTGGAAGAATGAAAAGGGTAGTTTTTTAAATTGCAATTAGTTATACTGACTTGCGACATAGACCTTGGAAGTTTGTTTGTATACGAACACACCTAGGAATGTGCTAATAAATCAAAGCGTCAGCCCCAATATTTAAAACAATAGACTGTAGAATGAAATTTGATATTTCAAGTAGGTGGTAGTAGGTGCCCTCAACAACACACTTTAGTCTCATCATCCATATTCCTCTTCTGAATATATTCATTCTGTACGCATTCTATCTGTGGCCCCTCTCTTTTTCTAGACGATCGTTAGCTTTGCCACACTTGCAGAATAGTATACCAATATCGAGGCGAACTTACCCATCGTCGCGTTTATGGATGTAAACCATCAAACAAATACCAATGATTCCGAGACCCGCAAAGAGTACCAAGATTTGATAACCATACTTATACTTGGGTGCATCGTAGGTAGGAAATAGAACCACTATGTTTTGATAATTAAGTCAGCTATGAACTTATTTGCTGCCCTGATACGATGGTAAAAATGGTGACTTACGCGGTACCCAAAGAACCCATGCAAATGAAACAACATTTCCAGCAGCGACAAGCAATTGTCGTAAGTTAGGATCGGCGGCATTTAGTTGGTTACCCCACGACTGTGAACAGGATTAGCAACTGTTCAGATCTGGGCTAGCCATTAAGTCATAACTGGAGACGGGGAGCTTACAATGAGCACTGGGGTGGCTGCGGTGCCAGAATATGATAAGTAATAGGCGGCCATGAGGGCGGGCTTAGGAATTTTCCATACGGATAGCATGATATTCGAAACCATTATTATAATCATCAGTACGTTGATTAGGAGAAATCGTTTACCCGTACGATCTGCTATGATTCCGTAGACGAACGAAACGACAATGGTGAGCGCATTGCCTGCTGTTGGTAGAGTGTTTCTTTCCACAACACTATATCCTTCCGCTTTCAGCCAAAGATTGAAGTAGCTTGTTGCGGAGTGGCAGTTAACGAGCATCCTGCTCTTGGGTTAGTTCTCCATGATGCTTTTCTCACCATTTTTGGAATGATTAACTTACACATATGGAAAAATAAATGCCCATAACTTCATGTTCAAAAAGACTTTCTTGCATATCTTCCAAGTCAATTTCACAGGCTCAGAGATACCCAGCTTCTCGACTCTCTCAATACTGTATTTTCTATCGTCGGCATTGAGATAGAACGCTTTCGTATTATGTGGCAAGTCCGGGATTGCAAAAAATCCCCAAACAGCAATGGGAATTGAGATGGCTGCATCCATGATGAACAGCCATCTCCAGCCGGCAATACCATGAGATCCGTTCAAGCTGGTATATAGGCCGGCCTGCAAGTACCCACTAAACATACTGGCTATCGATTCAACCGACCCCAGGATGGCAACTCTTTTGGTGAGTTCCGCAGGTCCGTACCAACCCCCGAGCAGCGCAACGTAACCTGGGAAGGAACATGCTTCGAAAAGCCCGATGAAGAATCGAAGCACGTACATCTGAATGGAATTAGAATAAAAACTTACTTAGATGAGTTCAAATCATGTTCATGCGTTGCACTCACCGTTTCAATGGTCTTCGCTGCAGCCATACCCATCACCAGCGCAGACCATACAATCTCGCAACAGGGGAGAAAATAAGAGGAGCGTGTCCCCCGAAGTTGAACCATCATTGCTGGCACACTACCAACCATGATGCCAAGACTAAACCAAGTGTTGAGCCAGTTTCGTTGATTGCCGTATAAATGAAGCTAAGATTACAGTATGCATTGGTCTTTGGAACGCAAGAACGGTTGGGATAGGGAACTCACATCCTCCTGCATGCCACTAACAAAGGCGTTGCCTGTAAATGCTGAGTGAGTAATCACGTTTTGATTTTCTGGATGATCTCTATCACTCACTGTAATTCGTTTGATCTAAATATTTTATGAAATAGCCTAGGCATACCGCTGTACTGGAAGATAATTAGTGAGTCTGCTGGTTCCGTGGGAGGATGAACGAAGTCTCCTACAACATGTACGCATCAATCTTCTGGACGTATCTTCTGTCTCGTGGTGTACCTTCCGCCGAATCCCAGATGTATCCTACAATGTGATGCCACCACGATGTGGTTTTGAGCTCAGGATCATGGTCGGTATCATCATTGCTGCTGCCAGAAGTTATGGCACTGGCGGATACCTTATCCTTCGTCTCCGACATGTCGCTTTCACCCTGGGAAATAGCGAGTATGCAGTGATATAACGTTCGGCTGTTCCACAATGAGAAATGCAGAGTACAGAGGAATGATCAAGTGAAAATCTGTCACGTTTCGTCTAGCCTGCAGTTGATGAACAAACTCTCGCCAGATGAATCCGATTTTTAGAAAACCTTTTCCAGCCGCAAAGGCGAATCAGCCTGGTGAGTTGAAGTACTTGGTAGGACTGCATGAATCGATGGAATCATACCAATAATATTGTGATTGACGATGTGACAATGTGGTGATTTGATGCTACTCTTGGGGTATACTGAATTAATGGAACTTCCACCATCCATGCCACTATTACAATATTTCCATTTCCAAACCTAACATTCGTTCCCATATCATACGTGTATATATACACAAGACGCGTAGGATAGATGCAATGGTGCCATTTCAATCCACTATCACCTATCGCTAATCTAAATCCTTGCACAAAGAAAAAAAAGCGAGAAAAAGGTAAGGTGTGGGGTCATGACCTACAGTGGTGGAGCGTGGATGGATGGGGATTATGGGGTTCCCTTCATTTCTTTCCCGCAGTTACCCCAATCGTCTCAATGCGCTGTGGTGGGTCTCTAGAGCACTTGCTAAAAATGGGCCCATAAAGATCGGGTACTACTCATTAGGATTCCAGCAGCATTTCTTAATCTTGAGCCGTACGGTCATGAAGACAGTGAATACTGAATAAAAACGAAAGGTTTCATATCCTCTATACTGATAGCACCTATCGGTGCTTCTTTTGGGAATCCACCGTCGAGACCCGCGAAAATCGCACCAAAACCTGACATATCAGCCTTGAAAAACTATCTCCCATCATGAACACTTAAGGGCCGCCCACAACCCACCATATATTTCTTTGGTAATACGACTCGGCATGATTTGCCTTCATAGAGAGCTCAGTGTACAAAGTTCTCTAGTCTAACACGTCCTTATATACTTCAAGGTTCTTCTAGTGGTCAGATATAAAGCTACTACTGCGGCCTTCAGAAGAACGGCTAAGAAAGAGCACTTTCATAATATTATTTCCAATCCCTTCTCACGAATACATCATATAGTACTAAGCTCTAATAGGTCAAGCCATACGGAATGAAACTCTGAGAGATCATGATTTGAACCATTGCCCTCTCTTTTAACAGTTGGAAGCATAATTTTTGTACTCATGAAACCCTCACAACTCAATATTTTATTTTACTATTGTAGAACCGCAAAATTACAGCTGAGAGGCGGACCACAGATCTTGTACCCTCAAAGAGCCATCAAGGTAAATCTTTGAGCCCAATAGTGATATTTATGTTTTTCTCTGAAGTCTCGTTTCATTCTTTGGGGTGAGAGAAGGCCGATCAAAGGAAAATAGCAGTCAGTATCAACATCTCACCTCAAGATGCAAAGAGGTATAAATCTACAAATATTCAGTCAATTGAACAGAGAGGTCACGACTCAATGACCAAGGCATGCAACAAAAGCTTTTCTACCGTATACTATTTGGAAAAACAGTATTGGAATTTACCAAACAAGATAAGTAATAAATTTCGCAAACAACCAAATCCACTACAAGATATCCTCATCCTGTGTAAAGGAAGTATGAGCCAAAGTGAGTTGCAAGTTATTAACGGTAAAGACTGTTCTAAATAGCTATCTATTCCTGGCTTGCCTTATAACTAGCTGCCACATTCCGAAGAGGAAAGAAGAGGCTCCCATGTGGAACCAGGCCATATTACGGAATAGCGGAACCTAAACAATTATAACAGAGAGACTGTAATGAAGCTAAGATCAGAGTTCTCACATCAGTTGTTATACTCCTAATTTGTAAACAAGTCTTTTACATCCTTGTATGTATCACCCCTATCCCCTCGCTTGAACCCGACTGCAAATCATTACTGTACCCCACAAAGCTTTGATGCCTCTGGAATATTTGTTAAATACAATGTCATTGTAAAGCTCGAAATGAGGACTGAAGAAAGTCAATATTATCTTTTGCTTTATATAATTGCTCCCAAAGTAATAAGGTGGCAACTGCCCGAACAAAGTAATCTTACAATCTGAATGCTTGATGGTGATGAGAAAAACCGCCAAAATGATTGTGCCAGATTAAATGAGCACTTGCGCATCGAAACTTTATTTTGTCCATTCATGGAAGATAATAATCAATCAGAGCTCGAGACACCTAGACATGCAATAGAATTTCATTATTGAATTTCCATATTCTATTTACAAGTCAAACGTTGTACTTTGTGGTATTCACGAACCAACCATAACCTCCATAAACGCCTCGCATATGCCACCACATACCTTGACTCCACACCTATATAAGCTTTTCCCAGCCAATCATACATAATATTACTGTTCATTTGCCAGAACCATCTTTTCTCTCTCTGCGCGCCTCTTCGAGAATTGTTTCTTGGTATGTTTTCGTTCATTCTCTTGTCTGCGTTTGATGGCCTTGAGTTCCTCCGATTTGATCTCTCCAGCCTTTTTAATAACTTTGGGAACGTGTCTATGACGTTTGATTCGTCTGATTTCAGGCATATGAGCATACCGCTCCGACAATGCTTCGTTGTATTCCAAAGCAGTTCGCTGTTTGGCGGACTTAATTCCTTCTCTCTTTGAAGCATTAGCCCTCCATAGGCGAATATTACCATCATCGGAACCCGAAAGAATGAATTTCGAATCAGGTGTCCATTTTGCTGAAAAGACTCTTTGCATGCGCTTAGCGTGGTAAATATCTCTCGAGTGTCCCTTGGTCCTGCTCCATAACCTAACCGTCCTGTCGTACGAAGCTGTGACGAGCTCTTCACCGGTCGGACTGAACTCTACATCCATACAAGCGGCAACATGTCCCTTCAGTACGTTTAAGGCTCTTTCCATCTTCCTCATGTCGAAAATATAAACGTTATGATCTTCGTTGGCTACCGCAAAATTAAATGCTTCCATAGGATTCCAAGATATAGCATTCGAAGCAAAATTGAGAAGCGTCTTGTGAATGGGAAGTCCTGTTCGGAGATCATATAAAACAATCGACCTATCCGTAGCAGTGGAAGCAAGTATTGAAGTTTCAACCTGATTAAAAGCTACCGTGGTAATAGTATCCGTTGAATTTGGCCATTTTAGAACATCGGGCGGCGCATTCTGTCTTTCGAGATCGTATATCGAGATGACCCCGGATGATGCTGCAAATGCGCTTTTCGAACGGTGATGCGACAAACTTGTGAATGCATTGCTGCCTAGCCATGTTGCCACTGGCGCCGATCCCGTAGTTGTATTGTAAGGATCGAAAAGTTTGATGGATCGATCACTTGCGCAAGTTAGAAGTTTTTGATCCCTTGTCCAGCTCATGCCTTTGATGATATTCTCATGCGCACTAGTTTGCCAAACCTCATCCCGAGACGTTAGATCCCATACTTTCACGACACCATCACCACTGCCACTTGCAAATCGTTCGAGAGAATTAGGATCCTTTGCCATTGTGTAGACTCCGTCGACATGTCCTTTACCTAACTGCGCGATAAAAGGAGCGGCGAACATCCTCTCCATTTTGGTGGCATTGAGGGCACGGGTATATTCTCGAGCTCTTTCAAATGGATGTAATGCTGGATCTATGGAAACGATTAATGTCTGCTCTGTCTCCAATGTCCTCCACAGAGTTATACATACCAAGGTTGCGGGGCTGTTTGGCTTCAGACCCCGGGGCTTGAATGGACGCCCGACTAAGTGCTTTTATTTTCTGTAGAACAATTGAGTGAGCATAAAGATATATGAAGATAAATCAATTATAACTCACCATACTGGAATATTGAGATCAGGAGGTTGCTATCATTATTGAACAATGGAAGTTATATTGATGTGGGTGATGGAATGAGTGAGGGACGGAAGGATTGTTATCGCAAAGAAATATTGTGTTCATGATAAAAAATCTCCCAGATAAAATTTTGCAGGGGTGGTTCTATTTTAGCGCCGTTTCCACAAGCTCCAGCTTCCTAGTGGCATCGTAATGGCGAGTTTACCTAGAAATGCGATTCCCTTACCAAAAACATCAAAGACAACTTTACAACTTCACAACTTCACTCAACATTTAATTCTCTACAACTATCAAACATGGCACCAGCGGAATCTTTGAGGATACAAGAAGTCCAAAACTTGGCAAAGACAGATCCAAGAAAGGCAGAGGCACAATATAAGGAAATCATCTCCAAACCACCTTCAGTAACCTCGGAAGCGTCTGTTCGAGAATATGAAACTGCATTGGTTAGCTTAGGAGAGTTGTATCGAGATGAGAAGTGAGTGGAATATATCGCAGTGTTTGACCTTTCATGAGGCTCTTGCTGATTTGTGTATAGGAAGGCGGATGAGCTGGTAGATCTGATCACAACAAGCCGGACAGTATTATCATCGTTCGCAAAAGCCAAAACAGCAAAGTTAGGTAAGGAGAAGACTGTAGGAAGCTTTTGCGCATGAGCAGATAATGGTCTATATTATGGCAATCCTAGTACTCAGCTAACGTGCCTTCACTCCAGTACGACAACTTCTAGATCTATTCAATGCCATCCCCAACACAACAGATACCCAAATTACCGTCACAAAATCATGCATCGAATGGGCCACATCCGAACGTCGTGGTTTCCTAAGACAGAACCTTGAAACCCGTCTTGTCAGCCTTTACATGACCAAACAATCTTACTACGATGCTCTCACCCTCATCAACAGTCTCCTTCGCGAGCTCAAGCGTCTCGATGATAAGCTCGTTCTCGTCGAAGTCCAACTCCTCGAATCTCGCGTTTACCATGCCTTAGGAAACACAGCCAAAGGTCGCGCCGCTCTCACTGCTGCAAGAACAAGTGCTGCATCCGTGTACACTCCTCCTTTACTCCAAGCTGGCCTCGACATGCAATCTGGCAAACTTCACGCCGAAGACAAGGATTTCAATACTGCGTTCTCTTACTTCATCGAAGCGTTAGATGGATACCATACACAAGACGAACCGGAGAAGGCTACCGCTGCTCTTCAATATATGCTTCTCTGCAAAATTATGCTCAACCTTGCCGACGATGTCAATCAGCTCATGACTTCCAAACAAGCCATCAAATATGCAGGCAAGAATCTTGAAGCCATGAAAGCCGTCGCTCGCGCACACTCCAACCGTTCTCTGGAAGAATACGAAAAAGCACTGGGCGATTACCGCCACGAACTTGGCTCCGATGCCTTCATCCGCAACCATCTCCGTCGTCTCTATGATGCCATGTTGGAACAAAATCTCATCAAAGTAATTGAACCCTTTTCCCGCGTTGAAATCGCCCACATTGCGAAGATGGTTGGTCTTGATACACAACAGGTAGAGAGAAAATTATCACAGATGATTCTCGATAAAGTTATCATTGGAGTATTGGATCAAGGGGCTGGGTGTTTGATTATTTACGATGAGACGGAAAGAGATGTAGGATATGATGCTGCGTTAGCAACAATCGAGAAGTTGAGTAGTGTGGTTGATGTGCTTTATACCAATCAAGCGAGTATGCTGGAGTAGGCTGGTGGATAAAAGACTAGATAATGCATACTTGTATCATAGAGACGTAAAGATTGGAAGGAAGAAAATGATATGAAATGGCTGCTATTATCCATTCCTAACAGCTACATTCACATTCACATCTTTTTCATTCATGGGTAAGTAGTAACGTGAGCAGAAATAAAGACAAAAAAACCATGTAGATAATCCTCTCTGAAATTGTCTGTCTGCCATCCTATCACAAAACAACCTTCAAACTTTGTACACTTAACAAGGACCTACTCGAGTAGTCATCCCACACCAACAAACTCCTTCTCCCCTCCTAAAAACAGCTAAAAAGAGCCCCTGCCTCCCCACACCCGCCCGCCCCCGGGCAAGCAAATCCTTTTTCTTGTTGCGCTTTTTTTTTTGGCTCCAAAATCATATCATGCTTAAATGTTATTATATCCAGGTATCCAGGTATCCAGGTATCCAAGTATCCAAGTGCCCAAGTATCCAAATACCCCATCCAACGATCCCACGACTCCGAAAAACGCCCTGAATCCAAATCCAAGCCGTTCAAACGTGAGATCCATCAAGTGGTCCCAAATACACATACATACATATTCACAGAAGTGAGAATTGGAGAAGTAAAGGGGAGAGATGAGGCTTATTGTGATCGATCGATCTATCCATCGATATATCCAAAAATGTAAGTGTTGCTCTCTCGGAAATCATTTACCCAAGCGTCCATATCCAAATGCTCATAATTCAGACATGCAGAGGATAGGAATTTAAACAACAATACCCCTTTTTCTTCTTTCCTCCCCTACCAGCAGCGCAAAAACCCTTTTCGCTACCACCGCCTCGTCCCATCCTGGAACCTCACCCCTAAATTCATCTACTGCTTCCAAGTGCCACTGTTCCAATCTCATTTTCTCGTTTCCTATCTCTCTTCCTTCTTTATCCCCATTTTTAAATATCCTTACACCACCTTCGCCAACTCCTACTCCTTTATCTTTGAGATTAATAGTTTTACCTAATAATCTACTGATAACCCTTGTGGAGTTTCTTCTTCCGTAATTAGAATTTAAAGGTCCATCTGAAGCTTTGAGTTCGGAATCTGCGGATTCTTGGTTTTGGTTCTCAGGCTTCCAGGATTGTAAGATGGAATCAAGGAGGAGCCAGTGATCGCGTGTCCAGTGAGTAGGAGAAAGTTGGGGGGTAAGAGGAGAACTAGGTTGTGGAGAGGAGGAAGCGAAGACGACATTTTTGCTGGGAGAGGGTTGAGGTGGAGGGTCGAAGGAGCGTTGTGGGGAGCGGAGGATAGATTTTGTGGGAGAGGGTGGAATTGGAGCTTCGAGACGGTGCTCTGTCCATTTGGGTTTGGGGTTCTGTAGATTACGATTTTCTTTTGTTTCCGGGGGAGCAGAAGGCTTAGATGTCGGGAGCTGGGAGGGCGGATTTGGCAGGATTTCTGGTTGAACGGGCTGGACAGGTTGGGCTTTGAGCTTGTTGCTCCTGCTTGGCGATGTATCCGTTAGAGTACCGACCAAGGACGACGATGATGTATCTGGAGTGGGGAGATTGGTCCTAGTTGCTCCCCATTTCCCAAAAATACCTCTTGAAAGTGTCGATGGCTGGGAAAAGGGTGCAGCTGATGGTGCCTCATCATTCTTACGAAGTCGCGGTTGAAAATCCATTTTCTGAGGAATTGGAGCGAATAAGCTTGTTTCTTTCTCCGTGTCGCCGGATGAACTGTATTTTGAGAATTTAAAGTGAGATTTCCGGGAGACTGGCATGTCATGAGATGATTGTTCTTCGGTAACTTGTCTTTTTCCTCCATTAAAAAGAGTTGGGAGTCCTCCAAATGGCGACAAACGTAGAAGTGCAGATATGTCAGGCCTAGTGTTGCTTATGCTACGAAGTTTAGGTTGGAAATTCTGCTTCTGGGGTATTTGCCATCCAGATAAATCCAGAGTCTCGTCACCATCGGTTTGAGGATTAGCTTGAGAATTGCTCGGCAAATCAACATTTTTCGGAACGCTTTTGGGCGAGGGCTCCTCAACTGGGGGAGCTTTTGTGTTGCGGTCTGGAGATAAGCTAGCATGCTCGTCGCTATAGACCAAACGTTTGCTATTTGTCCTCCACAGACTAGAGATTTTACTTCGTCTTGGTTTTTCCGAATTGTCGGATCTCTCGGAGTGAAGCTGGTCTTCCTGATTGGACGCGTCAAGTGTCTCTAGTAGAAGTCCAAAGCTTTCATCATCTTCATAGTCTTCTTTGCCTTCATTGTTGATATCCTTCTCTTCGACTGTAGTTTCCCGCCTTTCCCCAGAAACCCGATCGTTGCCGTAGCGATCGTCATCTTCATCTTCATCATCGTTGTCCTCGTGGTCGGAACTAAGAACCATGACCTCATTGATGCTGGCTGTGGAGATCTGTTTGCTCACTGCAGCTCGTTGCGCAGCCCACTTCTCCTGTAAGGTACTTGTAGTTCTTTTCACATCTACAGTTTTCTTCTCCATCGATGATGACGGTGGAATTATCTTTTCAACAACTTCGTCAAGGCTAGTCAATTCAGCTTGCTGATTCATAGAATTGATACTTCTTGACGATTCGTGCTGAGGAGTGACCGTCGCATTTATAGAAACCGACATACGACGGCTGCTAGGCAGTTCGAGACTTAAATTTTGAGATTTATCTATAGATGGGCGTCTTTGTGTAGCACCATTAGCAAGAAATGGGTCTTCGTCAAGAATGGGCCTGCTCCAGCTCCTCCTTCGAGAATGTTTCAAAAGCAGATCTTCATTGGGATCCAATCTCGGTACCGATGTTTGAGGCTGCTCAGCAGGTATGGAACGATTAGCATTAGTATCTGGATATATGCTTGAGCTCGACCTTCTTCCCGTTGCTGGACTCTTGAATGGACTAGCTAAAGACTCGGATCGACTCCTCGGCAATGATGATGGTATAACAATATCTTGCAGAATACGACCAGCCTTCTCAGCAGGTGAGGATGCATTCGTGTTCGACGACTCTGGCCTTTCGGATGGTTGTCTTGACGGCTGGATAGGAGGTGGCAAAGTAGGGGATGAGAAGACAATTGCAGGTGTTTGTGTCATCTTAGCGTTTGTTTGTCGTTGCTGGTGAATATGTGCTGTATTTGTGAATTTACGTGAAGCCATTGCAGGCGGGGACGAATGAATCTGAGAGTCGATCAGAGATCCTTCAGCAAGTTGCGCAACAGATTGTTTAGTATGTTGACTTATTGATGCTTCAGTCTCGGTCCCTTTTATTGAGGCTGTCTGCTTAGGCGCCTTGGTTGGTGGCGATGGCGACTTAGATGGCTTAGAGAATGTTTCAAGATGAGAAGATTTTAGGGGTCTTTGTGATGGTCGTGGGATCGGTTTATGGATTAGTTCTGACTTCCTAATTGAACTTGGTCGGAATGGTGCTTGGCGCATTAATCGAGAGGTGGTGTTGTCAAGAGGAGCGGATGTGGTAGAAGATAAGTCCTCGTGTAGTACATCAGTCTTTTTCGAAGGCATGATGGGAGATTCCGACGAACTCTTGCTATCAGCAAGCCCAGTTGGCCTTTCTTCGGTTACTGCAGAGCTTTCTGGCGGTGACATCTCCACGACCTTTTTCCGCGTCGGCGCCGGGGTCGCCGCATGGAGAATTTGGACCGGTATACTTGAAAATGAATCATCATGTCGAGTGTCCTGAACGCGTAGAATGTGGGAATTTTTAAGTTTTCGGCCTGGTGTTGCAGCTTCGAGAATTTCTGGTGCTATGCTCGAAAATGAGTTATCATGTACTGTATCGTGAAGTGAGAGAATGTTTTTGTTATGCGGGCGTACAGTCGAGTTTTGCCCCTCGTCTTGGAGCAAGCCGTTCAAAGGTTTCCTCAATGACGGTACGGAATTAAGTGATATTAGACTAAATCCTTCACTCTCCATGATAGTGTCAAACTCAGGTCTATGATCCATATCATCATCCAATTCTTCTTCGAAATCCTCTTCCTGCATTTCTCCGGTAGCATCGTTCGTTCCGCTGGCAAATTGATCCATCTCACGAGTTTCGTCAAAATCGTCATCAGTGTCATCGTCAAGCCCACCCTCCCCATAATTATTGTTTTCGTCATCACCTTCCATAAGGGCATTTGACTCTGGGGATAGAGCCACACTTTTTACGCTTCCACTTAGAGGGCTCGTTTCCTCTTGTGCCTTATTTGATGGACTTGGAATTTGAGAGGCCTCCATAACACTTGACCAACCTGTTGTTCTAGGAGTCTCTTCACCAGGATGAAATCTTGCAATGACAACATCTTCTTCAAGGTCTTCACTACTTGGGAAACTCGGCGTGGATTCCAAGGCTGGGTATGGCGAAGGTGGACTTTGCAAATTAGCATTGATAGTTGCCAAAAGATCAATCTCTTCGGGCATCAATTCCTCATGAATGTCAGTGTCTACCACTTTGCGCTCAGCAGTCCAAGTGTGTACTTGCTCTGCCACGTCACTTCCATCTGACAATCGTATTTCTTCCCGTAGCTTGGACCTTGGCCTACCGCGACCTCTCTTGACCACACTCGATGGGACCAGATCAGAGTTGGCTTTCCTTTTACGAGGTGTTGCTTTTTTAATACCCTTCACGGACTTCGAACGTGATCTAGAATCGCCCGCCGGTAATTCTTCGCCATCGATATCTGAGCCTTGATTGTCTACCTCTCCTCCAATGCTATTTCGACCACGTTTGCCTGCTCGATTGGGGGTGCCTTGTCTTTTGACTGGAGTATCTGATTTTCTTGGTCGACCTCTGCGTCTCTTGGGTGTTACCTCATACCTAATACTGTTATCATTTTCGGAGTCCGAAAGTCCTCGTAAAGGCACTCTTGTTGTCGTCGTTCGCTCTATTCGTCGAGGTATCTGCGCAGGTGTAGGAGAGCTCATGTTATGGGGCCTTAGATTGGCATGATCATCCTCGCTATCCGAATCTTCTGCCTCTACTGTAACTCTGATTTTTTGTGGTGATATTGTATTTCCTACGTCCAATTCGAAAATTTGTTTCTTCGGAGAACTGGCTGGCAAAGGCAATGACAAACGCGACGTGGGAGTCTTTCGTGGTTTCGAACTTGGAGGCGCTTGGAATGTCAAGGAGTCGGCGAGGGGATCTGGAGATGATAACGAAGCTTCATCCATGCCGTATCGCACCATCATAACAACGAATGCGCAAGAGCGCGAGAAATGAATATAAACCTTTGGCCTTTATGTTCTAATGAGGATCAATGTATGGAGATCATTCACCAGCAATTTGTTCCGATAGTTTCATCATATGCGGGAGTATGTATAGCTTGTTGTGAATATTGTCGCAAAATGATGATACTTTAATCTCTTGATTATTCGACATGCGACGATATGGTTACCGTTTGTTTACATCCGATTAACTTGATTTACGGGCAATGTGAGGGAACTATATTATTGGCTGAAACGCTTTCGCTTAGTAAGCTGCTCATTCTTGAAACACAACCGTCGAAACCTCCACACTTTACTTTAAACGCACCTGTCTAACCTTGCCTACTGAGTAGTAGGATATATCACCAACCTACTAGGTATCTTCATGTTTCTCCAACTAGATCTATCATGATACGTTTGGATAATTGAAAGCTGATTAGCAAGACACAGTACATCAAATCACCGCAATTACTAGACCAAAACTGTACTCATTGCTCGGATTATACAATCACCAAATAATCAGATCACCAAATCCTAGTTGAAGGGTGAAAAATCATGGATAGTTCGTATGATACCGCTTCCCCAATGTCGATCAGAATTCAACACCTGTGAACGAAGCCATGTGAAAACTCCCGACCCGAGTTTTCCAACTTGAGGTAAACCCCTCGTGGAAAATGTAACACTCGATTCAAGTATAGTATATAAATATCAGTAGGTCAGTATAAAGTTGCCAATTAATTCGAGTCTCATATCCTCTGCCCTCACTTCCGTTTTTGGCTCATCTATTGGAAAATAGTGTATACTTTTCTATATATTCCGTGTCGACAAGCTAATTGTACCTATTCGCTCTGTTATTATAACATTTTATTGTAATGAATCCAACGATACTTATTGCGGAGTATGTGAACAGTAAAATATTGTAGTAATAATAGAGCTAATTGAGGCACGCCACGGCCATGGGTGGGCTTTTCCGCGTATTGAAGTCAGAGCGTGAAAAAGTGTAAAAATACCCGAATCTGGGGTAATTATGATGTGGCTTGATTTTAAAGCTTTTTATTGGTTGAAATCACATTTGTCATCAGTCAGCAGATTCTGGAGTTAACAGGCTTAATAATAAGACCCATCAACCCGATAATTCTTACATCACTTCAATATATGGAACTCTCACGACATTTCTAAACCAGTTGTTTCATTTGCCACATGGCGTGCCACACATAAAATCGTTCTCTATTTCTCGGCTTTTGGAGGGTTGTCGTGCAATTTTCCACGGCGATAAGGTACACTCGACTAATCCATCCCTCTCGATTTGTAAGATCTCAATGACGTGCTAGCACGGCATAGCATTCAAGGCTTACAATATCACAAATACATCTACGAATATATATATACCTATATATATTAATTGCTTGCTATTAATTCATCTTCTACTCACAATAACACAGCGTAGCCAGTTTTTATACACATACCTACATACTCACATAGCAGTTGTGGGATTACAGTTCTTCAAAACGATCAAAGCACACTTCACAAGGTCACTACTACGACCCTTGAAAGTCCAACCTCGGATTTTATACCGACAATTCAATATCATGACTACCGCCGCACCTATTCACAATATACCTGCCCACAACCTCTCACATTCGTCAAGAATTGAAGTTGCTGGTCAAGTAAATATTAAAGACAGTAGCTTTGTTCCTCGTGGGGACACAACTGTTACCGTCAACTACTTCAGGCCACCAGAAGATGGCTCCGTACCCTTCCAGTACGTCGAAGCCCCACCTCCAGGCCAACCGGACCGTAATTTCGGTGATTTTGACGTCCAAATTCCCATCATCGATATCCGCGGTAAAGAAGCCCAATATAATCTCGACAAGGATGCATTCGAAGTGATTCTCGGAGTCCCAGAGTCTGCGGAAAAAGAATTCCGGGATGATGAATCGATAAAACAAAACTATTATCCCGAAGTCGAGAAATTGGTCTTAGATAATGTGCCAGGCTCGAATAAGGTGTTTATCTTCGATCATACGGTTCGTCGTTCGGATCCTAATGCTCATCGCCGTCCAGTGGCAAGAGTGCATATCGATCAGACTGTGAAATCGGCCAAACAACGTGTACAACGTCATTTGCCAGAAGAAGCAGAGAAACTCCTTCAAGGTCGATATAGAATCATAAATGTGTGGCGTCCAATCAATGGTGTGGTTCAGGGTAACCCACTTGCATTTGCCAGTTCCGCAAGCACGAGTGACGAAGATGTTATCCCTGTGGAACATAGATATCCTACTACAACGGGTGAAACGGCTGGTATTAGATATAATGAGGGACAGAAATGGCATTACTTGTCCGGAATGAAAAACGAAGAGAGGTTATTGCTAGAGTGTTTCGATAGTGAGTCTCTGAAGCCTGGTACTAAGGTTCAGGGTGGTAGGGTTCCACATACTGCTTTTGTTGATCCTAGAACGCCGGAGGGTGCAAAGGGTAGAGAGAGTATCGAGGTTAGATGTTTGGTTTTTGGCCCTTAGGATTGATTTTGTACTATATAGGAAATAGAGGGTTTGGGCAGGGAGTTATTGATTCAGCATAGTATTTTGGCATATAGAATATTAAGTCAACAAATTATTCTCCATCGTCTTCTTGGGTCGTCTATTTAAGTGAATGCTTAGTGATTCGCATACGAGTTCATAACCGCTATATAAAAATATCACCAAGACAATTACCCATATCCTCTTTCAGTTCTAGGGAAAAGCTTCTCTCATGGCCAAAATAGCGATATACAATCAGTGCATTCATTTTATAAGTATAATCATTTTAGATTAATAAGAATCTCTTAGAGAATTATTATGAGACTTATAGGTTACATAGTAGGAAATTTAATGAGGGAAACGATGGAAATGTAAGGACAACAGGAAGTAGGCATGATTCCGAATACGCTTCTTCTAGTATCCACCCAATCATTCTTTGAGTTCCTGCTTATGAAAGATTCCTATTCGTCACAAATTGATATTAACTTCACATTCTTCATAGTCGAAAACTCGATATCTTACCCTCAATCTCCGGCATCCACTTTTCCCTATACTTGCAGAAGAATTCTCCTTTTGGATCTAGACCCTCCGGCTTATCAATAGTTCCATACATCACATATCTGAAATGCTCCTTAGCTTGCTCCTATAAATTATCCCATTGTCAGTCCTTGTCCCAGCCATTTCCTAGTCGAGATATCTTGAGCTTCGTACCCCATACTCCAAAATTCCTCCTCCACACACACCGCAAAATTCCCTATGCAATAAACTTCCAGATCCATTATCCGCTTCGTGGACCTTGGGCTTGCCCTCTGTAATTTTGAATGATGAGGCGGGGATTTTAGTCGTCAGGCCGTAGTTTGTGCCAAAGAATTTCTAGTGGTTTTTCAAAATGAGAAAGGGAATGCTATTCTAGGGAACTTTGAACAAAAATGGTAAGGAGAAGAATACCTTACAATTGTGACAATGACATAAAGATGTTCTGGCTTCGGATGGTTCGACGTTGAAAGTATATTTGATGGCGCGGCAGTAGCAGGATCCTGTGTAACGCATATTTCGTCTAGAATGAACAGGATCTAACGAGGTTTGGTGGATGAGATTTGTTGTGGAGGAAAAACTTCAAATGTCGCTTTACTGTAATATAAATTGAATTATGAGGCTATGGATAGATTCTAAGGTAGTTCCTTGGATGATGTCAATTTTCATGTTAATATGTTGCTTCAGTGATTAGAAGAATGTCCTCAAAAGGGATGAGGTCACGAACCTTTGCCGAGAGAGGGGTTCGCTTCATAATCAATGACATCAACCATAAAACAACTACTTGATTTCTCTCAGATTTACAGCTACTTGATATTGCATTTTCCAGTGTTCAAAATATCACAAAACCAAAAACATCCATAATCCACCTTTGAGTATCAGCACAACCAAACAATAATCACCAACATCAAAAATCACAACCATGCCAGATCAAGTCCAAGACAAGCAAGGAAATCCCATCAATGAAGGTGATACAGTCTACACCAAAGCCCGAGGTGGAAAACGGGAAGGAGAGGTGAATTTTGTTCTTGAATATCCATTTAAAAATTCATTTTAATTCTTTTCAGGTCGAAGAAATAATCATGACGCAGGAAGAGGCCAAAACATCTTCCAAGGAGAATGTCAAAAATCCTCCAAAAGGTTTGGTGAAATTCCTATTGTTGACGAATCGATGAAAACTAAATGATATTAGTCGTTTTCACCGATCAACATGGTCATAAGGTTGCGCATAATCCTGGAACGCTCGAGAATTTGGATGCATAGGGATGAATGATTGAAGGTTATTTAGGTTGCTTTTCATATTATCTGGAGCTGTTTGGCGTCTCTTTTCATGATGTTTTGGGCTGAGTATGGAGGGAAAGTGTCACTAATGTTACTTTCGGTCATATTTTGAATACTTTTGGTCTAATATTGAATAATACCATTTTGGGGATTGCGTTGCATGGTTCGAACTCATTAAAGTGGTAGTGATCTTGTTGCGAGTACCACCTGGTTGAGGTTTAATTTTCTTCTGTACTCGGATGTCCTCAAACTTACGACCTCTCAGCAACTCATTTGTAGCCTAGCTAAACAGCTTTCTCCCAGATGTTATAAACATATCACCTCAAATACGAGTTTCGTATCTCAAATAATCAAGTTAGTTTAATTGTGGTCCACAAATAATTTGAGGTTAATAACCACATTCCCTAAGCCAACATGAAATGAAGACTGTAATATAACCAAATTTAATCAGATTCCGTCTCTAACATTCTGGATTTACTTCAAGGGCATCATTATGAACTCATTTGATAAGCTGAAGCCTGGCGACGCGGTTTTTCCAGTGTGATAAGTCCATACGTATTCCATGTGCATATGAACCATACTGTCGACGAAGTACATATGCTATATTAAGTTTTCTTTCCACAGTCAATTTTTATCTTCTTCGACTCCAGAGTTGCGAAATTATATCTCGAGCAAGTATCCCATATTCCCAGTACCCAATATCATTCAAAGAAATCCCTAAATGAAGCATAGTTGTTAAATTAAGGTCTTACTTTCTGTGAGTTGAAGAATGGGAAGTAATCAGACGTGATTACTTACCATCATTCTATTTCTATCTCATGAGATCTCAATGATAGTCGATTTCATTGTCTCTTCACCTCGAATGTGCAAACGGTTCACATGTATTGTCATTTATATGAGCCCATTGGAGCTCCATTATGAAATTCAATCCGAAGATTCATCCACCTTTTTGAGCTCACTTAACTCGACTCAAATAAATGCCCGAGTGCGACATTTCAAACATGCGAGAAATTAAATTAGATTCTCTACGTATAAATTGCTAGCCAGCCATTTTAAGTTAGCATCTAGTCCCATATCCAGCATTCTATTGACTCTTTCGGGCTTTAGTTATATAATGAGATAAGCACGCAGGTATTGAGGATTGAGATATGTAACATAGGAGTTTCTGTATATGTTACCTTGTTTACGTACATTTGGTTTAAGTACTAGTGATGGAAATCATCCTTAAAACAATCTATTCATTTTTGATCCGACAGTTCTCGGGCTCTGTGTTTCTGTTGAACGGACAGGGGTACTAGAAAGTGGATTTCTTGCTGTAATTCCTTGCAGCTCAGATTTATATTGATCTGTGTTTTAGATATACCGGATAAGTAGTTGAATATCTGCCAGTATCGATCTTAAGAGTCTAGAGTTTTTATCTTTTATTCCAACTCTATCATAGGAATTAAGAAATTAAGCTTTCCCAGATATTTCTATATAATTATACGAAGAGTAGAGTTTCCTATAGAACAAATACCTGAACTCCACAAAGAATTTTCTATACTTGGTCTATGGATGACAAAGCTTTTATTCTCTTCAGGTCTTTCCAGCTTTATAGGTAAGTAAGTGAGAGATTCAAAAAACCATAAATATTTGAGAACGATTATGACTAGCAATGGAATTCATCTAATTCCGCTGGACAGCTCAACTGGTTTCAGTCTATCTCTACAAGCTTCCTTCTAAGAAAAAATCCTCATAGGATTTATATTGTAAATCTACACTTTCAGATTTTCAGCCCTCGTCATAACAAGTTTTCAGAAGGAGCGGCATGAGTCCTCTCAGAGATACCATCGTGTATCTTTTTAAATCCTATGGCGATAGCTGAGTAGCTGTAACGGGCTATTGAATTCTTCCAGAAGTCACAATCTATTAGATATTTTAATAATCCTCTAGGATTAATATGACTACCTTCACGAAATCATTTTTTGCATATTCAAGGATTTCAATATTCCTTCGAGCTTCGATGTTCTAGCTGACGGTTTTTCACAATGTTCTATATCTATATATCTGTGAATCTTAATACACCTCTCAGCATAAATATTACCAGCTTCACTTTGATATTTGTTTCATATCTAAGACTTTTAGTAGTTTTAGATGGGAATTATTAGCTCTAGATAGCAATAGTAGTTTCGGTACTTATAACCAGCTCCGGTTCGTTATTCTGATTGTATATCTGAGGACTCCGTGCTTCTAGCTTCGTTATTGGTCTCGGCATTCACTGCCACATATTAGAGATGTGCAAAAGGGAGGCTTGATTAAATGGGATGGCATCAGTTGAGTGGGTTATGTTTTAGCGCTTCCAGCAGGTGACCTTGGCTTCGTCGCCGAGGCTCTAGCGTCTGATTTTTTTCTCTGCTATTCAACTGATATCGAAAAAGTCAATTTCTCATTGTAGGAGGAAAGTAGAATATTGCTTAGTAGGCTGAAATAATACTCGCCTCTAAAATGGCAGCGAGCAACTCCCCTTAAAGAGTTTAGTGATGATTTCATAGGGAGCATCAATTTTCATCTGCTCCAGTTCTACGGCCGACAATATAAAACACCAAATGATTTCAAATGTTGGAATCGAGGAAGCTGTGAAGTTCCGCACAAACAGCATGAGCTGTTCAGTTATCCTGGAATGTCCGTTCCGGAAATATTTCAGGTATTGGCTTTTTATCATACTTCGATGTTCAATTTTCACAATTTCAGTTGAGTCCGTGACTTTAATAAGGCTTGCGGTGTCGAATTTACTGAGATTTATTCGAAAATTGAGCACAAAGAGTATCCAAAGTAGAGATGACTTCGTTAGTTTTAAGAAAGGACAAGTATAAATACTGGGAGAGTGTGTATATATTTAGACGCTCGAACTTTAGATGCTGGAAGACAGGAGGAATTACATCAACTCGAAACTATACCGAGATCAAACTTTCATTGACACTATATAAGCTAGCGTTTACTGACTTTGGCAACCCAAGACAATAAGCCATAAGGAATACCTTCTTTGATGGGCGCAGATGAATCATAACTGCACGGCGGAATTGATCCTAGAATGCAAGACTTAATGAACTATTCGGTTTAACAAGCTGTAAATCGAAGATAGGTAGAGAAAATGATTTTCAGACTTATTATAATGATATGTGCTTGAGATATATGATTATAATGATCGATAAGAGATGTGCTGATGGAACTTCAACTTGTGACAATGGGAATAGCAAAGCACAGTAAGATTAAGTGGTTGCTAAAAATATATAAAGACAACATAGGACCTATCACGCAACAGGAAAATGGCAGTCATTATTGACAGTTGAAATGGGTATTAAGATTCGGTAAATTTTCAAAGAACAGCTCTACTCTCGCTGCATATCAACACCATAGACTTCTACAATGATTAAGGATGATGAAGCAACGGTACCTCAAAAAAGATCATTTATTAATGCCTCTGTATAGTCTCCGGTGCATACATACTGACACAAAGGCCCTCGATTCTTATACCCGTTTATGTCATCTCCTCAGTTCATCATCTCTCCCTCATCTCTTATCCACCTCTTTACTACGTCTATCCCGCCATCATCTCATCTAACGCACAACCTCTCCTAAAACCCCTTTTCTTCCCGCTGTGGAATGGAACTACACGGTAAGCTACATCCCACTCAGAACACCCATGGGCAAGTACCTCAAGTAAAAGCACAACAAGATGGATATAGCCAAACCGGCATCCAGGCAACCATAAAATATCATACCATACATAACCATTCCCTATCCAAACCAGAAAAGTTTCTACAAACATAATCACCACTTCTCCCAGCACTTTCCCCCATTCCAAAACCAGACTCTATTACATCTATCTCTTCCTCACATAACGAAGCATTTCACTTCGCACACTGGTGCTACTTAATTCATCCATCTACCCATCCATGGATTCATCCAAGTAGCCACCCTTATTAAACACAACATCAACTTTCCATCCAGCCTAAGATTAGTATCTCCTCAGGTTTCTACACAAGCAATCCTAATTTCCAACCCCAAATTCAAATATAAATCAGATTCCCCTCTGGTATCAGATACTAGATACCAAATCCCAATACCAAATCCCAATACCAAATCCCAATACCAAATCCCAATACCAAATCCCAATACCAAATCCCAATACCAAATCCCAATACCAAATCTTAAATATCAAATCTCAAACTCCAAATCCCAAATAAAACAATCAATACACAAATCAAACCAACCCAAACCAAACCAAACCCCTAAACATCATCTCATTTTATTTATTTACTTTATTTATAATTGTGACCAAAAGGGTGTTTATAGACCAGCAATTGTATTTAACTTAGAATCTACAGGTGAAGAGCACCTGTAGATGGGGATAGCTACTCTATATATACACAAATGAATAGCCTAGCCGTAATGGCTAGGCAAAAAGAAGTCCTATTTATTCCTCCAATGATCTTACTTTCCGATAACACATATGATACCTAGTACTTGTCCGGATCTGATCCTCAGGTCACCTAAATCGCATACTAATCTCGAGTAATCGTATCATGTGTGGACATGGTTAATGTACCTGAGGTTTCTTATATAATAAGGGTGGGAGGAAAGCAGGGATTTCCGTCACAATAATCTTATATCTTACTATATAATTTCATCATTTTAGACTACAAAGATAAATAAAAAATTGAAATGTGTGTGTATTTTATTCATATAATATAATAGATATTATATTATAAATAAAATAAATAAAAAACATAGTTTAATACGTATATTATACTTCATGGTATCTTTTTTTTTATTTAAAAAAAAACCAATCATTATTTCTTTTTTTAAAACTAAACTTAAACTTTTTTTCTTTAAAAACAAACAAACAAGGAAATCCTATCATAAAAAACACTCAAATACTTGTAACGATACTGTACTGGAGGCAGCGGCTGCCTAAGGTTTCGTCTGGTTGGTAGTTGTGGGTTAAGGCTTTATCACTGGTATTCACTTGGAAGTGAAGTCGTTACTAGATCAAGTAGAATGTAGGTAAACTAATTGATAACCAAGTTGAGCACGAAGCTCCTTAACCACAAGACTAAATGAATGTTTATATACCCTATATCATCTTTTGAGGACCTTTGGGACCCTTCGGTCCTCAAGGTCCTCGAGGTCACGTGAATTAATGAATCGTGACAATGCTATTATAGACCACATTAACCGATAATCTAATAATCCCATAACACCAAGCATTCCCCATTCATCCCATCCATCTCATCTCATCCTATCCCATGCCCCCCTCATCCATCCATCCACACAACAAACAACCCACAACCCACAAAACCAAAAAAAATACACCACAACAAACCTCCCCAAACCCCTCACTTCACACTTCCACTTCCAGAAACCCGCCTAAATTGCATGCATACCCATACCCCGCAACACATACATATAAAAAAACCAACAAATACACATATCTCGCGTCACCCCCGCAATTGGCACGCATAACCCACTTTGTAATCTTACTTTCTATGCAACACACACTTCGTACTTCGCATACAATACTATCGCCGATTGATTGGAGCACGCGGATACGGTAGATCTACCGTAGTGTAGTATTTATTTGAACTCTTATGGAGTGTATATATATATTTTTTTTCTCCATTATTATACTAATATGATATGACATAATAAGACCATGGCATGCATACCTACCTGTACAATTTGTGCCATCCCTCCTTTCTATTTTAACCGCATCCCAGGATTTTTTTTTAAAAAAACCCCCCAAACACATTGTTTGCAGAAAAGTAAAAAGTACCTGCAGCCAGCTAGCTACTCCGCAAAAAGTGGTGCTTTAGGTGCACAACCTCTGTTGGCGGGGAAATGTAAATGTATCTTTGAAATGGAAATTTTATATTATATTATATCATATACTACCATATAAGAGTACTATCACGTACGATCATGTAATGTAGGGATTTCTATATTTTGACGCCACTGCGACGTGAAAAGTATATGGGGATTTACTTTTCTCCATGTTCCATTATCAGGTAAAAGCTAGTGCGTAGAAAATATGTATTTTCCCATCGGTAAAAGCGGTTGTGATTGTGATTGTGATTGTGGTTGTGGTTGTGATACAGCAGGAGATTCTTTGTTTTTCATTCCGGATGCATAAAAATTGTCATCGGTCCGGGTCTTGACCTAAGCTATCCAGTTTTCGGTCGAATGGTCTTTACATATTCCGAGGTAGGCATCATTTCCCACGTTTCACTGAAGGATATTTTTGATAGACGTTTGATTTTGATTTTGATTTTGATGCCGGGAAGACCGAGAAGTTATTCTGCACGTACGCCGTCATTTCCTGGTGCGTGCGGCTGAGTGGAACCGTACGCACAGCACCTGGGAAAGGACTTGATGTCAACCGCGTGTGAGACACGAAGTCTAAAGCGTCAATCAGAGAGAACCACATTTCAAGGCGTAAATTCCTGATCTACTTTAAGAAGAATAATGTCAGCGTCAAGAGATGTGTGAGCCGTCAATTTGAAAAGCCATGGAAAGATCGGCAAACAAATTCCCATATTGAGATATCCTTTGATGATTTTTGAGTGCTAGCTTCATCATGATGCACGACTCCTCTTTCATGAGATTAGTAGCCGTGGCAGCGAACCTCGCCTGGTGGCCGACTTGGCCATCGTACTTCTCCAAGGTAATCTATTATGGGGCGTAGAGGAGTTGCAGCTATTTGAGGAAGGTAATTTGGATGGTCACACTTGGAAACTGAAATATATAGCTACCGTAGAAATGCGATCTATCAGATTCATCAGTGTAGCGGAAAGAAAGAAGAACCGACGTTTGCATGTGCGAAACAAGCATGCGATAGCACTGGCGCAGGAATGATTAATGCAGAAGAATGGGTACAGATGATGAGGGGTAATCTTTAACTTTCGTAAAAAGCGTCGGTAATATCCCTACCATACATCAAATCCATTCCCCAGTATGAATAATTGCTAAAGAAAGTTCTTGCGTTAAAAATAAACGTTGAACACGGTGGAGATAAACTCGGCTCGGGAAGCTGCAGTCTTGCTGCAGTCTTGCTGCTGCGTGCTCATGCAGGTAAAATCATTTCGGGAATATTACCATGTCGTTCAGTGCATATAGAATTATGAGCAAATAGTTATCCGCGGTATCCGCAAGTAATCCTATAATGGACTACCAATATTGATGATTTGGTGCAAGTATGGAACGAGTAAGCAGGATCTATCATTTATTATGATTCTCCTCTCTTCACCGGCTAGAGAGTACATATGAACCTGAAAAGGATTTTGCAGAAGTATAGTGTCATTGCTAACATGGGGTTTTCAAAAGGTATGCAACTAAACAATCCCTTCTCGGCGCCGTTTTTATAACTCCATATAGACGACGGCCTTGGTGTGTAGAAACAAAAAGTTGCTGTATCACAATCACACCTTGGTAGGAAATGATGTAAACACGCTGGACGCCCATTGCCGTGTGTACGCATGTAGGGTCTTCAGCTATTCAATTATTCCGTATAAAAATGCACTTGCGCTGAAATGTACATGGAAATGGAATGTCCCTCAACCGCTGCACGAGGACATGCCATGCTGCGTGAAGTTACACATCCATCATGTGATTTTGTTTCGTATACTACAACGTAACATGAGAACGTGCAGGTACCTGGCTTTTCCTTTTTCTCGTCCTTGTCCTTGTGCCTTGCCGCCTTCAACAAACACTGGCAGATATGCTGTAACATTACCGATGTAACTGAACCACCCGCCATCGAGGTCCCTGTTTTTCAGAGTTTGGGGCCAAGTTACGAACTATTTTGAGCCTTGACGAACCTTGAGAAGTAAGCCTTAAAGCCTTGCTTCTGGTATCTCTCGAAATACTTTTCTCGACTGGAAGCACATGAGATGATTCTAAATTTCTCATGCAAACTCACAGATTAAGTTATTGTGGGTAAAAATGTTTATCCTCAGATATTCGATCTTCGATGTTCAATATCCGTCCATACTCTGTACTGTACATTTCCAGGTTCCATTTCAAGATTGTCAGTGGGGGTTGGGGGTTGATTAGTTGTTCTCATGGTTAAAGAGTCAAAGTCCGACAATCCGATGAAACGGAAAATGAGATGCTTATGCTTATGCTGCGCTCCCTATGCTTGGTCGCCTAACGTAGTCGAGGCGAGGGGTTATTTACCATACAGCGGCACCAAACGGTAGAGTACCACTGTAGATCAAACATGTGGGCACATGGTTTTCAAGGTTCAAGGTTTTTCTCCCCCAAGAAAAACGAAAAAAAAAAAAGCTTCCAGAAGAATTCGAGAAGCTATTCTCATTTGTTTTGTCATCAGAAAATGCTTGAGGTGGTGAGTTCCAAGGTTATAGATTATTTGCTATGTTTGGTAAGCTAATTGATTCATAGAACTGACCATGCATGCAATAGGAACAGATGTCCACCGAGTACTCTGCAATATCCAGAAAGATGCTTCGTCATACAGAGTATTTGTTGTGTTAAGCAGAGATAGGATCATTATCGATGGGAAATCAGATCATGCATCAGGACATTTGACGACAAGATGCAACATTACAATAATCAATGCCGGCACTTTGTTTAGGAAGACTGTTTGTGTGGACCTTGGTGCATCGGTATTCAAACGTTGTGTTGATAGGATATACCTTGATAGTAGAATAGTATGGATGGATCACATCATACTTCCTTTTAGTCCTTAAATTTCTTTGTTTCTTGACCGGGAAATCACCAGATGTAAGATGAATGTTAGAAATTGTATGTGTAGGTCTTATGGTATGGCATGTGTTGAGCAACAATGTGAGAAGCAAAAGCGCATCCCCCTTCCCACGAATTGAAGATACTTCTCGAGACTTGCTTTTACTCGTACCCAAGGAGTTATTGTTTATCTTGCTTGGTTTCTCCAAGGGTCTTCCTAGACCCAACGGAGACTTTGAGCTAATCTCCCCAAGGACCCAAGGAGAAAGTAAAAAAGCTTGGAATGAAGAGAACTGCCTCGGATCAGTTGATTGAATATGTACTGTACAAGTGTACACAGACAATGTGCTCGTTTCTATCCCGTCACTAACACTATCGAATGATGCCAAGTCAGTAATCTGCAGCTACACAGGCAGGCGGGTTTTTGCGTTGCGTTGCATTGCTGAGTGAGTGCATTTCTGCTGTAGATGCACATCTGTTTGTAGAGCCAAAACAAGCAGCCACCGAAATGCCAGGTAGATCCCCTTGAATAAAACAGGAGATGTCGTTATTGTTTTTGAATTTGTATCAAATGTATCGAATGCTCTTGATTGAAACAATTCTCCATTCATCAAAGGGAAATATTGATCTACTGTGAGTAGGCAAAACATGATAATCCTAGATACAATCAGAATACCTAGTACCTACAAAAAAAGAAGCCCTACTGCCTGCCTGCTTTGAAATCTATTTAATTACTCATCGGGGATAAATTAACCTTATGATGTCGACATTGCATGCATAACAAGAGATTTATGATACTAGTTTTGTTGGTTCTTTGTTTGATCTCGTAACTATCGGGCAAACTTACTCTAAAAGTACATATCGTATCAGATTTCATTTCCAAATAGTCACGAGCTCATATATTGTCTCCACCATTGAAGATATTCAGGAATTAGTACCCGAATCTAGTTTTTTTTCCTTTTTCCTTTGTCTTTTTTTGTTCTCTCGTCACCCCTTTTACAAGATTAAAAGGGCAAGAAACAAACAGAAAGATTCGCTAAAAATGAACGTTAAATGAATGTGGACCAAAACTGGGCTTACGTCGTAGTACCTAGTGGCTATGTAATCCCAGGTAATGTACCAACGGAAACCAAAAACGGTGTGGAAAGGGCCTGACCGTGTATTTTCCCCGAGGATCCAATAGAACGGTTGACACAGCAGGGATAATCATATGGAATAGCACGATGGTACGGAGTACACTGTATAGAAGATGGGAGGGAAAATCGAGGGAAAGGGGATGTTTGAAAAGTATGATTTATATCTAGGTAGTACCCAGGCAGTAGACAATAAATCTTGCATATCAATACGTGAAAATAGAAAGATTAGAGTCTTACAAAGATGCGCGTGACGAATAAACTTTCAAGATCTTTCTATTTCCACTAAGATTATCCAAGGTGCTCTGTGCTGTGCTGTGCTATGCTCTGTGCTATGCTCACAGAGATTTTCCTTACATTTACCAAAGCACCAAAGCACCACAGCTAAATTCTCAAGAGCTGCATGACAGCACATTTTGAGTCTTTTGAAGAATTACTGATGAGATTATCTCATGCCCGCAAAACCCCCACTTCAGGTCCACTTGTGTTCGTGCATTGCAGAGTAACGAAGCTGATCCTTCCTTTTATCCTGAACTACTCCATAGAGAGGAGAGCTCAGGAAAGCCGAGCACAACCGCGCCATGACTCTTTTGTTTAACAGCTATGTCTAAGGTAATATTTCAATTTCATTCACACTATTACTTCCGCCGTCTTTCTATAGCGGGAACAAGGATGTACTCCTCACACCGAATTCGTACCTGATTTTCTCAACCTTTCTCTCTTCCAACCTTTCGACCTTTATTACTCTGTAATAATGTATCTTCAAAGCAATTTACCAACCCTTTCTTAGTTGTACGACTTGTCACCAATCTAGTCTTAGCGGTCCCGTGCTTGGTAAGTTTGATCCGAATCCCGAGCCATCCACCCCGTCTTCAAAATCCACAATCAATTAATGAATGATAGGCTGGGACGGATAGAAGGAAATGATAAACAAGTCGATCACGATTCACGATTCACGAATCTCTGTTGTTGCGGGGCGTGCAGCTTTTTTGAATTTTTTTTTGATATTGAACTATAACCATAGGTATCGTCACCCTTGCCAAGAGCTGAGCTGAGGAAAGAATTTTCCATCAGTGCTTCCAAACATCGTATCATAATCGACAAATGCCAAACCTACGCCCGCCAGATCCTGCCACGCTGCCTAACTTTGCTGCACTGCACAGAGCACGACTTGTACCGAGGTGCGTCCAAGCTCCTGTAATAATGAGTGACCCATATTCGTCTGTTGTTTTTAAGACGGCGTGCGTATTGACTGGTTGACTGGTTGACAAGTTAAACGCTGACTCAATTACTTTAACACTATCGTTCATAATACTAAGAACATTATACCAATTCTTATATTTCATCTCCGCCTTAGGTCTACAAAGATGTTTCATTCACGTAAAAAATCACTACTGAATCAATAGAACATGATCTAGGAATAGAGGAAAACATAGTCCGAACGGAAACAAGGGGCCCGGGGACTATCAGATTTTGATTCCCAAAAATAACTTCTCCTAATCCAATTTACCTTCTCGTCGGATTAGGATCTTCCCAGCTTTCAACGCCAGCCAGGATGAAGATTAAAATCACGACTATTATCAAAGGTCTAAGCAGAAAAAAAAAAGACGATTTCTACCAAATCAAGAATTCGATGAAGAATAACCGAATTTTGATGGCTTTTCGTCTTTTCCTCCCCTGATTACAAGGGAAACCCCCATGATGACATGGGGTTACAAATTCCATACAGATGCCCTCTGCCCCGATAAATAGGGGAGGAGGTCTCAGCTCATAATCTGTTGGCTGATTTGGGGACTCAGGGTAATAAACAACTAATCAGCTAATCAATACCCTGGATGAACAGACAAGGCGAAACACCAATGCTGCTTTTTGGGCTTACGTGCCATGAAAATTACATTCGATGCAGGGAGTATAGCACATGGGGCAAGCATCAGCTTTCCTTTGATGGGCGCGATATTCTACGTTTATTGGTTGATTAAGTGAGGAGGTTTGAGCCTTATGACGGAAGTTCCTGACTTCCCTGAACGGTTTTGCTGATCGGTACGACGGTGTGTTTTTCGCTTTTCATGGGAAAGGAAGATGTGGGATTCGTAGGATTGGTTGGATCTTTTTTTCTTTATCGCGCTTGCTTGCTTGCTTACTTGCTTGTTATGTGATGATGGTGGATGATGGATGGTAGGTAAATAATTGAAAGGGTCGTACAGGAATCACGACATGCATGCATCGGTGTGCTGTATTACAATGATGTTATCTCCATTTTCCCAAGAGGCATGTGATATGACTCAATGAGTATACATCGGGGCCAAAATCAAAGATAGGCCATTGAACATGAAGATTCTCAGCTAAGGTTGAGGGGCAAGAGGGGAACTTCTGTAGAAATTACTCTATACAGATTTATCGCTGCAGTTTCGCTCCACTATCCTACAGATGATGGACGGTAGATGGTCTTTACAGCTGGATGCATACATGCGTGAATATATATGCTTGAATATATATGCTTCTAATCCCAAGTTGACCCAAGTTGACCCCAGCACATGGCTAATGCGCTCACATACGTAGTAGAGTCGAGACGAGACGAGCTTCGCCAACCTTCCTATACCTATTTTCCCATTTTCCTCGCTCGCACCTATCACTTAACTCCGCTCCGAGGACCGTCTGAAATTGGAAAATTAACCATTTGTTCGTACACGAGATATACGGAGCATATAATTTTTTTATGGTCCATTATCGCTCGTCTTATCTCCCTCCCTCTTTCTCCGTAGTACATTTCTACCCTACCCTACCTGTCTACTGGCCGCTGCAGTGGACTCATGCATGAAAGGTTGAAACTTCGCTCTCGGAGTCCCCTGCTATCTCCATCTTTTTTATCCTTGTTCCAAGCGCGTCATGTCATGCTCAGTGTGTGTACGGAGTAGTGTGTAGAGGAAATCATAACCTACCTTGCTTTAAGTTAGAGGGGAGGAGAGCTAGGAAACTGAGCTATGTGGATGCTATTTAGTTTGATATATGTACACTCTCGGAAACATGGCATATGTACAAATGCGGAAATATTTATCTGATATGATATGGTATGTTCATGATGCCTGGATGCGCATACTGTATCTATCTATCTATCTATTTGTATCTTTCTAGGATAATCAAATTTCTTTACTAACATTGATATTGGCATTGGTATTGATATTGATATCTTACCGGAGGAAATACTGCGGATCGCATTATGTTCATGCCAAGCGTGGGAGCGGAGGAATGAGAGATCACGCACTTGTAACGAATTGGTCATTAATTCATACCAAGACCCGAAAAAGAATGTTATGATTGATTGTTGGGAGACGATTCTAAAAGTAAGGATAAGAAAAAACCTGGTCAGAGAAAGAATACCTAGATCCATCCTCAACGCAGCAAACAACAAAAATTTTCATCCATCGAAGCGGTGAAGATTGGGAGTTTGAAAAATCCACGGATGATGTGCACGAAGGAAAGAGAACAGAAAAAAATGTTGCCTCATTTGAGGTCGCGCGAAGGGTTATGCGCTTATAATTGGATCCTGTTGATATCATATCCATCACCGTGTGTGCCAACGAAGCATTTTGCTTCGTCGGTTTGGGGTTTTTCATTACTCTTTTCTTTGGCCCTGTTTGTTACTACTTGCTATATGCTATGTTCCTGCTTCTTCCTACCTAACCTGAGTGTTACCGTCCTTGTGCCCCTGCTGATGAGAAATGTGACCACGAGACCTACTTTATCTTTTTATCACAGATGAACAGCGTTTAAATCTTGTGCGGCGCGATACTAGAGGTGATCTTAACTTTTGGTGGCATCCTGTTGGTTGGTGATGGATAGGAGGAGATGGATTTATGGAGGGAAAATGCTGTGGTGGTGCAATTATGACAGGGTGGAATATGCTTTTCGGCGAGTAAAAATGGTGCAGTGTTTCTGTGCGCTGGTACTGGGCAATTTGACTTTGTGTGAATGATGAGATGATGAGACAAACTGTTGGTCTTTCTCCCGGCCTCTTCCTTTGCGGGAATTGGGAATTGGGAATTGGGTTTACTCGGCCTCAGACTGTGATCGGGATGCGGTGTTGTGAGAGGTTACCAATGATCTTTGGGTACCTAGGTAGGTATCGTTTTGGCTTTTTGCTTTTCTCCCAATGAATGAATATACGGCGCACCCCCGACATAACAAGCAATATCAATCATTTGATTATATAGTCCCGAAACCCCCAATGCTTATTGACGTCTATATTTCCCTTTAAAGCAATTGATCATAACCTCGCAATTCTAACCTACCTACCTTTACTTCATCTCTATACGCATTGCTTCAAGTGCATTCAAATACTTATACACATTTGGAGCTTTGCTTGAGATTTTGCGTTGGCATCTCCATATCTATCCATATCTCCTCATATATCGTGTACCTTCTGACCTGGGGATACCCATATAAATATAAAACATAGCATCAACGACAGCAAGGCAAGATAAGACAGGACGGATTGTTGACAACATTCGATTTTGGAAACATTCTACTTTGTCCCAACATTTCGAAAAGAAGTCGGGATAGGATTCTTCGTTGTGTTATTTGTACCCCGCTATCTACCTCTTCTTGCAATATCTTCTTTCTTCTAGAAGTACGAATCACCTCTATCGAACGAGTTATTGAATACCCTGTCCTGTTCCTTGTATCCTAGTATTTCGGCGCCTGCAAACGCTTCAACGACAAGCGGGAAAGAAACAACAAAGTTATACAACCGTCATATACAGAAACTCTAGTTTTGAACACACAAGGCAGAATCAACAAGTATTTGCAGCAAGTCGAAAGTTAGAGTTCATTCTTTATATCATTTCACCTCGGCTTACAAAGGAAAGGGACTTTTACACTTTTACTACCCTAATCGTTAAGAAAGGAACAAATAGTGTAATAGAAGAATTGGACGAAACAAAGAGCAAGGGGAAATATAATTCGAAATTGGGGAATTTGAATTTTGGGGAAATTTTAATAAAACATCTTGATCAGGTAAGATTGTGGATTAATACTTCATTTTCTTCAATACTGGGTAGGTACTTACAAGTTATGAGTACTGTACTACATTTCCAACTTCAGTCGTCATCTCTTTTGGAAGTGAGGGTTGGCGCATTGGCTGCTGACTGTGTGATGTTCGTTCAGGGCTATCAATCGACATTACATATATACCTAGGTATTAATAATAACATATAATCTGTCTAAGCTTAGCAATTCCAAAGAAAGGTATTAGCATCAGCAGCAGCAGCAACTCAACTGGACTCCACTACCTACCTTAGCTAGCTACTCATCAACTACGACATTGGACAGCTTTTCGATATTGATATTACCATATTACCATATTACGATATTACCTACTTTGGCATACCTACTAGACAATAACTTGACTAGGCCAACCTATAACTTCCAAGGTTGCCAACAGACGGAACCACTTCTACCCATAGCTTGGGTATGCTACACTTGCACTATTTTATACGGCACCTTTTTATTACCTACCTATTGAACGAACCACTTTGAGCCACCGAAGTCATTTATAAGTTATTAGTCCTTTTAGTAGGTGACCTTACTTTAAGTACTTTTACACTTTAGTGGCTAACACAACCCGAAACCTTGAAGAATTTTCATTTTTGGTACCTTAAACCTAGGTGCCATTATCTACTTATTACCTATTACCTATTAATTAACTTTGAACGGGAATAAGTTTAATTTCTAAAATCCAAGGCTGCCAACGAAGGAAAAGGAAGCACCGGTAATCTGTTGGTACTCAGTACTGACTTGACTTGACTGTACCTGGAAAGAAAGAAGGAGGGAGAGAAGAGAGAGAGGGGAAAGAGAAGGAAGAAAAAAAAAAAAGAAGAATCATCATCATCATCATCATTCAGTCATCTTCTCCTCATCCAGCCATCCAGTCATTCAATCGTTCATTCATTCAATTCACTACCACAACAACACACCACCACCACTCATTTTGTCACTCCTTTATCTCCAAATTTGTTTGGTATTACCAAAATTACATTCCTTCCAGAAGATACCAAAACCAATACATCAAATCTTCTTTTCTATTTCCCTTCTCTTTTACTTTTCATTACCTATCTAGGTACTCTGAATAATTCCAATCCACAATTCAGTTCAATTCAATTTCATTCAACTCGAATCCCGTCCAAGTTTACCACATCCTCGGAACCAGAGATCCAATCAAGCACAAATCAAACCAATGCTTGATGCCCTCTTTTATTAATCTTTGAGGGGGAGAAGAAAACGCACAAATAAAAACATTTATTTACACAATTTATTGTTCACTCTCATTTTTTCTTCTTTCATTCCTTCTTTTCATATTCTATCCTCATTCCATCCATTTTTCAATGGTCAAGGGGGGAAATTGAAATCAAGGAAGAAATAATCAAAAATCCAAGGGCAATTACAACAATTACAGCCAGCAATCACAGCAATTACAACAATTTCTTACAGCAAAAACTCGATGCAGCTAGCTCTCTGCACACACTAAGCAACTGCACGATACCGAATACCGCCATCCCCCAGCTTTTTTCCTGCAGGCCTTGGATTCTTGCGAACATCACCCTAAAGAAATTCCCATTTGCAACTACCCGCACTATCTGCACTACCTATCTGCATTCCCTGCACTACCTAGGCATCTGCACTATCTGCACTACCTGCACTCCCTGCACTACCTACCTGCCCCTACCTGCACTTACTTACTTGCCTGCACCACCTGCACCACCTGCACCACCACAAAAACAAAAGTAAAACCCCCACCAACAACTACTACCACCACTTTATTACCACCAGCACCTCCACTACTACTACCACTACTACCACTACTACCACTACCACCACCACCCTTCACACCATCCTAGTCGAACACACAAAAAATCCTTCCTCCCAAAAACCTCAATAAATAATTCCTAAATTGGCCACTTACATTGCGATTAACTACGATCGAATGCAAGATCATCCAGATCCGCCGTCTCATTCATACTTACACAGGATTTAAGATTACTCAAAAGGAAAAAAAAAGAAGTTATTGGGCCTGGCGCAACCATTCGACTTTCCCTTTTCAAACCACCATTTGCAGAATATACGACTCACCATACACCCATTCATCGTCCAGAAATATTAAAAGACATGCGCTCAATCACATCTATATGGTATAGTGTTCTCAAACCCGAGTTCAGCTATTAGTTGATCATACGAAACCTGCGCCATTGGCCAATTTCATTTCACTTCCCAAAAAGGGTTGATAGTGAATCCGCTTACAAGATGTCTTCTCTTCATTCGAGTCCCAATCCGACTCCTCCTACCTCAAGAGTTCCCGCACAACAGCAATCGCCTCATATGTCTCCATATCCACAGAGAACATCCTCTTTGAATCGAAGACGTGGTATATCGCGTGTGCGGACCGAATTCCTACCTACCATTACTTCCGCCCCTACCGTTCCAATGTCGGCGTCCTCGGTCACAACCTCCAGCTCCGCACAAGCGTCGCCCATCATGTCACCCGAAACTAATCAAGTTATGACCAACAACTCCTCATTACAAGTATCCCCCGAAGGCCCTCGTGGGCGTGAACCTGAACATCGCCTTCCCCCTTTCGAACCCCTCCCCGACTCAATAGTTTCAAGGAAACATAGTCAAACTGCCATGGCTGAGGCATTCACCGGCAATAGGTCGCAAGGTTTGATGAGAAGGTTATCGAACAAGATCTCCCGACGACAATCGACCACTATAAGTCGAGACCAAAGTGCTGGACCAGTCATGTTGCGACGCAGGAGTGACAGCACCAATACAGCTCCAGATTCCAGACACAACTTCTTTAACTCTGATTCCGACGAAGATGCCCACGAGGATTGTATCGAGTGGGTGGACTCTCCATTGGGTATTGAAGGTCTTCCCGGCGACTATCCAAGTTCCAATGCCTCGTTCGCTTGCTCTTCGACGATGACTAGCGGCGGCGGTAATGGAGGCCTCGCATTGGGTCCCGTCATACCTACCATCCTTCTCCAAGGGACCACCATGATCAAAATCACAAAGAAGAAGAGAAAGTTTCTTACATTTGTTCTAGAAGATGAAGCTTGTAAAGTGTCATGGGACAAGACGAGACCTGCGAAAAGCTTCCTCATTGACAACATCAAGGAAATTCGACTCGGATCTGATGCTCTGAATTATCGTGAAGAATTTAAAGTTGACCCTCAGGACGAACCTCGTTTCTTCTCCATCCTGTACGTGGTACCCGACCACAAGTCGAATGGACGCTCAACGAAAATTATGCACTTGATCGCCCCCGATGAACAAACTTTCGACCTTTGGACAACAACCCTGGAAGCTATTTCAAAACATAGATATGAAAACATGTCAAGTCTTGTGGCCTTCAACGAAAAGGCAGTTAGGAACTATTGGCGAGGCGAGATGACCAAGCAGTTTTCGGAAATACCTCATGCCGAAGATGAAGAGGCTCTTAACTTCGAGGGAGTCGAGCAACTTTGCAAGAATCTCCATATTAACACTTCTTCCAGATTCCTGCGCGAGCGATTTCACAAGGCGGATGCTACCAAGTCGAAGAAATTGAACTTTACCGAGTTTCAGGAATTTGTGAAGCTTATGAAACGCAGAGAAGATGTTTCGGAAATCTACAAAGATCTTGCTTCCGACGCGGCGAAAGGAATCACACTGGAAGAATTTATCAATTTTATTGCCGTCGTACAAGGGGAGAATGTTGAAAAAGACCGAGCCAAATGGGAATCGATTTTCGCGAAATTTGCCCGTCGATCAAGATCACGAGATCAGCCACTGCAAGATGGCGAGGCCGCACGAATGAGTGAAGAAGCCCTTGCTACCTTCTTCACATCTATCCACAATGTTCCCCTAGAGGCGATGCCCGAAACATTTCCCCTCGATCGTCCTATGCATGAGTACTTCATCTCTAGCTCTCACAATACTTACCTCATGGGTCGACAGGTCGCTGGTGAATCGAGTGTTGAGGCTTACATATCAGCTCTAATCAAAGGTTGCCGGTGTGTAGAAATTGATTGTTGGGATGGCAAAGATGGGCGACCGATTGTCAATCATGGACATACGATGACCAGGCCCATCATGTTTTCTGACGTCATGTACACCATCGCGAAATATGCCTTTGTCAAATCTCACTTCCCGTTATGGATTTCTCTGGAGGTTCATTGCAATGATGCCCAGCAGGCAGCCATGGCTCAGATCATAAAAGACGCTTGTGGTCCTTTGCTGGTCACAGAGCCTCTTGATCCTTCGTCTCAAGAGCTCCCTTCGCCTTCTCAATTGTTGGATCGAATCTTGATCAAGGTCAAGAAACCCAGAGTCGATGAAGCACCGGCCAAGGTCAACGGTCGGTCTCGTGGAAACAGTCTTAGCTCACCTCGTGTTTATCCTACTCAGCTCGATAATTCAAGCATTTCTAGTGGCTCCCTCCTACCTACGCCAAGTTCAACCTCCAGTGGAAGCAATATCAAGCAAAGCATTCGAAGAACTGGAACTGATGAAACTACAAGTAGCAGCAGTAGCGATAGTGAAGGAAACGAAGACAGAGCTAAGGATAAGCCCAAGACAAGCAAGATTGTTAAAGTCCTCGGAGAGCTTGGCATTTACAGTGCTGGTGTTAAATTTCGTGGTTTCGATGATCCCGAGAGCAAGACCTACAATCACATCTTCTCATTCATGGAATCTACGTTTGATAGGAATAGCAAAACTCAGGGTGATCGCCGTGCAATGACAAGACATAACATGAGATTTCTCATGAGAGTATATCCCAATGGATGGCGTGTCGCATCTACCAATTTCGATCCTCTCAAATATTGGCGACGAAGTGTTCAGATGGTTGCTCTCAATTGGCAAACTCATGATCTCGGTATGCAAATGAATGATGCTATGTTTGCAGGAGGCACTGATCAATCTGGTTACGTCCTCAAACCAAGCGAACTTCGAGAGATTAAAATGCTTCCTAGTGTTCCCGAGGAAGCAGGTGCCGATCATGTCAAGCGAGAGCGTAAGAATGTTAACTTCTCGATTGATATCATCTCTGCTCAACAACTCATGCGCCCAAAAGGTCTCCCTTCGAATCGTTCTGTCGATCCATATGTTGAAGTCGAGGTTTACCATGCTGATGACAAGAGCAAGGAAAATAAAGGAGTCATTGGCGAAGGTGGTCTTGACGCTTCTGCTAAGGATGGCTCTTCTGGTTTGGGTGCTCCTCATAAGCGTCGTACACACATCGTCCAAGAGAATGGCTTCAATCCTGTTTTCAACAAGAAATTTAATTTCGCTCTAACGACCAAATTCCCAGAACTCGTTTTCGTTCGTTGGACTGTCAGATGCTCCCCGGATGGTCACAGTTACAATGATAAAAGTTTACCCTTGGCTACATATACTGCCAAACTCAGCAGCCTTAAACAAGGTTATCGCACTCTACCTCTCTACGATACAAACGGTGATCAATTCCTCTTTTCTACACTCTTCTGTCGCGTCAAAATCGATCCAGCTACAAGCATCTATGTCAATGCCGAAGCAAATGAGAGCGTCGGCGTACTAAAGAGTCTCGGTCGTACCGTCTTCAATCGAACACCTCTATCACCAAAACCCCCGGTCGATAGTGGTCACCAATGATTCAAACTCACTTCATCCTTCCACAATATTCAATTTATCTGTACATTCTATATCAATTGTAATATACTTCATTCTGGGCGTTTGTATCAAAAAGGCGAGGTACCATACTACGTTCCATTTTCATTGGAAAGAAACAGTCATCGATTCTCTGTTCAGTAATTTCAATTTTATATGGCGCGTCTGAACGCCTGGAGATTTTGACCGATTCATTTTCGATTTTGTTTCTTTTCAAGCGTTTTCATTTCAGCGAGGCGCAATTTTTTTTAAGGGGGATAACAAAGGATACCCCTTCAGCATTCTGCGACTTGCAATATCACAGCATCGGGATTGCGATTTTTACTTCAAACGGCGCGGGCAGCATTAATATACATAGGGCTGGGAAATTAAAAGCAGCTCGCGCTGCGCGTTTTTGCTTGCGATTGCATTTTAAGGGGTCTCTCTGCATACTCCAAACACTTTCGTGTGTATGATTTATGTCATTACACCGAAAAACAACTCCACTCATTTATTCATAAAATTTCTTTTGTTTTGTTCAATTTCTGGCAACATAACATGTAGCGGGCATACTACTTTTGGCTTGTTTTTGTTCCTATGCAAAGGTTTACCCTCATCAAATGTTTCGCGGGTCGAGTTTTTCGGGATGGCATGGGATTGGAAGGGACTGGACTGGATTGTACGGAATGGAGCATTGTGGGAGCGAGCATATACGATTCTGCTGGACTGGCTCTATGCGTTGCTTTTGTTTTCACTCCACTGGGATCTTATGACGGGATACTTCTTTTGGCGTTTCATATCCTAGAATATTCTGGGATGGAGGAACTTGTTTTTTCTTACTGGGCCTTTCTTGCATTGATGGATGGGATACTTATATGACGGTCTGGGTCATTGGACTTTGCAAAGTGGGAGTTTTGTTTTAGTTGTATACATATGGGATACAAATGTGGTGGTGATTGTGATGGGCTGTGGTGATGGTATGATGGATCGCTTCAAAGAGCTTGATCTTTAACTGTAGCTTTTTAGCTTTGAGCTTTTTCGAAGAAAAATATGGTGTCGCTTGGGAAGAATAGGAAGGGTTTTTCATTGTTTGGGTGGTTAGCTGATGATAGAGTGGATGGGTGGGGAGTGTATAGAAAGAGAGATGAGTACATGAAAAGATGAGAAATACAGATGTAAGAACTAAGATAGTTCAAGGGAAGGGAGTGCACTGAGAGATGAGAGATTGTGGATGAGAAATATATAACAATGAAGATCTTTCTAAGCTATACATGTGTCTTTTCTTGAGACGTGACTTGTTATTGTTATCGATTGAGGATTTCTAACGCTATCGCCCACTATCCTACAATAATTGGCCACACCATGAATTTTCCATATACCAGACTAACTGGTGGGTGGGTGGGGTAATAAAGTTCGATGTGCAACAAAAGGAAGGTTTTAGCGCTAAGTACCTAGGTAGGTAGGTATATAATATAGGTGATGTGATGAAGTATTCTCGTAATAAATAATACCTCGGTAGGTATTTTATATTGTATTATAAGATAAGATAAAATTATAAAGGTTTCTTGAATCTTAAAATCATAATTATGGATTAGAGATTATTGATTCTCCTTTTTTTTTTTGAAAGGATAGGAGGAAAGGAGGAAGTATCTGTATTTGATATATACATATATATATATATATTCTTAGAGCATTTACAAACTATCTATCTTACCCCGCCGCGCGCCCCCCAAAATATCATCCTCAGCACGAGAATAACCAAGTATTCCTCCAGCTCAGTGTATATCCAAATATCCAAATATCCAAATATCCAAATATCCAAATATCCAAATATCCAACCAACCAACCATATCTACCACACCGTAACAGCAACCCTCCCCTCTATAATTCCCGCCAACAAATACGCATGCTGAATGCCCATTCGCAACCCAATATCCCTTAAATTCCTCACGCAAAATGCACGCGCTTCTGTAGTGGTCAGGCGCGAATTCCCTACGATAAATAATGGCCAGATGAGAAAATATCCACCGGAGAAACGGAGTTTGGGGAATTTATCGCTTTCACTTTGGGGAGTGCTGGGTGAGGGGGGAGATGTAGAGGGGAAGTTGGTCCAGAGTTGGGGGGGTTCTGTGGTGGGATTTGGGTTTGGGTTTGAAGGGGGATTTATTAGGTTTGCATGTAGGTTTGGAGTGTGGTAGCCTATGTGTTGGGGTATACTAGCTAGGATGTTTGAATGCAGTGTGTATATCGTCGTGGTACATTTCTGGAATAGAGATAAATATTCTGTCCTTGCAGGCAAGGAGTGGCAGATGCGAAATCTTGTAGTAAGATGTCTCGGATTGTTTCGTTGAGCATAATTCGCAGACCTGCGATTGCGTTCCACATTTGTGCTGTCCCAGTGGTCGTGGTATATGTGGTAGTAGCCTTCAAATACGATATCTGGATCTTCGTTCGTCTGGATGATTGTGTATTCCCATCCTCTGGGGACGTTGGTGTAGAAGAAGAGGAAGCGTTCTTCGAGGGCTTGGGCTTCGTTGAGGAGGTCACGAGGATCGGGGTTATTTTCCGCGTGATATCGAGCGTTGAATGAGGCGTAGTCGATCATGGTTTTTTGGGCTATCCATGCTGGATCGATATTTGTCATTGTTTTTTCGGCGAGTGCAGTCATTTCGGTTATGTATTTCGGGATTGGGATATCTCTTTGCAGACAGGATGTTAAGAGGCTTGAAGTTACCTGAGCTAGCAAATGGATTCCCCCTTTGGATTTGATAGCTTCCCGGCCTCGGAGTTTGATAACCGCAGCGGCACCGTGGATATGTTCTGCCCATGCTTTCATGGATTTTTGATTACGTCCTGTGATAGTTTCGAAGATGCCAAGGATCAGGATCGCTAATAAAGTACTATCTTTCTTGACGGCGGTCGGGGATTGAAGAGCTAAGTTGGTGAGTTGTAATGATTTGGCGTATTGGGCGCGTGCTTGATTCATAAGCTGAGGAGCTTTCGCTGAATGTGAATAACCTGCTAAACCAACTGCATGGACTGCTGCGACGAGATTATCATCTATGCTATTGGATTCGTACAAATCGGAAAGAAGTTCCAGATGTCCTCGAGTAGGACCATGATCACCTATCACATAATTTGATAGGAAGAATGCCGTAGCTTTATCTTCAATCGATGGTGTTATGTTGAAATAATTTATCGAGATAATCTGGCTAGGTTGCAGAGTTCTTACAACTACATTGCGTGGAGAGCTAGAGCTTTCTTGGCTTGAAGATGGCGAGGATATGTTTGAGTTAGGAGGTGTGGAGTTGGGAGAGATAGATCCTACGGTCTTTTGCTTGGCTTTTTCATGTTTGACTTTTGCTTTTTTGATGACGCTTTTTGTTTCTTCGCGGAATATCACGTCGATTTGAGATCGGTACCCAGGACATGGTCGTCCGGCATTGGAGCATTGAGTGCACCCGGTGGGTATTGTATCACACTATAATATATTTCAGTAAATGTCCATGGTCCTGAAGAGACTTCATGCTATGATCATGGGCTAGGTTGTAGACTAACTTACTTTTGTTTTCTTGGCTCGGCATGCATGACATCCTTTAGAAGGCCGTCCACAGAATACCATGTTTGGGACGATGTGTTTGCTTAGACGGGAAACACAATCTCGTGTTTAATACTCCACTGACCGTTTTGAGACCGTACGTTTTCCAGGGACCAATTTCTAAGAATAAGAACAAGCTCGGAGTTTCGAGAACAAATTCAACGAGCGATCGATTCTATGGGTATTAGGAACTGACAGCCCAGTGCAATAGAATAGATGAGTTTGGGTTTGGGTTAGGGAATACTACACTCTTCGCAATGATGATCTCAAACAGGAATGCAAGAATTTCCTATACTAAGGGATACAATACTAATAAGATAGCCAAGAAAAGTAGCGAATTCAAACATATTTCTGAGCTGATCGATCTCATATGGATGTCTCCGTGTAGATGATAAGCAGATCACGTGAACATCATGTGTGAAGATGACATCTAATATGATTGGATGAATAAACTCGTCAGAATTTCCTTTTCGAGGGTACGAAGAAGTTAACCAATGAAAAGACTGGAAATATCGGTTCAAGAGGGGCCGTGAATCCTTTAAATGGCTAAGCGTGCTGGAGCCTATTGATGTTTCGTACGGGAAGTGGGACGGGGACAAGTAACCTTGTTAATCTGACAAGGCGCATTTCTTCCGCATTGACAGTCATCCTCGTCATCCTCGTTCATGGACGAATTATTTTCTTCAACTCAATCTTTTCAATTTTCTTTGCATTAGTGTAAAGAGGCATTGTCAACGATATTGAACGAGACTTGTGTCTTATATGAGGCTACGTGCTCACATGCAGCTTGTCAACGTGACTCGCTAAGTAGTGTTGCACTGTATGGCTGTATGATCAAGCATTCTGATTTCCTAGTTTGGTCATCATGAATTTCTTTACGTATCTAGGTTGATTGTATGAGGTTACATGCTAGTAGTGGCTCAGCTAGGTGGTTCCCATCGTAGGGCATTAGTCTGCGGATTTTCTAACTGATCATCCTGAAGTGGAGCCTATAGCTCGTCGTCATAAATCGTTGTGTTTCCATCTTGTCATCGTGTTACATATTCATTCTACTTTCATTTTTACCTGTTAGTGCTTCCATACGTTCTAGTTCGCGATTGTGTACTCTCTCCAAAAAGACTTTAGTCTTCAGGCCTAGGACATTTATCATCAACTTCACAAGTGCAAATGGCTATTTACCTGTATAAAAAATGGAAGGCGACAAGAGAAAACCCTTCGACCCCATCAGGTCCCTCCAGAAACCCGGAATCTTCAAAATCTTGCAAACATAGAAATAACATACTAGGTCTCACGTCAGAAGAACAAGACTCAGCAATCCCTCTAGAATCTCAAGTAAGAAATGTCCAAGGTAGAGAAAGTACCAAGAACGAATTACAGATAGGCATATCTTATGATGGACCATGTACTCTTTGTGAACAAGAAAAGAAAGCATTAAATAGGTATAGGTGGAGGTTAGCTGCTGGATTGATGTTACCATATATGGTACAAGGACTAGATCTTACCATTATTGCTGGTGCTTTACCTTTTATTGCTTCGGATTTCAGTAAGTGTTTGAATCTTCATTTTCCTTAGCATCCATCAGAACTAACGGCTCTCGAGATCAGCTATCGCAACTGAATTGGATTATCTCCGCGTTCAATCTAACCGCAACAACTTTCATACCCGCTTGGGGTCAACTCGCCGACATCTTTGGCCGATATGCAACTCTCCAAGCTGCCTTGGTTCTCACTTTGACTGGAAGTGCTCTTTGTGCTGGGGCACCGGTAACTGCTTTTACCATGTTGCTTTTCGGTCGAGCTCTTCAAGGATTAGGTTGTTCTGGACTCTTAATCTTGACTAAAGTTCTCCTTGCCGATAAAGTATCACTCAAAGAAAATGCCAAGAACAATAGCTTATTTGCTGTTGTCGGTGGTCTTTCTTATGGATTCGGACCTGTCATTGGAGGATATTTGACTCAAGTTTCATGGCGATGGTGCTTCATAATCAATATCCCTATTGCGCTAGTGGGTATGATTGGTGCACATTTTCTTCTTCGACCTATATTGCTCGGGCCTCAAGCAATCAGAAGAACTGATGACGGAACTGAAATGGAAGGACCTCAGACATTCTTGAGGAGATTCGGTACACTTGACTTTGGAGGACAATTCCTATTCCTTTTCGGAATGGGTCTTTTTATTCTTGCCGTTACCTGGGCTGGAGCATACTATCCTTGGTCGGACGTTAAGGTGATCGTTCCTCTCGTCCTAGGTTCTCTCCTCCTCGTTCTATTTTTCGTCTGGGAATACTTCATGATGCCAGGCTTAGCATTGGCAGTCCGATATCCATATTGCCGGGCCATGCTGCCATTCAAGCTCATCTTAAGCCGCAACTCCGGACTTTTAATGTACATCAACTTCATCACTGGCATGGCAATGTACGCCGTCTTCTACTTTGTCGATATATATTTCGCGCTCGTCCTACAATTTTCCTCTAGCAAAGGAGGTAAAAATCTTCTTTACTACATCCCCGGTCTAGCAGGCGGCGTATATCTCGCCATGTTTGCCTGCAATATATTTCCACGTCAAACATGGTATCCACTTTTCCTGGGCACGCTCATCGAGCCCCTCGGCATCACTATTCTCGCCGCAGCACTTTCCTGGGGTCATCTCCCCACAATCTATGGCATGCTTGCTCTTACGGGCGTCGGAACCGGAATCAGACTCATGCCTGGTACACTTCACGCAATAGGACATTATCCCACACAAATCGCACCACTCGTCTCAATGATGTCTCTTTCTTCCTCGTTGGGTGGCACCCTCGCATTAACTATCATGCTAAATATCTTCAATAATCATCTTTCATCTTCGGGTATTTCAGTCTCTGGTACTACTACGGCTAGTTTTTCTGGTATTTCGAGTTTATCGTCGACGGAACAGGATTATGTGAGAGAGATGGCGAAGAGAGGTATCGTGTTGGCTTTTTATGCTATTTCGGCGTTTTTGTGGTTAGGTGTGAGTGCGAGTGCGGGATTGGGAAATGCGTGGATTGCGAGGGGAGAAGAGGAGGGGATGGCGAATGTGGGGAGAACATGTGAGGGGAGCTTTCTTGGGAGTTTGGTGAGGAGAAGGGGGAGAAGTGGTGTTGAGAAGGCTTGAGGGGGGTTAGCGTGGTATTTATATATATATATATATATATCTATGGAGTTTATCTTTAGATTGGCAATGCTTAGAATGTATAATTAATTCCTGGGCTTTAAATATCTGAGTATCGTACATAGTAGACTGCGAAGAAGGAAGATCAATTATAGTAAGAGTATATAATTCAGGGAATATAAATAAATAGATTTCATTGTAGTAAGTTATCTATCAATAAGCGAAGAATATCCTACACTATTTTCAACCTAAGAAGCAAATTACAATAGGAATTATCTCCTTCTGCGTTAATGATAGTTTTGTAGAGTTATGCAACCACCCCATTATTTCCATCTACTCAGGCTTCTATATTCATACTCTTAAATAGAATTTAATATATACTGATTCACGGATACGCATTGAACATTCAACGTCCGTCACACTTCTAGTTGTAAACTTCTACAGAATTATATAACCAACCGACGAATCACGCACAAGTAACAACCCTCTATCGTTACTAAGCTATTTACTCGAATGAAATGTCTTTAAACTTCTGGGGTAAGATCACCTGACCCCTGCCTGCTCTTTGTGTTAAAAAAGGGGGGGTGTTGTATATTTGGAAAATCAGAGGTGAAGTCGTTCTATAGTCTCTGGCTGGCTGGCTGTGACTGATCTTGACTGGTTCGATGCCTAGGAGTAATTTATCACAGGAGAAAAGAAGAGTTCGTTTTCTATTCATTAAGTTCAAATGATTTTCTTCGAGTTCTTTCAGTTCTGAACGATATTTTCTTGTGACTTGAAACTTGATTCAATAGTACAAAAGCATTGAGATGTGTAATAAACATGAAGGAATATTTTTTCTCTCTTCAATTCTCAAGCTTCAATGAATTAATTATCTCAAGAAACCAATAAAGTGGATCTTTGATATATGCAACAAAATTTGAGTGATCAAAAACGTCGAAAATATCGTTTCTTATTGACTGGGCTGACGTAACTCGACGTCGTAAGGGCATACATGTACACCCTGAATCCTAAATATAATCTAAGAACAAACCCTAGGTATGCTGATACAATACTCAACATCTACTAAATCAATATGACTTCATTATCCCCAATATGAATTTAACAAAGCAACTTATAAATCTTCTTCCACCTCGGCCACTCCTCCATTCCCATCTCCCATCTTTGTCCTCTAGACCCTCTATACAAAAACCCCGCGTCCACATCATTCCTACCCGTTCTCAAATCAATCGCTTCAATCTTCATCCACCTAGTCCTATACCAAAGTTTATATCCCGCATAAAACATCAATACCACAGGCAATGCCAAATATGCCTCAAAGAAACCACTAATCTTATCATTAATTCCCTCATTATTATCACCAATCGGATCGACCGCTACCCAGAATTGCGCTGCGAGAACTAATATGATCATGATGAGACCAACCCACGAACCGATCGTACCAACTGGAGATTGATATATGAGGGAATCAGTCCTATGACCCTGTTGTGCCCATGCTTTACGAAATCGGATATGCGAATAACAGATTGTTCCCCAAGTAAAAAGTGACGATAGACCCGAGAGAGCTAGTAACCACGTGAAAGCAGTATTTCCAATGGAAGATACGTATAGATAGGCCAGAAGACCGAAGGCTAAAGAGATAAAAACGGCGATTATAGGACGGCCTTTACGATCTATGTAAGCTAGGTAACGAGGAGCTTGGCCTTGTGCTGCGAGAGAGGCGAGGAGACGCGAAGAGCCGAAGACGCAGGAATTGGCGACGGAGAGGACAGCTATTAGAATTACGGCGTTCATTACTGAGTCAAGACCATTGATACCTGCTGACTGTATGGCTATTATGAAAGGGGAGGCTTTATTGGTGCTGGCATTTGAGGTGGAAAGAAGGGAGGGAGTGTTGTAGGGGACAAGTAGTCCGATTATGAATATGCTTAAGATATAGAACTAGAAATTGTTAATTCGTGTAAATCCAATCATACGTTTCATTTGATACTAACCAAAACAATACGCCAGAAAACCTGCTTAATAGCTGTTGGTAAGGATTTGCTTGGGTTATAGGTCTCGGCAGCTGCTAATGCAACTAGTTCTGTCCCTGCGAAGGAAAATGCGGCCATAACAAGGATGTTACAAAATCCTTTGAAACCATGATTGAAGGCCCCGGGGTGAATCCAATACTTAACCCCTATATAACCCGTCTGAGGAGTCCCGGTGCAATTTATCACGATGCCAAGAAGGCTAGAAAAATCTTGTTAGAAAAATCACTTTGAGACTTTCATGACAAGTGCTTACATGAAACCTATGATAGCTGTGACTTTCAATATCGAGAAGGCATACTCTGCCTCACCAAAGGTTTTGATGCCACAAAGACTAATAAAGGCAACACTGGCTAAGAAGAGTGTGATACTAGCCCAAGTGGGTATTGGAAGATCCCAATATTCGAGAGTGATGGCTGCGGCCATGAGCTCCACAGGCATGATGATGAGACATTGAATGGCATAGTTCCAGCCGGTTGCAAAGCCCCAAGCTGGATCAATAAAGCGGGTGGCAAATGTCGAGAATGAACCTAGAGTTCGTTTAGTCTTTTTGTAACCAGAATACTATCATATTTATTACCGGCGATTGGAAAGGTGACTGCCATTTCTCCTAGTGCTTGCACAGTACAGTATAACATTCCTCCTGTCAAGATATATGCAAGAAGCAGAGAACCAGGACCTCCACTTGCTAATGCTGCCCCGGAGCTTACGAATAGCCCAGTACCTATCCTTGTTAGATATTTTAGTTGTGCGAAAGAACAGAGATCTAACCTATCGAACCTCCAATGGCTAACATCTATCACAGTCATTTCTTGCCCATGTAAGTCTATATCAAGAATTTCATACCTGCAAATGGCGGCCTCTCAAAATTCTGACTAGGTTTGTATTAGCAGTATTTGATGCCGCAGCTTTATCATTGTATGTTCTGCCATTTGTGCCCACATAAATAGGATGTTCCACATCTTGCTCCGCATCGCTGCGGAAGTTGTCAAAGGTTTTCGTGGGGAACTTTCTTGTCTCTTTCGGTTTAACTAAGAGAGGTACGACTGTCGAGCTTGTTGTAGTTGAACAGCTTTTATTCATATCTGTAGTGGCGTTAACCATCATGAAGATCAAAAGCTTGAACCCTCAGATCGTCAAATGACTATGATTATTGAAAATGATGGTAGAATTCTGGAGATATGGGAAAGCTCCATAAGTCTTGATGATATGAGACATGTTTTCTATTGGAGGTGTTCGGAAGGAAGAGCGGAATAATACAAATATGGGAAAATGCATACCCATAATTCATGTATCTGGCAATAAACTTTCTCTTGGACCTGGTCTCTTGGAGCATGATGTTACTCGGTGATTTGATAAATGATTCCGAAACAAGCATTTTACAAGGCTGGGCACCCATGCTCTATCCAGGATAAATGATCCTTATCCCCTAGAATGTCAACAATGGGCCTATTCGCTTAATGAGACGAAGGCGACCAATCAGATTCCTAAGACTCCTGAAGGTCTCTATAATATTTGTGTTCAGTTACTCAAAAAAACTATAGTCTTCACATTTGAATTATATCTATAGTTTTATTAATTTAATACAATAATCCATTTTCTTAGACTTAGAGTTATAGAGTTTATATACAATTTAATTTTTTACAAAAGTTTTCAAAAATATTTTAAATTTTTATTTTGATCAATTTGTTACGTTGTAACATTATAAACTATTATCACGTGTTATAGGATCACATGGATAGTCTTGCGAGGGAGCGAGGGAGCGAAGGAGCGAGATTCGAATCTCGCTCCCCAGCTCCATCGCTCCAATATTGGAATACGAAGGTTTATATAATCAAGATGTATTCCCTTTGTATAGAGCCTCGTGCTCAAAATCAAGATCAATCATTTAGTATACTCTACTATTAGTTACGAATTGCATCATTGCCATTACTTAAGTCCCTGCTTGACGCCTAGTTATAAACCACCTCGAGAGCCTAGAGCACTTCCACGTGATCTAGACGGCAAACCTCGTAACACAATTAAACTTTATTCTATAAGTATTTTAAAGAACAAGATATTCAGACACGTATATTACTCTAATAGATAGCTATACTTTAAAAAGTATTTCAACCGATGTTTTCATTTGAAAGAATTCAAATGAACTTGTATTTTAAATGGCCCAGATCTACTGTGACGGAAAAGTCGTAAACGGAGTCAATTCAATCACTTAGAATCTAAAACTAAAGAACTAAGAAGATTCTAAGTAAGAAGGTCTTTATATACAGGGCTAGTGCACGTGAGCCACTAGTGGGTAACAACCGTCACGTAACATCTACTCTATCAAGTGCTCGACTCGAATAAAATACAGATAATTTTAATTGAAATCAGAAATTTGCCTCCTTCTACAACTTATTAAATGATATATGGTATAAAATTCATAAGTTGAGTATATCTCAGTCTATTAAAAACTTGAAGTATAAATATTATAGAAAAATGGCCTGATACAGTCACCCTACGCAGGTATTTGTCACGGACCTGATGATTTATCTCCATTTAATATAGATTGTGTAGATTACATTTACTAGATTTTACTTCTGTCCGAATGACAAACAATCCTCCAACGGTCAAATAAGACCATGCGTTTGAAATCATGCAAGATACGGCTTGGTACAGAAGATAACTCGATGGATTGATTCCAGAACCCCTGAGTTGGTGCACATGTGCCTGTGTGGTATGCAGAATGCAGCGTACTAACGTATTGTTATCAAGAATCCTCTCAGCTGTGGACAATGCAATGAATGGCAGAGATTAGAGGAGCATTTCCGAGAGAGTGGTCAAACTCCGAATGTGAAATTTCTAAACTGTGTTAGGCACCTATTCCGACATCCTTATTGATGTAGTGCGGCAAGAAGCAGTAGGTGCACAAAATCAGAAGCTTGACAATCTTAAATTGATAGGTTAATCTTAGTGTTGGTTCAACCCCAAAATGCTTGTACCAGTTTTAACGTGTACGCTAAAATCTTATAACCCCCTTAATATAGCCCCGTTTAGGCAAGCACTACCGACGCTAAATAATTTCCCATGCCAACAACATAATCAACTCGTCCCAACTACACTACTTCAATTCTGACATCTTAAAAATGACAAATGCAGTCTTCTAACTCTCGATGCTATTGGTTCAGATTGTGGTATCTCTTCTTATCTTTAATCATGCCCTATATAAGGTTCTCGGTAAGCTTGTGTCATCTCTTGGCTAACTCGAAGCCGAGTCTTCAGGGAAAGTTCTTTGCTTAAAATGATTCCGAATCCGTATCCCAGGGTTCAAATTAATAAATACTTTAATACCCGGTGGGAGAAAAGAATATTGCCAACACGTTTCTTGCGGACATGAGAACGAAGTGGGTAAAATTCACCGACCTATGGGAACCTTACTTTCTTTCCATCGACGAGGGACAAGGGCCTTGTTGTATTGATATTTGCATGTACGCAACCGCATATTCATAAAGTCCTTCTCATCATGCTTTTAATCAATAATTTTACTCATCAGCATACACAAAAGCGATGGAAGTTCTTCGACGTTATGCTACAGAAGCTCCCGATCAACGTGCTTGGATAGATACCAAACCTACATTTATTGTCAGTTGGTGGTGCACAATTTTTGCCATTACTATAATTTTGTTCCGGATTTCTGGTAGATATGTTCGAACGGAGAAGCTCTATCTTGAAGATGGCATTATGATGGTGGCAATCATACCTCTGCTCACGAGAATGGCTTTCGTCCATGTTATCTTAATGTTTGGCACCAATAACTCTCTGACACTTGGTTTGTCATCAGAAGATGTACGGAAAAGAAGAATTGGGAGTCAACTTGTTTTATTCTCAAGGATATTGTACGCTGCGTAGTATGTCTATGTCGAGTGTTCCTCAAAATGGTACTGACGACCAAAGCCTATGGGCCATAAAATACAGCACCAGCATATTTTTACGTTCCCTGACCGGACAAATCTGGCAACGAGTACACCATAAACTGCTCAAATATCTTCATATTATGCTCGCCGTTACTTTCATGGCCACTGTTGTCAGTGATATTGCTGAGTGTCAACCTTTCACTCATTACTGGCAGGTCATTCCAGATCCTGGACCAAAATGCCGTCAAGGCTACGCGCAATTTTTCACAGCCGGCATTCTCAATATCATTACAAATTTTGCCTTAATCATCTTTCCCGTTCCAATGATTTTGAAGTCAAATCTATCAACTCACCTCAAACTGAGCGTTATTATACGTTTAGCACTTCCAATACTATGTATCTTTGCAACGATCAATCAGCTCAAGAGAGTAGTATCCCACAACGGCGATCAGCAAATCCGTTCACTCCTGGCTTCCCGTAAGCTCTTTTATCACCCAATGACACTCAAACTCTAGCTAACACATGCTAAAGTTGACATTCTCCTCACCACATTAGCATCTAATGCCTCAGTAATCGGTTCGCTCCTCCAAGACAAAGGCTATAAGAAAACGAAATACAAAACCCCCATCTACCGCGATATCCCCTCCCGTGCTCCCTCTTCCCGCTATACTGGGAGACTTGACAGTGATGAGGCTCTCATGATTGAAAATCCCGATGTAGATGGAAAAGGCGCTGTGATGATCGCATTAGATGTCTTACATGAGACTGCGGGCCGGGAGAATAACGAAGCGAAGAAATTTGATAGGGGCGGAGTAGGAAGCGGATTGACGAAACCGGAGCATGTCTGGGCTGGTGACCACATTAGAGTTGAAAGGGCTTGGGATGTAAAAATTACGAAAGACGATATGCCTGGAAGCCCCTAGATAAATGAAAAATAATACTCGGTATAGGGAATTCGATGTCGATGTATCATCAGCTCTCATGTGCTGGTTTGGCGTTAATGATGACGAAATTTTGTATCATGTCGGTTATATATGTAACTTCCTGGATACCATATAAAACCTATACTTACTTTCCTGTAGCTTATGATCTATTACATAAAGTTTGAAGTATTCTGAGAATGTCCTAGGGGCCGCCGCAGTCAACTCCTAATGATTGTAGAATATGCTCCTGGTGAGCATTAGAATTTCATTGTGAACGTGGGTGCATGGTCTGGGCTAGGCTAGCTTAGCCTGGCAAGGACTGCTGTTGCCCTGAATCATCAACACTTCTCCAAGGTTAATCGACCGAAAATTATCTCGGTTTAGGTTATACGGTTACACTGTATGAAAGAATAGCCAGCACTCAACATTCAATTATCAATCACAAAAAATAAACGAATAATAACCCAAATGGTGTTTTTTTATCAGATCATGGACAGCTGGTGGATGATCTGTACCTGCAGTGTGGAAATCAGCCCAAGGGATTCGTGGGAGACCTTCCCCACTATCCCCCCAGCCAAATAATTTAAAGTTGGCACCCTAGCTCGATTTATCTCGACATTTCAGCTGTTCTAGGTATCGGCTTTTTTCTGATATAATATCCAAAAAAAACCCTTCTTTTTCCACTCGCGCCCTCCAGTTTTCTGTCTTCGCATCTTTCCCAATTGCACAATAATCAAATCTTCAAGATGTCGTCGTCTTACGCTATGAAGTCAATGGGACCTAAAGGTTAGATACATATCCCTCGAAACAAGCCGTTCCTTCAACCCTTTACTCTTTCGAAGCAAAGTTTGATCCACTATACTCACTAAATAAACAGCCTTCAATCATTCCTCTTCCAATGATGCTGAAGCCGAATATGACCGACTACGCGACCTCGCTCACAAAGAAGCTGCCAAACGCTCCCAATGTTTCGACCAGGCGCATCAAGCCTACACATCCGGCGACGGAGCCAGAGCTCATGACCTCAGTGCCGAAGGGAAGAAACACGCGGCGCAAATGGACGCATACAATAGACAAGCATCAGACTACATATTCCGAGAGAACAATGCCCCTGGCAGAGTCGGAGACGATGAAATCGATTTACACGGACAGTATGTTGAGGAAGCGGAACGCATTGTGGAAGAGAGAATCAAATATGCGCGCCAACAGGGTCAATCGCATTTACATGTTATTGTAGGAAAGGGCAATCATAGTAAAGATCATGTGCAGAAGATCAAGCCCAAGGTTGAGGAAGTCTGTAGGGAGTTGGGTTTGCAGTATGCGACGGAAGAAAATGCGGGGAGGATGTATATCAATTTGCAAGGGGGCGCAGCTGTTATGCCACCGAGTGGAGGAAGCCATGGGGAAAGTCATGGGGGTCAGCATCATGGTGGTCAGCAACAGGGTGGATATCAACAACCATCTTATCAACAGCCTCAGCAAGGATATCAGCAACCTCAACAGAGTGTATATCAACAAGGCGGTCAACAGCAAGAACAACAACAACAACAGGACAACAACAACGACGAATTGGAGAAATTGGCGAGGAAATTTCTTCCAAGAATATTACAGAAAGCGGAGAAAGCTTGCTGCGCTATCATGTGAATTCTTGGACTGCATATATTGGATTTGTTTATATCTATTTGGGTTACAATTTTGCATCCATGGCTTTTTTTTTTCGAATATACCCTAGGTTACAGAGGGATTTCATCGGGGATATATGGTTGGATGTTAGGAGAGATATGAGATGGTGTATTAATGTTGGATGTTATGTGTAGGACTTGAGATGAAAGATCATGATTTCATGATAGACTAGATGAATGTAAATTTTTAATACCGGCCTATTTCATTTATTCGAAGGATTTTTAATCCTCGAATCTAGAGCAAATTTGTCAAATTCATTGGTTTTTTATATTCAGATGAATCTAGATTAGATACTCTCTATAATACCTGTTAATGTGGAAAGTAGCTGAACTGAACATTATATGGATGGAACATCACCTCGAGAATCCTCGTAAAGAGGGATACTTCTAGATTTAATATGACGCTCCGCTAGGCCACTGCCGTGGAGGCTTTTTCGCTTCGCTCCAAGATCTAATATCCTTCATCATTCTCTGTATAGGGGGTTATGTTTCCTCCTATTCTAGAGCGAAGCGAAGAAGCCTCCACGGCAGTGGCCCAACGGAGCGTCATTAAAGGATAATAGATAGATATTGTGAGATTATATAAGTGTAAGGTATGGTTTTATAAGTTTGTGATGTTTTTGAGTTGAATTATAGATGGGGTTTTCTTGTATCACCTACTTGTGTATTATATATCTACGGTTCATCTCATGATATCAAAAGAGGTTTATCTCATGTTTGTCAAGTACCTAAGTATATATGTACTAGGATCTAGGGCGGTGGACGTAGGCAGAGAGCCGGGTAAACTGCGGATGAAAAAAGCCATGACCGCTATCTATCTAAAGTTTTAGTATCACCGATAAAGTAAATTTTTCCAACAGCTGTACATTTGTCTTTCTTTTTAATTTACCTATTAGCTTGAATAACTCATAACTCACCCCCACCGTCCGTAATCGGCCTCAGTTGTAAGGAAGAGCGACACCGGACAGCCATTGACCCATTGCACGAACGCAGAAGTGCCGAAAGTCTTTTCAACTTCTCGTCGCAAATAGGAACCGCGGCTCAATTATCCGATACAGGATTGTCGCGCATGGAGCCTTCACATGGGATTATGGGCGGGGCACCCGCTTCCAGCCCAACAACTGCCGTTCGGCCAGGTACAGGAGGGGGCTTCAACAAACGCAAGAGAAGTGGTGCAGGTTTCGATAGTAGTCCTGGAACGGGAAACGAACAAGAAGATGAAGATGCTGAGAGAAGACGACAACCAGGCGTGAAGAGAGCTTGCAATGAATGTCGTCAACAGAAAGTGAGTCATTACTTTGCCAACGGGTGAACATACTTCGCGATGCGACAATGCGACAGCAACTCTATTCAATTGTTGGCCAAGGGATATTCAATTGCTAATTTTAAGCAATTTTAGCTTCGATGTGATGTCATTCAAGATCCTTTTACCACCTGTTCACGATGTAATCGACTAAAGCTCGATTGTAAGATCGAGTCAAATTTCAAAAGAGTGGGAAAACGAAGCAAACATGCAGAGATGGAGAAACAAATCGAAAGACTTCAACGAACGGTAGCTCGTGCTCAACAAGCAGGTTTCATTCTTGAAGAAGAAGAAGACCTTCAATCCCCAATCGCGAATAGCAGCGTCTATCAACATTCTAGAAACCAATCATATATAGGATCGGAAGAAGCTGTGTCATCCTTACTTCATCTCAAGCAAGGAGGTTCTTACAATTTACCACAATATGCGAGACAAATTGAAACCGTGGGCTTAACGGAAGATGCCATTAATCATCTGTTTAACGAATTTTTCGTCTGGTATCACCCATATCTTCCATTTCTTAGTGCAGAACAGACCTCCGACCAATATTATCAGCAAGATCCTCTCCTTTTCTGGGTCATCATTACTGTCGCGGCACGTCGATATTCTGCGGACCCCAATCTGTTGACCAATCTTCATGGCCCTGTTACTAGATTGTTGTGGTCTAAAGTGGGTGAGGTTCCTAACAATTACCACATTGTTAAAGCATTAATTTTGTTATGTACTTGGCCATTACCTATAAGTACAACCTCATCAGATATTACGCATATCTTGTGTGGTGTAATGATGAAAGCTGCGACTGGTATTGGATTACACCGACCAAATAATACTCAAGATTTTTCGCGGGTATCTGTTGACCTCAATAGAGAGCAGTTGCATGATAGAGTAGTAACGTGGGCGGTCTGCAATATTGTAGCACAGAGTACAGCTACTGGATATGGACAACCAGCGTCGACATTATATGATTGGACACTTGCAGTACGACCTGGAGAGGATGGGCCCTTTACAATCTCTCCAGAGCTTTCATCCCGCCTTACGATCGAGAGATTTTGCGATAAAGTCTCGAAAGAAATGTATAGCAATGCCAACGATCCTAGAGGTGTTGCTGGTGATGAAATCAGGGCTTTGTTGACTCGGGTTTACCGCCGGGAGTATGAAGAAATTCGAGTAGCAATACTCTCCAGACAAAATTTATCGCCAATCGTTGATCTCCATCTTCGAGCTGCTGGATTGCACCTTCGTCTCTCGGCCTTCTTTGATTCAAGTACCACACAGGGATACTTGGATGATTTGATGGGTTTATGGAGAGCTACTTATCAATTTTTAGATCTCGTCTTCGAGCTTGAGACTCCTTCATCTGACAACACTCATGGCGGTATTCTTCGGTTCGCCACAGGCTATATTCTTCAAATGATTATTGCTGCTTGCTTTTCATTACTCAAGCTACTCAGTTCTTTCTTTGCCAAGATTATGGATTTTGACCGTGGCCGTCAATTATTTCATCGCACCATCTCAGCAATTAGAACCATGAGCATTATGAACAATGACTTGCCTTGGAGACTCGCTGAACTCATGGTCCAGATGTACAATGGAGCTCGAGTCGAGCAACGGCAAATTGCACAAATGAACAATGGCAACGAATTGGATTCAGGCTCTGTTGTCATAGATGATAGTTTGCAATTAAAAGTTAGATGCAGGATGAGCATGAGCTTGGTATTTGATTCTATTTGGAGATGGAGAGAGGAGTTTCAGACTCAAGGTCGGAGTATTGAAGGTCAGTGATTCTTATCATCTTTTGCGCAACAACTTTGGCTGGTAGAAGATCATCAACTGAAAGCTTAACACAGCAGCGATCCGAAATCCGACCAATCCCGATAGTGCTAATGAATCGTCTGCCTCATCAACTCACTTGGATAGTACTCTTATTCCTTCAACTCATCAGATTCAGAACCAACTCCTTGCTACGGCTGGCCCCGTTACCCCAAACGATGTCATGACCGGCGCCAATAGTATGCTCGCCGGCAACATAAATTATAGCGAGACGAACTATGAGGTTTTCGATCCTTTAAATTGGATGTTGGATGGATTGGTCGATTTTCCCTACAGTTATAACGCTGTTCAAGGACTTGAAGCCAATGGTTTGGGTTGAAAGCTAGAAACTTTCAATCACCAAGCTAACTTGAACGTTAGACACATTATTCCTGTTTGGACGGATACTATCAGGATCATCATCTTTTTTTTCAATAATTTGACCTCATGGTCGCCTTCCTTTATTTAACACAGAGACGAGATTGTTGATCGAGACACTTCACAAATTTGCACAATAACTCCCTTCAGAACTGCCTACTTTAACTCTATTATGCCAACATCCAACCCTAATTCTTAATCTTCGGTTCTTATGTACTTCTAACTTTTGTTACCTGCCCGATTTCACCATACTTTTCGTTTAAATCCTCACGAATTTACGACTCTTTCAAATGCGCTTCGGCGTGGGAATACCCCTATTCAGATTTTCTTCGTTTCTTTAACCGACTTCGACTCGTTAAGCTGCATGCGAATATTAAGTTCAGTTCCTTCTGAAAACCTGGTCGTGCAACTTTTGCTTTTTCTATAACGCTTCGATCCTACATGGGTTTCCCTGTGCTGGTGTGTCTTATCACTAGTATGAGATATCATTGGGTCAAAGCAAGTTTCTTTTAGTAATTTTATACATCTTTTTGGGACGGAGTTAGCGATGGATAAAACGGAGCTTTTGGGAATTTTGCTTTTTGAAAAATGGAAAGGGAATCTTTGTTTCTTCCATTACCTTTTCAGATGAATGGTTAGGTAGTGGATGGATAACAAAGGTGTTATATTGGATGTGGGCTTTGGATAGGGTGTGCAGGCTATTGGGGCTGTATGGGGACTTCAAGTTGGCTAGTAATGGTTGAATGATAATGATTGGTTATTGGAATAACGATTGGAGGTTGCTAAATGAATGGGTAGTACGATGGGAAGTCGAATGGTCTACTTAAATGGTTGGCTCAGCGATCGTATATAGGTAGATAGTTGATGTTTACTATTTTACAGATGTAGATGGTAAAATTATAAAACGATTACATTCGGTCATGGGTTGAATTGCGCTCGTAGTGATAATTATGATCGTGGAAATTGTCTTGCTTGTCTTGTGGAACGCTAAACATGAGCCGTATTTTATACTGAATGTTTTTCGGCCTTTCTCTCATAAACATACGCGAGGCTTTAATTCAAAAGAAAATGCATATTTTTGTAATAATCACACACTATGAGTAATTAGGTGTCGTTTTCCTCACTACTTCCCGTAAGTAAATAAATCAAAAGATTAATTTTGTTGACAGTGGATCAAGTGTATGATATTGTTAGAGTGTAGAATAATGCTATGGTAGAACTATATATGGTACAGTAGGTTGTTGGAGTAATGGTAGTGAATATGTGCACGTGCTTTTTGAAGTTTTGTTTGTTGTTTCCCCCTTGAAGGGGAAGGAACGAAGGAAGGAAGGGAGGAGGAGGTATTCTTCGCTCTTGCCCTTTTTGTGTGGGATTTCTAACAAATTTAAACAGAAGAAATAAATTAATTAATTAATTAATAACGCATCCTTTACTTTAAAGTAATTCAAAAAGCTTCGAATACTTGTATTCTTTTTTGTAATATTAAGGTTAACTCGGTCATTAGGAATCGGAACAACGACCAAGACTAGATTTCTTGAGTTTGAGTTTGATGTCAAGGAAGCTTCTTGATCTTTGATTCTGGAGTTGATGGATGGTGTAAGTTATAGATGGCGAAATTAGGAATTAGGTGGGTGTATATTGGATTGGATGTGAATATGAGTATTAATATCGATGAAATTAGGTAGGTGATTGTTTTATTGTTGGATAGATTGGGGTTAGGGTTATGATTATGAGAAGTTTAGTTGTGATTTTTGTGGGATGGAAGGATTATTATGCTGCTATGATGGTATGGTATAGTATTCTTCTATGATTATGGTTATGATGGTAAGAGGGAATTCGAATCAATTTGAGGTGGTATGTTGGGAGGGATTGTGTTTGAATGTTGGATGTTGAATGTTGGACGGGTAGATAGCGGGTGGTTGTGTTATGGTATTGTTTATAGTTAAATATCTAGATAGTTATATGTAAGTGTGTAAGCTTGTATGCTGATGGAGTTTGTTTATTTTTGGATACTGGTATGGGATGGGATAGGGGGAGTGATTTAGATACAGAGGAAAAATTGAGGGAAGACTAATTGGGGAATATACGCGTTTTTATGGATGTGAGATTAGGTAGTTGGTATAGGGACTTTTTGGTCAAGTATCTTATCTCTCTTATTCTATTTAGCGAATTTGGTTCTAGGATAGTAGGGAAGTGTATCAATATGTAATATGTTGAACGATAGCTACGATTCTGGTTGGCTGCAGGAGGTATTCTATGGCTTGTATTAGATAGACGATTAGAGATTCTTAGTTCTGCGGTTTAGGGTAGAGTGGAACAGCTTTCTCGTACTGGAGCTTGACGGGCAATATTCGAGGTTTAGGATTCTTAACTGAATTTATATGGAGATACTTTGTTTGTTATGCACCGGGAAATTTTTCTAGATATTTTTTTGTAAGATCTTATTTGAGAAACATATATTTTTATTTTTTTCAGTATAGCGTCACGGTTTCGTAATCACTAAGGTTACGTGTCTTTTTAATATAATTACTCATTCGCATTCACTTCATCTCGTATATTCTCGAAGATGAATACTTTAAGTGAGTTTGTGCTGATGATGCGGCAAATCCATGAGCTGTATATGGAGCTAGTGTTGAAGTTGAAGGATGGGCTCCCTGAAATACCTTTATAGTGGATAGATAGTAAGGGAGCGCAGAATAATCAATTCTAGTATAAATGTTCTTATGGGATAGATGCTAAGTTTAAGTTTGAAGCTGGTTATAGTGGCTCTTCTGAATTCTCGGTGCTTATTATTCTCAATGCCGTCACTTATTATTGAGGATACCAAAGGAAAGATCATCAGTATCGGCGCGCCTTTTGCTAGAAGTGAGGTATATTTATTGGGCGAGTCTGTGAGTTAGGTTACTCTTAGTAAAATTAGGGAGGTGTTTATAGAAGGAATAGACTATATAAAGGATACTAAGATTACAATTAACTAGAATTGAATGCTTATTGTAATCTCTAATTCGATGGACTTGGACACCTTTCAATAACATATTACCGGATGGGACATATCTGTTCAAAGAACGAAGTAGGAGATGGCTACTTCGTTCGTCGCCATGATCATTGAGTTAAGGCTAATGGGTTCCAAGTGAACCTCCAGTCAATGGATTCCGCGGTACCCGTGAGTAGATTCGCTTAAGCGGCTGTTATTGATATATGCTCGTCAGCGCCAAATCGACTGTCTACTAATGAAGAGAAAGTCTTTTGGCAGGAGCAACTGCCCCAGTGGGTGTTTTCCTACTTAATAACTTACTAGAATTACCTGAAGTCAAATCAGTAGTTTGTCTTGTACGTTTCATAGATGTCGCATTGGGATTGTCACGGGTTGTCAGAAAATGTAAGGATACCATATATAGCAAGCAATCCAAACACAAGCACAAGCTGCTTTTTACTGTGGGAGACCTCGGGAAATTGCAGCTTGGTATGAGTGAGTAAAGATTTGAGAGATTAGCGATTCAGTTAAGTGTCGTCGTTTATCTTGGTGCGCATGGAAGTTTCACGCAGCTTTACTCAATTTCATCGGCCGGCGAATGTGAGACTACTCGGTATTCCTGAGATCATGCAATTTTCACGAACTAGTCGGTTGAAAGCTCTTCACTGTTTATCAACCCTATCTGTATACGTTCCCACTCTCCATTACAAGAACCACATTACTCCATGAAGACAAACTGGCCCTCCTCCAATTTAAATGCAGTGGCGTATGACACCAGCTACTACAAAGTAAGTAAGTAAGATGACCGAAAAATCCGCTTGGTCAGAAATCTCTCTCAGCTTCCGCTTTATATTTATCGACCAGGTTTTATCTTGGGTCATGTACATATATAATATCACCAGAACCTTGAACAAGAACGACTTGCTTGCTATCTCGATTGATAATCAGCTCTCATAACTCTAGCTTTTTTTCTTCTCTTTACGAGTCCCGAAGAATACAAGGAGTTTGTAAGATTACCTGGAGACTTTTTGAATAATTCTATGCTTTTATTTATCTTCATTTATCGGAAATACTGGGAATGCGTATAACTTAGTTCCTGAGCGCGTAGAAAGTCTCTCGATCTTATCTAAGCTATGTGTCTTTTAGGAGAATATGGAGGCTGTCATTCTCAGGGAGTCTCTTATAAAGATTAGGTTGAGAAAGTGCAGCAGAGCGAGAGATTCTAAGTACTCATTTTTAGCCCTGCTTGAGGAAAATATCTATCAGGAGTTTATGCTGCGGGAGCTTTACCGAGACCTAGCAGTGTATGATACGACAAATACACGAGGTAATCTTCGAGACTTGTCCCAGCCGGTAAAAATTCTATCTTTGGATGGGAATTTGATTATGCTGTACATGAAAGTGTGGACGAGCTCGAGACGATGGAGAAATGAAATACAGAAGCGATTATGCTTCAGCCATCCGTTTCGACAGTCAATTCATTAAGATCTGGTCAAAGTAGCGAAACAAAGGAAAATGAGCAGTAAAATTTATCAAGCAAGGCTTTTTGAACCTCTTTTAATATATGTAGCAAATAGTCTAATTGTCTGTATTGAAATTCCAGACGTATATCAATGAGTAAGTGCTACCACCCGCCCGTAAGAGTTTTGTGTTTGCTACCATAGCGGATCTTTATATGCAACTTTAATGTGGAAATTTGATTGAGTTAATGCATATATGAAATACTCATATTATTTTCTTGCTACCATTTCTCGTCATATTCTTCAGCACATTGAAGAACCGTATAGGAATGAAGATGATGAATGCGTGACCCTTTTGCTTCGCAATTATGAGTTTCCTGAATACTATGTATCAGTTCCAGCTCAGATCCTTGATCCTTCTTCTGATGGATGATATTTTTTAGGAAGGTAGATATTTGAAGTGGTGATTATGATTATATCGCGGATAATATGAATACAAGTATACAGTTATTGGTGATAGTGAAAATTGTTACAAAGGAAACGGAGAGAGAACTCTATATTCTACATTTAGCTATAGAGCGGTATATGAGCTGGAATAATATGATATTATTAGGTTTACTGAGCTCAATGCTATTTTTGAATTCTTCCTTTCTTGCTATATAAATGTCTATCTAGAAGTAGACGGTGGAATATCTTGACCGAGAATATCATACATATCACCTCAAAGAATCTACTGGGTATGCTTCGAACCTTAACAATAGGAAAAGAAAAGATGCTCACTTCATCATGACTGCCACTTCACCCTGACGATCTGAGCATTTTACGTACCTACCTACCTACCTCTCTTTACGCAAGTAATCCCATAGCAAAACATGCCTCAATTCCATCCACACATCCACACACCAAGAAACCCACCACAAAGAACAAATAACAAAAACATAAACAAAACACAAAAACAAACTATACCAAGACACAACCAAAAACACAGCACAATCACCCAAAACCCCAAAGACAACAAATAAGATTTTACAAAAATTAAAATCATCCACCCCTCCAATAAATCCACAACATCTCCACAATAACACGATAGATAACCTTATACACGGACCCAAATATCGATTACTCGCATAGGCCAAACATCGCGGATAAGAAAGAAAATGTAAGCAATATAAATCTATACGTCAAAGGTGGACCGAAGGGTTTCAAAGGAAAGAAAGGAAAGCGCTTGTTATAATTTCTGCCTCGAAGGATTTGTTTTTGTTTTTCTGCGCACGGAAGAGCCATGTTTTTGTGCCAAGGTTTTTTGGGTCACCTTGGTTCTTTAGTTCTTAGGTTACTGTACTTTCTTTTCTGTCGTTTGTTCGTTCTGATGGCATGTATTTAGAGTGTAGATATTGATATTGATTTTTTGCACGTGGCTTTACGTATAACTTGTTTGTATCGCGGTAGCTGTACATGTTGGTTTAAATCTATTGCAGAATTGAAAATGTTAGTTTTAGTTAACCAACGTTGTGGTGGTGCTGTTTCTGGGGAAGATGGGATGAAGTGGGGTGGAAGGAAGCTTGGACTTGGACATTGGATTCTGAAGGATCGAGCATCGACTATGTGTATATATCGCTTTATGAAGTTATTCTGAGATATTTTTGGTGAAATGGATTATGGTAGGGGTGTGATATCATGATTATGGGGATCGGTTGTGATGGCGGCGGAATGATGAATTTTGGTGGTAACCTTGGTGGAGTGGCTCGAGATTTCTGGGAAAGGAGGATCGTGAATGTTTCATAGTATTTGTATTCGTAAACTCCATGGTGAAAATTGTCTGGATTTATTGATTCTTTCTTTGTAAGACGAAATGAATGATGGAGTCTAACGGTATGGAGTATGTCGTGTAATGTGGCACAACGACTAATCGAGAATTTGAGTTGTGAAATGTCTGTTTTGAAGATATATTATCTGGGGTAATTTTTAACAGGTTTGACCCGAAAATGTGAGGTTCGATTGAAAGAAGAAAGAAATCTGGATATAATCCTTCAAAAGCCAAACCATCAGAGTAAATTAACATCATTTGAAGTTGGACTCCGACCCCAGTGGATTAGTAGGAGAGCCTGAACTTTCCTCATTTCTGAAACAAGCTCTATCTATTGCAAGGCATTATAGAGATTCGAGGGTGTGCTGTTGTTGGCTGTGGTTAAAGGTAAACTGGAGAATTAAGCTATCTTGTGATATGGATGTGACTTGAGTTTTCTGGGTTGCGTTGAGAAAGGCGACTGCAGTTGTGAAACATCTTTCTCATTTTGAGGGTGTGGTGATGTTACAACAGAGGTCATCAACCATGTGGCCACTTCTGTCTTAATGGATTGGGCTAGGAGTGCTTTCTTTTCCATTGAGTACCTAGGAGTCATCTTCACAGTGTGAATGTATTCTTGGTTGCAACATTTTTATTGTATCGCAAAATAGACATCTCGAGCTCGTATTCGTGACTGTCAGTACGAATGCATGGAGTATATATTTTTAGAGAACAATGTAAGATCTTACAAGAACTTTTGGATGTCTTATGAACAACAACGCAAGGGTTGTGATATGACGTCTCTTGTGGCAGTGCTAGTAACTGGTTTCCGTCAGCTTCTTCCATCCTTGAAGCTCAAGATGAATATTACTCTCAAAACCTCAAGCTTCACAGCCCCACTGACTGGGCGTAGAAACACGTTCTGTGGGGGAGGAGGTGGCACATAGGGTGTAAATTTGGGTTGTTATGTGCCATGTAGCAACATTAGCTTCAAAATCGTATGCTGTCCAATATTGCCATTGCCATGCAGATATCCTTGTTTTCGAAAGCTCAGGAACAGGTTATTGCCAAGTCATCAACAGGAGTTTCTATCACGGATCGATGCCATGCTTGTTAATTGCAATTCAGAATCTGGGGGCCATGAAGTCACTCATTTCTCAATTCGCACCATGTGTAGTTAAGCCTACCGATAAGAAGGTATATGGCAAGGATTATTTAGTGACTCGGGTAGAATGCCTACTACCACCTCAGGAGGAACAATTGATCCTTCAACGAAGTCAGCATACCAGGTGCTTACTGTATTCACATGGACTTTTTTGGGGCTTCTCGAGCTAACTATCTGCCGATGAATTCTTTCGTCAACGCAGCCTTATGGTAAGATATCCCACATCAGTAGCTAAGACACTAGGTGCATCGTGTCTTCATCTCGCATGAAACTGGTTGGTTGTTAAGCTTTTCCGTCACACCCGTGAGCATCTGTCTCATACCGACAGATTGGTAGAGACAAAAAGATCAAGCCTTTTTGGAGTATGCATACAGATGTAGTAGCCATCCTGACCGACCAAAGTCTCTAATAAACTGCTGATTTACACTGTCAAATCCTGGTTTTATTGGAGATTCTGGCGGTGTGCCCTTTTGCATCAATATCCGTAATTGAAAGAGGATGAGTGGTCTGGAATCTTACAAACCAAGGGACCGGATTGATTCGTCCTGCATTGCTGGAACAAGTGGTGGTGGTTCGATTAGGTGATGGGAAAACAACGGCTACATCTTCGTTCCCATTTCAGATTTCAGGGTTCAGATAGGTCTTAGATGACCACCTTTCTCCAGTATTATAGGCACACTGTCTTTTTCCCATTCTATACTCTCTCATTCGCTGAAGAATTACGAGCCGGAATCCTATTGATAAAGCTAGTACAAGTTCCAATCTCAGGGCGCTGCTAACTAGGATTACAGTTAGACTCTTATCGACCAAATATCTTCTCCACTGCATCATGTAGCATTGCGTCGTGGTGACAATTGATAATTATTCAGGGACGCGAAATGAGGGACAAAGTGGTCGAAATCGAGATGGAGTAAGTACCCAGTGTTTCTCTAGGCTAAGGACCTAGCATTCCATGATTTGGGGATTTCTCAGGCGATCGATACTATTGCATACGTGGCTGCGCATAGCATAATGCTCTACCTCCTTATGCTTAAGCCCCGAGTTCCACCCTGCCGGGCAAGGCCGTTGAATGTTACATTCGGCAAGAAATGAGCAATATATCTATCGTATGCCGTTTTAGTAAAATCTTACCACCCACACTTTATGGGCCGTTAAATTCGTGATTGTTATCTGCGGCGAGGAGTCAAATGCGAAATTGATGATATATTTTTACTGCAAAGATAGGAATATGAAAGCACCACCTCAATAGCAGGATTCATGATCGGCGGAAACAGAGAAATCAATGCTCCATACTCCTCTATCATGCTGGTGAAGGGAGAAAATCACAATGCATCTTTCGAAACCTATCCGTCCGGATCCGAGTTCATTGGCCCACAGTGGCCTTCAGCTGACGCTCCGTACAGAAAGTAGAAGGTTGGTTACGGAAGGTATTTGCCTGTTTCGGCATGTTTTTGCATGTTTTTGCGTGTGTCGTTACCGACAGTCTGGTTCAGTCTAGCAGGGATAAAAAATTGGTTTTCGAACTTCGACCACTCAAAACCCTAAAAATGATGAGACCGAGTAGATTTACTGGTTAATGGGTTAATAATGAGGTGATCAACTAAACCTATTTTAGAATCCTGTGCAAGTCGTACCTTCCTTTCCAATTCCACCCAGAGAGAGAAGTTGGATTTTGTATTTGGGATTTTAGATTTTTCCGTCTTCAACCCTAGGGAGTAATTCGTGCGTGTGTGCGTGCGTGCGTTTGTGCTTATGTTCGATTGTTTGTTCGAATTCTGACAGACTTTTAATTGACGCGGCTGTACACAAAAGCCAACAAGCCAACGGCGTCAAATGCGCTTCTTTGTATCCCCTACATTCAGCTTAGGCATATATGAGTCGTTTATCGTCTTTTAGTGCCTTGTAGCTGAATTCTAGGCTCGCTAGGAGATAGGCTGTGTGTAACGTTCCGCAACTCCTTTTATCTTTGAAATGAATTTCAACTAACGACTAATGCAGTGTCAATCACAAAAGATAAATTAGAGTCGATAAGATTGGAGACTTGAGAGTCCCGAGTCGGTTGCTAGGATGTTAAAGGGAAGAAATTGGAAACAGGGGGTTCGGACAAGCAAGAAAAGTCGAGATCGGGGGCTCCACAGTCTGGGGGCATCTCGGAAGATGGGTCAAAAGCTACAGACAAAAAAGTGTCAATCACTCTTCATTACCTCCTTCATCGCCAGCATCATGCCTTGAGGTGCCGTATTCCGTATGTAAATATGGTGTGCAAACGGCATGTAGCTCATGTAGTCCCGTCCGGATTGGGCATTAATGATGTTTATTTTATATCAGCACTAGATACATAAGGAAGCTCGATGGAAAGTGCATTCGCTTCGAGATCGTCCGGAAGAACATTATTGGGTCTTTTAGATGATGGATCCGTAACTTATTAATTAGCACATCCTTTTAGGCTAGGCAGGATGGTCAATTAGTCAATTGTCTAAAGACGCTAATGCACAACCTCAGAGTTGTGATTCTCTCAGACTGACAAAAAATCCACCAAAGTCCCACAAAAGGCGCGCGGTTCGAAAAGTTGTTCGCTTCGCTTGATCAACCATCCATCATTCAATCCATCATATGAACTTAACAAGGCTCTATTTCCTCCTCCCCACCACATCTCTCCACCTACTTTCGCATAGGCCGCTCTTCAGGCTAATCATTCTCACAGGCTCTCCTTTTATCGAGCTTCTGATTTGCTCATATCCCGAGTACTTTTTGACCCCGGCCATGGAAGAGGAACCGTTACCGTACCCTCGGGATCAAGCACCTTGCTACTTTGATTCAATACCGTTACAATGAACTGGCATCCCTTGCTAGATTCAGCAAGGCATGAAACATACCCCGTCAAATGCCAGGCTCCAAAGAGATTTTTCCACGGAAAGCTGTGCTGACTCGATTTCATGGAAACTTAGACTCTTGCGGAAGGTTAAGTCCCCCAGTGACCGTGGTGCCAAAGTATGTCGTCTGGCTGCCCGGTGGCCACAAAATATGTCCTCTATGCCTGTGTCACAGGATGTGCTCCCTGCAGCAAAGACCCAGAATTTTATCTCCTACCGAGGTACACACAGGCAAGGCCTGAGAACAATTTCAAATAAATACGATTGCAAAACATATTTATTTCATCCGAAAATCACCGACCCAATGATCTCTTGATCATAAAATGAAAGATTTCGTAGAACATCTGCCGTTCGGTCCGGACCCTTGAGATCGATCCATTCCCTACAACATAGTGCACAGTGCGCATAGCCTAAAATTTTAACCTTAGGCTCTGCTTTGACTATCTCATCATTCTCATGAAGACGATAATGAAATTTAACATGGGTAACTGACAAGGTTGTGTAACAACACCAGCCGCCGTTGCACGCGCTGGGGTGCTCTGTACTTCTTAATTTTTAAGCTTGAAGTACCACTATACTCAAATGGGATAGCAATAATTAAAAGCTAAGTCGGCTAAGACTCCCAGCGCTCAACTCACATTTGCTACCAAGTACCGTGGAATCCCCCTCATATCCCGGCGGCTACCCCCTCCCCTGCTCACACGCATATCCCACTTTGTTTAGTCTAAGGCGCTACCTTGTTCCTGCTCACTGCCACCTATGGTCCCCGGCCCAATGAGTGACCAGGGCTGAGTTTGCTGTGCCTCTCACTCTGTTTAGACTTATAGGTACTGGTTGGCATAAAAAAGAAGTCATCGATCTTCTACTTGCTAGTAAGGCTTCTATCTTTGATTCGACATTGTCAGGCAGATCGATACGATTGTGACTATATAATTACGCCTCGCCGAATAACTTTTAAATGCTTGACATATATTCTGGTAAGACCCCGTCTCTCCTGTGTCGATCTCGTTTATCCTCTCTCCATTTATTAAGCTTTTTGTACCAGCTCCTATTCCTTCTCCTACATTCTTCGAAGACTCTCTTCCTGTTGAATCCCCTACTATTTTCAAGAAGCCTCTTCTACCGCGTCTCAAGATGACTACTATGGGGGAGCCTGCCTTTGGTGGCGGCCATAATTTCCCTCAAAGTGCTGGCCACTCGAGCAATAGAGCTTCAGATATTCCTTGGACACCTTACAGTGCTGTATGTTTATCTTTATCATGACACGAGTAGCAGCCTCTAATCAGAATTGTAGGTTTCATCATTTAATCTTCCGGCTCATTACGATTCATCTTTAATCACCCCTATTACAATGGCGCCATCGCCAAATATCTCTTCAAGGCCAGCACCCACAGTCAGAGACAGAGATATCAAATTATCACCATCCATGGAATCCCCAGGTTATCCACTTTTTGGCGGGGGCGAGGACGACTTCGGGTCAAGACTTGATGCCGCACCCATGAAACAAAAACAACCAAGTTCCAATAATTCAAAGATTCCCACCAGCGAGTCCAACTATCCCATTCCTCCTGTCCTTTACGATAATAACCCATTTTTTGGTGCATTTGGAGTTTCTTCTACCCCAAAATCTGGACGATCAGCCGATTTGACATCTCCAAATATGAACACTAGCCCTCGAAATACATCTTCAAATGCCATGAATGCTAATCTAAAAACATCACGTCATGCCACACCGGATCAAAGTCCTGGAAGCTACAAAGTAAATAACTCCGCGCCAATATTAATCGCTCCCAACCCAAACACAATGCGGCCTGCAACCAGACCTGGAGATGTGCCATACAGGGACGGTTTGTCCTATGGTCGTCATGATTCGATGAATTCTATGCATTCGATTTCCACGTCAATGACTTCCTATCATTCGACACCACATCACCATTCCGAGCAACAAGTTGCCCCGCTGCCTGCTCGAAGGAAGAGAAAGACTCCTCCCACACAAATGGATGGGGAAATTAGTTATTCGGGACCGATTAACCACGAGGAACAAGTTCTCATGCAACTTTCAGAAGTCGATGGCCTTCCTTGGAAAGAAATTGCCAAAGAGTTCAATGCGAGGACGGGCAAAAGCATGAAAGTGCCAGCTCTGCAAATGCGCAAGAAGAGACTATGCGAACGTCTCCGTATTTGGACCGATTGCGAGGTACATCCCTAGCTCATTATGTATTTTGGCCAGATCTGTTGTTAATCCAAGCGACGAAGAAGCTAACAAGAGGTTAGGAGCGAGCTTTGACACTTGCTTGGGAAGACTACGATAGAGCGAAATGGGAAGAAATCGCGAAAGGCATGATGAGGCACGGAGTCCAAGAGAAATGGAGCAAGGAAGCCGTCCAAAGGAAATTCAACGAAATGTTCCCTCCCGACGATCGATCATACGGACCATCAGACTATGCACTATCTAGGCATGCCGAGGACATGCAATACGAAGTGAAGATGGAACCACGAACACCATGGCCAAATCACGATGAGAGAGATAGTGAAATTCACAGTCTCACGGATGAAGAGCAAGCATTTGTAGATGAGTTGAGGAGTGAAACTGCAAGTGATGCCAGTTCGCTCCATTTTCAACAGCATCAACACCAAGAGATCATGTATGCACAACGACATCAGCAGAATCATCAGGAGGTGTGGGCGGGAAACTAAGTATGGGCTCAGTTAAAGGATTTGAGGATGGCAGATTTTAGTGTCGTTTACATTTTTCTACACTTACTTGCAATTGAAGTTCTTGTTTCTGAGGGTTTTGGGTATATATATATGTGTGTATGACAATCTTCTGTGGAATATTTGGCTGCACTTATATTGTGTAGGACGAACGTAAAATCGGGTTTACAGGTAGGCCAGCAATAGAGACGAGTCTCGGGGCGGCAAACATTTGACATTATCGTCATGAGGGTTTTCTTTTCTTAGAGTAACCTATATATATTCATTGTATAAATTTAAACATAATCTCAAATAAGCAGCTCAATGTTTCATTTGCAATATATATCTATCCATCTATCACTTTTTAACCAACACGGAAATCGAATACTTACAACTTTATCAACAACACTTGAATTATTTCCACAATATCATCCACAAAAAAACAACCTATGAAGCAAAACGTCCACGAAAGATAAAAATTCCCACACCCTCAACCCCCCCCCAAATCAAGTGACATATTCCTCATGCGGGCAAGCATGCACGCGCAAACATCAGATAAATCCCCTGTACCTTCCTTGTAAGGCTGGAAACCAACCGTTTTTCCCGATTAATGCGAGTCATACGTACCCGAGTCATACTGGGCGTAATTTCTAAGCCGTAATTAACGCCGATATTCATTTTCTACCCGCTTCATTCGGGATTTCTTTCTTATCTTTGCTTGCTAATTATCCGGTGTTTTGTTTGTGGCAAAAAGATACGGTGGATAGAGAACCCCATTTTTTATTTGGTTTTATCTTATTTTATTTTTATTTTTTGGGATATTTAAGTACAGGTATGTCATGCACATCACTTAGCATTCTCAGTAATATGAATTTAATGTGTGGATTTTTTAATTCTAGTTTTCTTAGTTTGGTTTTATGTACCCCTGCTACTGTACACCAACTGTTGGAATCGAGCACTTGCAATTGCAACACCGCGGCGTGGAAATCACGCAGGCGAGGGACACATAAGCACTATCATGGGCCATGATCCATCTCAAGCCGCTTTTCCGCCGCTTAGTGCTGCGTTTTGTTGGAGTGGTAGTTTGTTTTTTCTAGTTCGGGGGTGATAAGGGTGAGATATGAGGAGCTAGAGAAGGTTGGGGATTGATGGGTAGATTTATTGGCTCTAACGGTTTCTTTATCATGGTTGTTGGGTTTTGTGCTAGATTTCTCTTTCGGGTTTGTGATGAGGAGTTGGGGATATGGATGGATGTGTCTCTGGAAGTGTTACCTGTCATGTGTAGAATGTGAGATGTGATTATTAGGAGATTAGAACTTGTTGGGAGGGAAGGTGAAATAGGAAAATGTCTCACTGCAGCATAAGTTACATATCCAAGACTGTATTTAGCTTTCTATTGGATTTGACTTGGGCTTTTATGGCCTACAAGGTGTAAGTGAAAAGCTAATTAATCATGCAAAATGTGGATTCATCCACCTAGTAAGGTTATCTAATTGGTAGACAAGTATACTTCATTTCAGGATAGGTACGAAGGTTATATTAGTGAATGAGATCTTCTCACAATTTTCGTGGAAAAAGACTGAAGTAAAATACAGTAGAAATGCTAGAATGTATATCGACGGCCGAGAAATCCACACAGATACCGACAAGAATAGTCTTCAGAACCAACAAATTACCCAACTAGCTAAAGATACGGGGCTGTAGATACCAAATATCTCAAATAATCCGGTATAACTTTCCCTTTCTGATATAAATTCAATCTGCTGCGCCATTAAAATGAAAGCTCGCGAGTTCTTTCTTGAATGGCGAGTAGATATGTATAGCAAATATTCCAAAAGAGACTAGTACTACTAGAATAAACTCAATGTGATTTTTCCCCTTACACTAAACTTCAAATAGTATCTCGGCCTCGAGGTTTCTAATCCACGGACCGTAACCAAAGAGGCACAGAATAGATAGTCACAATCAACCCTATCAACAATACGCCTTTAAACCCAGTAGACCATGTGCAAGCGAGCATCATAACCAAGGTATTCGAATTCTTCCCAGCCATTGTTTTCAGGGTCTCAAAGCACACATTATTTACTTATTACTTTGATACGGAAACTTAGCAAGTGGATCCAGGAAACAGAGTGGAAGGGCGAAGAAATAGTCTCGGTTGTAAGATTAAGTGTGAGAGGGCGTCAAATAGGAGGAAAAACGGTGATTTTTTGAGACAATCACGTATGAGGTTCTCCTTCTGGTTGCTTAGTGGCTGATTTCACGGTGTCTAGCATGATCGTGCTTTATGTAAAGACACAGGAGTTTGGGCTTGATTGGATCTGAGGAGGAAATTAAATAAATAGTATTGCTATGCTATATCCATCACTCTTGCATAGACCTTCTTAGTGTGTGGACTAATCACAACCTCATAATAGTGTCTAGTACCCACCGTTTCGAATAGCATTTTCCCCTTTGGCACAAACTCATTGTTTTTCCTCCCTACCCCGCGCCCAGAATTCCACAAACAGCAAAGGCTGGCCCTAGACCATATCACACCCGGCTTAACGAAGCGTAACACATAAACGAGTATTGTAAAAGCAAAGTTCACCGTGAATTCATCTCGCGTCCGCAGGTGCTACAAAACCATGTTAAATCATGCATACTCTAGCTAGATTCCGAAGTGACAGTCACTCTTTACTCTCAACCAAGCCGCGCCATCAAAGTCGTGAAACTACGAAAGTGATCATAATACGGTTATACAATTGTGCTATCCCTGATTTCGTATAGTGAAGTGATTACTTTATCTGTCGAGAAATGGCCATACGGTTACTGCAGCCGATGCAATCCCCTCATTTTACTTGCATAAACAATTCGCCTATCATTTCTGATATCTAGTGCTTACAACGGAAGGGGAAGCGGCCATACAGTATTGATATACTTTGCGCGTGAGAACAATACTTGTTTCCCGATTCGGCGCCCTGACCCTTAATTGTGGATTAGTGACCGTTTATTTTCAACGCATACGCAGATATTTGCTTTTCAAGTTATAATTAAAGACTACAATGGACTTGACGGATAGTATTATTCCAGGGCAGTGCATGTGCTATCTGAGAACCGCTGACTAGTGCCGAAATTTGACTAACTTCACGAATACGCGCGGCACCGAGGAGATAGGGGTTTGTGGATGTGATTTGAGGGCGTTAAGATATGTGAACTTTAATTGGTTTGAATTTTTCTGCTATTTATCGAAGCTTACATGGCCTTTGACTCGAAATCCGTTGACTAGCTTGGATCGCCTCCATCCGAATTCCTTGCAAACGTTAGCTTCTTATTGTGGTAACGACACGTAACAAGGATTGATGAAATCTAAGCACGACGACGATGCAACTCTATTCGATCAACAATTGGCACTTGTGATGTAAAATTCTGTGAGACATTCACAGTTTAGTGTTTGACATAAATGATCATCTCCTCTTTCCGTAGCCTGCACTAGCTCAACGCTATCCACTCACTTGACCTTAGTGATATGTCGGTCTCCTTAAAAGAACCGGTTCATAACCTTTCGTGCCGAATACAAAAATATAATTTGTTTCTGACACAATACCAGAACTTATATTCGCATTCGCTACACAAATAATGCGATTTGTGATGAGTCCTATAGTTGGATCACTTGACGTACAAGCCCGACAATCGGGTTCGAAGATAAGCCTTTTGGTTTATCCCATCTCGTCTTCGCCAATTCCTGCTTTTCATTGTAGTACTTGTGCTTTACATACCATTCCACAGCATCTGACAATCATATTACTATCCCCCAAGCTTTACGTACTTCTCTCGCCCTAACATCATTGCCCGTACGATCAACTACCTTTTTCGCATAATCCATTCTGATATTACAAGACTTCCAACCCCTGCAATCATTCACCAAGTTGAAAAAAACTCGCCTCCCTTTACAACATTCTGCAGTGTAACTTCAGGCTGAGTTTGATCTCGGTCAAAATCACGACATACAACCTTGGATAACTTCAATATCGAATCATCAGTTCCATGATGCTTATCTTGATTTGAATTGATATGAAAGTTAGACTCGGACACCTCGCGTGATTCCAACAGCGAGAATTTCGCATTCGCTTGAGTCTTGATGTGCATCTCAACCATCACTTTTTTGAATATGGAGATCTATCTTTGATTTCACTGGAGAAGTTTGGTTCCAGAAACTCGGATTTTCATACCTCTTTCTCTCGTAAACCCCCAAGGTGATTTATTTCCCATATGACGAGCTGCGTCTTAATGGTTCTGGCTCAAAAGTCAGATATCGATGCATCACATTTCCATCTCAGAAACGCATTCAAAAACATGAATGTGAATGGCCTCCCCACTTACAAATTCCCTTCCCATCTTCCGATTTTCCAAAAACTTACAAACTTTGAGCTATCATATTCTCATGCCCATTCCATAAATGTAATCGGAGATATCACCGAGTTCGATGCATCATATTTGCGGATTATGAGTGTTGTTAGTAGAGCTACGCCCAATCCCGAACTTATTTGGTAAAGAACTAAAGCATATATTTAAGTATTCTTTTAATGAATATACTTGTGGATATCGCGCTTAGAATTCAAAGTGTCTTCTAATGTCTTTCGCCAAGGGAAGATGTTGTAGGCTTTTATATACGCACCCTAAGTGATCATCAAATACTTCTTATAGACTTTTTAACATAATAAAGAATAAAAGAATTATTTTAATAATAATTAAGAAAAATAGTTTAGATTTAATAGATTTAATAGATTTAATAGATTTAATAGATTTAATAGATTTAAATAAAATAAATTGGATTAACTGAATAGATCTAAATTCAATAAATTGAACAAGTTTCAAGTTAAATTTATTTATAATATTAATTGATAATTATATTCGAGCAGGAGGATGTCGCTGAGGACGACTCAGTGAGCGATTCGGTTTTGGCAGAGGCCAAAGCAGAATTCCGGCACTACATTTGCAAGAACCTTCCGTCTCTGCCATTGAATACGAGCCCAGACACTTTTTCCGAGGCAGTGAACAAGGCATATAAGGAAAAGGTCGAGCCTCCACCTCTAGCCGACGCCGCGACAGCAAAACAGGGCCGTGCTGTTACTGTAGCCGATGTGTTGTTGAGAGCACACATTGGAACGGCACGGTTGGCTGTCGAAGCCCTGCAAGCTCCAGGAAAGCTACCTGAACTTTTTGCAAAGACGGAAGACATTTTGCTCCCATATCTCGATGCCTTGCATGGTGCAAAGATGAACTCCAATAACTACAAGATATACCTGGAGCTGACACAGAAATTCGAGCATCGCTTCTTCGAGGACATGAATGCGCTTAATGTCCTGGCTCCTGACCACATAACTCGCGTGACCGAGTATGTCCCTCAGATTGTCCCCTTCATTGAGAAGATTGTGGCAAACGGTTTCGGTTACGCTACGCCCGACGGCTCCGTATATTTCGATATTGACTCCTTTGAGAAGGCTGGGCACAGCTACTCCCGGTTGGAACCGTGGAACAAGAACGACCGTGCCCTCCAAGCCGATGGTGAAGGTTCACTGTCCAAGGGAAGGTCAATGAAGCGGAGCGAGAATCATTTTGCGCTGCGGAAAGCTAGCAAGCCAGGCGAGCCAGCATGGCCGAGTCCATGGGGTCATGGGCGGCCAAGATGGCATATTGAATGCTCTGCTATGGCCTCCAAAGTGATCGGGAAGACGATAGATATTCATTCCGGAGGCGTCAATCTTCGTTTCCCTCACCATGATAACGAACTAGCACAATCGGAAGCTTACTGGTCGACTCCGGGCTGCCAAGTGCAGTGGACAAATTACTTCTTTCACATCGGGCGGCTGAGGTAAAGGGTTTCGAATGCCGATTTCGTCGTACAAAGGCGCTAACAGATCGTAGGATTCGAGGCTTGAAGATGAGCAAGAGCCTCAAGAACTATACGACCATTAAAACTGTTCTCTCCCAAAAGGAGTGGAGTGCACGTTCTCTTCGAATTTGTTTCCTTCTTGTGCCTTGGCGGATGGTATTGAGGTAACAGATGAGCTTATGAAGGCCGTGGTCGGCTGGGAAGGCAAGCTCAATAACTTCTTTCTAAAGAGCTTGGACCTCTGGAAACGTTCCAGTCCCAACTACAGCAATATAGGAGCTTAGCATCGCAGACCAGCAATTATTAAGTGCCCTGGATAAGACCAAAGCCGATGTCGATACAGCTCTCTGTGATTCCTTCAACACCTCAGCTGCCGTGAGAATTCTCTCTGATCTTGTTACCAAGTTCAACTCGGCAGAGGCACTTTCAGATCAGACAGTCATCTTGCTCGCCCGGTGGATAACACGTATCGTCACCATATTTGGTCTGGATCCCGAGGGAGATCTCAGCAACCTTAATCGTATAGGGTGGTCAGGCCTCGATATTCCCGCGCCAGAAAAGTCGTATATCTACCCTGTATCTCAATTGCGTGACAAGATTCGAATGTTGGCCTGTTCCCGCTCGGTCGATTATACAGCTATAGCGAAGCTCGCTGACGGAATTACGATTGCAGTGTCAACACCAGTAGTCGAGTCCTCCAAACCATACGATCAGGTGCTGCAGCAGTTCCGCACCAACGTCAAGGACCTCGCGGCTCAGCGAGCGCCGGCAAAAGACCTGCTCGCCTTATGCGACCAGCTCCGCGATATACACCTCTGAAACCTAGGCATCTATCTCTAGGAGCGCGACAATTCCCAGCCTGCTTTGGTACGATGCCTTGATAAGTTGCTCATTGAGGTGCGCGCGGAGCGGGAATCAGCTGGTACTGCGAAGGCGAAGGCCAAGCTAGAGCAGGAGGCTAGGGAGGGTGAAAGGGAGAAGGAACTGCGCGAGCGCGCCAAGGTCCACCCCTTACTAATGTTCAGGACCTCGGACAATTACTTGGAATGGGACGAAAGCGGCATCCCGACTGTGGACGTAGCGGGGAATGTAGTGTCCAGGAATAGGCGCAAGAAGCTGGTTAAGGAGTGTGAGCTACAGAAGAAGAGGCACGAGGAATGGATAGCGATACAGCAGGCAGCATACAAAAGATGATTTCGAAAATGGCAATGCCTACTTTGGTGAAAGTGTACTTTTTTACCAGTGTCTCTATTCCCAGGTCAGGTCAAGGTGACCCACAACGTTGAAAGAGTGTTTTTCATTGGCTACGCATAGATAAATGAGTGACAATTACAGAAGAAACGAAGATTAATTTAGGCGCAACACGATGTTGGATCGTGACTTTATGCTTCTTTCCGCCGCACTATGAACTACTCTAGCGTCCCCAACGAAAATACCAGAATCCGATACTTATCGTAGTCTTCATACCCTTCAAAAATGACAATGATCATCGCAACACTCACATTTCCATGCCGAGGAGCAATGTTTACATTGGCTTGCGTGAGTAATCATCAGGACTGAAGCAGGGAATAACACCACTGGACACTAGTATCCATTGTTTAGATAAGGCGCAGCATGGGTACACAAGTAGTATACTTACGGAAGTTACTACATCATAATATCCGCAGCTATTATCTCCTTTCTGTTCATCCAATATACTCAGAACTATGTTGTATCTAGGCCAGTTGATCATATCCTCAATGTTCGGCATATTGATCATTTCAGGTTCTATATACTGTTGTATGTATATAGTATAGATAAAGCTTTGGAGCAGATATCCATTTACTGATATAGTTCGAAGCTAAATGAAAAAGCAAAAGCTTAGAAGGTATTAATAAACAGTAGTATTCAAAGAGATATCTCGCCCTTATATATACTATTGAGCTAGTTGATATTGTGTACTATATACTATAAGCAAAATTAATAATTATGCTGAGTATTATTAGTTAACCGCAATTACGGCTTTCAAATGATTGACACCTCAATAAATGTTGAATATTAGGTTTGCTTCATTAAAGTATTCTCATCTCATATCTAGCAATTCATTTCTCATCTTTCCTTCGTAAACACACCTCTTATTCCTAAACTATACAATTCACCAAAACTTATTCATATAATCTCATTCCACTTTACCCTGGATATCCCGTGTATTACCCCAAAAAATACAAAGATACAAAGGTACAAAGATACAAAGGTACAAAGGTACAAAGATACAAAGATTTCCCCTTTACAAGCGAACCTTCTCAAGGTCACACAACCTTATCGACCTTTTAACGTCACTATCATTATCAACATCATAACCATTGTTCGATCCCGTTCAATTATATACAAAATCGAAGATAAACCACTATCCACCATCCAGCATCTCTCATATTCATAATTATTATTCACAATCGAATTGTCAAATATTTATTGTGTTAACATGATATGCGCACCTGTGCTGTGCTGTCTATTTGTATATGATATGTATGAGAAGAAAAGAAATGAAGAATCTGTCGGATAAATAGCGTGTATTTCATTTGTACTTCTGATTTTTAGAAAGGCATTGGGACTCCTCTTATTTTTGAAACACGCATAACCAACAGCTGTATTACTTTTAAAAAGAACCAAGAAACTATCATATCATTATCAAGAAAAATTATCCCATCCATCTACTATTCAGCTTCACTCCCACTAACCTCTGGTTCACTCTCCCCCCCACCCCCTTCATAAACCATACCCTCTAATCCATCCGTCTCTCCTCCCAACAACGGTGCTCTCTCCCGTTCCTTCCTCATAAAATGACTTCCTAAACTAATCCCCAACACACTCAATCCATGCACCATCGTACTTCCCAATACCACAAAACAAACCACGGGCCAAATAATCCAAATAGCCTTTGTATCCTCGTCCACTGAGTCTGATTCGTGAGGAAACCTTGGCGTGGGAAGAGGAAGCGAAGTACCTGTTTCGAGTTGGGCTCTCGCTTCAATAGCAAGGAATAAAGCGCCTACGCCCATAGGTCCAAAGTGGCCCGCAAAGAGAGCTTCGCGATACGTGCGAATATCGGGGATGAAAGGTTTGGTAAGGAGAAGGATTGGGATTCTGCGGAAAAGGAGTACGAGGATTAAGAAAAGGATGAGAGTCCAGGATTTAATGTTTGGGGTGATGGTTGATGGTTGAAATTGATCCCAAGGGATAATAGAACCAAAGTACACGAACATAGTGGAGTTGAGGATATGATCTACAATGACTGGAAAAGCTACTGTTTTGGTTTTCTTGGAGAACCATCCGTCATGCGCGAAACCAACACCGGCGCCGAAAGCGACTAGGAAATCGTCCGAGCCGAGAATTGATCCTATACCAATTGAGAGAATTGCGAGAAGAAGATAAAATACTACAAAAGATGGTCTAGATATATACTCGCGAGTATCGGAAAACCTTAGTAGTCGATTTGCGATGTTTCCGAGTATGAGACCTGTTATAATGCCAAGTGCACATTGCCACAGCAGCGTGATGGTTATCCATTCCTTGATGGCTTCACCGGGACCTCCATGAGTGGTAAAAATCACCAAGCCGATATAGATGAATGGAAAGGAAACCCCATCATTGCATGCCGACTCAGCAGAAAGAAGATGTCGGATACGTGGAGGAACTCGTTTACTGAATCGAGATTCCGAAAGGACCGAGTTAGCAAGAATGGGATCAGTTGGCGAGAGACAAGCCCCTATAATCAGAGCTGTAGGTACAGTTGTCTGGAAAATGAAGCATGCAAAAAATGAAGCGATGGCCCAAGAAAACGTCATAACTGGACCCAATAGACAAAGAACGGATTTCCAATGTCTTTTGAAATAGTGTTTGGGAAGCTCTATTCCTACAGCAAAACATTGAATGCCTACTATCACACGAGTGATTTCTTGCATAATTTCATCATCGAATCCCCATTGCCTTGGGGTGAGTACTTTGAGTACATATGGGCCAAGAATGATGCCGAATAGGACGGCGAGAGGAGGCTCTGAGAGATGAAGATGATCGCGGATAAAGTTTGAGAAGAGAGCATATATTATCAAGAATAAAGGAAGGAAAAGATAGGTTATATGTGGAGGATTTGGTTCCAATTGATCCCACATCTTGAAGTTATAATGGGAAATTACAGCTTTTTCTCTGTGTATGGGTAAGGTTATGGCACCGTCGATGGATCTGAGCTGCCTTGATGGCGAGTTGACCTTGGAGCTGTACAATAAGGATCAAATTCCAATGTTTATCTATAAATGGAAGCAAATTATAAGCAAAATAGAAATATCAGATATTGACGTTGAAAAAAGAACTTCTCCATGCTTGGCAGAGTAGCTCCAATTCTCAAAATCACGGGTACGTCATCGTGGCGTTTGTTTTGTTTGGATCACGTGCTTCGTCAACAACCTCAAACAACCATTGATCAATCAACCAGAAGAACGCGACAAAAAACAACCGAGTCATTCCTCATTTACATAAGCATGTCTTCTGTAAAAGCAACCTCATATCTCCCGTACCACGAGCCAGATATCGTTACTATCCTGGTTCAATCTTCATTCCTCCTCGTTCTTAATATCGTGAATCACGTCTTCGACAATCTCATATTCTGCGGCCTCATCGGCCAAATCTTCATTGGTGTCGCTTGGGGGACACCAGGGGGTAAACTATTTGATGAGGGAATTGAACATGTTGTTGTACAACTCGGATATCTTGGACTAATCCTCTTGGTTTATGAAGGTATTTGCTAGAATCTTAAGCTCCATCAATTCACATCAGCTGATACTAATACCTCGTAGGTGGGCTTCAAACTAAATTTTCCGCTTTAAAAGCAAACGCTTTCCTCTCTGCGGCTGTGGCTTTAACGGGCATTGCCGTTCCTATTGCACTATCATTCAGTCTTCTATCTCTTGCTTCTGCCACACCGCTACAAGCCTTTGCCGCAGGTGCAGCACTTTGCTCTACTAGTCTAGGCACTACATTTACAATCCTAAACACGAGTGGACTCACAACCACTCGTTTAGGAGTTGTCCTCACTAGTGGAGCAATGTTAGATGATGTCGTAGGTTTGGTAATGGTGCAAGTCATCTCAAACCTTGGTGGGGGTAACTTCACTCCTATCACTGTTGTTCGCCCTATTGTGGTGTCTATCGGCCTTGGAGTTGCAGTGCTAGTCACTTGCAGGTTCATTGCTAAGTCTGCTACTTTGTGGTATAACTCTATGGCTAAAGCAAGGAAAAATGGGCTGATAACAAAAATTATTGGCAGCGCTTACGCCCCAGTATTGATTCATACAGCAATTCTCTTAGGCCTGGTCACTGGTGCAACGTATGCAGGGACCTCAAATCTATTCGCGGCTTACCTGGCTGGAGCATCCATTAGTTGGTGGGACAGTGAAGTTCCAAAGGCTCTCCCTCCTGCGACTCTTGCTACGTCTGGCGGTGAGGAGCACAGTGCGAACACGGAAGGCGAAGATGAAGCTCCATCAACGCAAACATCGCCAAATGCTGTCAACAAAACGACCTCATCGTCTGACTCCACTTCTGTCGTCGTTCATGCATCTACATCAGGTGTCAAGACATTTGATTATTTTTATGGATCAGCTCTACATCGCGTATTCAAACCCCTATTCTTTGCCTCGATCGGCTTCGCCATCCCTATTACCAAGCTCTTTTCAGGGCCTATCATCTGGCGTGGCATCATATACACTATTTTAATGCTTCTCGGCAAACTCGTTACAGGACTATGGCTTGTTAGACTCTCCGGTCCTATCTTTCCCAACTTTCCCTTCAAGTCTAAGATTAAGGCTGCGAAGAACATGAAAGGAAAGAAAGTCCCTGGAAAAAGTACGAAAAGTGCTACTAACCAGACGGAAGGGGTACAACTACAAGGCATGTCTAAAAATATCACTGAGACATCTAATACAACTCAAACTCCCGCTACAGCCAACGAAGGACGGAAACGTACCGAAAGCGTTAAAACAAAACATATCAACCGTCCGCTTTCGCTCTACCCAGCTGCCATGCTCGGTACTGCCATGACCGCACGCGGAGAGATTGGGTTTTTGATCGCATCCCTTGCAGAAACAACGGGTGTATTTTCTTCCACGACTTCAATGGAAACTTCACAATCTTCTGAAATTTATCTCATCACCACATGGGCCATTCTGCTCTGTACAATTATTGGACCTCTGAGCATAGGCACACTCGTTAAGAGAGTTCGACGACTAGAACGTGATTTGGCGGCGAAAGGAGGGAACGGCCGAACAGAGGGACCCTTGGGTATTTGGGGCGTTTTTTAGATTGTGAGGTTTCATAAGCTCTCGATATAGATGAGAACTATTGTTTTTTTGGGTGATTTACACGGTGGGATATAAATACCTTTGGAATACCAGACAGATTTCAGTATTTAGAAAATTATTAGTATTAGTATCACTTTTTCGACAATATATATAGACAAGTATACGTACTTTCAAATTTAAATATATTACGATACACATCATACCTACTATATATAACCTCGATATCATCATCATCATCATACAACCTACCAAGGTCCAAATACCAACAACAATGTTCAAGTTCCCACACCACTTCCCATCTACCACAAATATCCCCAAATTCCTACCCCAAAAATATCATTGGTCTCTTAATACCTATCTATCCATACCACTATCCTCATCCACATCCCCATCCTCATTCCCATCCTCATCTACATCCCCCATCCTCTCACCCACAATCAAATCCAACCATCAACAAAAATCCAAAACCCATCTTCGAAATCCCTCTCCACCATATAGAAAAAAACCAAAAAAAACAGCTAGTTATTCCCTCCATTTCCTATAGTCCATAGATTATAATTAGATTACTGCGATGTGACCACTGTGCAAATTTAGATACCTACCTAGGTATATAATCTCCCTTCAAATTCAAATCTACCACGCTCTGTATACACTCTATCTCTACACACACTCTCTCGCCATCTAACCCAAGCATCTTCTAGGCTCTAACCCCAATAAAGATATCAAGATCCAGAAACCGCAAAAACCGTGTAAAAAAATACTCTTCAGAATCCCCTCTTTCAATATCTCACCCTTTCACCCTCGGCAGATCCTCCCATAAAATCACAAGTTATATTTCATTCCATTTTATTCCATCCCACACCATCTCAACCTACATATTTCAAACAAAACAACAACGTACCGTACAAATAAATAAAATAAACAAATACATAAATACATAAGATTACCAACCAAGATATTCACTCACGCATAGTATTACACAGCACTTCCACAAAAATTTAGAAATAATAAATATCCCATCGTACTGCATTATATTATTCAGAAAATCGCATTCAATTTTTTTTTCAATATTTTTTTTTTCAATATTTTTTTTTTCTTTTTTAACCTGTTATAACCTCGGGACGTTGATATGAGTGAATAGAGCAAGCATATTACTAGGTGGGTTGTATGTCCAGAAGAAACCGAACAAGATTATGCCCGAGGAAGAATTTAGGACTTTATATTTCTATATATATGGAGATACCTTTCTCGCTGGTCTATTTCCGGAGCTTTAGAGATGATGCGATTCTTATTTTGCTGGCTTCGTTTAAGTTTCATAATCCTCAACCATTTTATCAATTTAAAATAAAAGATAAAAAAATATTTTGTTTTAAAAATTAACAACAAATCTGTAAGGTTTAATCTCTCTATGGACTTATCAATTTTAGAATTGTACATAATTCTAACATCTTAAGTAAATGCCCTTTCTATGTTCACTCTCCCTCACTTCAAACATTATCTGACAACCCACGAAAAGTGCCCCCCAAGCTGTAATGAGAAAAACGATTCCTATTTATTGAAATTAGTCTGCATACTTCGTATCACTTTGAGTAAAACATACCCGAAAAATCTTTAAAAATGCCTGAAATGATGCTCTTCAATCCATCCACTCCAACAGCAAAACCTACCAAGTTCGCTATCATCATGAACATCAAATTCGCCACAGCACCAATACCACAGAGTACTCTGTAGTATGTGAGATTATTAAGCCATTTCTTTCGTGGGAAGAGCATGCCAGCAATAACTTCCGGTAACATAAAGAAAACGATTAGCCAACCCCATACAAGCAAGTTGAGGCTTATGTCATGCCATAGTGCTACAAACGTGAAAACAACGAGATAGTTGACAATCGATCGAAGTTGTGCTTTCCAATTCCGTGAAGATGAACCACCCATGGGTATGTAAATGTATCGGATGATCCAGCGGTTAAAACTGCGATGCCAGCTTCGCCAAAATTGAACAGTAGATGGATTATCGGAAAGGCAGCGAAGCATGTTCTCAGGGGGATCAATACCATCAATAAGCGACCAAAGCCTGAAGAATCGCCAAGGTAAAAGAAGCTTGAGCCACAATACATGGAGATTGAAGTATGATAGTAAACTCAGTTGAGCTGGAGTGTAATCAGACCAATTAGGATTGCCTTTGGAGATGGCCACACAATAGTCGAAATGTAGAAGAAGTTCGATTGCCAACAGACAGAGTAGGAAACGAATACCGTATTTAAAGGTTCGTTTACTGTCTATGCTAGCAGGGCGATATTTCGACTGACTAATGTAATCATTGAATGTGAAGATTGGTCCTGCTAAATATAGAGGGGCATAAATCGCATATGCGAAGTAGTTTCGATAATTGTAATCCTTGTCCGATGCAGGTATTGAAACGCGATCTCGTTCCGAAAGATTGGCAGGGTCGAGTTGTTTCTTCTTTTGCGCATTAGTATTAGATGGAGCATACGACTCGTTGCTTATGGCCTACCTCTAATGCACTTCCAGCTCCCTTCTCTTGACTCCAGTAATAATCCAAATTGAAACTGATCAACCTCAAGACAGTAAGATTAAACAGAATTTCCCATCGAGGAATGATACCCGAATAGCTATCCATCCACTCCGCCCAGCTATGCAACGAAGTTCCATTTCGAAATCCAGCTTCATTCTTAGGCAACACATATTGTGCTACAGATGTAAACCTATATCCGTCCGAGAGCTCGTTTGCAAACAATATTCCGATATTGAAAACCCATGTTGCTACAGGAACAAACTTTCGGGGAAGTCGGGTCGCTAGACAGTAGTTTGTGTATACTATTATGATGACTTTGAAGGCCGAAAAGCCATGCAAAGCCAACAGGTATATGAATGCGAAAATGAAATCGAATCTAACTCGTTGCTCAAGCCTCGCATTACCTTCCGCCACGGATATGTATGTATTATTGCCGTTCAATTTCGGTGATCCTACCCTAGTAGAGATAGGCTTGAGATACTCATAAATACGTCTAAGGATAGGGTGGAAAACGACGAGAATCGCAAGGTACGGTACATTGGTTCGGAAATTGTAATACTGTGCATCCGAAATATCCTATAATTGATTAGCATCTGTCAAGCCGTCCTTTTGATATATTCACATACAATCTTGCGCCCCGGGATCCAGCCATCGGAAAGAAGGTGCTTGTATTTATGGTAGTTAGGGTCCGACGCTGGATTTCTGTCAGATTGTATTTTTCACAAGTAATTCCAATACTAACGTCTAGATACATCATAGGCGATCCAGAACATGTATGGCACAACCGTCAAAAAGATGAAGTAATAAAAATAAAATTCCCAGGTATTCCATCTGGATGGTTGAGCAAGTGGTTTGCCATTACTGTCTGTCCGTACTCCCTCGCCCGGTTTTGAATCATCACGTTTTGACTTCGCAGCAGCAGGATCTACTTGGTATGGAGTCGAGGAAGCATTCGTGAAGCGTGTATCGATGGTATCTAGAGCATAAATGCTCCGCACAAATGAGAAGATACTCATTGCCCTATTATGTCATGGAGACGAGAGTTATGCGGCGGAACGAGGTATAGGAACAAAAGATGTGTAAGTGAGCGAGTGAATAAGAAGTTTGAAGTTATACAAGAAATTAAAGAAAGACTGAAGATACATCAACAATTCATAATATGAGTGTCAATTGTAATCAGGGGTTCAAATCAAGTGTGGGGTGGGAGTTTCTTAATGGATTCAGACAGATATAAGATTGTGAATTTATTTTTATATTATTTTTTGGTTCCTCGGCCCCTTTGATGGTCCTACCGCTATTTTCTGTATTCCCCCATGTTAGTGATCACGGAACCTCGGAGCTTACTAGCGTATCACAGACCCTGAATTTCAATTGAGGTGAGGTACTAAATTCAGCTTAATAAGCGATAACATTACTCTGTACACATACTCGTTCACCCAATGCCCACCAGGCCCAACTTCTCAAGTTCTTAATCGACCGGGAATGCAACCTTGACACCATTCCGGCTCGATTTGGTCATAACATACTCTTCCACATATTCAAAGCAATCATCCCGATTTCTAATCGTCTTAAACTCTTGTACAATCCTCACCAGGAAGAATGCCATATCAGTGTATGCATTCTGCTGAGCAGGACAAGTGCGACGCCCTCCAGAAAATGGAATAAACTTCCAACTGTGTTTGAACCTGACCATTCTGTCTGGATTGAACTTGGATACATCTTCGCCCCAAATATCTTTGTCTTTATGCATGCAACCATATATTAGCTCAATCTGATCGCCTGGTTGTAGTAAAATAGGGTCGTTCCCCCACTTGCCACCACCGCGAGGGAGGACACAGGTCGATAAACATGTCCTCCAAGCTCGGTCGACAGGGTGTATAAGTCGAAGTGCTGTATGTTTGTTAGTTGAAGATCATTATAAGGCACAGCATATCAACTAACTCTCATCGATCACAGCCTGCACATATTTCAAAGACTTGAGAAACTCAAAAGTTAACTCTTGCTTTAGTGGGATAGCAGCAACTTCTTTCCTCAATTTCTCCCAACTTTCTGGGCTTCTTGCGAGAAGAAACAGCATGCTGGAAGTTACCGTTCCAACAGAATCTCTCGCCGCGAAAAAGACATTCATAAGTTCATTTCGAATGAGAGTCTTGTTACCCGGGTACTTTTTGACAAGCTCTTTGAGAAGGATATGCTTGTAGGCTGATGGCTCATCAGTGGTCTCGGTTGGCTGGCCCAACAATTTTGACTGTCTTTGAATCTCAATCTCATCGTCAATATAACCTTCCAAGGTAGCATGTATTTTGGCGCATTGAGCAAGCCATTTCTTGTCTGGTCCAACCAGCCATGAAATCTTGTCTGTCATGTAATTTTTTCGCATTCCTCGGAGACCCTCGTCAAAATCTTGAGAGAATTGTTTGGCTTCGACAGTTCTAGTTCTTGTAAGCGGATTGCAACCAAATCATGTGACTATGATGGGTAAACTCACTCTTCGGACGGTGAAAGAGTACCAGAAGACTTGCCGAAAATAAACTCCATAGAACTATCTAAGAAAAGCCCTTGAGCGAGAGGTTGAATATCAATCGTGGAACCGTCGCGAGGAATACGTTCGAAAAAACGTTCCATGTGAGATTTCAACCCTGATAATTGCGAGACTTGTGACCGACTGAAGACTGGTTGGAGAAGTTCCCGAGATCTCTTCCATATATGCCCATCGGTAGTAAAAGCACCATCGCCTAGCAATGGCCAAGCAGGCTTGCGGTTTGAAGGTGCGCTCCCGAACTTATCAGCTTCAGTAGCGGCAACAGTTTGGATAACCAAATGATCCATAGTCATCCAGTGGTTTCTACCAAAAAAAATTGTATGCAACGTCTTTCCATATTTTGCAAACAACTCATCGTCTAGAGCCAATAAGTTTCCGGCCTTCGTGTATTGTATTTTTTTGCTGAGGAGGTCAAATCCAAAAAATGGGTCGAGGTGCTTGTATTTGACTGGGGAAGAACATCCTGCTTTTTTTCTGGAAGACCAAGCTAGCGCTTTTGTCCAGAACCAGTAAATTGATGAAAGTACAATGCTCGACAGAAACAAGGTAAATAATGAAGTAGTCATTTTTTGGCTGGAAGTGACGATGTCCAGATGTTCGAAACCGTAGCCATCAAATTCCTAGAATTAAGTCGGTCGATGGCTCGAAATTTATAGCAGAAATAGGACCAACTGTTGGTGTGACAAACTACTTCGCCTCTTTTATACATAATCTTTGCAACACTGCACAATACATCTCATCACCTTCTATGATTAGCCATCATGAAAGATAACGCAAAATCCATCGGCCGGAAAGAATCTTTTCCGATCTAGCTGTGGAAAATCGCGAAGCTTTTCCTAGGCATCAAGTGCAGAAGTTGGCTCTTCATCATCTTTCAAAAGAGATCACTATTATTACCGGTAGCACAGACTTTCACACACCTGCATATTCTCACATATATGATCAAAGACTGGGAATGATTCACACTCAGTCTGAACTGCCTTGCCACTCAAAATTTTTGAACTTTTGCCCACATCAGGCTTGGGGACCTATAGGGTATATACCTTACCCTGTAGAAATAAATCAGGATGATTATCCTGTAAACCCAAAAATACAGATTTATTTTCGAATATATATTATACAATCGTTTTATAAAATCATCCCAAATCTCATTTTTTAAATTATAATAAGAAATCAAAATAATCAGATGATATTTTAAATCATTTGATTTTAAATTATTTTATAATACTTAATTATGTTAAAAGGAATGACCTTACACAGGGAATAGTGGGAAGCTGATAGGGCAGAACTGAGGCTATATTGGACTTCTATATTAATCACCCATTCTCTTAGTTCTATGGAAGTGCGAAGCTCTCCTACAGAGAGCTTCTCAATCTAGTCCTAATAGGACTAGTGCCCTGTGCACATGCTACGCAGGAACCATTCACTTTAACAAATTATATATATCTTTATATAAAACCTAATCTTATAAATTTTTATATACAATATCCAATAAGTATACTTAGACCCTTTGATATTTTAGAGGATATTTACCTTATTTTACAAAGGTAGAGTAGAGTGATCAAATGGTGGATCCCATCTGGGGTAACCCGCGGTATACCCTTTGCCTAGCGCTGGCCCACATAGACTTTATATCTGTAAATGTGGCCAAGGCTTGTATGTAATAACCTTTTTGCACTTCTAGTAAACGGGATTCTGGGAGTAGAAAAAGATATCTTAGCTAAACGACCGCTCTTGGGCAATCTGGTATATGACTCGAGGTTCTTATATTCCGGGAATTTTGGATTTACAAAAACGTTATCTTGTTGAGTTACTTCGAGATCCTTAATTCATCACGTATGAGATCTAAAGCGCTGCTTTGTAAGAAGGGACTTATTTCACCTGCGCAGTTTGGGTAGCCTGTGGAAGTCCAGTTACTCGTGGCAGGTTAAAGATGTCCAAAAAATCTCCAATCTTTGCTCGTTTGGCTATATATCCAATCTGGTGGGAAGATTGAACACTCGATATCCAGAGTAAAACTTTGGTAGAAACGCCAAAATAAGAGCTCTTTCAGTAAGGAGGTTTAAAAATGGCCAGCTTAAATTAGAATTGACAGGTGGTGAGGATAAGGAGGATAACCACCTGGCTAATAAGGATACGCTCGTATATGACCTAATTAAACAAAGATAAGTAACACACACTAGTCCTCCGTCTTAGCCATTAGTGTTTCTAAGCACCCCATCAGCCATCATTTTCACGATCCCGTCATTATCTTGAGGTTGCATCCGAGTGGGTCATTTTAGGCAACTTTGCGGCTTTGTGGCACAGTCCGAATGCTTATCGAGTCCAATTACTATGATGCTTTTTTTAATGTTATTTAAACTTCGATTGTGCTTTTATTCTCATTTACTGAAGCATCAAATCATCGCTTGATTGATTAAATATGAGGTCTCTATCATTTACTGTTGTAACTTTAGCTCTCACTTTCCTCAGTAGCTCTGGCTTTGCTCTACCAACCCTAGAAGCGCCATTATCTTCGCTCGCCGCGACTGCTAATATCACTCACGAAACTCATACCCATGAAAAGCTGCCTAGCACGATCGATACGGATATCAGCAATGAAATTCAAGTATCTATTTCAGAACGACCCGAAGAGCCAATTGAAGCCCTTCTTCGAGTGCGATCATTGCCCTTCCATCATAACATCACGCCCCCCGTCTCAATCTGTCTTAACGTCTACGAGGATTTAGACTTGAACATCGTAAACAATCCTGTCTGTCCTGATGGCCAGAAGCCTTACACACTGCTCTTCAGTACTTTTTATTGTGTCGGAAATCCTATCATTATCGAATCCTACTGGAATGGACCTAACGGTATCGGGCTATATGAACAAGACAGCGGTTCTTTTTTAGAAACATGGTCCCTCATGTTCAAATGTGCTGGCTCTAAAGCCAAGGCACTTTCTAGTCTCCATGAACCAAGCGGTTTGCATATCCTAGACAAAAGCCGCATGCGATTCATGGGTGTTCCCGATCATCAATGACGATGAGGCGGGTCTTGCCTTCGACCCCCTTTCGCTCGGGATCCTCGGCCCAGAAGTGAATACGCTCCGTGCGACAGTGTGTCTTTGGTCCTCTACTCGCGAATACGGCGATGCTATTCGTCTCATACGTCCGCTTAAATGCCCTACATATCAAAAGACATACGTGCATCTTTTCACGCAGCGAGAATGTCGTGGTAAACATGTCCTCTCTGATGGTGCTAACACAAACGCAACGCTTTTTGATTTTGTTGAAGATTTCGAGGAATGGTCCATTTTGTTGACATGTGCGGACTATGACTACGAAGTCGCGAATAGAAAGCCAGTAATAAGCGAAGTAAAAGAACTAATAGTTCTAGATGAAGATGGAGAAATCGACGCCTTGGAGTTACTCAGTAAAAGTATTGCAGTGCCTACACCACACCAAATATCGGCTAATTTGCAAAACGCCACTCTCACACTAACTCACACGTACATTCCACAAATCTTCCATACTCCCCTCTCAACCTGTCTCTAATCCTCCACAGATACCCAATACTATTCCTTTGCCCTCCGCATCATCACTCCACCTACATGTCCTCCGGAACTACCTAATCTAGCTACATTATTATATGCAGAGCTAGGCTGTAATGGAAGCGTCGAATACATGCCCACTGCGCCCAGCTACCCGCTTTACAAAGCGCTTTTCACTCAGACGGTGACACCACAAGAGGTGAAAGGGTGGTCAATGGGGTTTCTTTGCTATGGAGAGGAACCTCTCACTGGTAAAGATTTGGAGATGCAAACCATGATGGAGTTGGTGATTGAAAGAAAAGAAGCTAAAGATTCTGTAGTGAAAGTTGTCCAAGTTGAGTCGGAGCCCCGAGCTGCGAAGAAATAAAACGAGGGGTTAATGCGAACTGTTGAGTCTGAGTTAAAGGCTTTTGGATCTCATGATGGTGCAAAGAGACAGGAAGGCACCGCGCAAAAGGTTATGCAGTCATAAAAGGCTTCTTAGATGGAGGTAAACCTTAAGCAAAACCTATAATTCCCAAATATCTCTCACAATATGAAATGGGATTCTAATTTTTACTATATATTATATAGTCTCATTATTCTTTTACCTTTTTACTTGTCACATGTTATAATTTTTTTTTTAGCGGGAAGATATTAGTTCTTTGATGTGTTGTATGTTTTTTCCCTTTGGTATTTCCTGTCATCTCTTTTATATTTACGATGTTGGCTGCAAGAGTCTATAATGAGATGGATGGATGAGATTAAACGAGACGTGACACCCTTGATAATATCAATATCAATACTAATAAGATTGGATTGTGATAGATAACGGAAGAGGTATCTTTATAATAATTGCAAGAGTTTTAGATATAAGAAATAGAAGTAGATATAAAGAGTTTTATTCTCCTTCATTTTTCTTTTTCACAATGAATTCGAAGTAGTAGATAAAAAACTAATAATTTTTGATTTTCCGCTGTGTTGTTATACAGTCTTATTTAAGTAAAATTCATGGGTATATAATATCTGTATAAATAATACAAAAAAGAATAAGAAGAGAATAAATCGTCCACAAGAATCACCACCCCATTCCATTCCATCAGCCCTGACCCTCATCCTCATCCACACCCACACTACGAACAAATAGCAGGCGGCGTGCCACCCGCCAAAGTCGGGAAAATTCCATAATCCAACAACTTAAAAGCATCCCACTCATGCGCACTCTCGGTTTTAAAATTCCAAAAAATCCACCCATTAGCCTTCGTTTCGAAACTTGCCAATTGAGCACTCAGGTAATTCTTCATCTCCGTCTTGAAACTATCGCTCCAAGTAGTGATATCTGATTTTCCTTCGCAAGAATCTACGTATGTGGAATTGGGGTACGAGCCATCGTAGCGGGAACCGACACCGTATCCGTTGAGCGCGAATGCACAATCTGTCATTGCGGCTGTGAATTCGCCGACGACGACCCATTTATCGGTGCCAGTGTAGACGTGAGCATTGGAGCAGACGTAGTCAACGTGTTCGGCGGGCGTCATGGCAACGAGGGCGTCGCTGAAAACTTGGTATTCGTGGTGATCGATGACGACTGAAGATTGTTAGTATACTGCGCTTTTGAAAAGGGGCTGTGGAGAACTAACCTCCTTGTGCATTATTGTCATTTGGTGACAAGATATTATTCCAAGTATTCGGTTGGTAAAATGCATCATGAAGCACAACAACAGTATCTGAAACATCGCGAACTTGTCCATATCCATCCCTATAGAACTGTTCCAATACCTCGAAATCCATAATCCAATTCGCCGGTTCGTTGAGTAGTTCGATGCCAACTACTACATCTTGATACTGCTCCTGAGCGTATTTTGTGGTGATGGTATTCAGAACAGAGAGTGTCTGTGCAACAGAGTCACCTTGTGTCCACGCTGGCGAGGTAGTCCGATGTCCGGAATTATCGAATCCATTTTGAGAAAGAGGAGCACCGTGTAGGTCGATCCAAACTTTGAGACCTGCACTGCGTGCCCAGTCGATGGCGGCATCCATGTATGAAGCTGCACCTTGGGTATATGGTTCGCCATACAGAGCATATGCCCAGTATCCAATTGGGATGCGAACGGTGTTGAAGCCAGAGTCGGCAATCTTTTGGAAGTCGACGGCAGTGCACCATGAACCCCACTAGAAAGATGTAAGAGATATGATATGAAATTGTGAGAAGAAGACTTACATGTGGTTGAAGGATTGCTGAAGCTGCTTCTGTTCCCAGCTTTTCTGTCATTGTATACCTAAACAAGTAAAGTGTTAGCAAGTCTTCCCGAGAAATGAAAGCAGTGATACCTCAATATCATGTCCAACTAAGAAAAATAGGAGGTAAATAAACTTACTCGTCAACTATTCCTAGGGATTGGTCGAGTGATTGAAAAATGGACGCTATCAACAATGTTAGTATCGTTTACCATACACCTACATCGGTATGGCTGCTTACGTGTAATCCATGGTTCCAGTACAAGCCAACCACCAATATTAACTCCTCTGACAGGTGTTGACCCATATGCAAAGTCAACCTTTCTTTGGTAGCTGAAATAAAGTTTAGTGAGAGATGACAAGATGCTTGAGCATGAAGACTTACATCGGTTTCGAGGCTACCAAGGTAGCTACGAGCAGAGAACCAACAGTATTTTTGAAGAACATTATGTAGAGTACATGTATGATACAAATTGATTATCTGATATTCATGAAAAGAATGTAATGACGAGATTCTGAAACGGAGAAGGGAGGAAGAAGATATAGTTCAGACAGGAAATGAGCCTCAAATAAAGTTCTCAATAGTGTTTAAATAAAGGAAAATAATATTAGGATGAATCAGATGAACTTCATGACTGATGCTCCCTGTCATGATCGCCGCAGATAACACTAAATTACTGATTGAGTAGTCATGCACAAGGAATATCAGAGGGCATGACACAATCTGCAGTTCAAGGAAAGGGAAAGGCAAGTGAAAATCATACTCTTTATGATACTAGTCGATGCAAATATGAGAGTCGTTAACGACCCCCGGGCCGTCTGCGATGCTAACTTATCAACCACTCGAAACACCGATGCCGGATAAACAAGACATTTTTGGTGTAATGGGTGGTGGCCAAGATCCATCATCTTGCATGAGGATTTTGCATATGGTACCAGTAATCGATGTGAGCCTGACCACGATTCAAACTTTCTGATCAAGGAAAATGGTGGTGGTTAAGAAGCTGGGGCTTCTGTAAAATGCATGCGGGTAGGGGTATTTGGGCCCGAGCGATTTGTGGTGGGCCACAGAGCAAGTCCATTGGTGGTATATTCGGTATATCTTACAAGGATGACTGCGTGCTGACGGTAAAAAGATTGGTGGGGACGGTGCCAAGAGAAAGAAATCAGGGGAATCCACGGGGCTGTTCCTTAGTGTGATATCATTTGTGCAGAGTAGAGTAGAATCACGCAGTAATCTTACTACCAGTCTACCACTCAGGCTCAGGGAGTAGATCATCCCATGTCATCAATCACCACTCGCGACTTACCGTTGTCCACATACAGGACATGTACAGGTACGTATAACCTTGTGAAAGCCGAGGGTACAAGTAAATGATGTAGCTTATAGTTTTGTGGTGTCACTGAAATGTAAAGCGGCTTGCCAAGTGGCTGGCTACTATTTGCAGTCGTTTGAATAAGATCGGTAACAAGCACCGTAAAGTACCATTATCTATGACCAGATAAAACCCCACTCCCTTTTTGTTGATCGATTTTCTATTTTGGAGATTTGAGGTCCAGAAGATCATGAAGTTGGGGTCAATCTTAGGCTTCGAAAGATATGAAACATTCTAATGGTGGAATTTATGGGCCCTTTCAGTGGTGCGACGAACCAGTGGTAGCCCGGTGCTTAGAAGCTGGCCAAACTTTAGCAGGAATGATGGGTTTGAAGTTCAGCCACCAGAAAATTTTGCTTTTGGATTGTCCAATAAGAAAATAAACATTCTAAAGGTTAGATGGTCTCTAGGATTCACCCTGATGTACACATGGTACAGGCGCTATTGCCACCTAGAAGGAAATAGGAATCCTAGTAGTCCATGGACGTCTCGACTCTCAAGGTATGCACCGCCGCCTCCAAATGTTATTAATCTTTTCGTTCCTGGGAAACGAGTCAATACGACAAAAATTGCGGACAAAAGATGGTTTTCAGGTCTGGACTTCATGCGCTTCGCCCCCTCAATATCTCAATACTCCCTCGCTAAGAGACTTGAGCAAATCGCGAATAATTTTAGATATGGAAAAGGCGGTACTCGATATATCGTATCAATTGGTGAATAAATCTCTTATCATTATCTCACTTCGTAGTATTTTTCTCTACTACTCCTCGGGCGAATTCACCAAAAGTAATACCCATATCCGAGTCCACAACCTCGTCCAAATTAGGCTGAGTAAATACGGCTATAGTATTTCTCGCGATTCTTCCTCCTCTGTTTTCGCCATCTGCAATTCCTGGTCGCACACCTCTCACGTAGTGAGGAACTGCCTTGAATTTACCTTTAGTAATTCTCTCGAGAGCCTCTCCCGTCTGGAATGCGATGCAATCTTTAGGGATTTTAACCTGAACAGTTTCACCACTTCGAGACTGGATGTAAAGTCCAGCGGTTGGATCCGGAGATGCAGGAAGCTCGTTTAGTGGGCTTAAAGTGCTTGGATGAGATGAGGAGGATACCGGAATCGCTGGCGGATTGCGAGTCTCGTTGATGAACATAGCCGATGTAAGACCAGTTAGACAGCCATGATCTAGATGTGTAGCACACCAATCATCGTCTAAATTCTCCGAAGATTCCTTCGCTTCTGCCGGGAAATAATGCAGTAATCGCGCTTTGGTTGTGGTTGAAGTTTTCACAACATGCTCAAGGTATCCACGTTTATAGTTAGGAATCTCCTTCTCTGCATATTTGTCACAAGCTCGAGCGACAAGTACACCAGTGTCAATGATAATGCGACACAATTTTTCAAAGGTACCCTGGAAACCGGGCAAAACGTTTTCTACTGGCCATAAATTGGGACTGAGGTATTCGGGGAAATTTTCTGGTGAAAATTCAGAGGTAGGCACTGCGCACGAAAGAGATGGGTCGACGTAAAATGCACAATTCGCATAGTATGATCCTTTGAGCGTGTCCACTTGGCCATTTTTGAGAGTCTCTTTCCCACGAGACCAACCGGTAAGATATTTTGCAGCCGCATTTTCGAGCTTCTCTGCTAGACATCAGACCTTGTCGGTTGCCTTCAAGAGTAATTGTGATACTGACCGAGTTGAACTTCTGGCAAGTTTCCGAGATAAGATGAATATGAGAGCAAACTATGTCTCAGCTCTACAAATTCCTCGGGGATATCTTTGACCAGTATGATCCCAAGAGATTCAGGACCGAAAGCCTCCTCAAGTGTTGAGAAGGAAACATTGCCTGCAATATCAAATCAGCCGGGGCAGGACGAATCTATAATGATGAGACAAACCACTTTGTAGATCTTTTAGACTTACTGTCACTGGTGAAGGAGTCATATTTAGTATCTTAAAGAGGAATATGAATGAAAGCTATCCAAGATTTGGAAGCAAATTTAAAAGTGCATGTGCTTGGGGTTTTATTTTTCAAGATCATGTCGTACAAGGTAGAAATAGGCAGGAGGGAAAAGCTGCAGTATCTTGCCGATAATTTACCGAGGTCGGCAGCGCCCGAATATCGCGAACTTCCTGTTCACAAACACAAGCAACAGCTTTTCCTTCATAGTAATTCTCAAATCTCACCACAACCATCATGGTCAAACCATTGTCTTTCAAAGGTGATAAGAAAACCAAGAAAAGAAAGCGCGTTGATACTGCCGAAAAGTTTGGAGATTCAGAAGCCTCAACCTCCCAAGCAATCGCGAAACCCCAGGAAGAAGAAGCCGCACAGGATGATGATACTTGGGTGACAGCAGAAGCTGCGGGTGATGTCGTTGGCCCCGTAGTATTTGTTTTACCATCAGATCCACCATCATGTATAGCCTGCGATACGAATGGAAAGGTATTTGCAAGCAGGCTGGAGAATATGATTGAGAACAATCCCACCACTGCAGAACCTCACGATGTAAGACAAGTATGGGTTGCCAACAAAGTAGCAGGTACGGAGACGTATAGTTTCAAAGGCCATCATGGCAAGTGAGTATAATGGTTCGTCTACTATAGCATTTGGATGCTAACCAGTCTATCTCTAGGTATTTGAGTTGCGACAAATTCGGAATTCTATCGGCGAATACCGAAGCTGTGTCGCCCTTGGAATCCTTTTTATCAATACCAACAGCCGATACTCCAGGGACATTTCAGATACAAACTCTGCGAGACACGTTTTTGACCATAAAACCACTTGCGACCGCAAAGGAAAATGCTTTACCAGAGATTCGAGGAGATGCTGATTCAATCAATTTTAATACTACCATAAGAATCAGAATGCAGGCAAGATTCAAGCCAAAATTGAAGGCATCTAAAGAGGAAAAAGCCAGCCAGAAAATAAGCAGGAAGGAGTTAGAAGATGCTGTTGGTCGGAGGCTGGATGATGATGAGGTTCGGAAACTTAAGAGAGCAAGGAGAGAAGGCGATTATCATGAGGCATTACTTTTAATTAAGGTAAAGAACAAGCATGACAAGTACAGCTGAAACAAATAAAGAACAGAGTATACATTAGGGGTCAATGGGCAAATTCGTGGTAGGAGATATGATAACTGACAACCGTGGTCACTCTTGATCCGGCCAACTCAGATGGCGTTAAGGTGCTATGGAGATGGGCTACTGCAGCCAGGAAAGCTACAATGAATCTTGAAATTTCAATAGTACAATGCCTACGGCATTATGCGTAGAAACTAATGGTAGGGAACACTCGATCAATTCGTCGAAATCCAGTAGATCATGTGATATCAATAAAAAACCATCAAATTTTCCCTTGGCCGTAGAAGTTGCACTTCCAAATCTGTAGATTTTTTTGCCCATTGATCTTGGACCGAAAATTCCAGGAATACACGATTTGATTCTATACTTCGCCGCAAGAGCTAAAAAATTTCACTCGTCTAAAAACTTCCTTCACAAACCACAGCCAAAGCACCGTATTCAACAGGTGCTTCAATATGTACAGATTTTTCGCCTCAGATATCTTTGAAGTACAGAGTACAGAGCCGACATATATCTATGATATCATACCTGTCGCAGCTGGCCTTGCATCTATTTCATCAGATGATTGCCTGCGGTTGCTAGATCCAACTGCTTTGAATGGCCAGCCATTGAATACTATCAAGAAAGTAAATTCTGATGTTACGTGTTTGAAAACCATTGGGAGTGATGAAAGTTCTATTGTGGTTACGGCTGGAAGGGATGGAAAAGTGTGTCTTATTGACCCAAGGACTGGTGGAAAGGTTGGAGAGGTTAAGAGTGGTGAGAATATTTTCAGGGATTTTTCATGGCTTGCTTGTAGCAGATGGAGCTCTTCTTTGCCTCAAGTGAGGACGTAGGAATGGATCTGATAACTCATGAGGTTACGAACATCTTGAGCATCTCTACATCACACGGTTCTTTTATGATTATACTGTTATCAAATGGTTCAACGCCTATGGAATAGGTCCTAACGCTTAAATAGATCAAGGTGCCCCAATCTTGTCCTTGGCATGCTCAAATACAAACGCCATTGCTGCTGGAACAGAATTAACAAATCACCAGGCAACTGTTTCAATCTGGTAGAAGTTCCCATTATCGCTACTTAGCATGTCCGTCAGACTAATACAAGCAGGGACGCAAGATCTTTAGCTGCACCAGTCGTGCAATACGTGGAAAGTCACAGTGACGACGTTACAGAAGTTTGTCACCTTCATTCCAAACTTTGAGTATGCTAGCTGACTTTCGCTTCAGCTACAATTTCATCCAACTCAAGAATCACTTCTGTTATCTGGCTCTACGGACGGTCTGGTCAATATATACAATATCACCATAACAGACGAGGAAGAGGCCCTTCATCAGACTATCAACCATGGTCACTCCATACATCACGCCAACTTTCTTAGCGATACCAACATCTTCGCTCTTTCACATGATGAAAAGTTCTCTATGTATGAACTAGTAACGAATCCAGAAGAGGGGGTTGAAGAGCCAGCTCCTGTGGTATATGGTGATATGAGGGGGAATCTGGGAGGCGAGTATGTTGCGAATGTTCTGTGCAGACCCGATGGAGGAGCTGTATTAGGAATTGGGAGTCACAGTAAGAATGAATTTGATCTTGTACGGTTGAAGAAGGGAAAGCCTTGGGTATTTGCTCCTGAGACAAAGGTTACACTTTCTGGGGCTCATGGATCGGAGATCGTTAGATCGTTTTGCTTTCTTGATTCGGTATGTTCTCCTTCTGAAGCCCCCAGGTTATGTTTGTACAAGCTGATAATTTTTTGTTCTGTAGCACCGAGCTGTATTGACTGCTGGTGAGGATGGGCAAATTAAATCATGGAGGGGCGAAGAATGATTATCTCGATAATGTTAGGTATTTCCGTGTTTATTAAGTAAAAATCTTCAAAAAGTCATAAAACATCCATATGATCTATTAGAATCAATAATATGTGATGTGCTTCTATGAAATGTTCATTGTTAGTTTTTGTTAAAACTTACAATCAATGATGTACCGGTGTTATTGGTGTTAGGAGCTTGGGTCGGAGTTCATGTCCTGGATTGCCGAAGATGACAGCTTTGAAATAGCAAACCAACCATTACAAACCCCCGCCAATCTACACAATCAACCTTTTCCCTCTGATTGTAATTACCATGGAATCATGACCATATTTCGCTCTGCTACTTCAAAATCGAAGTCGACTATTTACCCAGAGGTCCTGCCAAGATGAAGAGCCCGAGCCGGCGGCTTGTACTGCCATTATTTATCTGTAAGGTTTCCAACAATTTCCTCCGAGCTCGAGAGTTACTAATCCTGTACATATAGTTATTTGGCAGTTTGTTTTCCAAATATGTTATGCGCAGGCACATGAGGAAGAGCTAGGGGCATCTCTGACGGCGGAGGAGAGTCCAAAGCCATCTTTTCATGCTCAACCATCTACAGCTCAAGAATCGCATCGAGCACCCATAGTTAAAAATACAGCCGGTGAGGACCAAGTTTGCATGCCTTGGTTGGTATCTGCTAACACACTGTAAGAACATGAGCTAGTCGACAAAGCTATACATTCTCTCCAACGTTACGAACGATCGCATCCACGCCCTACCTCCAGCCCTTCCGGAATTGTTAAAACATTGACGCAATATGTTGTTGCAAGTCTTCCAAGATTGGTCCAAGGACCACCCCCAGATGGGAAGATTCCAGTGCATCACCAAGCTCCAGGCCCAGTCGCAGAAGCAGTGCAGCTCTTGGAGCAAGCAGCCCACGTCAATAACTCCGATGCGATCTATCTTCTAGCGCAAATAAATTTCTACGGAAACTACTCATATCCCAAGGACTATAGCGAGGCATTCAGAAGATATCATCAATTGGCATCATTGGACGGAAACAGCTCGGCACAGCACATGATTGGATTTATGTATGCGACAGGAATTGGAGGAGCGGTAGAGCAGGACCAGGCAAAGTCTTTGCTCTACCATACATTCGCCGCCGAAGGAGGAAGTACAAGATCCGCGATGACCCTTGCTTTCCGCCATCATAGTGGAATTGGTGTGCCGAGAAGTTGCGATTTGGCGATTAAATATTACAAGGAAGTAGCGGATAGAGCAGTTGAGTGGTATCGATCCGGTCCGCCAGGAGGTATGGCATATGTTCAAGACTCGTATCAGCTTGCAGATGAGGATGGTGGAATCTATGGTGAAGGAGCAAGTTTTAGTAGTGCTGGACAAAATGCAAAGAGCGGAGGGCCAAGCTCAGATGCTCATGCAGCATTAGATGATGTTCTCGAGTATCTTGACTTGATGTCTAGAAAAGGCGACTTTAAGGCAACATTTAGCTTGGGGCGTATTCATTATGATGGTCAAAAAGGTCTTCCGCGAAATTTGAAGAGTGCGAAATGGTATTTCACGAAAGTAGCCAAATTATATTGGACGAGAAGTGGAAAAATCATCGAGAACGATAAACCTCAACTAGACAAGATTGCTGCCAAATCCGCAGGCTATCTAGGACGGATGTACCTCAGGGGGGAGAGTGTGGACCAAAGCTATGAAAAGGCTCAGACTTGGTTTGAACGGGGTATCAAAAATGGCGATTCTGGTTCTCAGTATGGAATGGGGTTGATGTACCTGCATGGTCTTGGAGTACCAAAAAATTCTGTATTAGCACAACAATACTTCAAAGCTTCTGCTGACCAAGACTATGCGCCTGCGCAAGTTAGCCTAGGGGCTATGTACTTGGATCAAGGTACTGATAACGACATTAAGGTTGCCAATCGATATTTTGAACTGGCAGCACGATATGGTAATATTGAGGCTTACTACTATCTCGCCGACCTCATAAACCAGGGAGTTGGACGAGATCGAAGTTGTAACTTGGCAACTGCATACTACAAGAACGTTGCAGAGAAGGCAGAACCACTTCTGACGTCCTTCGCCGAAGCAAACAATGCCTATGAGCAAGGCGATTATGAATTGGCTTTAATTGGTTATATGCACGCGGCAGAACAAGGATACGAAAAAGCACAATCAAACGTTGCATATATAATTGATGAACAAAAGTCGAAATTGACTATACCTTACTGGCTGACTCTTGTATCCACCCCAAGACCGAAATTGTTACAAAATTCGAAACTTGCGCTGCTCTATTGGACCAGAGCTGCCAAGCAGGCCAATGTAGACGCTTTAGTCAAAATGGGTGATTACTATCTTTATGGTATCGGTACCCCAGTCGATTTGGAGAAAGCTGCAGCTTGTTATACAGCGGCATCTGAGTTTCCTCAAAGTGCCCAAGCATTATACAATTTAGGCTGGATGCATGAAAATGGTGTTGGTCTTGACCAGGATTTTCATCTCGCGAAAAGATATTATGATCACGCTTTGGAGACAAACGAAGAGGCATATTTACCCGTGACCCTCAGTTTGTTAAAACTACGCATCAGAAGTGCATGGAATTCGTTCACTCATGGCAAGGTCAATTCGATTATCGATGAACCAAGTAAGTTATTTGAAGTCCGAATATTAGAGACAAGGTTTTAACATATCACAGCTCCTCGAAAGCAATGGTCATTAGCGGAATGGATTAGCAATTTCCTTCAAGATGATCACCCATACTACGCCGATTATGACGCTGACGATGCTTATGGTTCAGTACATGACCCTATGCCTGGTGGTGATGCGGATGGACTTTACGACGACATCCTAGATGATGGATTGGTAGAAAGTCTTATTATTATTGGCTTAGCAGCCGCACTGGTGTTCTTGATAGTATATAGACAGCAGAGACAGGAAGCGCATCGAATAGGTGAAGGAGCAGCGGCGAATGCCCAACAAAATGCACAACCGCTTAACGGAGAAGTTCCGAATAGAGGACTTTTCCCTAGGCCAGGTGATGCGAATTTTAACGATTGGGTGGCCGGTGGAGTAGGACATTAACAAAATGGGCGCGGGAGTTTGAAGGGAAAGAACTGTAATTAAGCATGTACGTACAGTAGTATGAATGCAAATGAAAATATGAATATGAAGAAATGAGATGATGAGATGGTGCAGTTGGATGTGTTAAGGTTTGCGCGTGTTATTTCTTGGTTATTAATCTCACATTTAAAGCCAAATGACTCAGATTACCACTCGAGCGCTAAGTCAAGTCAACATATCTCTTCCCCTGAACTCTAATTCCCTATCTTAAAGTACCTATATCCATCAGTGTCCATCATCCATATCACAAATCGCTACATATTTATCATAGATATTAGATAGCCTGACCGTTTAAATATTCCAAGAAAAGTTTGCACTAATGTTCATGTTATGTTATATTATGTTGTGTAGTGTAGTCTAGTGAATATTCATCTCCAAAGTACCATCAATTGCCCCTTCTGCTCCCTCGCTTCTTTTCACTCACTAGGTACTAACCTCCACCTTTTAAATCCCATATTCTTATATCAACTATCAATCAACCATATACTCACTTCAAAAAAGAAGAAAAAGGAAAAAACGAAAAGAAGAATCTAGACAATAAAGCACTCTGCGGACGCCGGTGAATGTCCGTAAGATCTTACAAATTTATACCTATCCAGCTTCACTTGTCTGTTTGTCCGATGGAATCGAATCGAGGCTCTGAAAATGCTAGATAGAAAAACGGATATCGTTCGCGACTATGATGGATTCTAGCACTGCACCGTCGAGTTGTGTGAGTGATTGGGTGGGAGGAGTGAAATGCCTGGAATATACTCGGTATAGATGGGTAGTTAGTGAGAGGGAAAGTTGGGACTGTGGTTGAAGGGCTAACTTTGGTTTATATGTGTGCTATCAAAGTCTCTAAAGGTTGATTACCTGGAAGAAAAGTGCATATTTCTTTACAAGATATATTCATTATGCTTTCTTGTGAGTTTCAATTTATTCATCGATAACTTGTGTGGACAGTCGCGTGACGTCTATGTCCCAAGGGTGTTCCACATGATGAGCTCTGTTAAGACACTGGAGTTCCGTAGTCGAAGAGCACTTCTTCCTGTGGACGAGTAGCATTACTAGCATAAGAGAACTCATTCATTAAATCCATGTAAATGTCTCATGCAAGAAAAATCCTCTGATGTGGATAGTGGGAAGATAAGCGCCCTATACATTGTTGGCTCACGTCCCTTATTGTTCAGCTTCCCGTTACTACCTAAAGAGTTCCGGGGTATGTATTCCCAGATTACAACTGGACCTTGGCTCGCACTTTAATTCCCGTAGCAGTAGGTATACGGGTGCTGCACAAATTGACGAAGTGTGCATCCAGAAGCTGATAGGCTGTTAACCGTCTATTTCCAATGAAATTCTCCGTCCCTCGACCAGCAATACCGTATACTAATTGCAGTCGGATGGTCCAAATTCCAAAACTTGTTCCATTCACAGTCGTCCAACAGTAGGGTATATAATTTGAAAGGTATCCAACCGCCATATCCTTGGCGACACCGAAAATAAACGCCAACTATATCTAACCGTCCGTTGTTGCCCGCGCATCAACACCAAACCTAAGCCCAAGCCCATAGCCATTTTTATTTTTATTTCTCTTCTCCCTCGCATACTTTAACCACTACCATCTGCCCATCCTGCCCCTCTACTAGCCAAGCCTGCAGTCCCTGCACCAGGTGGTTCCCCCTTCAACCTCTCTTCAACAACCACTCCCAAACTCTCAGCCTCCTCAACCAATAGCCGCCTTTCCTCTAACTGTATGCGTATATAATCCACAGTTTTCTTTAAAACCACACTCTCGCTTCTCCCTTGACCTTCTAGCCCAGGAACTAAATCTGCTAGTCGATCAAAGCCTTCGCGAATTGCTAAGCGCCGTTTTTGTTCTGCGAGCAAGAATAATTGTTAGTGCCGGTACTGTCAATGGAGAAGTCATTCATAGTGAATCAAGACTAAAAGCTATGAAAGCACCTACCAGATGCGATATGATTAGCCTTCTTCTCATGTTCCGATAACCGCGGTTTCTCGTCGGCTGGATTGATACCATTTGAGGAATTGGCATTTGCTGAAGATTCTCTTGTGGGAGATGCGGACATTTTGGAGGGAATTATATGCTTCTGCTAGAGCTTGTGTATTGATAGCTATTATGTAGGTATTTTTTAAAAGAGAGTCCGAAGGCATTGTTAAACTCCTTGTTGTGTTGTTGTTGTGATGAGTTGCAATACGGGAATGTGGCTGTCACATGGGAATTTGTGAGTTTGATGCCCGGCGGGAGCTTTACCAATTTGGGATTGGTGTAGATCTTTAGCTTGTATTGTTCGCAACATACCTTTACCTAGAACTGTACCCATACATAAATCTGCAAAATCATCTAGGGGAATAATCTGGCTAAGATATTTTTCCAAATAAGACGAGAAGTGATTCTTCTCTACAATGCGCCAAATTCCGCCCTGAATGACCGATTGGTGCCGATGTATTCTGGTCAGCACAGCTGCAGCAGGAGAGTCCTGTAGCTTCACGTTATTGGTCTCGTTTATATCCTAACTATCACCGCGGCGCAATAAACCACGGGGACGATGTGATTGTAAGGCTATTTGCTATGATAGGTTTCTCAGGGGGGTTAGTTTGCCGAATATGTGAGTTAAAACACATTTTCAAAGGGAACATGACTTCCGATATGCGCTTTCTTTTCTTCCTGAATCCCCTATTTCTTCAAAAAGATTCCAGCTTAGACGAGGAAGATGATTATGTGGGCTTACGAACTCATGTGGATCTGACCATCTTATCCCGTCAAAACGACTCAAAAGATTTGACCAAATTTGTTTATTTTATATTTCCATTAGTAGCTAGTCTAGGAACGCTGGTTAGTGGTTCGATATTTCATCAAATTGGATTTCACCACAACTGGCAACTGATGCAAAACAGCTAGAGTAGGTACGATCGTCCTCCCACTTCTGGTAACTTTTCATGCTTTCCATCAGACAGGTCCGAATATCATCTGCAAAGATGCCATGTTGTGATATGTCACTACCATATGGAGAGCCTTTGACCTTCGTCCTCTCCCTCCAAGCATCTTAATTGTTACCACAATTCTGGCGCATTTTACAACAAAGCATACAAGTGCCTGTCGCCGTTGTGAATATCATACCTGAAAATTTTAGATACTAATACTTGGAATCATCATGTTGAGACTCAACATGAGATTATGCCTAGCAATTTTGTGTCAAGCTACCCCCTTAAAGAGGCAGATGAAGTTTGAGGGCATTGATGAAACTGTGGATCTAAGCACTTCACGTGGAATGAAGGATTATCATCCTACGGAGAGCCTCAAAACCCGACTGGATTCATACTATATCTAGATGATGGTGATCTTGCGTCGGACGTTACGAGCTTGGTTGGCGAAGATTTTTATCAAGTGGAAATATGCGGACAGAAATAGCCGATATAGTTGGACAAGATCTGGGACTAGTCAAATCTCTTCTGCATATCTTCTAGGCTCAGGCGCCAATTCAATGTTATCGATTTCAGCAGAATCTAGATCCAGTTCGACATGAGCACTCCATTTGTCTGACATTAGCTTTTTGATTATTCATCCCAACACATCCAACAAGAGACACGATGACCCAATGAAGGGACAAATGGTCCCAAGCGTCCTCGCTTAAGCAACTCCCGGATTGGCTCGAAGAAGAATGCTTTTGCGTGCTGGTTCTACGAGAAAATTCACAAAAGTATTGCACTAAGCCGAATGGTGCCGCAAATTTCGAACTCGTATATTCTATACTTCGGAGAATCAAGTAAGTCTAGGCAAGTCACTTCTAATGGAGATTTAGTCGTTCTGATATCTGCTGATATCTTACCGATTAATGTTCTAAATTTTTGTACTAATTGATTCCAGAGAAACTAAATCAACACCGTACACAGAACAATTATAAGTGTAAAGGATGCTATACAATACTATCGAGCGCTGATGGCCTGCCTGTTGGTAAGATTACTTCAATGCTTCGAGCCTCGTTGCGGTCCTAAACCAAAAAATCTGAAGAAAGCAATATCCGAATGTCAGCGCTCAAAAATAACATTAAAACTACCACAGTTGACTTCCAAAGATGATCTGTCTTTTTTGTATTTTAAAATAAAATTCTCCAAGCTCAAAAAAGTTTTTGAGCACCAACTTCTTCCGCTCTTGTAAAAGCTTCCCCTCTTTTCGTTGTGAGTAGACCATCTATTATCATTCATAGTGTCTAATCCGTTTCAAATTTGACGATAGAGTTATCACTGTGCTGTGTAAAATTCATCTACAGATTGCGCGGTTTCGTATTCAAGACAGACTACACATGGGTCCAAGGGATGTAGGTTCATTTACTGGAAATTACTTTTCTGCTAATACCATGGCTACCTTGCTAGATGCTGAGATTGGGGCTACTAGTTTTACGGATTACTGCCTAGCAGACGGCAGATACTGCGAGCACTAGTAATGAGAGTCATGGTTCGAGGCGATTGGCACAAATTTTCCTTTCAGATGTACCTTCATTCTAGTAGCTAGCTCCTTCACTAGTAGTACTTCTTGAAGTTTCAAATTCGATGGATTGATGTCAAACATCTTACACATTCTCATGCAATAGTCCACGTATAAATAGAAACGATGCCTTCCTTGTCCATTTACAATCCATCAGTATCCTAATTCCTTAAAAATCTCAATTGTTAAATGGTAGCAGCTTGCCAATTCTCAACCTATTCATATAGTCTAACCTTCTACGAGGGCTTGTCTTTATTGAGGGCCCGGTCTGTGCACTCGTACAATACATATAAACAATAAGATTTTATTTCTATTCCCTAAATCAACAATTTTTATAAATAAATAATAATTTGAAAATAGCTTTATTTTTATTTAAATTATAAGATTTATACACTTTGATTTTCTTCAATATATAATACATTATTATATTAATTTATATATAAAAATATTATTTTAATAAGATTGATGTTCTCGCTTATGGAGGCCGGGCCCTCAATTAAGACAAGCCCTCGTATACTCGGTTCAAAAAGGATAAATATGAAGCAGCTTTCCACGTTTGATGTTTTTCATGCACGAAATTTCTTATATCTAGTATTTAATGCAATAAACACATGTGCCTCCAGTACGATCATTAAGAGATGTACATGCTGAGAACTTCTTGATTTATATACTCCTGACATCCCCTATAAATCTTTCGCTTAACCCCGAATTAAAATTCCCCTGTAGCATTAATACCATAAAATAGAGTCCCCTTTTATTCTTATTCTTAGGATGCTTATCACTGCTGGGGATGTCGTTCATCAACACACATTGCAGATGATATGTTATCCTACAAACCTAATCAAAAATTCCTCTTATTACAGAAACAAATATAATCAACAATGGACAAAACGCTCATTTTCTTTACCGTCAAATCAATTCTCCAACCTCCCGATCTTTTCATCAAAATTCTCGTTGTCTAAATTGTACTCTCAGATCCGAATTCTGGCTCGATAATCTCTAAACACTTACATTCTCGCAATGCTAGTGTACCCGATATACCTTTCGAAGTAACTGTTCATCCATCGGTGAAATTTACACAAAAATGTCAGTTGGTCCTATCTAACGTTGAACATGTTATAATTATAAGAATTACAATCATAAGCTTAAGATCTAGAGCTCGCTTACTGCTTGTTATGTCCATAATGCCATCCATCTTGACTAACAGTTCTAGTAGTGGGTTGAGTCCAATTCATTGAAGATAACATACCCATCTCCCAAATTGCGGAAATAGAAATCTTTCTATCTGGAGCTCAAAAGATCTAGCCCACTTTTTCAATTAATCTTGGGAAGCTTGTTAGTGAAGAGTTGTATCATTCGGTCTTGCTGGAGTCAAATTGCGCGGTGCTTAAGAATAGCAAATGGGATTTTCGCTCAGCATACTGGTAAAGGTTCAAAAAGATTGAAGTTATGCGTGATATGTCCGGAGTTGATCTATATACACATCTGGTGAGATTTAAAGACATCACCAGAGAAGATTTAAATCAAGCCAAGCGCAATAGAGCTAATCTGTGGCTCATATGAAAGAAGTCATCAAAACGGCACACTTATCTACTTACATTATATTGAATTTCAATTAGATCACCTTATTAGTTGCTCTCTAATTTCTCGGGGTGTCCAAGAGTCTATGTGATGACATCATCTTTGGAGTAGTGGTAAGCTTGTGGTGTTGAAAAAATTAGAGTTGGGGTGAGGGATTGTAGGACTATGGATTTTAATCTATTGTTTCAAATGACTTAATGGCTTTAGTAACTTTACTTGAGGGTGTTAGATATCTCAGCGCAGGCTGCTCTCGATTTAGATTTCTACATCTGATTTACTCGGATTTAGATTTATACACCTCACAGTATATTAAGATCTTTCAAGCTCGAAACACGGCACAATACATAGGTATTAAAACATGATAATACAGCACTTTGCACTACTAATAGATATAGAATAAACTTACAATATAAAGTAAAAGTGACTAATTGATCAATACTAGCATCAGAATTGCATCATATCATATCATATCATATTGAATTAAACCTCATAAACCCTTTTTCGGGAAGTAAATTTAATAAAATCGTACAACCCCCGCTATAAAGATAACCTTAACCATCCACAGCAAAATCCCCACCCACCTATCAAAAACCCCTTGTCCCACACAAACCACAACCACAAGCCCAAACTCACAAGGCTGACGAAACCTCCACCTAAGCCAGCCAGCACCAGCCCAGCATTCCCAACCTCATCGATATCAACAGTATCAACCACCGGGATCAAACAAAAAATAAAAATCCAAAACCTCCCATTCCCAATCATCCATCCATTCCTCTCACCACCACAATTACCAAAATCAAAAGCCCCCCCCCAAAAAAACATCCCAACCATGCCCGACGAAAAATACACCGCCCTCTCAACCTCCGAACCCAAAGATCATCCCCCAGCCTACACATCCGCATCTAAACACGGCGCCTCCAAATCTATATCTAGTATCAAGGGCCCCTTACCACGGGGACCTTTTCCTCTCGATATACCCGTCTTGCAGCATTTGAAGGGAAAGAGAATTATACTTGCTTCTGCTAGTCCGAGACGGAAACAAATATTGGCTTCGGTATGTTGTTTTTAGTTTTTGATTTTCTTGATCTTTTATTGTTATTGTTACTATTATTGTTGGAAATATTGCGAGGTGTTTGGTTATTTATATTTATATTTATATACATTTATATATAAATATATATATACTAACACAAAAACATCCAGATAGGACTAACAAACCTCGAAATAATACCCTCTCCACTTCCAGAAAATCTCTCCAAAGAACAACTAGGACCCTTCGATTATGTTCTCCAAACTGCCATTCAAAAATGTCTTTCGGTGTATACACACTGTCTCGACAATTCACTCGCCAGTATACCCGACCCCTCACTCGTGATAGCAGCCGACACGATAATCGTCACGACATCGGGACATATACTCGAAAAACCACGCTCACAAACCGAGCACATCCGCATGCTACAACGACTCCGCGACGAGAAAACGCACAAAGTATTCACCGCAATAGCGATCCTCGCGCCGCGCGAAGACGCGCGATATCCGGGGTATAATTGCGAGAATGAAGTGGTGGAGACGACGGTGGTGTTTGATGCGAATGTAGGGGATGAATTGATAGAAGCGTATGTGCGGACGAGGGAGGGCGTGGATAAGGCGGGGGGGTATGCGATTCAGGGGATGGGGGCGATGTTGGTGGAGAGGATAGAGGGGAGTTGGGATAATGTGGTTGGGTTGCCGATTAGGAATACGGTGGCCATGATGGAGAAGGCGGTTTTTGATCAGGAGGATTTGGATCCTGAGGAGAATGAGGAGGGGGATGAGGAGGATGAGTGAGTAGAGTAGATATTTTGGGAGGGGGGGGGGCGGAGGGTGGAAATTTAAATTGTTAGTGGAAATGGAAATGGAAACGAAACATACATATCAATACCTAGGTAGTGTAGATACAACACGAAAAGTTTATAGAAAAACCATTTCATTACTTGCAATATAGAGCAAAGTACAGCACAGTACAATGAAGTTCAATAACTAGGTATTTCCTACTACTCTATCTAGATATATAAATATCGAGTATTGAATATTGAGTAGATACTATATCTTATAATCCCTTTACATCTATATATTCTAGACTTTTTCTCAGCTAGATTCTATGTAGAAACCCTTTTATGTAGAAACCCTTCTATGATGGGTTAATTTCTGTACTGCACTATACTTTATTCTCGTAAGTTATATAAGTTACACATTCAAGAGTACGGGTTAAACAGGATCCAAGTGTAAAAGCATCGTAATAGTATTGAAAACACTTTTAATCTAGCTATCTAATCACAAATAATTCGTCTTTTCGGCAAACCTTTGGTTTTCCACGACTCCAAGAATCAGATCATATCATATCATCATCCCTCGTTCCTCATTCCTCATCATCATATCCCATCTAAATCATCACTTCAAAACCTAGAAACCTAGAAACCCCATCCACGTTCCTCTCGAATGTCGTCATGATCTTCCTCCTCCCTTTCACCATGCCTTTCACCAAATCTCATACCTCCAAATCTCTGCGCTAATCCACCAACAAAATCACCAAATTCCCCTCCACCAAATGGGCCGCCACCAGGGCCGCCACCAAAACCACCTTGTTCTCTTTGTGGCTCTTCGTATCCTCTCTCGCCACCATAACTACCTCTCTCGCCATATCCTCCACCGTATTCCTGTCTAGGAGGTTCCTGGTATCTCTCACGCTCACCCCAACCACCATGTTCTTCTCTCTGTTGACCATAACCACCATGTTCTTCTCTCTGTTGACCATAACCTCCGTATTCTTCTCTTTGTTGACCATAACCGCCGTGTTCTTGTCTCTGTTGACCATAACCACCATATTCGTGATGAGGAGGCTCCTCAGATCTCTCTCTTCTCTCTTCTCTCTCCGGAATATACTCTTGCGGTACATCACTATCCCCATTACTACTGCAACTTCTACGACGACTGTGATGTCTTCTATGATGCCTCCTACGTCTTCTGCGTTCACTATCATCGCTCTCACTACCCGACACCTCTTCTCTATGATGTCGTGCTTCATGATAATGACGTCCATCGGCAGTTTCTCCCTCGCGCCATGTTTCCGTCTCGATCCTTCCATCAGGACGTTCGTAGATGCGTTCATTGGTCTGTTCATAACCTCCACCATACATAGGTCTCTGCTCGGAAATTTCTTCGTAACCCGTGCCATGCCCCCCTTGCTGACCATATTGTTGATAATCTGTTCGTCTCCCTCCACCAGGAAGTTGTTCTTGCGTGTACTCTGCTTGAGCATAGTGATCACCCGAGTGACCGACTTCAGTGTAACTTTGCTGGTAATTACCCTGGGAGTTGTACCCTTGGGATGAAAATGCTTCTTCTTTAGCTCCTCCACCCAAGACTCCTGCCAAAAGACTTCCACCAAGACCACCAGCAAGAGCACCAACAATGCCTCCCAGAGCACCACCGCCAACTGCTTCTCCAGCAAATTTACCAATTCCTGAAGATGCGTGTTCACTAAATCCTGATGATCCACCATGACCACCACCCATTGCAGAAGTTAAACCACCCATCATTTCATTTGCCAAAGGATTTGATGAAGACATCATAGGGCCCTGCTTGGACATTTTAAGTGGTGCACCACACCCATGGCCAGTATCATGAACACCTTCAAGATGATTTTCTCCATCCTCAACTCCTTCTCTGCTCAGCTTTCTTCGGAATTCTTCTTGCTCATCACCATCTTTGTTGTGCCACCATTCTTCTACGACTCTGAACATCAGTTGACGGCCATCGGAAGCTCCATCTTCACCGTAGTAGCGAAGAGCGGGATGATGGAAAACACCATGGATGATACGATTGATTGTACGTTCAGGGTCAATACGTTCATCATCCCAACAAGAAATGAGTTGAGGGACAACCCATTTAAGAACTTGGGAAGCGATCTTGCCAGCACATTCATTGAGGATCTAAAAAGATATTAGTATCAATAATAGTTGCGGAATATAGATGACATGATTTTCCAAGTTCGACATCGTAACAGAACTCTAGAGGTAAGACTTGTGGTAATTAAATAATAAGAGATAGTAGACTCACATTGGAGAAATGATCCTTGGACAACATAGAATGGGTAGGATCAGAAGAGTAGTCATCGTGAAAAACGATCAGCTGCTTATCCTTACTGCTTTGAATGACTTCTGAAGAACCGGTATTCAATTCAGTCTTGATCTGATTGATGATTGGAAGAACGAATGGAGCAAGAAGCGAGAAAACAAAGATGTTGATTTGGTCCTCGATATTCTCAATGAGAGCCGGAAGGATAGGGATCTTTTCAATAGCTTCTCGAATCTGTTGCATAATCTCGTCATGCCACTGAATAATTGGATAAATCTCCTTGGCGACTTGTTGCATTTGAAGTGTAAAAGCTTCCGGGTCCTTTGGCGAGACGTGCTCTTGAGACTGTTGAGCAGCAGAAGCATTGGCTTGAAGCTCATCTGCTTTACCAGCTTGATCCTTACCACCAAAGAGCCCAGAAGGAACTGAACTTAAAAGGTCTTTAAGAAGACTACTGTTACCCTGACTACCTTCTTCCATGGTTCCTTCAAGGGTCTGAATTTCGCTTTGAGTTGCTTTGTCGTCAAACTCACCCATTACCGAGTGAAGGAAGTCGACACCACCAAAAGTACCGGTGATGATTGGGTAAACTGGGTGCTGAACACCTGGAAGTTCGATCTGAGTTCGTCTTCCAACGTGTGGAAAAACATCATGTTCACCCATCTCAATAAGTGCCAACTCGGTATAATTGCTGTGAGCGGAATAATCCTCCAAACAGTGAAGTCCAGTACCCAACAAGCGGAGTGCCTCGTATAATTCGTCCTTGTTCTTGCTTCGTCCATAAGATCTACCAAGTCGAATGGATTCATGGAAAAGCTTTCTGACATGAAAAGCGGATGTCATGATTCCAGCGTGTTCGTTCGCAATGTAGTTTTTCATGCCAGTCTCGGGATCAATAGCAAGCTCAACCTCTTCATCGACTGGACCTCGAAGTCTATGATCATATTGTGAAGCATCAAGATTATCGGCATAATCCTTTGGGTTATCAATGTGATCTTCTGGTCGATAGCAACCCAATCTTTGAGCAGTGACTTCGAATTCTTTTGTGCCATATCCAAATGTCATGAATCCAAGAACCCAGAGTAAAATGCGAATAGCTTCGGCGGAAACGTATTTGACGGTACCGACATCAATTGCTTGAGCTGGCAGAGGGAAAGAGATTAGTATTAGATTATAATAAGCTCGGAGGGAATGTGAGCTTAAGAAATGATGAGTTTATACATACAATAATCTCTAAGCCAGTTACCAAAGTATACTCTTGCTACCATCATCTTATCAAACTTCTTTCCACCACAAGCTCTCGACATGACAAGTGAAAGAAGGGTATCTTCAATATCTCCATGACGCCCTGAGGACCAAGTCAGAAAAGCTTCCCTTGCATAGGCAAGATAGGTATGAACTCACAATTTATTCCTGAAACTTTCGAAACTGATGCGATATTTCCAGCGCCAAAAGCATGAGCTGGATGTGCTAATAGTAAAAGAACTGCGAACGAAAGAAGCAGCGTCGAGCTGCTGAACGAAGGCATATTTGCGACGATATGTTCGAATAGTTGTTTAACTTACAGAGGGGTTCACTCGAACACAACAAGAGCACCTGGAAAAGAAAATGAACATGAGGAGATTAGTGGACCACCAGATTGAAGGCTTTTGAGGGGTCAGTGATGTAGCAAGTAGGTATGCCAAGCCGAGTTGTCGTCAGGTTTTTGGTGGGGTTTGATACGAAATTCGTTGCACGCCAAGTTAAGATGATCCAGTAAGAATGAAGTTTTGTGTTGATCCTGTAGTCAGCTGTGAATGGCTGAGAGAGATTGTTTAGCATTAATAAGTGTGATTAGAAAACAAACTTGTAGTGAATACTAGCTACCTATGATCTGATCACCATTATGATGATTGATCAGAACAAACAGGAGGTGCGTCATTGTGTAGAGCGTACAAGCTTGAGCGTAGGTATTTACACGGTAGTGAGGGTCGACAGAGGTCCAAATTGGTGTGAAAAACCTACTACTTAGGCTTGACTTGCTTTTGAAAGGCCACTTAAGAATGCCAGAAAATGAAGACTTTGGAAGGTTGGTGTATTTCAGTATGTTGCAGTGGTAGTTTTGATTGTAAAGAGCTTGCTTGATTATGATTGGGTGAATGTACCCTCCAAGTTTAACAACAAGTCTTGCATTTGAATTAGATATTAAAAACATGAATTCTTTCAAGGCTGTCAAATGAACCTTCCAATGGGTATATTCAGTATGATTTGGGATATGACATTGGGGTTGATAGAGTATCTTTCCAAACCTTTCAGAAGCAGCAGTTTTAATGTTGGTAAGATTAGAAGTAAAAGTTATCGAGAATCACTGTTTAGCCTTAATACGGGTCCAACATGATTGTTGGACGGGAACCTTGAAATCTTCAGGCAGACCCCATAATGTGCCCACAATGCAATTGAATTAACAAACCCTACCAAACCCTCCACCACACCGAAACCCATCTTTGGTTCAAAGCACCTGGCACTCACAACACACAATATACAAGTACCTGTGAAACCTTGAAGTATGCTAAGTAATACAGGCTGCTCAGGCTTAATAGCTTCATCAATTCAAGAAAAACATACGCAGTAAATATGCAGTAGACACACCATTTAAATGCTCCCTAATCCTCTCCTCGATCGAACCACTCATTAACTTGTCCTTCCCCATATTGCATCCACATCCATTTACCCCGAGTACTTTCTAGAATAGGTCAAATCAATCCCAATTTTAGCGACTGTTTGTAGCACAAGACACCGAAATCGGGCGGAGCTTCAAGGCTCATAGCGCCGAGATCTATGCCTAGCTAGGCAATTTAGTGAATGGAGGGTAGGAATGAAATTCGCTATTAGAGGGCCCCGTGGTTCCCCGTAAGAGTACGCAGTGCCAATATAAGCAAGCAATGACCTGAGAAGAGAAGATGGTGGAAGAAATTCACGGTATTATATCAATTAATAAGAAATATAGAGGATATAAAGGATGATCAAGATAATAATTAGATCCTTTCAAGATACAAAGGCCCTAATAAGAGAAGAATGAAGTGTATAAGAAAAGAAATACACCTGAATACCAAATATTACAATCTTCTTCCAATAGTGTTCTATATAGTAGACACTGTATCTCTCGGTCCAAATGTTCAGTGTTCCATCTAAAAATGGCGGGTATTTACCCCTACGCCCATAGTGGAAAGAGAAAAAGAAGAAAAAGAGAAAAACTTTCACATCCTGCTACCCCACTACTCCGTGCTTAGGTAGCGGTACTTTCTTTACCTTATCACTTACTTTACTTACCACTTATTACTAGGTACCTACTTATTATTACTTTCCCACCAAACGAGAAAGAAAAGAAAAAAGTTGGTGCGGCACTCCCCAGTGATCCCAAGCCCATAACTCGCTCTTAAATATTCTCCTTTCCCGCCCATCCGCACCAACCCAAACCCCCCAACCAATTCCTCAAAATACTTACTTCTTAGGCTTCGAAATCAGCAACAACAGCCTACAATCCAATTCATCATCAACACATTCCACCAATTTCATCAAAATGGCACGCCCAAAGAAGGTAGACGATAAACCAAAGGAAGCTGCGGATGGAGCAACTTTACAAATTGATGTTGCAAGCTTTGTGAGAACTAGAGATACTGTAAGTTTCCCTCTTTATTGAACCTTTTTTTCACATTCCTTGTTTCAATCCCATTTCGAACTTCGATCGCATTCCTCCATCTATTCACCACCTCCCTACCTATCAATCACTATCCTCCCCCCGCCATTGTCTATCCTCAACATGCGATTCAGGTAGCATTCAACAACGATAGCTACTATATATCCGAATCGTACCATTATCGAATTCGCACATCGACGCGACTCTCTTGCGCGTATTTTCCCTTGAAAATC